GATGGTGATGATGATGGAACTCCAGGTGGAAAGGGTGGTGATGATGGCAAGAAGGACGGTGATGATGGCAAGAAGGACGGCGATGATGGCAAGAAAGATGGTGATGATGGCAAGAAAGATGGTGATGATGGTAAGAAAGATGGTGATGATGGCAAGAAGGACGGCGATGATGGCAAGAAGGACGGCGATGATGGCAAGAAGGACGGCGATGATGGCAAGAAGGATGGTGATGATGGAACTCCAGGTGGAAAGGGTGGTGATGAAGACGACGATGCAGACAGTGGATACTACCGACGACGTGCCATCCGATTCCGATCTTAAACATCTGAAATCGGTTCATACATATACTCTGCATAACAGCCGAGTTTATGAGGAGAATGCTTGCTTTGGAGCCGGGATGTCCTACTTCCTGTCACTCTTTTACATTTTACATGTTTCCCTTTTGGTGCAGAAATCTTCTAGTTTTCTTCTGTTTCCTTTTGAAAAGAGAAATACTGGAAGGTCGAGCGCTCGAGTGATTTCTTCACTCTCTTTAACGATTTGATGAAAACACTGCCCAATTTTGTTAACCCCCCAATTTACGATATGATGGATCGATGACGATGGTGTTTATTTTTATGAATTTATGAAAGCGGGTTTTTTGTTTTCATTCCTTCCTGGCACATGGGAGTGGATTTGGGATTCTGGGATTTCTGGGAATTTCTTGTATGTAGCATTTGAAAAGATGAATGGCTAAAAAATGCACGACCTTTTTTTTTTTGCAAACTGCTTTTTATTCAAGTTGATTACTAAAATTAAACTATAAAGACTACACTAGAGGAAGAAGTTTCGTCTACTTAATCTTTGGACTTGCATGTTAACTGCTGTTCTTTTAGGAGATTCTTGGTGTAGCCTCGAGGAAATGGAAGACTTTGTGGTATTTTTCAATATCTTGCGTTGTGGTCGGCAGGAAGGAACAGGGATTGGCAGTGTAACGTCGGGGCCACGACAAGAAACGTTTAAACACGGGATGGATTCGATAGACCTTCATGGTATTAATTCTGGCGCCGCCACAGGATTTTAATCTTAATATTGGCTATTACTTCTTGATTATCATTATAATAATGATGGCAGATATGACAGAACACAATTAGAGTTTTTTCTATATGAATTATATTTCTAGAAGTCAATAGACTTTTCGGCTTCGACTTCCATTCGAACTTGTGGGGAAAGCTTCCAAGCCGCTTGGCGGAGAATAATTGGTGAATATACGCGCAAATATATCGATATTTCGTATTCAAAGAAAGGCGTCGAAATTTCCTACCGGATAAATACTGTGGAGGGAAGGGCAAGCCTGCACGAGAATGTTTGTTTTTACTAATTTTTCATCTTCAGGCCGGGTTATTCCTTTCTTATAGTTAGACCAGGTTTTGTGCTAAACAAAATGCATGAATGTCAAAGGGAGAGAATAGGAATGTTGGTAGAGGTTTTTATTTTATTTTTTTATTTTACCCCTGATGTTCCTTTTTCCTTTGCGGTTCTGTTTGTGTCCTTTTTCTTCTGCGACTGAGCTGGAGCTTTTTTTTTTGACCCGCTGTTGCCCCTCGTTCTCTCGCTAAGACCACAGGACCCCTAATCTTAAGAAGATAAGGGTCGAAGGGCTTTCTTCTGGTTGCGGACGGAATGCCACCTCCAGGGGACAGAAAACGAGAAATCTCGCGTCGATCAATATGTAGCCAAAGGGCCATGCATGTTTGGTTTGTAACAGAACTTGCATGGTTATGGCAATTGCGTGTGTGGTTAGGCTAGGTACGAGGAGACTAACGAGTCGAGCGAGAGTTCGCTAGCGATAGGGATGGGGTATAATGCATAATCAAGTGGGATAAAGTCATTGATATCAGCCAGAAAGGGAGGCAGACGAGGTTGAACCGAAGATAGCAAAAAAATTTTTATTGTGGTTAGTCATTAATCAATTCGATGAATCGTATGCGGTTGTATTTTCAGACGCAATAGTGCCTTTTGTAGACGCTGTTTTTTTTTTAAGCATTGGTCGTTTGAATGATTGATTGTCCACTCTGAAACGTGAATGTGCATGGTCAAGTTAATTGAGAGTAAGACTACGGTCCTTCGATCCTGGTGTGAGCCTGAGGTTTTGGATTTTTGTTTGAGTTGGAGATAATAAATACAATTTGGGCGAGAGAGAGGTTATCTCGCTAAGAAACCTTTTAAGTTGAGATCCCCGCTGAATAGACGGACGATTTAGTAATTGTATGTATTCCAGGAGTCTTTGGGAGGGTTCGAGTAGCCTGGGAGTTAGTCAAGCTAGATCAATTAATCAGAATTGTCATATACTTAAGTATTGTAGACGCGACAATTGCAACTTAGGTAACGATATTCCGCTTCATGCTATCATAAGATATTGGAATGTATACATACCTAAAGGTTCGAAGGGGTGTCTGCCTGCATGTATTGTATTTTAGAGAGGGGGATACCGTTGAATATTAATAACTCCCCGCTCCCTTTTTTTTAATTCGCCTCCCGGGAACTGTCAGGGTGGTTTCCCGCGGCGCGCGACAACCCTGTTCGTGCCTGCTTCCATACATCTAGTCCACAATCATACTGATGGTCTTGCTGTCCATCCGCATCTGCACCTGCACCTGTCCGTGTCCATTGATATATCGATTGGTATCAATCCAAGGGCGACTTTTGAGTTTTATACTTCATACATCCCACTAGGACGCTAATACACGACGCAGACACATACGGGCCGCGACATCGGGCAGTTTTAGCACCGTTCGAATTCGGGTCGGCACCACCTAATTCGTCGTCCCGACTCCTGACGTCTCAGAACGGGGACTGGACGAGTTAGCTTAAGACAGTCTTCCAAAGGCATCGCATTGCATATTGGGAGTAGTATACTTACAGGTCCAGTACCCTGTGGATGGCCGATGGTCGATGTTCAGAGGCAGACCAGACCAGACACAACCAGACTCCGGGAGCGTTAACGTTTGTGGCCGTAGTAGCTCATTGGACAGGATAGGGATGATGGTCATGTTCCAACGGTTGCTGCTCTAAAATCCGATCCTTCGAAGCCGTATCATATCGTATCATATCGAATCGTATCGCATCCTGTATGTATTTCCAAATACTTCTTTCTTTCTCCTATTTCCCCGATATTTCGAATTCACGCACATGCACAGCGCTAGTACCATTACGGGACGGGATATCATCGATTCGAATTGGATCCAACATTAATCAACATCTCTCGACTTCACACACTCTCTCGACTTCCCCTATCAATCGCAACCTCCCTAAGCTCTCCTTGTCTCGACCTCCGAGGGCGCTTTCTGCAGACGAACCGCAGTTATTATATCGATCGATACGATATTTCCGATTGATATCTTCCGGCTGGCTTTGCTTGGTTGTTTGTTGAGAACTTCTCGAACGTCACTAAGAAGCTAATTTAATTTACGACGACGACCCACTTCCCATCTCCTACATACGATCTATTACTCCCTACTCCACCACCACCACCACTACCACGACGATTACCATCTCTTCCCACCACCCCGATATTGCAGATACTAAACTAATTAGTACTGGAAGGGCCATGCCTGTTCGCTGCTGCTGCTGCTTGGATTCTTTGTAGAATATTCCATTAATTGGTTTTTCTTTTTCTTTTCTTTTTCTTCTCATTTTCCCGTTTTTAATAACCTTTCTTTCCTTTTTTTTTCTTCCCTGATTAGCGTCTGTACCGTCGAATCTGTTCCATTCTGTCTGTCTGGTTGGCTGTGCTTAATTACGTTCATCGACAGCGGCGGTGTTTCGACGAAAACACACACACAAACACCGCATCCACACCACACCCTCCCATACAAACCACCCGTCGAAGACGACGACGACGACGACTACGACGACGGCTACCTCCCAATCACTCGCCATGCCGTGGACTCCTCTTCCAAAGATAGCTTTTGCTCAGGTCACGCATCCTTACGAAGCCATTGACAAGTCTCATGACCTCTACCTCCAAGTCGGCGACGAAGTCTATATCTTCGAATCTTGCAACAATGGCGAGTGGTTTCGTGGTTACCTGGTCGCAGCACCCAGTCTGCTCTCCGGCCTGACTAGTAGGAAAGGTCAGACTCTCGAAGCAAGAGTTTTTTCGGGTGTTTTCCCTAGTTCGTGTGTCAAGATCCTGGAGTTTGTTGGGGAGGCCATACCCCAAGCTATCGAGGATAGCGACGACGAGTACGACGACGAGGAAGAAGAAACAGAGGAATCCGAAGACTACGACCAAACCGATACTGCCGAGGAGGAAGATTCCGCCGAGGAAATTGCGATACACCTGGAAGGTGGGAAAAACCACATTACCGTTAACGCGCAGATAGGACCTGGCGATGATGCGAAATCCATCAGCGAGTTCTCTTCTTCACATATCGACGGCCAGACTGAGTCTGATATGCGACATTTCAACGATGATGTCGATGGCGATACAGAAACCGAAGCTTCTTACTCCGTTCGGGGTGCCGGACTTCACCCTCCCGCCCATCATAGATCTGCTGGCAAGGTCAACGGGTTTAAGCCTCGGCATGGTGGTGGTGGTCGGAGAGGTAAAGCTGTCGTGAAATCGAAACCTCCTAGGAGACGAAGCAAGCTTCCTGCGCCGGTGCCAATGCTTAAAATTGGAGACGAAACTGCGACCATGGCCGGCGAGCCATTGGTGGATGAAATTGCTTCTTGTCTGAGAGAATGGCATTCCTCTAGCTTTCACGAACTTCTCCTATCGCGGGATTATACTACCGTCAGCAACTTATCGACACTCATCGGTCAGCTTGATATAGTACGACGGCAGCTTACACATCGAGTGTTAACGGCGACAGAATTAGCTGTTACCCGTGAGAAGACGGTATGGGACATGGTCAAGGGTAACAAGATGCTGAATCGTGAAATCATCGTCCGAGACCCCGCGACTGGTAGTATTCTCACAGGCCTAGATTCTGCGATCTCTGTCACATCACTCCAAGCCCAGATGGCTCTTTTGGATGCGCCTCCGGTAGAGAAAGCTGAAGGTGTCACTATTCATCACATATATCTCGATATGAAGGCCTTTGCAGGAGTATCCTCAGACCCAACCGTTTTAATGTTCTACCTCGCCACCCGACAGCAGAGAATCAGCGAAAACTATATCGTAGAGCTGACCCAGCAAGGCGTTCCTGTCGATCCCAGCCAGCTTCACAAAATGCAGACTCTATTCACCGATATATCTGCTAAAGATATCGCTGATGAAGTTTACCTCGTCGCTCGCGTTTACTCATCGTCGACACATTACGTTACATCGCCAGCGGTATCTCGAGATGGGAATTATGGAACCATGAAGAATGGCTACAACACAGTTGGCAAAACACCCACCGGCCCCAATGATAAGCCTACTCGTTTTAGCACCATGTTCGCGAACCAGAAACCGGGTGCTGGGTCACCGAATGCGAAACAACCGTCGAACGGATCACCTCAGCTTCACACTATGCAAGATAACAAAAGCACGCCGTTAATATTAGAGCACGGCGGCAAGAAGTTCATCATGAACGTGAGCTTGGGTGTTGGTGTTTTGGACGTCACACGGTTCCTGCTAGCGCCGGATGTAGCTACAGAGCATGTCATGAGGATATTTGTCCCCACGGCTAAGGAGCTGCACGACCATCATCAGTTCGGCACGATCAAGGGCTTCCAGGCTAGTAATCAGAAGATCTTGGACTGGGACGGTTTGGTTAGGGATATCATCGAAAGTAGAACCGATCGATTGTGAGTACTATTCCCTCGCCTTTTGTTAATATAAAGCTAATCGGGCATACAGTGAATCATCCCCCAAAGCAGACCGCATTGTTGTCAACCTACGCTCCTTCATTTCTCCGGATCCAGATATCCTCATCAAATCCCTCCCTACGCTTTTACAAGACATCACCGTTTCTCAGAAAATAGGCTTCTCCGGCGCTCCCATAAAACCTCGCTCAGATATCTACATCACTATAAAATTCCCGATAATACCCCGCCATGGAGTTCTAGTTCATCCTAAAACGGGATCATTCCCTTTCCCGAACATAAAAACATTACAGGTCGCGCTTGAGGTGCGGACCCAGGATGGGGCTGTGGTCAGCGACTGTATCTCACCAGCATCGAATCAACCATGTGTTACTACTTGGGTCTCTTGTTTGGCGCACGCTCACGAAGCATGGAACGAAACTGTCAAGTTGGTAATCCCGGATAGCTTGGTAAAGGAGTCGCATCTTTTCATACGATTATCAGCTTCGCCTTCTGAATCCGGAGGGCTTCCGTTTGCTCTTGCTTGGATGCCGTTATGGAATAGTTTGACATTTATGACAGATGGAGAACACAGTCCCGTATTCTACAAGTACGATGAACTTACTTCACAGCCTTTATCGCAACCTGGGAGCGAATATGGAGGCTACCTGAGCTACCGATGGGATAATGGTACCAATGCGACCAATTTTTCGATGATTCGGATTAACTCTTATCTCTGCAGTACACGATTTTCACAAGATGAAACGTTGCTTAGCCTTCTACATTGGAAAAATAACAAATCTGAAGATGAACTTATTGCGGTGCTTCGGAAGTTTGTGTATATTCCTGAGATTGAGATTGTTAAACTGCTGAGGCGGGTTTTCGATTCATTATTTGGGTTGCTAGTCGAGAGAGCCGGACGGGACGAATTTGAGGACCTGGTCTTTGCGGCGTTAGTAACTGTGTTGAATATTGTCTACGACAGACGGTTCAATCTCGAACCTATTGTTGACGATTACGCTTCCAATCACTTCGGGTATCCATTTGCAACCTTGTGTTTGATTAGAGGATTCTCGAGACTTTTATCAAACCCGACGGACGCGGAGACAAGCAAACGGCTCCGAGCTACCTTCAAAGTTGCGCGACATGTATTCCGGTTCATTAGTATCGCCAGGACGCAGCAGCAGGCAAAGGAAGCAGCGATCGGCATTACGAACTCTGGACTTTTCGGCAAGGATATTAAGGGTATTTTCAAGATGCTAGAAGCGTTGATGGAGAATCCGGCGCCGATACTGATTGGAAGTCAAACACTTGCTGTACAACATTTCCATACTTGGCTACCGGAGCTGACGGAGATGCTCTCTCCCTCGGAGATTCTACATATCGCCATCGATTTTGTGGATAGCTGTGGTGGAGTTAAGGGGAAACTAGTGCTTTATAAACTTGTTTTAATTATTAATTTTAGCAAGTTGGCACAGTTTGCGCACCCAGAAGCACGCAGGGCGATCGCGGTAAACACTGTTAGGTGGTTGGATCCTTGTTGGGGAATTACGGACGACGTGAGCGGACAATATCGGGATCAAGTACGACTTTGCTGTTCGGTGTTGAGCACGCAGATCGACGATTTAAGTGAGGAGATTGCGGACTATGTGCCCAAGCTCATTGAATCATATTTGGCCATTCGAAGCTCCGGAGTGAGGGAGCGGGAGACGTTTAGCTTGTTGTTCCCGAAGAGTTATCCTTTTCCTAGCAGGAGTATACCCGGTCGGCCCATGTTCGACGAAGCGTTGCTAGAGTTAAGTGCCGTTCTTGCTGCTGTGACTATGCGACCTAGCGGATTGCTTGATCTGGCGGAGGAAGAGATGGCGATATCTTTGGCGAATACACTTGCGGTGCATAACAGTATATTGAGCGGAGAAGCGTTCCCGAGGAGTTGGCTGAGTGTGCATGTGTATCATCATCGGTGGACGGTGTTACATTTGAAGGCGATATCGAACGTTCTTATCGAGAGCTTTTTGCCGGATCCCGATGACGCCGAGAAATTTAATATGGAGCTTTGGTTAGCGTTCTTCGAGACACTATTAAAGCTTGTTAGCTCAGATGCGTTGACTTTGGAGACGTTCCCGGAGCAGAAGAGAAGAACAGTGTGGAAGGTCGCTGGTGATGTGAGAGAGCATGGTGCAGAGTTGTTGAGGAGGACGTGGGAGGCGATCGGATGGGAGACTACACCGGACGAACGGGCCAAGTTTGGATTGGAGAGGGTTGGAGGCTACCAAGTCCAGTATGTACCCGGTTTGGTGGGCCCGATCGTGGAGCTTTGCCTCGGAGCACATGAAGGATTGAGAAAGATGGCTGTAGAGGTTATGCAGAGTATGGTGATTAGTGAGTGGACTCTAAGTCAGAATTTAGTGGCAGTTCAAGCAGAGATTATTGATGTGAGTTCGCTTTGAGGATATATACTTGCTAGGATGTGCAGGATTAACCAATGAGTATAGGCTCTCGACCGACTGTTCAAATCGAAGCGGGTTACGGAGACACTAGTGCAAAAGCAGTTCTTGTCGGATCTATCTTTCTTGTTTGAACCACTATCAAAGGACCCGGAAGATCCACTCTTTCAGGCAATTCAAGAGCTCCTCGTGACGGTTAATGTTTTCCTGGACCTCTTATCTGCGGTCCATGCGGCGCCTCTTGGAGAAGCTTCGGATATCATTAATACACTGAGGTTGATGGAATTCTTGAAGGATATGCAGAAAGAGGAGCTTTTCATCAAATACGTTCATCAGCTAGTCGATACTCAAGTAAAGGCCAGAAATCCTGTTGAGGCCGGATTGAGTCTGCAGTTCCATAGCGATCTGTACACTTGGGATACGGACGCTCTCCTACCACCCATCATTGTTAACGACCGAGTGCGCTTTGGCGAAGAAACAATGTTCGAACGGAAAGAAGGATTATCATTAAAGATGATAAGCTTCTTCGAAGAAGGGCGGAGTTGGGATTCTGCGATTGATGTCTACCAAGAGTTATCGAAGCAGTACGAGCATGTTGTATTTGACTTTGGCAAGCTGGCCAAAGCACACCGGGCGATTGCGAGACTGCAGGAGAATATTTTGAGAGGAGATCGGTATTCTGTTCGGCATTTCTTAGTGATTTACCATGGAATGGGATTTCCTGTTGGGCTCAGAGAACGGTCGCTTGTGGTTCAAGGTAATAATTTTGAAGGCAAAGTAGAGTTTGAAGAGAGAATGAAACAGGCTTGGCCGACGGCGGTGTTGTTGGGCGATGGTGAGGGGCCAACATCGGTTGAAGGACAATTCATGAGCATTCAAGAGGTCACACCGATGATTGATAGTGGCCATCCAATCAACCTGAGAACAAGAGTTCCATCGCACGTCAAAGACTTTTTACAGACAAGCCGACCGCATACTTTTGCCGAGGTGAGGGAGCGGAGCGTTGAGGACGCGGTGAACGGGTGGAATGGTGATGTGGACGCGCAAATGGAGAAGGTGGTTTACGTCTGTGAAGATCAGTTCCCGACGATATTGAAGAGGAGCGAGGTCTCGAGTACTAGCAAGGTTTACGCTGGTATTGTGCAGGTATCGGCGGAAGATATCGTTAGGCGGACGAAAGAGATTGTAGGGCTAGAGTGGAGAGTTGGAAATGAAGAGTGGGGTGGGCAGGGTAGAGAGATGGTCGTTAGAGATTTCACCGCAATTCTGGCGAAGGCGATGGAAGGGGCTGTTGGTAGATGTAAGAGGGTTTTGGAGGTTGAGCAGAGGAAGATTATGGAGGGTATCGAAGGCAGAGAGGACACGAAGAAAATTGAGGCTTTGAGGGTTGCGGTTTTGGACCATGTTGGGGTTTTGAAGAGGTGCCTGAGCCTGCACGGAAAGGTTGTAGGAAGTGGAGGGACTCATGAGACTTTAATGAGAGGTATGTTTGGCGATTTCATGACTTACGTTTCTATGTGAATATTTTGCTAACGGGTGGAATGGGTTTAGCTTTCGAACGTAACTTTGAATCAGAGCTCAAAATTCTGACCCCACTCCCAGGACTTGACAACATGGGCATGCTATCTCCTCCTCCAACAACTACAAACCGCGAGCCGATGTTTTCACCAATGTCGGATGCCCCACCCCTGACTATTACTTCGTCGATGATTCAACAAGCGCCATCAGCACCGGATCTCCATCGCACGATGTCAATTGGTACACACAAGGAGCCATCGCTACACTCCGCCCCGGAGACTCGGGAGCACTCCAAACGCGAACGACTAAGTCTGATATTCTCGGGCAAGTCACAAGACAATCTGAGTAACCACCACCACCATGAATCGAAAGACTCACAAAGCGGGTTCTCGGCCGTACAAAGGAGCAACGAGAAGGAACGAGTCCCGTTTAACGTCCGCCACGAGAGGAGTAGAAGTCGTTCGAAGGGACGGGCAGGGTCTGTTGGTAGTGGTAGACGGCCTAGTACTACAAGTTCTGCCGGAGCGCAAAAGGTTGCTAATACCCACGCTTCCGGGTCTGGGTCCGGTGGGGAAGGGAAAAAGGACAATGTTGTGGATCGAATGAATAGCACAGTCCGTAGGCGATTGAGCACCTTGGGGATTGGAAGGAAGGGAAGCAAGACTAATGTTAAAGAGAGAAGCCAGAGTCATGCGGGGATAATTGAAGAGTGAAGGACGGTGATCGTGACATTGGTTTCAACGCAAGACTGCCGTGTGGTATTTTTGCGATTCCTTGAGTTTTAGTTCTGGTTTCTTAAGGTTGATATCTTCGGGTTGTTATGATATCCTCGTCTTTTTTTTATACTTCTTTCTGTTTATTTTTCTTGCTTCTTTTCTTTCAAATAAAAGATATGGTTTGGTTTTTTGTATATTTTTTTTTGTGGTATTTCTTTCTTTCTTGTTTCTCTTTCGTTCAGCGGTTTGTGGCACTCCCTCCTTAAGTCTTTCTTTTTGTTACAGCTGTGTCTGCGCCCCCTACCGTTGAACCTGTTGGTTTCGTTTCATTTGTTATAACAAAATATACCATCACTAGCTGGACGTCCTTTTTTTCTTCTTCAGCCTTCTATTTTTCTGGCTAATTCCCTTTCTCTTAATCTTCTCCTCTTCTTCTTTGTCCTAATTTATCTATACTCCCCTTGTAAAACCTTTTGGTTGTCGTCGTTTAGCCTGCGGTTGTTTTATTTTCCTTATCTATATTTATCTTTCTTTGGTCTCTTTGGTCTCTTTGGTCGTCAGTCTTTATATAGTTGGTAGGCTTTTATAATGAAGATTCCTTCTCCCTCCTCATGACTCGTAGCGCTACCTTCTGTCGTGAGCTCAATATTGCAATGTCAAATGCAATAACACTTATTTTCAGCCCCTATCTCCGATCAGGATCGATATATTATACAAGTAAACGGTATTAATATTACTATAGTGCCATTAGATGGTTAAGGTCGCATGGATAGCGGTTGCCTTATGATGAAATACTAGTCCACTCTACCCTTCGGGTATACTCATGGACGATGTATTGAGGCCTCTAACCACTCTACGAGACTAAATATCCCTTTATAGCTCTAGCCACTTCTGTGTCGAGGCCTGGGATATCGAGGTGCTAGGAGTATACTAGTCTGTAGCATACATGCATTTCGAAACGTATTTGCACTAAGAGTAGCTTTGTTAAGGGATTATATTAGCTCGAACGTAAGGACTACATCAATAGTAGAACTGACATGGTCTTTGAGCTGAAACAACTACCATATTTCACATACAATATGAATAAGTATCCGTAGCGAATCGCTCATGCTATTGACCAGGGCTTGAAGAGATCGAATTGATAAGATATCTCGAGGAGGATAAATCCATAGAATGGATATCATGTTTACTACGGAGGTCTTATATGAGACTCAGAACTGGATGAGGGGTATGTCAAAGTCAGTGTTTCTCTGGTGAAGGTTTAGGCTCCCCTTTCTTGACATCACTTTTGCTGAGAGTGGTAGCTATATGGACTACACATGAGCTTGATATCTCCTCTTCCTCACTCCTTCTACCCTAACATCACCATTTTGTCTGAGAAACTTCAATTATCACTCTTGAGATATTCATCTCCATACCCACTCACTTTCGCTGTTTTCTAACTTACTAATTCACAATGTCAGAGCCAAAGAGAGACCCGTTCGAATGTTTGAATCCGTTCCGTAAGAGTCAGAAGAAAAGCACAGGTAAGTGCGTCTACGACGCGTCGTCTTTGATATATGAAACAAATTCATGTATTTAAACAACCTAAACCATCTCCCCACCAAAGCCACCATCGTATATACTCTACCAACTTTAAGTATATCCTTCTTACCTCTTATTCAATCCATAGATACCATCTGTTCAACAGGAAAAGGCTCAGTCGGCGCTGTAGTTTCTGTCTCTACAATGTCATCATCAAAAAAACCAGGTGGACTACCTGAACAAGCTACCACAACCCCTCGATCTACGAAGCAACAACTCCAATCGGGGAACAAACCACCAAAGTCTCCACTAGGCCACCAGCCTGATTACACGCCATGGACTAAACGAAAGGGTGGAGAAGAGTCACCACTATTTAGAAAGTCCTTGATTGGACTTCGCCCTTATAGTCCTACCCCTACTGGAGGGGTCCCCGAGGATATGAAGATTCCCCATGGATTGGAGAATCCAGTTACGAAGAAAGAGAAGGGACCAGATGGATTGAAAGAAGAAGAGACCAAGAACGTTGGTACACATGAAGAGAACAACGATGAGGCTTTGACGGATGATGAGGATAAAGATTGGGAAGATGAAGATGGTGGGAATGGGCACTATGAACCGAGGTAGAATCCAAGGAAAAAATCGAGATGTTTGATTCCTTTTATCAAGCTAGATAGCTGACTATAATTATATCGATCTTTTAGTCCTGAGGTCCTTGCTACACCAATCATTCGTCTTGTTTTGGACCACACAGATTCATCCAACCACGACGAAAAGGTCACGTTCCACGTCCACAAAGGACTTCTCAAGAAATCATCCTTCCTTTGGGCTTGTCTCAGTCCCCATACCGAAGAACTTATTCTTGATGATAGACTCAAACCATACGCCGTCGATACTATCATTCAATTTCTTTACACTCATGAAATTGATTATCGACATCAATTCGGTACTGTCGAGGATGCAGAAAAAGATTTTGACAAAATTACTACGATCGAATGGACCTGCTGCTACCTTGGTGTTCCAGCTTGTCGCGATAAGGCTTTTCAAAAGATCGAGACTGCTTATAGGGTCTTCGAGTTTGGGTATAACCAAGGCGCTGTTCAGATGAGGATCAAGATGACTACGTGGATCTATGGACTCGATGAGGGATATGTTGAGGCGGGTGGATGGGTTCATCGAATGCGTAGAAGGGTTTTGGCTGGCTGGTGCCGTGATAGTATGAACCCTCCCTGTTTTTACTTGAAAATCTGGCTTGTCTAACATGTGAATTTATCATGCAGTTTCCTTGATTCGAAACGATCAGAAGCTTCTCGAAACATTCGAAAATACTCTCTCAGAGTATCCTTCGTTCGCCTTCGATCTTGAAGAGTTTCTTACCGAACGTGCCAGAGAGGAACCAAAGATGGAGAGTAGACTCGAGGTCTTCAAAAAAGCCGAAAAGGCTGGAATGGAAAGATTCGAGAGACGACGTGCTTTCATGTTCCCAGGAACTCTCTCCCATCCGAGTAAACTTCAACTTCCGTTTCTTCGACCGAAGAAAGCTACCACACAATTGCCTGCATTTCCTTCCGGCCAACTACAAACTGCTCATACTATCAACCCTTTCGCTTTATCGGCTGATGCTCCGAGCTTTGTACCGGGTGGCTCAAAAGGATTTGATGGTGATGCCTCTGGGCTCAAGACTCCCACCCATACGCGACCAGTTGATAGTGTCACGCCTAGCAAGTCTGATCTTGAGCCGAAACCCGAGGGGCCTCCATTGAGGAAGCGAGCCTCGAGAATTGGTAACCTCGACCAAGTTATTAAGTTCCTCGGTTCGCAGTCGGTACGAAAGTAATTACTTTCACCCTGATAATCTTTTACCATTTCCAGGTGCTCCCTGTACTTTTCTTTTTCTTTTCTTTTTTTTACTTGCTACTTATGGATGGCGAGGTTCGGGATGAATGAACAGATGGATGAATGAACACGCGACAGACACGTTTAATATGAAAGGGTATGTGGGGACTTTCTACTGCAGTGAAATGGAAGTGAATTTATCTTAGCGCATCGGCCGGTGTTATGGAATTCGGGTTTATTTTGTACTATAACTTTCTATGCGCCGGGGTTGCTATTGACCTCCCAGCACATGCTAGCTTTCAAGACTCGATAATGTTAAAAGCAATGCAAGAAAAATTCGAAATTTACCTCCCATCTACCTTCTAGAGTCCTCCAATATATCCCACGCTACCAAAAAGCAATATGAAACAATAAAATGACTATTTACATGTCGAGTCTTCGAATATATAGCTTGAAATCAGCTTATGCCTTCCCGGCAGCGGCATCCCTCTTTTCTTGGAGCCTTCGGATATGGCTGTTGATAAATTGACCTGACAAAACCTTTGTTGGCACATATCGAGCCCCCTGTATCTCCCCCAAGCAGTTGTCACTCCCACATTCACACTTAAATGCCTGCGCCATATCCCACTCGGTACTTAAATAATTGAAGGTGATAGGCTCCCCTTCCTGGATGTTCCTTACAGTCCTGACCTCTCCCTTATCGGTATCAAAAACAACATTGGGATTACAGGAATGGTTCGCATAGAGCAGGTCCGAGTTTAATTCGATATGGTCCGTTTCGGAGACTTGAACGGAGCTGTACGCTTTTTCGGAAGCTGGGGTTGCAGCAGAGAAGTCGGCAACCACGGTATTTGCAGAAACGGGGTTTGAAGCCGAGGCATATTTAGAAAAGGAACCTTCTTTATAGGTTTTAATTGTGATGAAGTTTGGGTGCGAAGGTTGGGCCCAGTGGGGGACTTGTTCGACAGTCATCCTTTCTTCTTCTTTTAATGTTTCTTTGCTTTTATTGCGTTGTTTTTGTGGGATAGCGGATTAGGAAGTTGGATGGATTGGGCCGATCTGTACTGTGTGCCTGAGCGACCAGGTCTAGGTCTAGGTATATATGTACGAGACAAGAGTCTTTGAAGCTATTTGGCGTGCGTGGCGATACCGTTGGGATATAGAGTTCAATCGACTGTATTTAAGATCGATGTCTTTCTTAAGCTTAAGGAAGGAGGAGGAGATTTTCCGTCCGATACCCAGGTTAGAAGAGCTAGTTCTTATATAAACTTCTAAGAGCCGCTCTAACCAACTAATCATTCATGCGCGTGCCTCTCCGCCGTAGTTAGTGTCCCTTTCTTCCCCACGTCATGGCATTTGGCATTTGGCATTGGCGGCCCTTTTTTTTTTTCTTCAGGAACGGAATTTTCTTTTCCTTCTGTCTTGCGCCCCGGTCCGGCTAGTTCTTCCTTGATCATGGATTAACATGACCCTCACTCGCTTTCGTTTTCCACAAAACCTCGGTTATGAGGGGCCGAACGAAGGGACGCTAGTTATGCTTTCGATGGATGCGGTTGAGTTAGCGGGTAACCAGCTGTACCAGTTAATATGCATGTAGGGCAATCCTTCACTCTTTTTTGTTTTTTGCGTGTTTCTTCGGTAGATGAGATGAGCTCTTCATCGTTCCCCATTCTTATGCCTTTTTTTTTTTTTTTTTTTTTTTTGAAATCCCTAGCTTTCGTCATATGTTAAAAAGAGAACAACCGGTGCGCCGGGTGTGGGGAAATCCGAAGAAACGCAATTGGCATTACTCCGTACCCTCTGTCAGTTTTTTTAGTCATTTTTTTAGCGCCCCGCCGCCGCCGCGGATTTTGCATTGGCCTTTGAAAGCATATGTCAGGTGGGTGACGATGGCGTGTTTTGCATTAAGAACCACCACCATCACTAAACCCCCTGTACTCCAGATTCGCGGACAGACGGATATCTGGACGTGAGGTGAGAGTGGAGGGGTTAAGGGAAAATAGGAGTTATATGTGGGGTGGGTTTATCCTTTGCATGTCACTTTTTTCCATCTTCCCGCTGAACTCGATTCGATTCGACTTGGGTGCGCCCATGCAGGACTGACGACGTCAGGGCGTACGTTACTGATTGTGGAGCTAAAAGCTTAAAATATTATTTGATCAATTGACAACGCGGCTTATTATATTTCTTTTTCTTTTTTATTCCTTTGGGCGCAGGGTTTTATTTCTTAATTAATTTTCGAAAAGTGGGGCGCGTGTCGGAGATGCATATGACGAGCCTAGGTACGAGGGACTCGGAGATTCGGCGGTGGAGGGTTTGAGAACCTGAGATCATGTTATCTCGTTGTATTCTTTTTCTTCTCTTTTGCGGTAAGAGGGAAAAATGGAAACCGATAGCGATTCGTCGATTCCTGGAATGTAAAACGCAAGAGCGGGTCGGCACGACGTCGTTTTACACCCATTTATTGTATGGCTAGGCTGCAGAGTGCATATATCGCTCATGTGTCTTTATACTCGATGCTCATTTGCATGCTCATTTGCATCTGCATATATATGGTATCGGCAGCGCACAGCGTGCATGCCGGCTTGTTCGAGGTATATCCCCCATTGGATTGCGTATTTGGAGGGGGCAGTCAATCAATCAATGAAAGCCTTGAAGTATTTCGAAATATTCTGATTTGCAATGCAATTGGGCTGTAATATTCAGGCAAGGTGTTTCTTGTACAGTTTGTATTGCATTGCATTGGAATGTCTGGGTGATATCAGCCTCGAATCCAGGGTGACATGTATCTTGTCGATTGCATTGCATTGATTGAGTAACAACATGCATTGTTATCGATCGCGATCGAGGTGGGCGGGCCTTCCAAGCTGTGGGATTCATTTTGAGATGTGGGAACGGAGACAACGCAAATGTTGCGAAATACCACATTTGCATGTGTTTCAATGTTCTAGCTAGTACCGTGACGGCTTGTTATCTATGAAAGCTTTCGCCTGTCAATGAAGTTTTAATTTTGGGAATTGAATATGGTTCTTATGTTAAAACTTGCAGTAAAGTATATGAATGATGGGGATGATTTGTCAGGTGGTGTTCGGAGAATATTGTTGAGGGTAGACGGTGGAGGTATTAGCAGTCTTTTGTCCCTTACATAACATAACCTGATTCTCTAGATCTAGAGCAGACTGTAGAAGAGATTGTTCCAAAGCTTAAGAATTGTCCAGTCTGTGAGTTCTCACTGCAGTGTGCATATGCATATAGAATACGATGTGATTGCGAGTTTCCTCTATAAAGCTAGCTTTGCTGTAGATATATTGACTTGAGGGATTCCAGGTTTGTTTGCGTCTGCATGCATGATCTTCCAAGCGTTAGGCAAGTAATTGGATGCATTTATTTTAGATCTATAGAAATGATGATATTTTTTCGGTGTGTATCTATCGTCGCCGTCTGCAGATTGTGACTGGTATTAGACTAGGCCAATACGGTTTCGCCCTACGTACTCTCTCCCACATCTCTTTCAAAAGAGATGTGCCCCGATAAGGGCTTCATGAATACTCGAAACTGCATCTAAGCTTCTTTATCTCCGTGATTAATATGATAAGGTGATGACAAATGCATTGTAGCCAGTCTGTACTTCTAGGACGATATTACTTCTAGCTGAGAGCTTATAGCGAGCTAACTCTAATCGGAGTCATGCAAGCTCTCCCAGTTAACATATCTAATCGATGAACAAAATACCCATGTCGATACCCCGCTATGTAAGCGGTTGTGGGTTCTTATGTCCCTAATACCCAAAAGCCACGCTCATGCGTAGCTACATAATACCATTACGTGTACACCTCAATATTCCTTGATTTATAACTCGCAGCTGTGGAGAATCGAGCTTACGAGCCGTCTCTCTGTTTCAACTGCCTCCTGATCAAGGAAGTTGATTAAGGAAGTTAGAGAGCCCACTTTGTAACGCATCTTCTTAGACACGGCAGTGAACATTTCGATTCTCTTTGAACCTCCCGGGTTCTTACCCGGAGCCCCTTGCCGTTATTATCAAAAATCTTTCACTCTCTTAGCTGAGGCATCGCCGGTACCCATCGCGTTGAATCCGTTAGAAAGATAGTAGTCTAATTTCGACTTAAGTGCTTTGGAAATATATGTACCTGTGAGATTCATACCTCTCAGGAACTTTGGCTAGTCGTTTTAGAAGTAGCTTGTATCCGGTCACCGTTTCGAAGTTCTCGACCAGGAAATCCATATTTCTAGGCACCAATTACTACCCACACGGTGTTATCATATTGGCAACATTGGGGGGTTCGCTGTAAAGTTGCTCGCAACCTTAAGTCTGGAAAAGTACTTGCCGGATTTAATATTTTTGCGACCGTCCGAGCTCCCCTGTACACACGCAGGTGGTAATTATACCTTTTGTCAAAATTTCTAAGCACATTGTAGTATGTAGCACCATATCGATTCGTGAATAGCTAGTATCGACTATAGTATACACCATTTGTCTTTCCAAACTAGACTAAACACTTAACATTACTAACCAACAAATCGAGAGAGAAAAACCAACCGACTAAAAGATCACATTTATAAAACGCTTGTAAGGCGATTTATATGACCTGTCAGCCCTGATGACATAAATCCACCTTGTCAGGAACATAGGAACAAATTGCCTCTTTCCTATTCTGTGCGGCGGCCCGGGAACTCAAATGCGGCATAAAGTACTGCCTGCAAGTCATTTTTCTTTCTATTCAAAGGTCGATAACCAGCGAATTACTCCTCTCTGCATAAATTTCCTTATCCAACCTGCATACAAAACGACCCGAAGCCCCCACTCTGACAAAGCCAGCCCAAAAAGGGACAGGACACGAAACAACACCACAACACCAAAACAGCCACAAAGTTAAGAAGCTTTTGTAGGGTTAGATGCAGCTGAGGGAGCTACTGAGCCTAGCGAGCAGCTCGAACCGCCTAGCTTATCTGGTGCTTGGTGAATCCTTCGGGGCTCTCAAAGGGGGTTATATCGGGAGCATTTGTAGAAAACTAGTGAATTATTGAAAACTATTATTAGGAGAAGAAGTGGAAAACCTTTTGATTTTGGCATGCATATCAACGTCGGCGCGGGGAAGTCGAACTGGAAAAACGACATGATCGACGTCTACCCTCTCGTCTGAAGAGAATGGAACGAGTATCAGCAGGTATCAGGGGTAATAAGAGGGCGGTAGGGTCTAGTCATGCGGTGTTCTTTGAAATTCGAGGCAGATGTGTAAATATTTCTTTCAATTTGACACCCGCCCCTGGGGGGTACTGGGTGTCTACACATCCCTCAGCGGATGATCCTGATCCTGATGATGATTGCGTGGAAGGTCGATCCATGGTCTCCAACTAGTGAGTTAGTTAGCCAAACTTGTTGGTCCGGCCGATGGGATATCTCGGTTCCGAAGGTTCGTCGACGAGGCAAGAGGATCCCCGTCGACCAACAGGCTATAACATCCCCACTTTCGTCCATCTGAGTGCGGGATGGAGAGGTATTCCTGGCAGTGTAATGTCATCGAGGTGGCCAATGGTACCACTGTGATCAATCGTTAGCGCCCCATCCCCCTCCTGTTTCGTCAAGCCATGTCCATGTACCATGGCGATATCGATGCAGTCTACAGGATTTTCGGAGTTTGTGAGCCGTGTATTCACCGATGGTCAGTCGGCCTCATGACCAGGATCCTGATCAATGTAAACTGAGACCTTTTGGGACTTGAAACAGCTATACGGGCGACATAAATATAACAAGACGACATGTTTACACAGCTAAGTTATAATTGTTATACTACTACAGCCGCGGTGCTAGCCTTCAGGTAGCGCTGAATATGTCAACTGATCATGATATCTAAAAGATGGAGCGGCAGGATATGCAACTTCTCGAACCATAACTATTTCCGGCAGATATATTTGATGCATCATGCATGCATCTTGTTATTTCGCAGACACGGCATATTGCATTTCTAACAGGGTGTTCCTTGAAAATATTTATCCACGAAAGCAACTTTGAAACTCGGAAAGGGTTGCACCGTTGATAGACGTACAAAATCGACTTTCCTTCAACAAACTATTGTATGTATGTTTAAACGTTTTTCGTATCGATATCGAATACCTAGTCACTTTCCCTTGAGCCCTACTTTAGTTGATTCAAGTTTTTTGGCCTAACGACTTGGATTAAAACCCCGTTTTCTTTCTTCAACCTCCAAAACCAAGCATGGACTAGCTAACCGCAAGAGAAGCCTACCAAATGCCTACGCTAGAAGGACATGACACTTTCCGAGCTTCCTAAAAGCGCTTAAACTTCACAACTTCTGCATCTTTGGCCCACTGGTAACAAACTACATCTCTTGAAACGTTAATATATAGAAAGTTCATCGAGCCGTTGGGTGGATCTAGATGAATTTGTACAACAGGGGATATTTCCGGCCTTCCGTGCACATTGACGATATGGAGAAGGTATACGCAAGTTTCAACGTTTTGTGAATGTTTTTTCTTCACATGTGAGCTTCTTCTATTCCGTATGTATATGTGGGGCTCTTACAAAGTCGAAGGCAATCGTGATATTGGGGGTTAGGACGTATGACTCCCTGTGGTTTCATCAGGCCGCCAATTCTTACCTTGTTTGAAAGGTACGGAGAATGGTTGAATAACTTGCTTAGTTTCTAGCTTGAGTTCAAGGCATCTAGTGCGACTTACGAGTAAAATGATTTCGAAAGGTCAAGTTGGCCACACATCCACCCTACGAACTGCTGACCTTCCACACCAACCAGATTTCTCACAGGGCTGGGCGCATATACACCAAAACATTTTTGGAAGAGAAAAAAATTCAAGAAGAAAAAGAGACACCTTCTCAGGATATCTAAGCTTCTGCCTTGCCGCTTACCACCGGCAAGTTGTTTATTTGTGGGAAGAACTGAAAACTCTAAATGAATTCATACTGAACAAATGGTAAGTTCCGACGGTCGTTGAAAAAAAGAGAGAAGAGTAAAGTTTATTGTCCCCTCGTTCTGTCTGACTTTCCAACGAACGTGGTCAGGTAAAGGATATGAAATTGTTTCACTTAAAAACCACCGCAAGAATCACTCTCACAGTCCGTGTAGTGGCTGGTGAAGAGGCTTACTCCCAGGCATGCAGCAAGACTTATGATATTGAGAAGTCACCAGCCACATGAAACTCTGTTTATCGAGAGACAGATGGCGGGAGTTCTTTTCTCTCTCCTCCTTGATACCGAAAGTTTACACGCTTAGGTTCCATAAAAAAAGTTTTTAAAGTTTTTAGTTTTGTTGAACGGACGCGTGATATCGTGAACAGCGGGGAGATTTTGGAGGGGCGTTGGAAGAGAGGTGATGAGCAGTTTGCATAAGAGTAATTATAGAGGATGATATTGAGATTGGAAAAGATAAGTGTTAATGTCTATGTGAAGTTTTTCCTGCATACAAAAAAAATCAACTTTTTTCTTCCCTTACTCGGGTCATAGAATCATGTGCTTTATGCCTCATGCTTGTTTCGTCGTCAAAAACGGACAAAATATAGAAAATAAAACCAATGAGGTAGTAAAATAAACAAGAGGAAACAGGAACTCCCACGTGTGTGCCGGGTCTAATGCGGATTACAAGATGTCAACTGTAAAGGAAATGAAAATGCGAAAGGGAAAGAAACAAGAACGCCGAGACTGAGAACTGCGCCACCAGATGATTATGTACAATGATATTGAAAAGTTATTCACAAAGACGATAATGTCGTCTGTCTAGGAATCAAACGCCGAAGCTCGTCTCCGGGATGGTCAAAGATATTAAGGAAACATTGTCTAAGAGACGAGAGAAAAAGGAAAGATAGAAGAGAAAGGTTCGTGGAAGCCTGACCAATGGCTCTAGAAGCCTAGGCAACAGAGGTAGGGGAAACGGAGCGGCCGGAGCGAGGGGAGTTGGCTTTCTTCTCCTTGTTTATAGCTAAAGTCTCAGCTATGGTGGTCTGAGTGGAGTTTTCAAAGCTGTAGACCCTAGGCTGAGGTGGAGGAGGTGGTGGAAGTCTCCTCTGTTGGAAGAAGGCTTGTTGCTCAGGAGTAAGGCCGAAAAGAGAGAGACCAGACGGTGGGATAGCACCAAGTGTAGAAAGGACTCGACCGGCACTAAGAGGCTGTGGCAGGGTCCGCGGGTTGCTGCTCTTTTGGTCGTAGATAGATGGAGTCGAGGTCAAGGATAACGAGTGAGCATGACCATGGCCAGAGGTGGGATGGTAGTTGCTCGTAGTCGATGAAGGGACGATAGGAGTTACCAAAGATGGTTGGTACATTGACGAAGTTGAGATGGGCATATATAAACTGGGTGAAGTGAGAGCTGGCTGGCTAGGCAGCTGGTAGCCTGAATTTGCCGCTAAGGCTGGTTGCTGAAGTGACGGGAGCATGTTGTAGGAATCATGGCCTCCCGGTTGAGGAGCAGACATTGGCCTTTGCTGGACAGTAGCAAATGGCGAAGCCGGTTGACTCTGTGCATATAGAGACGGAGCATACTGAGATGGAGTATACTGAGTCTGCGGAGTGTGAGGAAGCTGAGTATACTGCTGAGGAATATACTGTCCAGCTGCACCCAAAGGCACAAGGGAAGGCAGTTGAGTCTGGCATGTGCTACCCAATAGCTCAAGGCCGTCGCTGTCGTTTGGATGAAAATTATTATATGTAGCTTTATAATCACGGCGTCTTCGACGGCGGCCACCGGTATTCACGAACCTAGGAAAGTTTGGAAAGAAAGGAATGACTGGCATAGTTAAAGATAGATCCTCTTCTAGAGAGTCTGTGTAGACGTCTTCAGAATAGTCGGTTGGATAGAAGGGAACGGCGGAAGCGGGGTATATAGGATCCAGGTTGTAGGTAGTTTTAGGAACCTGAGTATCAAGATTGGAAAGAGGAGAAAAGAAATAGGTTGGTGGGAACGCCAGTTGCTTTTGTAGAGGCAAGTCGGACACTTTCTTCTCAAGGGTATCTGCTCTTTGTGCGAAACGTTGACGAGGTTGGTCTGTGCTCTGGAAAAACTTTACTTGGTTGGTACAAAGTTCGACAATGTTTCTACTGTTTAGTGAGTGGTGAGCAGGTTTTTTTGGAAGTCCCTGAGGAACATCAAAGGCTCTATATACGTAAGAAGGTATTGATGCTCAGACTTGTGGCCATCGCGGACCAAGGCCTTGCTTGGAAGCTGCAGGGTTACCAAGGACCTGGCGGATTCCGGTGAAGCCCAAACAAGTTGCTGGTATGTAACATAGACAAGCTGTTGTGTATAACTTGCTTGAGTATAGACTGATATGCAGACAAGGCTTAACGAAATTGATGTTTGTGGTGCTTATTTCTTGTTATGCTCTTTTCTTTTTGCATCTTTCCTTTGTATCAGGAGACGTCCTTGGGGGGACTGACTACGATCAAGGGTGCAATTTTAAGTATTCCATTTGATGTGGGAGCAGAATATACCTAGTAGGAAGCCCCATCGTATAATAAATCTTTCTGTATGCCCTTTCCCCATGGCGCGCATTTCAATTGGCGTGTGTCGTGCATTCAGATTCGGGGCTGCAGCTGGGAGGTCGGGAGGCTACTGTTTGAGGTTGACCTGGGGCAGGTGGTGTTGAGTGTGTGGTGCGGCCACTCCCAAGTCCAGAACACCACAGCTCCCCACAAAACCCTGAAAAACCTTATGGCAAAACTTGCCGTAGATGAATTTTCGACGGGAAAAGGGAACGAGGCCCCTTCCCCTAGTTCCATCGCCCACAATATGAGGCCAAAAATATATTTCGTTGAATTCATTTGACTAAGGACAAGAGTCTTTCGTAATGCTATAAGAAATAGCTGTGTTTGCGGATCCATGTTTTCCGAACCGATTCGTTTGTGGTCCCACCTCAGTACTTGTCGACAGTTTCAACGCCCTGTCGAGTGGGGCCCTATCTTCTACTACACAGTAGACAGTGGTCGAGTACCACGCTGCGGCAGTTTCTCGGCCAGTAGATTCCTTCAAGTTGAACGGTTGGCTAAGGACTCCAATGCAGATCGATTGATATAATGACAGACAACATTATCGAAAGGGATTCCGACGAGTCGCATCGATCGTCAATGCAGTGCGATATCTACGTCGCAAAGTTAGTATTCTCTTTCCTTTGACCTAAATATTCGCTTTCTAGAATATCAATCTGCGGTAAACGGACAAAATTTCTGTCCCATGTTCCTCGTTAATGAAGTAGCTGCGACTCAGCCCAAGCAAAAATCGTTCCAGTTTTTGCTACGCTTAATGTGGAAGGTATCCGGTAGACGACCGTTCTGTATCGTGACCTAAGGAAATTTGGGGGCAAACATGCCCAAATTTTAGTTAAGTTTAGCCCTTCGGCTTTCGCGGCGAGGAACAAGACCTGCGGAAGGAAAATTGCCTCCAGCTCGCGCGACAGCTCGAAATCTCCACTAGTATGATATATTTCCTCACTTCAACATCATCCTTCATTTGGCCTGATCCAATATCCGGAGTCGTAATTTTCCTAAACATAGTTTTAAGAACCCTCATGTAAAGCGATAAAGCAATGAAGAAATCAACGTGTAAAAAGAGCAGGGAATAACCCAAACACAAGCGAGAGACACAACCGAACCTGGATAAACCCAGATATCGCGTCCACATAATGCCGGCACTGGGCTGTCACATTTCTTGGAAAGGATGAGATGTAGCACCATCGAAATCCTGCATTGGCAGAAACACTCTCCGTGAAGTTCCCTGGAAGATCTTAACTCCTCAAGACGACAGGATCGCAATCAGATCTGATCGATTTTAGTAATTTTCTAGAAGACTTCTCCCGCCAGCCACAGGTACCGATTTTGAAACGCGGAGCAGGGGCTCCAAATCCAACATTTCTCAACGCAATTGCCCAAAATGGCACAGAGAGGTCTCCACTTTATAGACCTGCATGCAACTCCACGTAACGCAATATGCCAACAGAAAACCTTGCCCCCTTTCGCAGTTAGGTGGTAGTTAGGATTAGTCGTACTTAGCCGTCCGCCGTCGCAGCTGCATACAAGCTCGCCTTTCCGGACGACACCCTGGTCGAGATTCCTCGCTATTATATCGCGGAAATTAGGACGTGCATCAACGTTGGTCGGCATAAATACAATGTCGAGCTCCTGGTGTCTCAACATGGTCTAGAAAGGATAACATACCCCTGCTGCCAGAAGTTTTCCAGAAGGTATCAGGAAGGAGATCCTAGTTGATCAATTGATTGCCAAACCGAAGCAGCAAAGCAAGATCCAGTATTTCCCATGACCGCATCGGTATGGGTGGATGATCTTGCTTGTATCAAGGATAGAAATATGCACATGCGCTCCGGGATGATTTCGAACTTTAGAGCTAACCTAGTGAGCCCGGAATTTCCATCCCTGAACCTTGAAAACTGATATATCTTTTGAATATTCTCTTGCATAGTAAGAGCCATGTCAGAGCTATCGATGGGGCGGTGCTATCTTCGCTTAGGGGGTTCTAGAGTCCTTCTAGAAGTTTGCCCTTTTCGATTGCTATAGATTTAGCCTTGTCCAACATGTAGCTCAATCGTGCTACGCATTGATCAGATAGACTTTCACGGCAAGGGCACACTGACTTCGATAGCGACACAAACCTTAGGCTAGTTAAGAACCAAAGAGAAGATCTCTACTCACGGATTTGAGCGCACACCTTCTGGAAATGGACATGCGTCTGACGTTTACCTCCAACAGGCTGCATGTATGAAGCATAACGGATAGGCGATGGAGGCGCAATTCAGTTGGCTCTCTATGAAGACATCGAATCGCGAGGATGACGATGTCGCATCTATTTTGGGATCTAGAAACTGAATTTCGACCTAAATAGTGGATTGTGGGAGCTTTAGTATCGTTCTAACCGGTTGTAGAAATGTTTACGTCGAGCTGAACTTGCATCAGTTAGGCTAAGTTGTGGCAGAGCACAAGTTGTTTAGTATGTACGTCCCAGGACTGAAGCTACGATAGTATGATTGCAATTGAACGAACGGAGAAACAGCGCAACGCATAATATCCAACACTCTACGTCTGAAATATTCTCGTATTACTGGAGAAGAGAAACGGTTTCTAGTTTACAAACATCATCTACCCTTTGAAAAGAATTCGATGATTTCGATGCCAAATAACTATTATCTATTTTTAGGAGGCTCTGTAAACCTTTGAGGGGTCCATGCGCAAATATACTTTAAAAGAAAAAACAGGCTTCTGCCAATACTCATAGACCTGTGTGCATTTAGAGACCTTCGAACACAATAGTAGTTCGAAAATTTATGCTTTATTATTATTTCGTAGTGCCCATACGCACATGCAACAAGCAATTGGCTACTCGGATTAATGCCAGTTATGTCAAATACTTCATGGGCAGCATAAAGCCTGGCCACCCAGCCTCACTTATTTGAATATAATACTTCTTTGCCATGATGCTGATTAATGGATGGAAGTTTCGCCCATCACAAGATTACCTGCGCAAAGAACGTTAATAATGAGACCTCGGGATCCGACTTTGACGTTCAATATTGTCGGCTCCGATGGGTCTTCGGACTTGATTAGCTCAGTTTCAGTATCTAACAGCTCCTCGTTTTTGACACCCTGTAAAGATATCTTTCTAATCGTCGATATTGTCGAAATTGTGGAGCCAGACTTGGCGATGGATGGCTTAGAGTAAATCAGAGATTGGTTTTGATAAGGCTCAGTAATATCGGAAAGAATCTGTGGGGTTTTGGAACCCGTTGTTGCTTCACCTTGCACGTTGATTTCGATGTTTCCATCAATATTGACAACATCACTTTCCATACACTGTAGTGGAAACTGCTCGAAGTGCATATCCTCATCCATTTGAAACACGAGAGAGGACGGGCTTGTCCCAAGATCTCTAGACTCATTTGTGAAATATCGTTTCAATGGTGGTTTTTTTGTTTTTACCAGTGGTGTTTTTTGTGTATCCCCGCTGCTCTGTTTTTTATTTTCGTCTTCATGTTTGTTATCTTTCAAGCGGCGAGGACTATTTTGAAAGAAGTTATTGATTGCTGCAAACGATGCAGCGGCCTCCATGTCCTTGGCAATATTAGGGCGAGATCGTGAAGGCGATGGACTTTTCGAAAGGGATTTTTTCTTGAAATTGAGACGTCCATGTTTGGGAGATTCAAAACCAATGATTTTTTCTAGATTCGATTGGGTTCGGAGCCTAGACGCTTTGTTATTTAGTACTTTCTTTATCGGAGAGCATTCCGAAGGGTTTAAAGTTGTCTTCTCCGAAAGTTGCAGGGTGGGTTTGTGGTCTAGCTCATTTTTGGGGTTGGGTTCTTCCATGGGCCCCGTCCCAGAAGCAGATGTTATCGGTGTCGCATTAGCTGGTAACCTCACAGGAGGGACTCTTCGTGGAGTTGGAGATATTGTGGCAGCCCTTGTAGGAGACAATAACTTTATATTTTCAGGCTTGTGGGCTACTCGACTCTGAGGCTCCGGGATAAGTTCTAGAGGAGGTCCTTTCTGCTTTAAGGATCGGATAGGCGGCCTTGTAGTCATTCGACGAGGATCAGGGATTAAGATGGCTTCGTCATCCTCACTATCCGCTATGACCAAGGTATCAAGATCCGGTATGTGAACTGGAGCGCGTTTGCTTCGCCGCTGTGGACTAGGCCGGGGCGGTGACCACCTAACAGCGTTACCCATGTCGGAAGAGACTTTGGCATCCACCGTTTCATTTATGCTCTTGGGCAAACTATGCACCTTGGAAGAACCTGCGTGCACTGGCCTCATGGTAATTACGCCGCCGTACTTATTCACGACTAGTTCATCCTGTAGAAAGTTTGTTAGAATGGCTCAGGGGAGTATACACGTCCATCAATGCCTTTATTTATTCGACATACTCTTGCTTTCTGAAGAACTTCAACTCTCTCTATTAGAACGTCCGGTGGTATATCAGAAAAGTGCTTTTGCAAAGTCTCCATAGCTGCAGAACTGAAAGGCTGTCCGTTCTTCTGTGCCTTCAACGCAAGACCTACTAACGTCTGTCGTGATTTGTTAGCACCGGCCTCAAAAATTGTATGATTATATTGTTATAAGGTCTTCGGCTTTATAGACTCGGTAGAGTTACCATATTGACGCTTCCACTTCGTTTTCCACTATCCATCATGATAGAATGTAACGTTGATATCGATCCGGTTATAATTATAAGTATCTGCAGTTGCAAGTTGAGGAAGTTAAGTTGATGTATCGCAGTTGATGCCATTTTTGCTATCTCTTTGGTTTGGTGTTTTAAACATACCCTGGCCTGGCTGTGGGCCGACGACTATGTTATTTACCGAAATAATTAATTTTTAATTATTAAATGTCTTGCGACATGCATTAAAGTTCCTGTTGATCAAATCGCGATCTAGATCTGTTAGATGAAGAGATCTGGCGCTGTGTAACATGGTCCAGATCTCGTGTGTAACCCCATCAAGCTCCCTGGTTAGGCAACACAACTTTTCCAACACTTCAAGATCACCACCACTGGTTGAAGTCCCTAGACGATTTTTATTAGCTCAGAAACATTGAAAACAAAAAAATAAAAAAATAACTTCTGGCAAGGGTGTGGCTAAACAGTGGCGGATGCTTAATGCCTAAAAATATCCTAGCTGTTATATTAGCCAACGAGTTTACACGTTAGCGATGTCTTAAGTTATCGACCAGGGGGAAAGCTTGAGTCAGCGATTAGATGCGGCGTAAGAGACATCTTTCCGGCCGGTGCTACTAGCGAGACCCACCATGTTTGAGACCGAGATTTGTGAAGGAATCGCTTCATTGTCTAACATCAATAGAGAAAATTTTTTATTTTTTTATTTTTTATTTTTATTTTTATTTTTTTTGGATCCCGAGAAAATGCCACTTCGAATATTAATTTAGGATCCAACTTCTCCGCCTTCAAACAGATGACAGAATGCACGTACACTATGGCGAGATTCTATAATCCGCGAAAAATTAAGCTAGGATATCGATGTTGGGCTGCAGGAGTATTCAGTTTCACCGTCGACAGTCCACGTGAGTTACCTCGTATCGTGGTCTGATGCGCCCCACAGGTGAAATATTTGTAAAAATTTAGCAATCGAATGAGGTCCGAAACTAGCGATCGGTTTCTGTCCGACAGCTATCACATTCGATCAATTCAAATATGTGGACTTATCAATTACTATATATATCGCGGTGATAGATCGATGGCTGGTAAGAAAGCGAATGTGACATTCCTTCGTCGGCATTACGTCTTGCTTACAAAAGGGCCGAAATCCCGGCGAAATTAATCTATTTAATTCAGACAACCCCGCTACTGCAGTGTCCCCGCGGGCGGGAGGGGGGAGAGCACAAAAAAAAAAAAAGCCAGATAACAGCTGAGGTCGACGGTCGATTCTTTAAGCTTTGATAGTCCTGCTGCCCGTGCATTATCATGTACCATAAATAAGTTGAGAGTCGATATAGCTATATATGGGAGGATCATCTGATCTAGAACCAGGGACTGTCTCGATTGGCCTACACAAGCCCCCCCTTGTTCTATACGGATATTAGTTATCAATATTATCGGCCGCCCGCATGAATAAACCTGGTAGCTTGGATGCAAGGCGTAGCTCTCAGCAGGGCCCGGATACGAGGTCCTAATGGCCGTATGCACCACTTTTATAAACTTCTTTATAATTCTGATCTCGGAACAACATCTGAGTATCAAGTGCAGCGTTTTATTCGCTTAATTGGCATGGACACGTGCTCAGAGCCAACAGGGAGACCCCCTAAATATCTTTCCGTAGCTTTTGTGAAAGTGAGACGGAATATATCGATTGAGGCTAAATACACCCTTTCCTATTCTAGGTAGGCTCGAGAGCGGGTGATATGGTGATGCTCATTGATTGGAATGATAGCCTAATTCTTAAACGGAGTTAAAACGCGATATCAATTATCTGCAACAGGAAGTGGTCTATGCTAGTGTGGATCCCAAGCTGTCGGCGTGTGCGGAATGTACTTACTATTACATCTTGCATGCTGAAATTTCGTGCATCATGCATGTCCTGTGCTCGGATTGCAAACGCCAATTGTAATAAGGCATATACATTATCTTGAACGCAAATATAATAGAACAAGGTTAGACATGTTAACTATAAATTGAACACGAGCATCCAAGCAATTGATCAGAAATCCCTCGCTTTCGCTTCCAAAGTTTTACTAGTTGCTTCCATGGTTGGTTAGAATATCAACCAGCCTATTCAGTACTCGAGACCTTTGTCTTCAAGTATCCTACTCCAACACCTTAAGCCAACACAATTTGGTGACTAGATGCAACATTAATACCATCCCGCATTATAGCACTATAGATCTATCAGCAGCTTCTTCATTCAAGATATTGGTAACTAATTCCATGGACATAGGCTGCAAATTCCATAGCGCTAATATACAATATTTCCAGGCCAGTCGGAGGAATTCTAACATAAGTGGTTATGAGACTAGTTGCCCGCAATATGGTGCCAAATACAGGAGTTCTTTCATTTACGAGACTACCTATCGAAATTGAATTTTCAATTCTAGACCAGCTTCACTGGACGCAATACCATACTGCTTCGCAAGTGTGCAAATTATGGCGTAAATATCTAAAGCGCAACGCCAAGCCAGTATGCTATCATCAGTGGCCACGGTTATTCCCTAAGTCTCCAAAACGACACGATAATCTAATATCACAATTTCGACGCATGGATATTTCGCAATATCACAACATACGAGACAATCCTCCTGGATTCGTTTTTGTGCACGAATTGATTTATCGAGGAGGAATCACGTTTTGTGTCCAAACAACACCAACGGGCGAAGATGCAGGATTCGGGAGGCCCCGAGATATATATCTCCCGAGCTATCTAGCTGATTCTATGAAAAGTGATGGGGATAGAAACCGCGAATGGAGGCTTTTCCTAGGGGGTATGACATTTGACGGAACATACCGTCGAATCAATACTCTTGCTTATCTCAACCATCCAGTCTTCCCAGTTGCGATATCAAGTATTGCGATCGATTGCTTTAGGTATCGGTACCCAGAGGACAAAACACTAGACTACTTTATTGGTCATTTGCGATTTATGCTTAACAAGAATATTCCACTGGTTTTACAGGGAATTTACACTGTGAGAGATCTGCTGGAGTTAATACGAAGATCCGCTTTGGAAGAAGTCAAAGGGTTTTGGAGGGATCCAGCATCATTGGTATTAGTCCTGAAGAAACCTGTACTATCAGAAACGGGGACTGTGTATCTATCCATTGGCGTTGCACCGACACCCGTTTGGAAGACTACTAAGGAACGGGACGGTATACATGATTGGAGAAAGTACTAAAGTTTTTTTCTTTTGAATATTTTGTAATCATTTTTTAGCCTCCTAGAGTCCTTGGCGTCCGAGCGTAAAGTTTAAAGTAGCCAATCTCGTCAGGTGTACATAGATATATTACAAAACACCAGCCACCTCCAGTTTTAGGGTCATTGCAATGCATTCTATATTGCTGCACCAACAGAAAGCGTAGTTATCCATTATCGCGGGCGGCAGGAATATCGCCAACTTTTACCGGCCCGAGAAATGTAACATGCATATGCTGAAAATTTAACTCTTAAGTTCGCCACGTCAACGGCCCTTTAGGAGATGTTTACTGTTGTTTGCCTGTCCATGCAGACGCATGCCAGAACGAGGATGTATGCAGTCACGGCACGGGCCGCTAGGTTCAATTGCAAGTCTTGGGATTTGTTTCACGGGCTTTGACACCCGCACAGATCGCTAGTAGTGGAGTATAGCGAGCCGACAGAGTGGCTGTATCGTACCTCTGCGCTACATGTATCGAGATCTAAGCAAGAGAATACGATCGTATATTAATAAAACGGCTATTATTTCAGCCTCATGGCGTTGGTACGCCAATCATATGAGGGGTTAAGCATAATATATGCTCCTCAGGTTGTATCATGATAGGCATTTTGTCTTTGATCTCTGCACTGACACCCAAATATATTAAACGTCGGCTGAATGCACCGTAATTTGTGTTGCATTGACGTCGCAAGTTCCTGTTCCTTCGAGTCGGGGTGCATTAGCGCACTATTTCTATGCAAAAATACTTGCCGGTTCCCCACTATATCTCCGAGAGTTCGTTTCGCGGGTGCGTTTTACAGCCGATATTCCGTTACGAGAAAGAGCAAGAAAATTCAGAATTTTACGCAATGCAACTTAATATAAACACTTAAGCCGGTTGGTTCTTGTAGTAACGTTATAAAAGTGGACATGCTAGGGTCGACATGAGAGCGCTTACACTAGTCAAGGCGACAAGAGATTTTCGTATTTTAGACCGATCGATTGTAAAGCAAAGGTGTACCGGCCTCTAGTATGCATGCACCCCAAGTCTTCCCTGTCCCTGTATGACGTGCAGCGCATTTCGTCTGTTCTTCGGCATGGCAAACCAAACATGAATCAGTCTGTTTCGTTTGCATTCAACGTTTAACCTTGTTTGGCAGGAGGGGAAACCTGGGACCGTGAACCTCTTTAACGGCTTCAATTCCCAAAAACCGAACAAACGTAAAACCCAAACCCGGCTTTTCCGTCTCACGTCTGTGCCATCATCGACAACTAAATTCTGACGTAAACATTGAAAATTTTACTCTCCCGTCCCGTAAGCTTAGGCAGCTGATAACTCTTACCTACTCCTTGGCAGCCATACTCGCTTAGATTAATGGTGTGCACGGCATGTTAAAAGTGGGGCTACCCCTCCATTACTGATGATCTCATTAAGTTTGGTCTAGCCAGAACAATAAGATCTTCGTGGAGGGGCTTGCCAGGACTGCAGGGGGCGGGACGAAATCTCTTATGTTCACAAGGACGCAGGCTGCAGCTTACCCTTGCCTGCACCTCCATAGCTCGCTGAAGCTATGGGTACCCTTACCTCGCGAGAGCTAAAGCTCCGGTATATGCGTCGCCGAACCGCATGACCATATCATTCGACAGGGCTCTCTGCACTCTTAGGCTGACGAAAAGAGAGAAAAAGACTCACGGGGTTTTACACAAGCAAAAATGTTACTATTCTCTTTTTTTTCGTCTGATAACTTTTTTCAGGTTTTACAATCTTGGGGCTGGGGTTGTTCCCACTTTTTGGCACAGACTCTGCAAATTAATATATAATCGTTACGATCAAGAAAATCCCCGGCATTGCACAAGGAGGGATGGGCGACAAGGGATATCTCCTCCATTCCCCTCATAATCTTTTCAGAGCTCCGAATCTTATGCTCATATTGTGCTTCTTGAACTCCGTTTTCTCAGCCGAACTTTTAGCCGATATATTAAAGTCTGCAATCGACGATAAATTAATATATTAAACAAGAAATGCGTTTCGTATCGCGGCTCAATTTGTATTTATTGCTTCTAGAGGTGGCGTCGGCCAGGAGCATAATTTCGGCGAGAGAAGGAACGCCAAAATGCATAGTATGTGCATCTCAAATCACCTGCCTTATGAACTTCAAGAAGGAAAGAAAGAATATGACATGACTAAGGTCCGACCTTTTCCCTTTTTCCGGTTTAGCAAGCCTGCCTTCCTATTGCTATCGGTGCAACCGAATGCCTACCAACGAATACATCATGCATTTGCGATAGCCAGCCTTTTTACGAATCGTTGATCCCGTGTGTTTTGCTAAATTGTGCATACCAAGACGTTGGGGGTAAGTCGTATTATCCCCTATGGATCATAGAAGAGCGAAATTTGACAAAGTATCTTTGATAAAAATAGACCTTTTACAGTTTGGTGTCGAGTTCTGCCGAAGAACTAGGGTCAACTCTACCCGATTACAGCGCCTCAATACTGGGTTTGGAAAGTCTACGAACGGTGGGAGTGATGGCGATGATGCATCTGTCAGCTCTACATCAGCGGCTCCTGTAGAGCCGACTCCTACTCCAGAACCAGTGACAATTTCATCAACGCAGATTGAGCCTTTAGAGCGGCTTGAGGTTGAATCGAGTGGTATATCTGCGCCGACGACAACAACTAAATCCAAAACACCATCCGGCTTGTTCAGCGTAGAATCGAACTCTAAATTAGACGGTTCTAACACCGAACTCGTCGTAATTCAAACGGCGGATCCAACGCCGCCAAGGAACGCGCAGCCACCGGCTACCACTGCTCCTGGAAGTACATTTGCACCCCCTACGCCGACGGTTGATGAACCATCGTCTGCGTCTGCAAGTACATTGCATATGTTTGGCCGAAGCAGCTTCAATTCGTTTGTTGTGTGCTTGCTTGCCTTATTGTTGGTTTTTTGATATAGTTAGACATATAATCAAAGCGCTTGCTTGAAATGGGCCGTTAAAGTCTGTAGAAGGCCCTGTATCGACTGAGAGTCAGTCAGTACCTTGGTTATGGAGAGGTTTTATTAGAAATTTCTGCTTTACCTTCGTGAACAGCAATTCTTATATATATCACTTATATACATAAGGAAATTGATATAATTTCTTGTAGAAAATTTGGCCCGCTGAATGTAAACTTTTCGCAAAACAAACGTAGCAAGATCCATATTCGGGGCGATAGCTACCCGAGAATAAGATGTAAATGTACCATAAAATGTTAATTTGCGGTACAAATACCATACGCTTATCCTTGGCAGTCGCAGCCGTCTTCTTCTCCAGCCTACTCGCAGGCGCTCCCCACTGACATTTGGACAGTGGGAACCCAGGCGAAGAATGTTGATCATTCGCGACTCCTCCAAATGATACAAATACCCCCTTTTCGTCTGGGCTTGGCTTGGCTCGGCTCATCTTGAAAATACTCCGTGATAACTGTCATAATCCCTAACACCAATTCACTAACTGTTGGGGACCTCACAATTTTGCTGGCATACTCGTGGAGATGCTCTTGAATCAGCACAGAGATGCGAGGAGCCAATAAGCTGCGATATATATTCTGCAATCCCCCTTCCCCCTTTCACTGTCACCATCCGCTTTATCGTAATCTTGGTGGAAAGTAATATTATCTGCGTTATTTTCCCTGTAACGGTATCATGGAAATAGCCTTTGATATCTGTGGGCTTAACATTTCGTGCCCACCATCGATAAAATGCCCTTCCATCTTGCGCAAAGAAACAGTGTTTTCGAAGCTAACCGTCCGCATTTTCGCATCTCGGCATAGAAAGAATGCAATCAAATGTCTCGTAAAGATACGGTGGAGTTGTTTGGACGGAACTTCTGCTTGCCCTTGTCCGGGTAGCTCCAAGATGCTAGTAAATACCGTTTTGTCGAGGTTTCGAGTTTTGTGAATAATTATAACTGTTTTGCATTGGCGATTACAGGCAGATTATTGTGTTTCGTGACCGCTCTAGGCAGGTTGATATAAGCACGCCAGGAGCGACATACTTGTTTTTCAGGCTGAGTGGGCTGGCCATTCGAGTGTATCCAGGATTATGTATAATACCTCAGCAGGAAATTGGCCCAGAGGAAACCTTTACCGTCGTTCTCGAAACTTTCTGTAGGTGTGGGCTTTGTAAACATAAAGTTGAACCCATTGTCAAAAATAGAGGGTATATGAGGATATACCATGCCAAAAAAAGACTAAAATAGGAGCAAATAACGGAGATTTCAAGCATAAATTATAACATGTACCCCAAACAGGTTATGATCGAAGAAAACATATATAGGCGCCCCGAGATCTAGCTATAGATCTAGGTCCCGAGCTAGAGCTAGCGGCCTCGATTTAATTGAATTCAACAGGGTATCGAACATTTAATCTTCAAACTCAGCCGCAAACGTTAAACTGTTGACTCATAGTTTGGTTAAGAGACTGCCGCTGACCCTGTGCTAATTCCCAATCACAACGCACGATAATCGATTAGGATCCAAGGTTCTCGGAGGGTGGGTCTAGTAGGATATATCGGTATAATATATTCTAGAAATAAAACATGTGGCCCGAATGGTACGGGCGGGGCGTGCCGACGTATGCTCTGCTGCCAAGATAGGTCAAACTTCGAATCAGGCTTTCTTTAAGACCGTTACAACAGCCATACAGCGTCTATATAGTTTCTAGTATACATGTCGATTTTCGCATGCAATACTTCGGATCTAAAGGCTGGCTGCCATGGCCCTTTAGGCCGTTCGCTGTGGACAACATCGAACTCTGGAAACTTTTCTTCGATATCTTCAGACTCTACCTCTGTTAATTCTGGGACCCAACCTACTTTCGCATCCTTATTATACTTAACCAAGAATTTGATGTGTATGTCTTCAGAAACGAATGCTTTAATATCAAGAAACGAGCGATATGGGCCTAATGAAACAAGCAAAAGTGCTGACTTTTGGCCATTGAAACGTCTAATATGGCTTTTGACCACTTTCAAAGCATATTTCGCGAGACCATCAATCCCATGCATGCTCGGTGGGAACTCGTCAAGGATACGCAGGAGCCGCATATTGGCGGGTAACTCTAACTATTCGCGAGTAAGCTAGCAGTTAATTAAATTTCCTCGAGACATATAAGCTTAGATATACTAACACGTTTAAGTTGGTTGGTGTCCCCAAAAAAGGCAGAAACCTCTTCAACCTTCGGAAAGCCACTTATCTCTAGTTTGGAGCCGTGACAAGAGGCCTTAGTGCTTGACACGTGAGTGCCACATTGCGTAAATGCTTGACAGGAAGCATCTATACCAATATATGGTTAGTTCGGATCTGTTGGAATTCGCCTTGAAGTAGCTGGTGGCATTTTAAAATTTAAATCTACAAATTCAAGAATCATTCTGAGTATTTCAAGTGGCATGCTTAACAGATAGGAGCGCGTTACCTTTGTGAATTGTCGCGCGTACACGCGTATTTCTCTCCTATTGAGGAGCCTCATAGCTCTGAACCTCCATAACAAACATTAAACTCCTAGAATCAACATGAAAATATCGCGTAATCGTTGTTATTCGCAGAATATCTTGCGGGGAGAATTAGTATCGTAATTAGGGGGGGGATTTGGGATGGTTGGATATACATTAATGGCATCTACCTTCCAGACTAGATGCGCGCGGTGTAACAGCATACCAACCGCATGTCGTCGCTTAACTCCCTAGATCCTTGAAATTACTAATAGTGTTGCAATCTGAACTACAAATTTGTATTCTCCACCCATAAATCTATCTATTTGCTTCGTGAATTTGTGTATCCAAGCTCCAGTCAATTTCCTCGATGTATGTGTTAATAGGCTTGTAGGCCAGCTACACAGTTAACTACGAGGCTAGGCTCTAACTATGTGCCAACACTTAGCTTATAATTTTTCGCATTTACAACCGGTTTACTTCCTCTGCTTTGGCTCTATATAATTTGGAATTAATATTTTAGCTCTTGGTTTGGTCGTGATGCAGGATACCTCTAGTACTAGTAGCTAGTGCTATTGCTATATAATGTTCGCCATCACCCATCGCGGTATCGAGGCTAAAATGCAAGCCTGTTATGTAAGATGTGGTATTTTTTGCGTTGTATTCAAGTATTAGTCCCTCGCCTCAATCTAAAGTCGAATTCACCCCTGGCTCCGGTCGCCAGAATCCCCTCAACATAAACACTACAATACAAATCCAGCCAAGGCACCCTCTAAGTGTCTATTCCAGGCCATTGTAAGATTCTCTAGTCGCAGCGCCTAAAACTAGACAGCTACGCGAGTTCTAGGTGCGGCGCGGTGTGCATGTGCAATGTCAACAAACGCCCGAATGGAGCCGGCTGTGCTTGTATCTTCACTCGACGACGATGGTTCAGATCCTCGTGCTAAGGAAAATACTGGATATGGCGTAGACGATATCGCCTTTGCGTCATTATCCTTGTCTGTGCCGGTTCTCCCCCCAGAGATTCTGCATTTAATCTTCCGATATGTATGTTGGCTTCCCCCTTAGTCGAAGTTCAGCCATATCAACTGTCGTGGCAGCCTATAGGCTAAGGCCTAGGTCTCAATATCGAGATCCGAAGTTTTATTTTAGTGATATACTGATCGTGGCCTGGCCCTATGCTACCGTCTTGGGTATATAACAGCTAGTTCCTGCCAAAACCACCTTGTACAATCTTTGCTTGGCTTCTAAACAATTTAAGGATATTGCGATCGAATATTTATATCGTGGGGAAGTGAGGTTGCATTTTGATCAGGATGTGCACCCGGAAATGGATCTTGATCATTTTCTCAGCCTACCGGATACCGAATCCAAGACCATCAAGGGCCTATTTATCTCGTCATTCCCTGAAAGACCGTCCCGCCAAACAGTGAAGGCAGAAATCATGGCGGTGAAGCTCAAAAATTTCCTGCTCAAGCTTCAGCCGGATCAATTGGACACATTCGTGTGCGTTGGACTGTGACCATGATTCAATATTCCTAGGAAGTTTGTCATCTAACAAAATTGCTGCACAGACTCAACGGCTGGGGGATAGATAATTATCTTCAGTACTTCCCAGGAGAACCGTTCCTGCGACAACAAACGGGGATACGAAAAGTTTGTTTGCCTTTAGCTTCCCTCTTCTGGTCGCAGGGAGCTTCTGAGAGGGTGCTCACACCGGGAATATTTCCAAATCTCGAGTCTTTGTACGTCAGTGACATGTGCTATCTTAGCCATATTCGAGACGTCTGGACCATCATCGAGGACAAGGGCGAAACACTCAAATCCTTGGCCATACTCTGTCCGTTGGGAAGTCAACTGAAAAGCTTCTTAGGATATCCGGATATGTTCTCAAACCCATACACTTTCCTACAGATCGAAGTCGCGCTGAAGGTGCTACGTGATCTTTACATTTACGGCTTTCCTAACCTTGGTAGATTTCTCAATGATTGTGCCAGAAATTTAATTGATTACAAGATTCTCAGAAGCTTGCGTTTGGAACAGTGTCCAAGAATAGAATCTCTACTCCAAACGATCTGCAATATTGAAGAGATGCCGAGTCTCAAGTCTCTCCAGCTTATCGAAACCTGCTCGCCAGAAACATTTGAAACGATAATACCGAGGCTCTCACCTCTTGAAACTCTCTACATAATCTTTCCGCGGGAGCAAAATTTGCCGAAGTATGATATGATTAAGTACTATCATAGTAAAACCCTAAGAAGGGTATGGATCGAACATAAAAACTCGAGCTACGTTCTGGACAACACGGTACGAACCATAAAGTTCAAATTGCCGCCCGATAACGGTTACGACGGTTTCTTTCTCACGAGCTGGCCCCTATTAGAGGAAGTGGCCCTGGGTATTGATTTAGTGAGGGATAATAGACCCGTGAGCCTCCTTCCATATAGTCCTAAAAATGAAAGTTCCTCGGCTGTAAGGCTTTTATTGACAAGCCTTTATCACATTTTTAGATTATCTTGCCAGAAAACCTGAGAGTTCTCCGGATCGTGGGCACTCCGAGATTCGCGAATGGGGCCTTATATGAACCGGCAAGGGATGCCCTTGCAATCGCAAAGAAACACGTCTATCATACGAGCATCAAAAACAAGCAACCTAGGCTTGCAGTGATAGCCTTTTTCACGCTTATTCCACCTCCTATATACGTAACTGCTCAGCATCCCATAATATACCTCGTGGACTATGTTAGAGAGGAAGATAAATTGATCCCTATCCTAAGGCTGACAGATATCGGGGCGGTTAGGTGGCTCTTTCCTGATATGAAGATTATGGAATTTGAGAGAAGGGATAAACCCTGGGCGGACGAGTAAGTCTTCAAACTATCGGTACCAACATTGGAAGTATCCGCAGGCTTAGCTAATAAAATGTAGTGATGGGTCCCTGTGGTAGAAAGTACTATACTGGCTGCCCCCACTGCTATGATATCATTTAGTTTATTGGGAGCGACCGACATCCGACCAGAGTTGCCAGCGCTTATTTATTATAATCTAAAAATGTTCTAAGACAATATTTCGAACCACGGCCCAACTACTTACTGCCCTCGGTAGTTGAAGGTATTCCCAGTTCCTAAATTGGCTATTCGTAGTTCGGAACTTGTGCAGTTGTGGTTTTTTTTAAATTGCGAACCAAAAGTGGAAGTTCTAGTCGACGGGAAGGTCTCGCCTTCTTGTGCAACTGGTTGAACCGGTGCACTGGCCATATTTATCCGCAAGTCTCAATTTTCCGAGTCGCTAAACGGAACCGTAGTTATAAAGTCAAATCCTAAGGCTGTTTTTAAAATGTGCCAAGACTTGTGGCTTCCGGCGGATAAATGCAATATTGACAGTTGAGGATTCAATAAAGGTTCCGGAACCATTCCAAGGGCGTGGTTCGGATCGAGATGCTTATTTGGCATTAGCTTCCATCGATGTTTCACTCTCACTTCGCCGGAACTCGACGCCGCAAGGCGCTCTCCGAACTTCGCTAAAATATTCGAATTCTACATTGGTAATTCTTTCGAAATCTCATTGATGTATAAATTTTTCATGTTAAAGATGAATGCAGCCAGAACTTTTCCCTTCTCATCCCTATTGCCATTGACTAAGCTACAGCAGCAGATTACGCAATTTAATTAGTCACAATGGTTTCGCTTGCAGAATTACCAGTTGAAATAAAAAGACTTATTGTCAAAGAGGTATATCTTCCTGTATTGTCTTAGTACCATACCAGACATACTGGCGTCGAACACTTTAACTAATATTGACCATCCAAATTCCACAGCTTAAAACGACAGACTTAAAAAGGGTATGCCTTGTATCGAGAGAATTCAGTTCGATAGTTATTCCAATTTTATATTCCACAATTCGACTAAAACCACATCATAAACACGGGATCGATCTTTATCAAAAGGAGAACCTTTTCAACAGCGAGCGCCCCAATCCCCACCTCAAACATATCCGAGATCTCCAGGTGATCCACCCTGATGCGGGCAGAAAGATCTGTCCATCGACAATAGATTATATCAATAAACGGGTGCAGCCTAGTTTGAGGGAGAACCAACTACACTCCTTGTCGCTCTGCTCATCGCTTGACGCAGGGCCAGATGTATTACCATTCCTCATACGCAACAGAAATTTACGAGCTCTCAGATTGAACGTTCCACCGCCATGCGCCTATAATATCGAATACTTCAACTATCTCGGCCTACATCACTACAACTTAAGAGCCCTCTCACTCCAATTCCTAAATACCAATCCTTCGGATAGACAAACAGATTTTACGACTCTGAATAAACTACTATGCAAACTTCAAAACCTGCATAGTCTTGATCTTAAATTCCGGGAACTTCAACACCGCCCAGTCCAAAATCCACCGCTTTGGCCTGATGCGGTCAGGTTGCTGGATACTATATTCGCAATGAAGTCTCTCCGCGAGTTATCCCTCCTTGGAAATGACATCCCAATTGGATATTGGGCTGAGGCCAATCCTAGCAGAAGAGTTGGGAAAAACCTCACTTTGTTTAGGTCTGAAGCCGTAGACCGGGGTGATGCTGATCGCAAGTCGTGTGATCGGGATGATTTATTCTGGTTCAACGCTTTAGATATGTCCAAAGTCAAGCGCTTTCAACATTGTTTGGGCGTTATATATTTCGAAAAATCGATACCGGATCAAGTTCCACGATATCTCAGCAGAAATAATAATCTTCAAAGCATATTGGCGGATTGCGAGCAGTTAGAAGAATTTCGGTGTTGTAATTTGCCACAGATTCCAGACTTCGATCCGTCAAACCACTGTTTTTTCAGAGTAAAGGATACGTTAAGAAGATTAAGGATTTGCTCGAGTGATTGGTACGGTATGGATGATCTGCCCGGTTTTCTTACAGAAGAACAACATCAGGAGAGGGAAAAGAGTATCATATCTGAACTAAATGCTTTGCAGATTCTTGAGTTGACCGTGAATTGGCCGGTACGTACCCTATCCCCATCCCTATAGCCCGTGAAGCTCCTAAAACAGTACTAACGTGTTAACGAGATTTTGTTACAGAGATGGTATATCTCATCTAAAAGCATACAACTCGTACATATACTCCGGGAGCCCAGATACAATCCTGCAGATTTTGATTCCGATGATGAAGATGAAGATGAAGATGATACCCTAGATGCCCTCTTAAAGGTTCCGACCAGAGCTTTATTCTTGCAAGCAAGGGCTCAGCAATTCGCCAAAATAACACAGCCAAAATTCCTGCCTTCGCTAAAAGTCGTAGTATTTAGCAAAACAAACCTATTCCGCGAACACTGCCATACAAGAAGATTTGAAGGTATACAAGGGGATCGAGAGGAGTACTTGCCATTAGCTTACTCGGTGGAGATGGAGGGCGAAAGCGATCTCCCTTATGGCGTGGCAGAACCGCTTAGTTTCAAGGAGATGGAAGAGCAATTTCCTTGGTTATACGATGGAGTTTGGGAAGGAAAATTTTGGGATGGGTCTCGTGGATATCGCTTCTGGTAGATTTCTTTTATTCTAATTAATGTAATATAGTTATTGTAATATTGTTTGGTTAGGGCATAGATATTGTGAGTATACGGATATATATAGATAGGATATAGATGGAATAATGTATATTAATTACAAGTGAATAGCATAGTTAGGCATCGTTCGGACATAGCTAGGTAGATATCTAAGCCGATATTTAGGCACACTTAGGCGAACCAGAATAGGTAAAATTGGATCACATTTGATTAAGTCGCAGAACTTATTGTACATATATAGCAACCATATTCACATCTATAAAATATAACGCGGTCACATGCATCCACTCTCCATGGTTATCACTTAATCACTCCCATCGTATAGGTCCACATGGTGATAAGATAGTCTTGGTACTAACCCGAAATAGAGTTTTCGTCGGCATGGGATGCCCCTTTGTTGTATTTTTCGCGTTGGCATCGCCCTCGTCCCGAGTTCTTAGGCCCCCTTTCTTGATCCGCAGCTTGCAACTGCATGATGCAAGTTGGGAATCACAATCATTCCTCCTTAAAAACCTTGCTTCCTTGCTTCCAATTGTCCTTTTCTGAATACTCCAGGCAAGGCATCTGATGCGGCAAAGCAAAAATCCAGCCCAACACGATTGCAAACTTGGTTGAAATTCCACGGTTTCCGAGTGGCCTGCATTATGCATTGACCTCTCTGCGACAGAGTACGAGGCAACAAATTGAATTCGTCCCTTTGAGATCAAATTTTAAGCGCTAACGGGGCCGGGCCTCGACAAGGGTCTCGTGCGCATATCCTCTCAACTTTAGAAGCCCTGGCTAGGCCAGGGCTTCGTTGAATGCCAAGATCCAGATCCTACCGTCAATTTCACCTTAAGGTGGTGGCCACATCGAAATCGTCCTCCGTCACCCTTGTCTGTGCGCGAGACCTGCATCTTAATTTTTAGAGCTTCATCCTGTGACGTTGATATGTTGCAATGCTGGTTGGCTGCAACTGTATACCAACAATTCCAACAACGGATCACGAGCCGTCTGTGTTGGGATGACCTAAGTTAGACCGGGAGGACGAGAAATAGAACATCCCCATTCGCCTAAACTCTTGCCTCTTACTCCTGTTTAGTTTATTTGATTTTCATTTTCAAACAAGATACTTGCTGATGTTTCCTCTAGCGAATCGCAGACACTTTGCTTAAAGAAATCCCTAATTATGTTGTGTCATATGTTTCTATTATGTGTAAATCTTTCAGGAATGCGCAGCAAGGGAAATGATAAATACCAAGGAGGTGGCAAGGTATGCAAAATGGTAGTATCTTTTAGTCTCTTCCCAAAATTTCATTTTGAAATTCCTCGGCCTCGCAAGCAAAGGGGCCTCGAACTCTGGATTGGAGGTGGTTACACGACTTGATTGCATTCGGAATCCGATTGGCTAGCTGCTGTGATGCTGACGGAAGGAGTGCACTGTGCCGCGAACGTTTCTTGCCGACGAAATTAGTATCCGCACAGACGACGAACGTTTAAAGGTGCTTGTGCTCCCCACGAGATAAGTGCTCTCCGTCATTACACTAGCAAAAAATATTTCTCCAAAGTTGTACCCAAAAACCAGGTCGTCGGGATTGTTCAACCCCAGATTACCAACAAATTCCAACAATGGGTTACGAGAGCCTTCCTTTAGAAATCGAGTTCAAAATCCTCGATGAAGTCGACTGGACCGAAACCATGGCTTGTGCGCAAGTTTGCCACCGATGGAAAGGTTACCTTGCAAGGTCGAAAGCCCATAATCGGCGATATATATCCAACCAACAGCTGCCAGAGCCTACGAATATGAAAAAGTTCAAGAGTCGACACGATACCCGACTGCTTCGCGATTTCAGTATAGCTTCCGCTGAAATAACCATTAGCATATCAACAAGCGAGGGCGAAAATGACGAAAACGTTGGAATCATATCGCAAGACATTGTTCTAAACCGTACTCCCACTGTTCTTCTTCATAGGTTTATGCACGAAGCAGAGCACTCTATCGGGTTCTTCGTCGCTATCGGTCCGGGACCTCATTATAATCCCTTGCTCCGAAATCTAACGCCGCAAGGGTTCTTTCTCGTTGGAAACAAAGACAGTTGTTTAAGTGCAAACTCGCTAGGAGGACGCAAGGGCAGCCTCTTACTACCAGAGCCGTCTATAGATCATGAGAGCAGCTCCGAGGACTCAATTGACAGCGATGACGAGAAAGAGGAAGGTTTTTTCGTCGAGAAAGGTCGCTTTGCTATCCAATTGAACTCGGTATGGCATTGGGAAGAGCGAATATTCAATACACCGATGTGTGATACGGAAATCGTATATGGCCGTGGATTTGAAAGTTTTAAATCTACAAGGAGAACAAGTCCATACAATCCGCGGGCGAGGACGGGAAAATACTTACGTCGATTATCAGAACTTGATTTTGAAACCGATAGGTCGATAAATATTCGTCAGCTGGTAGGAGCTATTACACAATCGGTTACTACGATCAAGAGACTGGACCCGGATTTAAAAGACAGCGGCGAGGTTTTCTTCGTAAAGTTTGATGGGATACGTATACAAGAGTATATGAAATATATACCACATGGATTCTTCGATTTTCAGACTGGGGGTAGGATTGAATTAGAGATATACAAGGGAGTAAACTGGGTGGAAGAAACATGTGATTTTGCGAGTGATTGCTGAAAATACAGTTAACAACACCAGTCATATATGCATATATATATGTGGAACACTCGGACCACAATTGAGTCGATTGGGATTTCAAGAGAGAGACGCGTTACCGCGTTATCTACACATGGATGGAATGGATTTATAAACTTTACCCTCATAATTTGTAATTTCAAAATTTCCTTCATAGTCTAAGGCTTAGTCTAGTTGTTAGACGGGTGCTGAACACACCAAAACGAATGTGTTCTAAGGCTGTATAGTCAGATCTATTTACGTAGCGGTAGTCCGAGATATCCTTAGCTAGCTAGACGAATGATTAAGATCTGGACAGATGTCTTTCCCATATTCGCTCTCGTGTCGCTATCATCCGCAGCGCAGTTTACACCCAATACTCCCTATCCAGTACGCGTACGTAGGTAAATATGGTCTAGAGGGTGTTTTAAACCTCGATATGTCGATATGCATGGCTGTTACCTCTAGCAATCCTTGCATTTTTGCGCCGTAGGGGCGCTTGCAGCACCACTGTCTCAATATTAGCCCCCTTGGGCCTGGTATTTTTGGCGGAGCAAGTTGTTTGAAGTATTTGTCTCGTCGCCAGACTCCTCAACTATGGCTGCTTGGGGCCTTGCTAAATTCAACGAGACCAGCCAAGCAATTGAATTCGATAAGAAAGATTATATTTTTCGAGCTTTGAACACTAACCAGATTATTACTGATGCCCAAGAATAACCCTTAGACAATTTTACCTAATATTTAACCAAGTGTTAAATATTTCTTTACCATCAATATTTTGAATTTGCGAACTTAGTTTAGTTGGCGGTGGTGGCATTTCGTGTAGCCGCTGACCAGTCTCGTGACCAGACTTTTGTGTCCGCGGACATACTTTCTTAATCAATATCATATAGACACACCGTACAACAACTCTATGTTAGATAGAAATACGAGACTAACCACAGACTATCTTTATGGCAGCTACTATAGTTATTAAATTATGGTTTAGAAAATATGGCGTTGTTGTATAATATACCTACTCCTCTTACTTAACACATATGCACATATGCACATTGGGCGCATTGAAGCTCCTAGAAGCTGTGACACGATAATACAGTCGACCCTGTGTTGTTCTAGCCCTATGCAGACATCAACAACAGAAACAACGCAAAGCTTCACGTTACACAAGGCAACAGCCTTGTGGGAAACTGCAGCCAACTGCAGCCATCCTTGGTTCCTTGACATTGACATGTCTCAACCCTCATCCCCCCTATTGCGGTCATTTCTTTGTTTAAGCTTCCAAACACTAGAAACAGCTGTTAACAGCAACATTTGTTAGCCCCAAGTATCATTCCGGATCCTTCTTCCTAGCGCTACGATTCTGAGACGGACGGACATCGACGGGTATCTAGTCATCAGGATCTCTCTCGCCAAACAATATATCCAAGTGTAGGCGTCACCACGCTTCATCCTGTGCTGGTCTGTAGTTCCCGTTCCATTTCAAGCTCCCAGATAACCCAAGCAGAGCTTACTTTGCTACTAAAACATTGATTTTCAATATAGCAAGCATACCCTTCTCGACACCATTGCGACCCCGTCGGGTCGGTCTCATTCTCAGACGCGCGAGCTAGCCACAAGTATCATACTTGATTCAGAGCAGCTTCTACCGAATCAAGAACACTAGCTACCATGGACATTAATTGGACGACGAAGTCAAGGTTAAAAGCGGCGAAGAAGTATCCGGGGCTCGAAAGTTCGATCTACTACCAGAAACCTACTATACGTAGCTTATCGACACCAATTCAAGGATCTATACCTTTAGATCAAAACCAAGTCCTCTCATTCGAGCTCGAGGCAAGGCCTCTTGAGGAGTATCCTTTCCTTCGAGAACCAACAAAGACTCTTGCCGAACTTGAGAGGGACGTCATTGCCAAAGGGCCTCCTGGACAATGGTTTCGCAAGATTCCAGGCAAGAAGACCGACATTACGTGTTTGCCGGCAGAAATGCATGCCGAGATTTTGAAGAACATATCATTTATAGATCAAATTGTGTGCGAACGTGTATGTACGACGTGGCGTACTATTATTCGGAGGGACTGTGCTGGATTTCGCTATACGGCCATCGATGATTCGCCATTTAGTGGAATCAAAGATCTGGAGCCAACCTGCCCCCCTGATTCTAAAAAGCCGCGTTTGGGGCCTAAAGTGACTACGCAGCCACCCCCGGAAAAGCCTAAGATCCTCATACACCGTCTGCTCCAGGATGGAAACTTTGCTTTCCGCCAGATCCCAGGCACCCAGTGCTCCGTCGAACTCATGTCAACATATTTCCCGACACATCCAAACGAGCCGCCCCGCCGCTTCAAACTCGCTAATTTATCATTCCTTAACGACCCAATCGCTATTTACACTAGTACTGCTTTCCGGACCCGTCGCGATGTCCCCTTTATTACCGTCGTATTCAATGCATCACCGCTCCGAAATGAATTCATGTTAAAGATTGGTGGAAGCTTCTCGACCGCCAATACAACGAATATTGTAACACCAACCCTCCCGACCCCATTCCCAAGCGGGCCTCTCTTACCTACCCTATTTGGCCGCGCCCTCAGCTCCCCTCACGCCCGTATCGCTTTCTCCCAAGGTCTTCGGTATTATCGCCCCTGGGACCTTGGGACCTTTCTCCTAGCCATAATGGGAAGACTCGAGTCTCCACACCATTGGTACGAAGACAGTTCCCTAGAACAAAATGAGCGTTGGAATGGAAAAGATGCATGGGAGAAATGGAGGACTGGTGTCGACGTTGACGGCGATTGGGATATGGTCAACGGCTTCCGATCACCCTTGACTATTAGTCAAATTGTTGTTAAAGAAAGGGAGCTATTGGCACAATATCAAGGAAAAGGATTTTGGTATATGAGAGAATGGGGAAAAGATAGCAAGATAGATGAGATGCATGTGGCGCTGACACCTGTGAGTGATTGGGTGTGGGAGATTTGTTATTGATTGTAGGGTTGGCCTGACCCAGAGGTGATATTCTCTATTCTAGATAGCTAGAGAAGCACCCATTGCTTCCGACACATAATTAGATTCACTGCCCCATTAGCGACACTTATACAAATTATCCTCCAAATACGAAAACCAATGCTACTACCTCCCGCACTGAATGGGACAGGGTGCTACACAGGGAAATATTTTATTCACAGAACCATCTTTTATATCTGGGAACGAGACTAAACAAGCCCTTAATTTCATCTATTTGCATCAACACTGGTTGTGCTGGCTGCACCCGTAGCAAGTTACAATCACAAAGAGCCGTCTACAGCTTTGACGTATCTTTTTTCTCCAAGGTGAAATAGCATCTTCCCGCTGTGCCCTTTTCACCAACCTTGTCACAGAAAACCCATCCAGTTTTCCCAATGGGCTCTTCAGTTGTGCTACAAAGCTGCTTTAGCGTTTGCTCATCCGCATGATTCGAAACAAAACGATAATCATTTTTCTTCAGCCTTCCTACGATGTATGCCAACTCTGGCTTGCCAGAGCGATGAAATGAGACGGTATACGTCTAGGAGAGAAGAACTTTGATGTTAGCTGTGCTTTTAGAATGAGATTTGTATATGGGGTTTCTTGTCAATTGCAAAAGAAAACCGACCTCAATTACGGCTTCTCCTTCAGGAGTTTCATCTACAGGTGGTCCAGAGACTTCGGTAAATTCTGGAAGCGGTGCAGAAGCCGGATATGGCGACCCTGTTGGTCTTGGCTGCGAGGAGATACATATGACATGCTCATACGTAGCAGAGCCTCCATTTGCAAGCACTAGCGCAGTTGAACCCTTCCCAGAACGTAACTGACGTGTGATTTCCGTTATTGCATGCATTGAGTAATTATTTCCCGCACCGCCAAATGATGTTAGTCCGCCTAGCACTGTTATCGGTTTTGGGGGATCAACGACGTCAAAGCCTAGATGATGTCCTGATATCTTTGGAACAATTGGAAAGCAACTGTATAGATCATATACATCAATATCCGCCGTTGAAAGATTGCTTACTCGCAATGCAGCATCAAGAGATTGTGTTATTGCTGGAGAGCTGTAAAAATTTGGTCTCAGCCAGACTTAGATTTTCGCAGACCCGCGTCAGTGTCGATTCTAAAAAACGGGTCTAGGCAACGAAATTTCGATACTTACAGTAAGTGCTATCCTGAGTGCCAGCTCCGCCAAGAGCATATATCCACTTGCTTTTAGGTATACCAAGCTCTTCTGCAAGCTGCGTTGAAGTAAGGATTACAGCTCCAGCCAGGTTAACACTATTGAATGCATTCATTAACAAGGGATCTATAATATTTATATAAATTTATATGTTAGCGAAAGGGACTCCGGAAGCCTTCTGTGTCAGCAACTATTCTGCATTGGAGTCTCACACGGGAAACAGATCATTCTGTTTTTCCCCCCTACGGTCCCGATTGTTTCCTCGCTAACTCTTTTGCCGAAGTTCCAAGCATATGGGTTTTTTTCTGCAATTTTAGCCAGCTCTGCATATATTTTGGAAGATTCTTTGTGATTATCGCTAATAGATTGCTTTCGATGGGCACGATATCCATTCTCATACAGAGGATAGATATGAATGGGAGCACCGATGTCGTGTAGGCCTCCAAGATCTACATGTTGACCAATTGGACAATAAATAAATCAATCATTCCCTGAAGCTTCGAAGGCAAAGGTTTCTAAGGCATACCGCTCCCTAAGTCCCTCGTTGTAGGAGATGGAACTCCCGATATTTCTGAAGCAGATGGCGACCAGCCTGGGGGTGGCAGTTTCCCAGCCGCGGCGCACGCTCCCACTGCTCTCTTGCAATTAGTATATTCCACGTTGCGGTCTTGCATCATGAAGCTTAACATGTCTCTTACAAGAAGCGAGCGCTTCACCGCCGGTTAAAACAGCTACCCTCGTCTGCCCTTTAGATATCCGCCTTGCGGCCTCATCGAACAGAAAGCCAGGCTGGTTCCCGCCGTGGATACTGGTATGTTTATGAGTCGGATTTATGCCCAGCTTCTCTGCTAAAAGCCCCGGAAGGTCGGGATAAGGCCATGTCCAAGTATTAACCGCGTCAATGCTATCAATGCTCGACTTCAATAGTTCGGGTTTCGACGAGTTGGTATCTTTAAGCGCATCTAAAATAGCTTGGTGCATCAGGTCTGCCGGTTCCTTCGCATCCTCAATCCTTGCTGAACGATTGATGACGTCGGCAACACCGATTATGACTGGGACCGCAGCTGCCATGATGATTATAATCTGGGAACGAGACTAAATCTGACTATAGATATCCCTCAAGATATTTGAAACGCAACGAAAATTACAAAAAAGATATTGGGGGGCTTTTCTCCGGGATCCCCTCCGTTCAGTTATTCTGTCGCGTGGAATCGATTCCAGCTGGCCCAAAACTCGGTCCATAAAATTTTAAGCCGAGGCCGAATGCAGTCAACAGCTGACCAGGAAGGGTCGCGTCTTCACATGAACTTTCCACGGAACCAACTTCCCGAGATATCGATAGGATCCTATCGAGAAACTGACCTGCCTTGTGCAGAAATCCCGACGGAGTCCTAGACACGGAAACTACTCTGCAAAGGTAAGCTGACATCCACGCCCATGGTTTACAGCTTTATCAGGACCAGGTCAAGCGCATGCGCGAACCCGGATAGCACGGACCGACCGGAAGAGCATGCAACATTTGCAACGCAGATGTGTAAACCGAGCCGAGTCAGGTCGTATAAGACAATGACAGGCTTGTGACTAAATAAGGACAAGGGTTTCTGTAGATTTACAAACTGCATCTGATCAAAGTATTGCCAATATATGGGTACTTATTTAATGGACTCTCAATCCCTAATTCGAAAGTTCTTTAACTGTCGGGAAAATATCTGCTACTATATTTATTGAATAGACGGAGGCTTAAGTTGCGTTAAAGTCGTATCAACAAAAAAACAAAAAAAACTTTGAACCTTTCGATTCCCAGTATATGCCACACGCGGCCCAGTGTACATCAGGGCTGAACCCTTCGTACCTAGCATTCATGAATTTCTAACAGCTCGGTACTGATATTGATCAAATTTGACCAAATCCAAAATACTTATAGGCCTAGGCCGCAGCCATGAATCTAGCAATAAGCCACACCAGAACAGCCATTACTCCCACAGGTGCTATACCCAAACCCAAACTCATCCATCCTCTCCTAACCTCCCACCACATTCCAAATTGGAATGATATCATTGTGATACAGAGACTCGTAAATATAACTGCCTTTGGGTATGGGAAAAACATTAAAGCAGTACCTTTCATCTTATTGACATCGAGCGCAAAGTATAACATCAACACCCAGGCTAATGTTACAACAACGCCGACGTAGTCGTAAAGTAGGTTTCCGAGCTCGCTAATACGAGTCTGCATACTTAAGAGGCCGGTAGCGAGACTTAGTGGGAGAAAGATTGTAGCTAATATTGCTAATTTTCTGATATGACGTGACTCCTGGTGTTGACGGGTATCTGAGCGGCTTTGGTAACCGTTTTCTTGGAGGGAACGTATTGAGACAACTGTCTGCTTCATACCCTCTATATCTGATCCGAGATTAGACAGAATTCGTCGGAGTTTAACAGACTTAGTTTGTGACCCAGTAAGAACACTACCACCAGTGCTAGCGCTGTAATCGTGAAGGGGCCGTAGCTTCTTCTTCAAGTATGAAGCGTTTTGTGAAAGATTTAACAAAGTAGCTTCAAGTTGGTCGAGGTGAGAGTTATTTCGCTCGTGATCTTTATCGTATGGAGCCAAATCTTCTTTAGTCGCTAAGAAATTTAGGCCATCGATATATCGCATGAACTGTGCCGTGATAATCCGTAGTAGGTCTAAGAGGCAAGCCATTCGTACCCTTTTTGCAACCTGATGGTCTCTCAGGCCAACTATTCCTCCCTGCTCCCAGCAGAGGCGGGTCGCAGAGGCGGGGGACTCCACTAGTTCCCTGAATGTTGTTCTGAAAGAGAGACAAGGTGTGGCGACATCGCCATCTATCACTCTGTGGAATTTATCACTAGTGCGGTCTAGTAGGACAGGATTCACAGCCCAGTCGCAAAACTGATCGAAGAGATACAGATCTTCTTAAGGTTACTTTAAAATATTTTAAAGGGGAAGAAATGGGTTATTGGTACCTGATGCAGTCCTACCATTCTCCGTGTCAGATACTCGACAAAGTGAGATGCTGTGCTTGGAAAACCATAAATTGGCACCGTCACTGGCATTCCCAATTCCCTTCCTCCAGAGCTTGCTGCTTAACTGCGCCTTATTCAGATACGGAAACAATACCAATTCTCTCATTGTCCAAAGCTGTATCTTTCTACCAGCAGCAAGATCTTGGCCCTGGGCCAAGGCTTTACACTCTTCAGCTTCATTTTCCTCGAATTCCTCTACTAGGGGGTAAGAAGACGCCAGAAAGTAACCTTTCAAGCGGCTCAGCCATCCTACCGAAGAGCTTTTGATTGCGTCTATAAATTTTGTGAGACGAGTGGGGTTGATGTATTGAACGTAGAAATCGATCCTGCTAGAAGTACCGATTTCGGATAACTGACCCGCTTTCCAATGCGCGTATGTAATAGACTTGTTAAAACTATGAAACCGGCGGTCTAGCTCAGATGGGCAAGAGAATCTAGATTTTAGAAGTCGATAATCTTCCAGAGTTGGATCCTCGGATAAAATCATGTAGTAGATACAACCGGGTGGAACTAGGGCAGTTCTGTCATACATGAATACACGCGTTTGGTCAGCGTCCAGCGAAAATAAGCTTCCATTTTTGTCAAACAGGAGAATATCAGATCGCGAGTGTAGCGTTGCAGGTGTGACTCTGGATAATTCGACTTGCACGTGTGTCGACTGAGGTGGGGGTTGTGTGTGCATTGGTATTGACATTATATTATCGATCGCGACTTCGAACTGCTCAAGCTAGTTTTTTTATAACTGAGGAAATTCCGACTCGATTCCTGTCGACGTCAGTAAGTAAGGGTCATTAGCAAGATTATTTTGATTTTCTTCTTTTTTTCCCTTCCATAGAAGGCTAGACGGTGAAGCGATTCCATCTTCCCTTTGGTGTAATTAGCGGCGAGGCGGTAGGATTTGGCTATATTTATATTTACGTCGTGGTATTGTAGAGCTTGGTGTTACACAAAAGTGCCGACAAATCACGCAATGCAATACTCATTCTTAGTCCACATATGCACATGTACACCTGATTCAGAAAAAACAACAGCCTTGAACATTGATGAAAATATTTAAGATTACGAATTTTTGTGTCCCGAAGACCAGGTATTCAGAGGGTCCCGTTGCAGGTTTTCTTCTAAATTTAAAGTGATGCCGAACTGCGGAGCTTGATAAACGTATACCAAGCTGCAGGAAACTGGGTACAGTTGAATGGGTGCAAATAGCCCAGAATTGAGGCGCTCTTGAGGCCGCGAGGCTGACCTCAACAACGTGCGTTAACCACACCACTCAGATGTTATAATTACTATGATAGCTGGCTAGAAAAAATTAAAACAAGAAATATGCACCTTGCAATAGAGGCCAACCGGAATCGGGCTGCGCCCCGCCGACACATAATGGCCGCTGTCTCTGCGATGCTGCCTATATATTCGGAACAGGTTTCTGAAGCTTTCATGATGTATTCAGTTGCCCACACATATATATGTACATAGCATACTACTCCACACTAAAAGATAGAGACAATAACCACTCACGTCCCCCCGCCTTTTTTCCCTAGTCTGAGTCAGGACCCTGCAACTTTAGATCAAGTTTTTTAAGCAAAGTATACTGACTTCAAACCGACAAACAGCCAATAAACCACCACGATGCCCTTCATTCCTAGGATTCCATCACGGGTAACACGGCTTATTATACCAGCCGTTCACTCACTCCCAGCTCCACATATCCAACCTCACTACAATGGAAAGCACAGCACAGGGACTTATACTGGGTTTCAAAGGCGGATTTCCCAGTATCAACAACCACTAGAGCATCCTAAAATCGTTCACTTACCCCGCCCACAAGAAATCGAGTACGCTGATGCAGCAGTCCGTGCAGTGGTACATGAAAACGTAAACGAGGCCCTCGCTGCAGGGAATAACGTCCATATCAACGAAGATGGGTCAAAAGTTTATCTCTACAAACAGAGTGATGGCAAGGAAGTGTTGGTGACCGTTGCTGTCGTTGGTGAAGGCGTGGCAGGCGTTGGTACTACGGTAGCCACAGGCGGTGAGTTCTCTTGCGTTAATTAGCTGTATTATATAATCCTTATTTCACCTATAACCTCTTTGAAAATTGCAAACTTCGAAACTGACCTGGACTGGGTACTTAGCTGTTGAGAAGGAATATATGACCCGGACTGGCTTAACCACGCTCGCCTCAACTGAGGCAGTATTGTTGGTGGTGCTCTCAATCATGATGATATGGTTATGCTACCGCCACCGCTGTGAGAAGAAGAAGTTCCAACAGAAGTATATTTCAAATGACCACCCAGATAAAATACCGACTGATGAACCGTGGTTCGTTGACGACATTGAGGCTGCGACCCAGGCAAAATAAATTTGTGTTGTTCTGTTATCTTCTGAACTTCCTTATGCAGTTTAGCCCCCTTACCTATTTCGGAGTACTCTCCTCTATTCAGAAATGTTTATCTTATTCTGAGTATGTAACGCTATCTGTTATGAACAACGCCGGCCCATCATAGGTTCTTTTCCCCCATTTCTTTTTTCTTTTCTCCCTACGCTTCTTAATTATTCTTAATTATAAGCTTCTTCTTCTTCTATATCTATATCGCATTCCTCTCAACTCTTGTTTTTATTTCTCCCCCCCAAAAAAAAATATCAAGGAATAGTCGAACTGTACGTACATGTACAGGGAAAATGTGTTAATCTAGTTGCTCTTGATCAGATCAAGCTTGTTTCAAAATGCATATTCGGTTCATCGGTTTGCCGCCTGAAATATGCCATTATCGGACTTGGTTTTCGGCTGGCTTCATGGAATCTAGATATCCCCTTTCTCATTTCTAATACGCAATAAATACTTCTGGAAGAGCCTTGCGATTGCTACGGCGAGGCGCAACTAGCTACGTCTATTTACCGTCTTCCATTCGAGCTTGATGGTCATATTCTATATATCGTGCCTTGTTGAGATCGATTATCAGATAGCAGCGGTAGAAACTCGTTCTCTCCGGCGCCGCCTCCTAGCTTTCCTTACAGATTGCCCAGGGGTAGATATTTCCCAAGCGAGAACCCAGAAGCAGATCTTCCTCCAACCCGCGAACTTTTAGTATTAGCGGATCGATATAAATGCAGCTACGCAATTCAACACGAGGAAGGCTGATGCTACAAGTTGCTATTCATTTGTGGAGGGAACGGACAGGATAATTATTCTATTTACGATTCTAAAGACATTTCAACTAACCCAAATCTTGACACCATTGGGACAACTTTAAGGCAACAAAGATCGAAAGCCCGATGGTGGGGCTGAATATTTGGGGGAGCATGCAACCCACAGCCCTGAGAAGTACGCTGCACCGTACTCAGTCTAGGAACACGACAACGCTCAAGGAACTTACCACTAGCTTTGTCAAGAATTAATGCGAAATCCGGGATGAAGGAAGCCAAAGTACGGACAGATTTGCTTCAACAGGTGGGTTTTCCCTTAATGAAGTCCGGAAGTAAATTGGATTAGGCCCGCCTCGTCCTCGTTCCGAGCCTCAGTGTCTTTGGCAAAGTTAGCCATGTCAGCAAGTCAACCGTGTATACGTAGTTCACGACTTGGACGGAATTCGACAAAATGATATCTTGCTTAGAGGACTAGCCTCAACAGCAACAGAACAATTGCATGAAGGAAGGCTTAGATCAGAATACGTAATTAGACTCAACCGCAGAAGAAAGAGGAGTATTTTTACATATAATTTGGCGGGGGCATCGTTTCGATCATGAATTCAAGCTTGAAGGCATTATTCAGCATAGCTTCTCCTTCACACCCCCCCAAAACAACCAATGGCATCGCTTCGCAACCTTCCCGTGGAATTACATCACCAAGTCCTATTCTATCTTGTGGACATCGTCGACCAGATAGCAGCAGCTAATACCTGCCCGCTTTGGAGTAAAATCCTTGGAACGAAGGGATTTTTCGAGGATAGATACCAAACTATACCAAAGTGCAACCCAGGGTTCCCACAGATTCACAAACTTCTGTTGCTTTCCAGCGATCGCCAGATCAGCTGCACCACCCGAAACGGCGAGGTGGAAGCTTATGGAATCCGATTTTTAAATAATCAAAACAACCATGGTCGAGATCCAAACTCCTTTCACAGCTGGGATATTTCGGCTTGCTCATTTTTGGAAGAGCCACCCTTTCGCATAACGGGAAGTGGGGCTCTCGCAGAACCCCGCGATTTCCATCCGTATGTCGAAATGAATACGTGGTTACCTGCTGGCTATAGCTATCGCCACTATTCTAAACTCTACGAGTCTAAATTTATTCGAAGTCTCGTCGAGGGGTTTATATTAGGTGTACGTAGTCAATTAGACAATGCGGGCCTGTTGCCAGACATATTCCAAGAAATTACAATATACCAGTTTACAGCGTATCCACAAGACAGCCATCCTGGGCGGATCGGATCTTTTAGCGGGTGTGTTGTGAGGCGATCAGCGGATCAGTATCGGCGATGGATTAAATGCTTCGCTAAAGGAGACAATATTCGTCAAAATTGTGATATCGGCGATGTATGACCTCAAGATATCCCTGAATGGAGCTGACCCGGCACTGAAATTCACATTCATGAATGTGGGTCATTAGATAGGACTAGAATGCCGTACTAAGCTAAGGACCACATGCTCAAACGCCAAAAGCTATCGTTCTTGCTCGAAGATTCGATAGCTACTTCAGTATCTACCCGAGGACGCTCGCACGCATGTTTTCTAGACTATACTTATTGCAGTTTTGGATACTTAGTTATTGTTTGGTAAATGGTTTGGACCCATGGATTTTAGTGCAATACCAATGCGATGTGATTTTTAGCGAAGAGCGATGCACAGCGGCGAATCGATCGGTGGGCTTTGTCAATGCGATCATCTTCCTCAATCCCTGATGAATAGCTTGGGTATATTAGCGTTCCAAAACACCTTTTAGGACCCTGACCTGGGACTATCCGAACATTTATTCACAAGTACCTGTACTCGTACCCATTGTAATTGTACTTGTACTTTATTATAGGTAGATGTACGCATGCACCTTTAGTTGAAATTTACCTACCCGCAATCGATATCTAAATGTATGCTTAGAATAACCAGCAAAAAAAAAAATTTGAGGGCCCAGGCCCCTCAACTGTAGCCAAGCTTGGCTGCCGACGCCGCTGCCGAACCTTGCCTTTGTACACCCTGGATAGTCAACATTCCAAAGCCAACGCCCACAAGTTTGTGGACGACATGTCATCGGACTTGCATGCAAGCTGTGTCACAAAAAAAACCCGATTCGACATTACAACGGACTTCAACACTCTAGTCCGTGATATTTACTACTACTGGTTCTCGGTATAGATAGACGGATGATGAGTAGGGAACAGAGGCAGGAGGGGCCCCGCGGTATCTAAATTGAGATCATAATTAAGTTCCCAAAAGCCATTAAGCCGGCTGTGCCCTTCGGCCCATTTTTCCCATCCAGATCGAAAGTTATATATGGATTTCTCAACGAGCTGTATGGAACTACCGCCACAGCCCATAGCTTAATTGAATCTATTTATTTGTCACCTAAAACTACCTTCGGAAGCTAACACTATAAGTTCATCTATACTATCATCCCATGGCCATATGGGCCTGAGTGGTCTGGAGGGGCCTGAGGAGACATGATAAAAGGTTGATAGGGCTTAAGTTAAGGTAATGTCGCTCGCTGACTATCGATCTATCAGCGCTATTGCCGTAGGATCTGTGACACCTTACATTTTGTAATTAGGCACGTATGTACACCAGACTGGAAGCAGTTTAAGTTGTCAAGAACTGACGAAACAGTTCTATTTTCGGTCCCCATATCTGTTCTTTTCGCGTGTCTTATAAGAAAGAACCTTAATTCAAATCCTTATCGATATCGCTACACTGCGGCATTCTAATTTAACCCAGTAGTATAAAGTGTTATGAGATTTTCTTTCTAGCTAAGCTCCAAATAACAGCCCCTGGAGATACCCTTAAACAGCATAAGCAGTGGTTTGTACTTGTATTTGGTGAGGGTTAGCCACTTCTCGTCTTCATTCCTGACAGATCCCACATACCCATCGTTCTCCGCCGAATAAAGTTTTGGTAGTACAGTACAGCTTTTAGGATTTTTACGATATAATACCGAGCTAGAATTTACTGACCGCGCTACGGGTTTTAACTCGTGTTGGAACTTACAAAAGGTACTTAAACGCTTAGTCCAGACGTCCTTGATTTACTTAGGGTACATACATCTTATCTTGAACTAAATTTTGCCCTTTGTGACGTCTGGGAACGAGACCAAACTAAATGCTACTGTATTCTATCTGAGCCCATCTACTCTTCATCTTCCCTTAATTACACTCGCTCATTTGGTTCCTCTGTAGGCTAGAAGGGGCCTCAGGTGCAAAGCTCAATACCCCTTCAGTTTCTAGATGCTAATATTATGTAATTGTGTACGAAGCTTTGCTCAATCTCTAGCAATACTCTCAAGCCTATGACATGTCTTAATAGATATAAATGAGATTAATAGTACCTAAGCAATTTGACATGGTTTCTATTTGAGTGTATAATCTCTATTATAATGGTACTAATTCGCACACAATTTATGTCTATAAACATTTTGCAAGTACATGAGTGTCCTTCTAACCCATTTGTCTAATCTACTACTTAGTGATTGTATCGATAAGAGCACAAGATCCGAGTTTAAAAAAAGAAAAGCGAAAGAATGGCGAGGCTTTCATGATATATTTCGAGGTATCTGGCCGCTCCGTGAAGCGTACTGTGGTTGGCTGGGTGCACCTGATGCTTTTACAATTTGGCGTGAAACTCCGATACTTTGCGCCATGTATCAGTGAGACCAATAGGAGCATCCATTCTTGCGGTGTATAAGTCCACCAACTATCAGTGTTAAAATCATTTGTGTTAGTTTGAGCAGATGTCAGGAATGAGCTTGCTTTACGTATCCATACCTGAATAACATTCGCCTTCGAGAACTCAGTCCCTTGTTTAAACAAACTCTTAAACTGAGACTTAGTCTTAATGGCGAAGTTCTTATACTCGCCTTTATTCGCTCCAAATGCTTTCAAAAATTTTCGATATTTCCACGGTTGAATATCATTATAACCCATTTCTGGTCCATGGGCTATCCTTTCAGTAGTATATCCATCATTGTTAATAAGAACGATGATGGGTTTTAGACCGTGTCTAATCATTGTAGAAACTTCAGTCCCTGTAAGTTGAAAGGACCCATCTCCCACGAATAAGATGACTCTACGGGACGGTTGGTCACTTTCCACAACGGCGAGAGCGGCACCCTGACAAGAGCCCACCGAAAACCCGATTGAGCCCCAAAGCACCTGTGTTATGCAAGTAACCCCCTTTGGGAAGCGAGTGCTCATGATACCGAAACTTGAGGTGCCACTAAGAATAAAGGAGTCAGCTTGCAACAGCTCACGGGCTCCTAGGACCACATTATTGACGTTGAATTTTTGCCATACACATCTGCAATTACTACATCACCTTCTTGCAACCAATCACCAATATTGCTCCAGAGCCACTTTTGGCTAATTTCTTGACTTGTATATTCAGGAGATTCTGCTTCGTCGCTTAGCCTCTGGAGCACGTTTGTTCTAGCTAGCGCATCCTGTGGCGAGTGAACTTTCTGAAAATCAACAACATCGAGTAGCTTTTGTAGAAGCAATTTCATCCCCACATTGGCGTAAGTAGCGTAGCCGACCTATTAAAATTTAGTGTTTGAACAGATTTTAAGCAAGATTATTCATAAACAAAAAAAAAACTGCATATCGTTCGATGATAGGTAGACCTTACTTTAGTGTAATTGGGGTGAAGTTCAATCGTATGCTTGGTTTCTGTGCGATTAGTAAAGCCGCCACTATTGAAGTCACAGTCCACGGCCCCGATGGAGAAAACGAGGTCGGCAGACTGGACTGCCTGCTGAATTTCTGGTCCAGACACGTCACCGATGTACACTCCTTTGAAGTTGGGGTCGGCTTCATTAATAGCTCCCCTACCCTATTTGATCCCGACAAGATAAGTAAGCTTAGAACCGTAGTATATAAAAATCTCAAGCGGTAAACTTTCAGGCCGCTAAGATAGCGCGGATTCGTAGTAAAGCCTCATTTTCGAGATATTCGAAGGGCACATACCATGGAGGTCGCAAAAATGGGAAGTTGCGACCGATCAACAAATTCCTGAGTCTCCTTCAGGGCACGGTACCGTATAGCACCACCATCTACGAGTACTATGGCATTATTCGATTCATACAATGCCTTGGAAATCAATTCAACAGCATTCGCTTCAGCATTTGGGTCGTTTGGAGACACGGCAAGGTCTAATGGGGTATTAAGGCCTTGTGCGGGAATCATTGAAAGCACCATGTCGGTGGGGAGCCCTATATCAGATTTACTCGAATTAGAAAACTAAATCATTTATATGTAAAGTAAATTTATCGACATGGCACTTCAGATTAGGAGCCATAAAAATCCGATTCAACTTTACTACCCAGTGGGTTTTGTACCTATATAGACAGGTCGAGCGGAGAGGTAGCATTCTATTACAAGAGATGATCATTTAGTTATAGCTCTATTTATGTAACCGAGACTGTCAACATAGTTAACCAGGATACTAGGATACATACCTTGTAAAACACTATCAATATCCTTTGCCGCGTTTTTTGAATCGTCAAGAATAATACTGGCTTGGGATATATTTTTCGATATATTCCTGAAGACAGAGTAGTCGCCATCAGCAAAGGAATGGTGGACTGGCACCCCGTGCTTTTTAGCCTTGGCTGAAGGTATGCCGACAATGTGGACAACGGAAACGCGCTCGCTGTAGGAGCCAGCAATCTAATACCCAACCATAAGTTACCAATATAAATTAACTACCAGGCACGTACCTTAGCTAGAAGCCAAGAGTGGGGTCAAGGGCATCGGTCTTACAGCAGGAACTGCACTAAGTTCTCCAACGCCGAAAGTTGTGATTATGGCAGACATCCCATTGATTCTTGCATAGCCATCAGCAGCATAGCCGGCGTTGAGTTCACTACAATTTCCAACCCAGCTGTTGCACAAAACACAATGTTAGTACCAGGTTTCTATTGAATTGCAGCGATTTAGCGGCCACAAACATAAGGCCTCATATAAAAATAGCACACAAATGCGCCATAATTCTATCAAAATATTTCTAACAGATACTGAGCTATGCATGGCTTACTGAAGACCAGCGGGTTCGAGATAGTCTAAGGCGACTAAGTTGAAGTCCCCTGGGACACCGTGGACGGATCTGATACCAAGCTGATGCAACCGCCTAAAGAGGTAATTGACGATCTCTATTTCTTCCCCCATTTTATTATATGATACCGTGGTGTTGCTAACTTGTATATGTGGTTGTATATCTTGGGTCAATTTTCAAGCGTAGAACCCTGGCACTGTAAGATTTTGGCTGGACTTGAAGAGCCAAACAGCAGATATTTAACTCAGAATCTGGAACCGAGACTAGGCGAAATTGAACTTTGTTCCATAAATAGGACGCAAGAATGTATAACTTATAAAAGGCCCCTTTTTGTACAGAAACGAAGGGTGTTTATGCTATGAAAAATCTCATTCAAACGCATAACCATTGGACATGACACGTAAATGCTCAAATAGTTACGGGCAAATTATATACGGAAGAGTAGTCGATGTACGATCGAGTCCTCTAGGATATCGTGCAATTATACATATCACTTAGGTCATTAGCAAGATCCGCTAGCTTCATTCATCCTGATACTGACATGTATCCGGTCATGACTTGGTCGCTATCGCGTTGGTACTAACTATGACCCGAACGTTTTCAAAAAAGTCTGGTCACGAGACAGTGTGTTCTCGAGCTTCTCTGCTAGTTGCAGACTAATGGGGTCTTCGTTCACAGACTATATTTTTAGTTTTCCGGAAGATTCTACTTCCGTGGATCCAAAACGTACACAGTCAACTTTTGAGCACTTGGTATCAGCATTGCTACATAGTCATAGAGTGTATGTAATGCATGCATCGATATCTAGCTCGGTGGCCAATTATCTAGCGCATATGTGTATTGTTTCGCATCGCCGGCCTGGCTCTTAATTATTCAATTTCTTAATTCTAGTTGAGACTAGCCCCTTAAAAGGGTTTAAGATGTATGAGATCGCAGATTTTTGGGGTGTCGTTATCGCCCCACTATCGCCTCTATCGAACCGAGCCGAGCCGAAGTGGACAAAGCTCGAATGTGCTAGTCTAGCACGATCGATGCCTCTGCAAAATGTACGCAGATCTAGTGCGGCACATCTGTAGTTAGTACTATGAACCAGCCTCGAATTCGGGCGCTGCACTGCATTTTTTAGACTGCCGAAAATACACAAACCATTACACCCCCAGACTACCATTACACAGGCTTACCTGGCACGCTGGTATGATCGTCGTACAGCTGTCTTAAGCTTACCAGACGTTTACAAAGTTGGCTAAGAGTCGTGTTAATGTTAGGCAAAGACCCTACCATTTCCCTTCCCACGATTCGCTGATAGTGCAGCTGGCCACGCCGGTTTTACAGGACCGTTCTATTATATTCAGCCTCAATTTATTGACATATCGGTCGGCATAAATATGCCGAACTTAGCTCGATTCATTATACTCCATGATCCAGCCTGCCTGGGAATTGTAGAATCGAATAACCTTGGCCTTGATAACCTTAGCGTATATGCCTACCCTGGCACTCCAAATCATACCGCTAGCCGGAAGCTTTTTATTGTCGTTGGTTCGATTTTCGAAGACAGGAGTCGACGTCAGGGTTTCGGTCCTCAACATCAAAGATATCCCAACATGGGAACATACTACCCAACTCGACAATTCTACTGCTCAACACTATTACCAGTACTTGAGACGAACTAAGCAAGTTACATACGTCCGGACCGGCGCCGTCAGTTAGAATCCGGAACCCATCGTCTAGACTTGCATTAGCTAACCTCTTTTACTCTAGCTTACAAATTAGGGCCCTAGATTTGACAATGATCAAATGAAAGAAGTTTCGAATGTTCGCGAACTAGCTTGAACCCATCCCCCAGAAACATGTACCAATACATCTTTCACCACAGATAAATTTAATACTGCGGATATTCATACTGAAATCATAGACGAAATTTCATAAGGAGACTAGTTACGCCATCAAGTGATATCAAAATATTCGCTACGGTCGCGGTGAATAGGTTAGGGGTTATAAGGCTAAAATAGGTACCTCGACGGCGGTATGTCTAGATTGCCGCACACAATATTTACGTTCGGATGACGCTTTTTTAAAAATTTATGATGATATGAGTACGCAGATGTACATGTATTTGATCTTAAGTTTTCTCTGGCATCGGGAACCTCAAGGCACTACCATCCGGCCACTTACCGAGCTAGCTGAGGCGCCTTATTAACCGTGATCGTGAGGATCGAAGAGTACTTTTAGTAAGCTTTTGGGTTGCAAGCTGCCAGCTGCCGCACCTGCATATATGGTATGTATGTGCTTATGCAATCTGGGTCACTGACGTCTAGTCTTGATATTGACTAGATACACCAGCGTCCTGGTGGCCGATAGAGAAACTCACTGGTATGTATATAGTAGCCTGCCTCTATGGAAATATGGCGATAACTAATTTCCCAAATTATGACTTGTGGAATGTCATATTTTCTATCCCACATATCTATAAAGCGTCTAAACTTATAATTGAAACGCCACTACACAAAAATTTTAAAAAAAAACCTGTTTCGCTATAGCGCTAGCTAGGGAGAATTTGATATCTCAGGGTCTTACGCCTATATATATTCAAAGAATTCTGACCCAAAGCTCAAGTCCTAGATCAGCCAAGGGAAGATAGGCAACGAAGTTATCCGACCTTGAGAAATAAGATATTGTTGGAGACCTTTCCACAGATCTGGTGAGCCTAGATATCAGTCGGAAGCTTGTTACTTTATAATTTGCTTGTGAAAATTATCTAACAAGATATATAGCACCCCCGACCCCACAGCTTAACTCGAGCGTCTGCTTTACGAGACAAAAATCAAGTTGCACTGAAGTAGCGTTCGCGCTCGAGTGCATATGGAGGAGGTTTCCAACGACCATCCCCATTTCTGGGGTGGCGTTGATAACTTATACAGTGATGATTCGGCTTCTACCGCTCATAGAAACTCTGTATCGAGTCACATTTTTGCAAGCAGCCCGAGTGACACGCTTGGGAACTACACATCACCACGTTTTCGCGAAGGCCTAAGCCCAATGATGACAGATTTCCCGCTTGGAAACTTCATCAATGACACCTTTCAAGATAACATACCTTTATACTCTCCTTCCTCGCAAATATCAAATTCACCTCTGCAAATTGCCTTTTTGGAACGTTGCGACAGTTCTAGTAGTTTAGAACAAGCACCCCACGGTATCCCTGCAACGGAAAACCCTCACCGCCAATCAACTGACGAGTCGGTCTGGGATCAGTTGCAAAATGTCAAGACCAAGTCAAATTTCTTGTGTGACTGGATGAATGCCGTTCTAGAGCTAGATATGGACCCAGCACTACAAGGCTACCCTAGAAATGTGCGCACACACCACTCCGGGCAGTACTCAGAGGTTGATCCCATCAGCCAATCAGTTATGGTCAACAACCCCGATATTTATGACCGTGGCCAAGTGCATATCCCTTTACGGCCTATCAGCTCTGTCACTAGTAGGGAGCTGACCACCGACCAAGATGACAAGAGCCTGCGAGAAAGTAGTGATAAGAGTCGCCGTAGTAGCGGTGGTAGTGAACGGAAGCAAGTTAAACGGAAAACAGCTCCAAATAAGGAAGAGGATAGTGCAGCTTCCACTACGAAGAAGCGTATGTCCCCAACGATGATATTTATACTTGTCGTGCCTCTAATTCTTTCTCAGCGAGATATATCTCGATGCGGGACATCAAGGAAACTCTCGGTTTCAGCCATTCCGATGGTAGAAGCGACAACGAGAACGCGAACGAAGAGAATGCTTGTGGGGATGGTGCTGGCTGGCAAAGAATCTATAGCAACTGGCGTAAGGATATAGCTAGTATGGCAGTCGGTATGTTGGACCTTGATTCTTTTGATCGGCTATATTATATTTTATTCTAACTACCTGATTTCATGAATCAGCGTTTGTATCTCTAGAAGCATTTACCAAGAGTACGAAATATCAAGACTCTGAGGTAGATAGCAATGGCCGGCGTCTAAACGTCATACATGGTACTTTCAAATGGCGTGGTTGGAATGAGATGTCAGAGAGCGAACAGAAGGGGTTCCTGAAATCCGCTTTTCGGCTTCCTTGGTTCGGAGTTACACATTCGTCTGCAAAAATTGACGAATGGATTAAAAATGGATTTTCATCAACCGTGGGAGAAAATAACGATGTCAATGCCATCGTTGATGCCGCAAAAACGGTTATTCTCGATGTCTTCAAGAAGCGAAAGGACGGAATGAAATCAGCCTATATAGAAGCGTACATTGACGGCATCATAGAGATGGACGCCAACGGCATGATATCTGCTAGACTCAAAAGAGATGAAAAAGGGTGTATGGACAACAATAAGTTTGATCAAAGGTCAAAATCTCATCAGAATCGTAGGTCCACTTCAAGGTATTATAAAATTTGGAAAACAGCGACTAACCTCGAGTTTCCGGTAATGATATGCACAGCGCTCGCAGATGCCCTTAGTCCTGCTCCAAAGGGTCAAGAACTACCAGTCCGTTACCTTCGATTTTATCCTGACGATGATCCTAATTTTGCTTCTAACTCCCTCGATACCGCCTATCCATATGAACCAGATCCGAATCTATTCGCGTCGCTGGGCCGCCTGAATACCCATTCAGCAAAGATAACGGACATTCAGCTAGCTATGACGGCACTAGATGCTAATTCTTCCCTCCGTCGGATTCTTGGGATGCTTAAGGGCGACGATGGGTCTACGAAACATCGAATGGCAATTTCCAGTGACCGGGAGTTACAAGCGTGGTTAATGGCTACTGTTGCTTCGCGGGCACCTTTTGATATCTATTGCATTTTTCAGCGGAACCCTGCCACAAATGGTGGAAGGCCAGACTCTCCACCTCCTAAACACTCTCGATATCTAAACTAAGTTCATAAAATTGAGCTAAAAAGTCCATAGTTGTTGGTTGTTGAATTTTTGACCGGCATCAAGTCAAAGCTATTTCATTCCCGGGGAGCGAGTAGTTTTCTTTATAGTTATAGTTTAATTAAGGCGCATAGGTGTCGTTGTTCTGTTCTATTAATTCCAAAAATACGTTTTTATTTTATTTATTTTTCGCTTTTGTCCTCTTATCTATCGCTATAATATACCCTATTGATTTCTACTGTGTATATTAGTCAGGGAATGATGTTCTTCTTTGGATCCCGTGACCATGAAACTACCTGGTGGAAACAGAACCCATCGATATCTCCTTAGTATAGCGTCGGTGGTCAAAATTATGCTATTCGCATGCAACAGGGGCCCCAGGGGAAAGTACTTTGCCCTAACGCTGCAATGTCCCAGAGGCCAGCCTTGTCGGGACATGTTACATAGTAGCTCGTACCCCTGTCCTAGCATGGATTCTCAGCGATTTTCTTTATCCCAGCTAACTATTCGCTTAACGTTAGAGGTTCCTCAAAACCACATAATTAACATCTATAATAAACCAGTTTTCCTGACTAAAATATAAAGTAGCTGACACAATAGCTACGATAGACCCATACCTCAGAAGAGGGGTGAGGCGGCATTCGGCAGGGATGGCATGGGGGCCCTCATGCATTTCATCGGTTTTTATGCATACACTTGTATTATTTTGAACACTATTGCGGCTACAGTACCCGAGGGCGAAACTATCTGGTCAATACTCAATCATTGGCCGTGTTTTACATGATGGAATATATTTAAAATGTACACTAGTTAAGTTCGGTTTGGGGTACCGGCTCAGACTTTGCAGCAGCATTAATTCTGGTTTGCGAGGTAGATCAAAGCTCAGACGTTTCAGTGTCGCTTTTCTTCCCCAGACTATTGGTTTTGATTTATGATATTAAACCCAAATAGACTAGTCGGTACAGTCAAGCTCCACGGATTATGTACCGATTAGGCAAAATACTCGAAGTACAGATATTTATACACGCAAGACTAGTACTAACTACTGTCCAACTATGACTAACAATCTTTTCATGGGGGTTTGCGCAAGCAGTTGCATTGCGTTGCTGTTCGAAATCCAACTCGGTCTCCAACAGAAGTGCGCTTAGGATTCAAAATGCAGCAGCTACAACTACATGACAACTACATACGCATACCTATACCCATATCTATGTATATGAGTTATCATTCTCTCCATTTCGCGTAGTTAAAGTCTTAGTCTTTCTTATGATCTCCCATAGCATTCGTAGGAAGTACAAACTATGTATTAGTCGTTCCGATTCTCGTCACCTAAACCGATACGGTTACACAATCGAATTATTCAAGGAAGAACCGAATAAACTAGTTAACTTTAAATTTTAGCTCCCTGCTGGTCATATGCGCCATACTTTCCGGAGTTTCAGAATTCTCGACAAAGTGCTGCTAGCCAGGGTTAACCAAAATTGTAGTCTGTAGCCGATCCCACATTGTAGTCTGGTGGAGCTCCATGTGCAACCCCACATTGGCAATCAGGGTCCCGATACGCAGCTAGGCCCTTTAAATGCAGATGGCTGTCTAGCATGACGCACTAGATGAAAAGCTACATAGCTACGATGCACACTCCTCCTGAACTACAGTAGGCTAACCGAACTTTAACATATGACGAGACTTACTAGCATTTAGGAATTTGAGGCTGTGAACCGGGATCCAGGGAGGTTAGGTATCCGATTTTTGATTAAGGGAGCTTTAAATTAACTTCCAATCACCTAGTCGATTTGAAAGTTAACCTTGGCCTATCCAATCCCCGAGATCCGAACTCCGAGTTTGTATTGCGATGACCCGGAATGTTGTAGCTATTCTACATAGACGCTTTCCCACGACGTGTTCCTATTAAAATAGAATTTAGTCACCCAGTCGCCGAAAGAGCGGGATGTGCTACACGGGTAGAGAGCAGAATTCTAGAAAATCCCCAAGTCGGAGGTGAGCGTCCCCAGACTAGTCGACTAAGGAGATACACCAGCCTCTATCCCACCATGGTCTTAGCGCGCTGCCATATACATGAACATTAATTCTTCCAGCTAGTCATAAAGGCTTGTAAAACCATAAGCTCGCTAATCAAACACCGAATCCGAACATTATCCCTTATTCGGGCCGGCGCCGAAGCTGCAGCCAATCGCCGGGCGCTAGTCTAGAACCTATGTAAGCTAAACTCCGACCACCCTCACATTTGTGAGAAGTTCTTAGCGTCCCCGGGCTAGAAGTTCTTAGGTCAATTATGCCATCGATATTCCGACCTGATGCGGGGTTGTAGAAGCGGTAGCATATTCGTCCTGCAATAACTGGACTAGATGTATACTTATATGCATATACGTGTATCTATCTACTAGTATACTATGCTTACCGAGGTCTTATCGGAGAACCCGAAAAACGGCTCTTTCATACGTTCCGCGGATCTGGAGGTTCATAGAGGCCCGCAATGTAGAGAAACCATGGGGCTTTAACCAATATCGATCACTTGCCAGTCCCATATTTGCAAGGGTTTGAAATACAATTGTTGTATACACGTAAGTTAGATTGTCAAAGACTTCTGCAGGATAAATATGAAACTATTTATATCGAAAGTACATACGGCTACAATATAATACAACCTCGAAGAGATACATGCAGATACAATGTATAATAGCCCTATCATTATCAAGTACCAACGCCACATTAAGCACTGAAAAATGTAATATTGTGCGAACAGGGAAAGTTGTGCCGAAACATCAACACACTGATGGTTTCAAATTAACGACCTCTATAATATTAATCTTGATTTACCATATACGGACAAAAACAATTGAGTGTACATGATATATACATTGAGGCTTTACTAGAAATGAGACATGTGGGCACTGGCGGGGAAAGCGATTGCGCCGGAGTCATGTGGCGCTTTATGTGTGTACATGTGTTATTGATCAGGAAACTTGATAGCTTCTTTAATGCTATTCGAGGATAATTGATTTATGCATGTGAATACAATATCCTTTCACGATTAATATCAGCTATAAGTCCAGCCGACCACATATGTGTCGGTAAGTATCCTATTGGACCGATCTCTAACCAGAGACCGTCAAGGCTGTAGTAGGAGTTTGCCAAAGCAATGAGATTGGCTTGTGGCTACTAGTCCATTAATCTTGTATGCGACTAGCTATGCTGTGATGCGGCCCACATCGGAGCCGCCGTACTATCTACAGACGACTGATAGGCCAAAGATCTGAGTATTTAAACCCCTTGTTTTCCCTCTCACAGTCGCAATATAATGTTTTGGCATACTCTGGAAGCTAAAAAGCAGGAACTCCCAAAAGACTCAAATTATGGACGCGATTATGATACCCGGTCAAAAAGATGGCATTTTCAAGCCGGACAATGCCGCCAGGCCGAATTCGACAGATACCAGAGTATTCTCGCTTCTATCCCTCAAAGGGCGCACAGCAATTGTCACAGGAGGTGGAGGAGGTAATTACCACTATTCACATTGCCTATCATGTGGCTATGCACCGTACCCGCCGCTAAAACCCCACACACTAATACGAACCTGGGCAATCCCTCTTTAGGTATCGGTTTTGCGGCCGTTGAGGCTTTCGCTGAGGCTGGCGCCAATGTTGCCTTATGGTATAATACAAATAAATCCGCTGTAGAGAAGGCAGAGCAGGTTTCAAAGACCTACGGCGTTATATGTTCGTCGATCATTCCCTCCAGCGGCTTTTACGAGACCCTTTACTAAAACATCGACCAGGCAAGGCGTACCAAGTCAAGATCACAGACGAAACCTGTGTCAAAGAAGCGATTGACACAGCCGTGAGAGACCTCAACGGTCGTCTAGATATATTTGTAGCAAATGCCGGGATTCCATGGCTATACGGTCCCATCATTGACGTCGACACACCACTCTATCACAACATCCTAGATATTAACATGCACAGCGTCTTCTACGCTGCTAAAGTAGCAGGAAATTATTTCAGACGACAACAAGCAGAGTAAACTGCTGTAGATGGGAAGAAACTTGAAAATTTCAATCGGGGATCTTTCATTATCACCACAAGTATTGCAGGCGTGACTACATTGATACCAGCCGCTATGACACCTTACTCTATGGCAAAGGCAGCTTTAATCCAGATGGCGAAAACTTTGGCGGTTGAATGGGCCCCGTTCGCTCGCGTCAATGCCATCAGTCCTGCATATATCAGCACCGATATGACCGGACAAGTTCCAGAGAGCTTAAGAACCACCTGGTCCGGCCTTACACCTATGGGGTAAGCAAAACATCTGAATTTACATTAATTCCATTGTCCCACCTGTGCACGCTTTTGCGTTTATTCGAAGTGGAGTGGAGTCTCTAGCGGCTGCTTACGAAAATAATTTCAATCTATGTATAGGCGCGAAGGGACTGTAGCAGAGTGCAAAGCCGCATATCTATATCTGGCCAGCGATGCTGCTAGTTATACGACTGGAACAAACCTTTTTGTTGATGGTGGAGTAAGTAATATCTGATAACTCCGGGGCATGAAGTGCTAAAATCATGATTATATAATTATTGAGCCCGGCTAATCCTGATATAGTACACTTGCATTTGAAACGATAATTATAAAGTAGTAGTATGCGTATGTAGCTACGTACCAGACTTGTAAAATAAATATTCTTCTAGGCTACGAAAGAGGGCAAAGTCCTTGGAGCTAAGCTATTGATTAGGGTCAAGAGCAGTATCCTAGGAACCATGATCGTTAACACTAACTCGACTCGAGTCCAAGTACCTGTCGAGATGTATATGTACGCGATGTTCGATATTCAATATGAATGAAGTCAATTGATCAAGCTTTGCGTTGTGATATTGTTGGAATTTAATCCGAAAATTCGATCCATCCACGGTCGCAATCCCCATAGCTTAGCATAACCTGGCCTTCGGGGTAATGATGCGGATTTCATCCATTCCCGGAGCTTCTGCCGTAAAAATCAATGCTATAGGCACTAGCTATAGTATTGATTGCTATGAAGAATGTGAGAGAGCCGTTGGCAGCCACTCCACCCTCCGCTTCAAGAACGGGCTTTAACATTGCCTCCATGAATTTTCGAACCGTGATATTCTCCCCCCAATATTCAGTTCCACGCCAAGTCAGTCGAGGAAGGCCTGGCACACTTGTGAATAAATCAAACTCCATACGGTTTATCCAATTCGCAAGTTTCGGGTCTTCACCGTTCCACGCAGTAGGCGAAAAAAATGGTTCGTCAAGAAAAGGGTTGTCGTTCCTTAAGCGATTTCTCTGGAAGTAGTACTCCCGAAATGAAGTGTCTATAACATCGCAGCGGAAGCATTCTGATTTAGTTGAGATCAAGCAGTGGATACCCCGGGCGGTTCTTTCTGAAGAATATCGGGATTTACGCATCGATTGCGAGTCTTTGATGATGCGACACCAAGTTTGGGAAACTTCAGCCGCACGGATTTGGTCCTCGACGGAGAGGTACGAGATTATTTGCACCTGCAGTTCGAGTGGGAGACGTCGACGTGGGACAGATGGAGAGGCCATGATACTGCATCCGCTTTAGATGGTGAAGTTGATGAAGAAGATATCGATGACGATGTGCACGTGGATATAAAATTCCCTCATTCAGTTCTTGACTCCGTATCCCTTTCGAAGCCTTGCAGGCAGAGATGTCTTACACTCGCACGGTCGATTATTTGTTATTTTTGTCGTTGGGATTTGCGGTCGGCCAACTAGATGTCATGACCTGATATGATATAATTTATCCCAGATTCGAATTGATGTAACAGTGTATGAATTACATAACATCAACTGAGCAGCAGATCCCCAGAAGGTTAATTTACCAGTGTTTCCCGCATGCACGAATGCGAATGGATCTTTGGCTCAAAACGAAACTCGAGTCCGAACGATACGCCGTAGCCGAATCCTTTGGTAACAATGTTTGTGACGATCGGCAAAGTCCTCATGATTCCGTGAAATTCACAAGGCTGTAACGTAACGGACCTCTCCATACATCATCTCCAAAGTCCACGCACACACACACACATGCATACCTCGCACGCATTCTTGTGCAAGAAAATTTACCACCGAAACTGAGATTCATGAATTCAATTTAACGGCCGCAGATACAATGGAGCAATTACCTCGTACACAGCAGTCTGAATCAGCGGGTTACAGAGACATGGGCACGGACACAAGCAACGGCCAGATAATGTTAACACGGCCCCATCAAGCGCGAGTAATTACCACACTTCCGTTAGAAATCCAATCAGAAATCCTCAGCCACGTTTCCACCCTCTCAGATCAAATCTCAATTAGTCAAACCTGCAAACTCTGGCAAACCATCATCTGGGAGTGCAAATCATGTCAAAGACAGCGATATGCTAGAGTATCCGAGGAGGTCGACATACATAAATTCATAAAATATGACAAGCCATTGATTAAATGGCTCTCGTGCACTTTCGAAAACGGGAATGTGAACCAATACAGATACAAACAGTATGAATTCGAAAAAGAAGAGGACAGTGAAACGAGTTCACGATGGAGGTGGCAGGATCTCACGAATTTCAAATTTTTGGATGATCCCGTGGTTTCTCCGTTCTGCCAGGTTCCAGAATTCTTCAACGGAGAGCGTGGTGATAAGGGTAAAAATGTATTATTCATCAACCGGATTTATAGATGGCCACCGAGTGCTTTATTTTTTGGCCGCCGAAGTTGGGAGGGTTTGAATCTACCCGAGTTCCTAGAGCTCAACACTAGCTCTCGTGGAAGAGGAGAAGAAGAAGAAGAAGAAGAAGGGTCGGAGTTGGATTCAAACAAAGAAGAATGCTGGCAAAGTATTCGGATCTCTTTAGAGTTCCCAAAGTGTCCTGCTTCTTTAGGTGTATTTTACAGGACTTTTGCGTTCGTACCGGCGGACACCACAGTCAGAGGGCTCCTACAATCCATTGTAGAGGAGATTCAGCCAGTGATGAAGAAATGGGAGTTCGATTCCAGCGTTGAGCATGAGTTGATATTTTCTTCAATCCGAGATCTCAACCACGAGTTTGAGGATGACCCTATCGATATCTACCTGGAACTGAAATGTGATATTCCTTTCATCCCCGGAAAGGATCGGTCTTGGGTGGAAACCACTAGATCCGCAAACGACCAGTCTGCAGCTTCGGCAGATGCCTAAGAACGTCAATACTCCCCTACTCAAAAAAGATTTTGGATCGCTTTTACCTGTATTTCTTATCCGGAACTTGATTTCTTTGAAGTAAATTCATAATTAATTGATAATATTTCCAAGTTGAGGAATTAGTCTAAATCTAGCAAAGGATATATATTCTATCTACCAAATTTGCAAAATCCCAGTTCCCTTTCTATGTCTATTGATCGGTATATTTACATATATTCATTAGCCCTTAAATCACAAATATAACGCCAGTAACTCCTAAAAAAGACCCATAGTCGGTATTGAATTTCCCTTGAGGTAATATTGGGCAAAATTCCCCCTTTCAATAAGTAAGCCTTTCGACAGAGAACGCCGTTAGCCAGTCGATCTTGAAGAAATCAAGATATTCAAACTGGAAGGAATAGAAGTTGTAACGTGGTGACCCAATCGACAAACGGGTGGTATTCGTATCGGAGGATCCGAATGATAATATTCCAAATATTTCGTGGATATCTAGATTGCGTGTAGCGTATACGTTATCTTCCATCAACCGGTAGCTTCAGTCGTACAGGTTGCTAGAACATGAACAGTAATCGCTACAACATGTGGGGCAGACCGAATCATCTCGATAATCACTCTTCCAAATAGATTTTTTTAGAGATGATTTGGATGATCGGCGAGACTTCAAGGTTCGACCAGCGCGGGACGGGGAGGAGGAGCGAAAGAGGGAAATGAATCTTGAGATTGATGACATGATTGTCGTGGTATATTATGAAGGTTGAGATAGTGAGAACGTGAAGTCAACTATTTGAACGATAACCGACTACTCAATTTCGTATATCGAATTAAAAGAAATAAAGATAAATGACGGTTGATTTTCGGAAGCGCCAGCGCTTTTCTGTAGGCCAGCTACTGTAGTAGAGATAAAGATCGATACCGAGTATGCTTTGATAGTGACTATAAAATAAATAGGATCTCCCATTATCTTTATATACTTCTTCCTTTGCATGCATATGTCTTACCAATACATAAATATCCATACCATGTTTTAAAATTTTGCTATTCGGTCCGCTATACAAGTGCTCGTTAATCGAACTTCACTCCAGGGTATCATATATATCATTAACGCATTAGTATTAACTTATCGGGGTAAAACATTAGATCGAGAATACGAGGAAGAAATTGTGGTTCCAAACGTACGTACAAGTACTGTCTAAGTCTGGTCCTTGAAAACTTTCACCCCAATAATAAGGGACTCTCCTCAAAGCATTTGGATTACCCTTCTTTGGCGACTCGGAGTTCTCAAATCGTCTAGAATATCTATGGTCATTGTGGTATTTAACCGACGCTACCCCTAAAAAGGAAGTCGGGTCGGGGTTGTCTCGAATGGTCTCGATGTCACACAGGTTCTTCATCCTGGCAGGTATCATGATATCACTCCAGATAACACTGTGTGTGCGATTCGAATTGGAATCTGAGACGTCCAGTCGCTCTAATTCGGACCCACTCCTTTGGCAGAAGGGCTTCCAGAAGGTTTGGGTGTAAGACAGGAATGCTTTTTGGATGTCAATTGATCAAGGGGAGTATTGTCATATTAATATGCGACAGTCTCTTCGAATTCTCCCTCGCTTCACATTGCATTGCATGGGCTCTATATTAGAATTCATTATTGAACAAGTACAAAACCGAGCGCGACCAGAATATGGCTGTGAGTAGGTAAGCAGGTATAGGTACTTATCATACACGGAGATATCGATCGAGATTTCTTGTATTATTAGTACTTAAATTACGCCTCGGAAGTCAGCATACAGTGTCGCATGTTGAGACAACACAGCACCAAAGGGTCCAGGGAGCCACAACACAACGCACAACACAAAGCTATCGATCGGTATCATCTGCTTCGTAATTACACAGGCTGATGCTAATCCGCTGATCAAACCAACTCAACTCCGGCTTTATCTAAGAAGGCCCTATTATTATATAGACATGAGAATCGAATATTCGTTTAAGTCCAATATAGGAGAGGCTTCAAACAGTTTGAGTATCTTCCTGAGAAGAATTTACACAGTCGTCATTTTAGAAGGAAATACTACCTTGACTTTTGAATTCCAACCCGATTAACAGTGGCCAGGTGGGGCCGACGCACAGAAATGGAGCCAAGCTGCCGAGTTCAGCTGGCGAAGCGATAACCTCGCCTAAGCTACTAAGTATGTCCATTTGACATCTGACCCCGATGTCGGCTTGACACAATCATGATCATGACCACCTGGACGAGTGTTATCAATTGATCAACTTCCTCATCTCGGATACTCTTTCATTAACTTGTCTGCGCGGTTGACTTCAGCTTCTCTAATCTCGAGGCCGACTGTTCTCAAGCTTCATCAAGGCGAAATCCCACGCGCCAAGATGGCTTCCGAAGATGCTGTCCGGACCCGAATCCTCAACCACATGAACAAGGACCACGTCTACGACTCAAAGTTATATCTAATCCATCGCCTTTCCTATCCTAAAACTCTTCTATTACCATCGAATCCTGCCAAGGTTCAACTCTCTGACATCCAAACCACCCACCTAACAATCACTGTCGACGATGTCGCTAAGGAAATCCCGTTCGACCCACCCATGGCCTCCCTCTCCGACTCGCGTGTCCGTCTGGTGGAGATGACAAAACAGGCAGAAGCAGCATTGGGAGTAGATCGTGATATGGTTTCTATCACACCCGTTTACCTCCCTCCGCGTGGCATCGGAGAGTGGACTCTTTTGTTCACCATGCTATCATGCATGTATCTCCTCTTTATTCCTTCTACCTTGCAACCCGGCGGGCTTCTCTACTCAACTATCCTCAAAGATTATCCATGGATAGCAGATGCGATGCATAAACAAGTCTGGTGGGGGTATTGGGTATTGGTTAGTTTCCATGTTGGAGAAACTTTATGGTTCTGCTTTGGAGTTTTGGGGAAGTTTTGGGAAGTGCCTGGGGTTGATATTGGGACAGCGGCGCTGTGGACTATTGATGTGGCTATTCATGGGTTCTATGCACTGAATAAGTGGAAGAGAATGGTGAGGAGGCAGGTCAAGAAGAACGGAAAGAAGGATCACTGATAAAGCTTGATAATATGGTACGCGAGGTGAGCCTGAGACTTTTATATTAAATTTAGTTTAGCTAGCTGGATACTGCGTCGTTGTCAGTTTGCTTCAATATACCCTTCTACACTACTATTTCAAGCTATTCATTTTTACATCATAAATCAACCAAATTCCCTATCGCTTTCAGTAGTTATTGTATTTTACTTGCTGCGGAAATCTCAACCTGATAGTAACTCCTAACCAAGTATTTAGGAAGTCTCCATGAAGGACTTTCTTACAAGCTGGGCCGTTGAAACAAAGGTGTGGTGCAAGTGGCATAGACGATATAGAAAAGGGTATACTTGAATCGATTTCGTCTAGCTAGAATCCCACCTGATCTAAAGAGGTTGACGTCTACTGAAATACCCCAAACCCAACCTCTACAATATTGGAGGCGTGCGCTAAAACACTCAAGGAGATACCCCTCAATATACCCGTTTAAGCCCAATCATCCACATTCTCAATCACATAATCAACTCGGATTGTGCCGAGGGTGATATTTCCCACGCTCGGGAAGCTGCTAACATGATAATGAGCGGATAAATAGAGAGTTTAGTCTGGCCATGCGTACATGGTGGTACTTCTTTTAAATATCAGAAAATTCTATTATATCATGACCAAATCGAAATTTTGGGATCTAGCCAACCCCACACCCCCTAGTTGGAACGAGATGATTTCAGTGGGGGTATTACGTTGGGGTGTCTCATCCTCTCCGTATTATCGGGTTCGACCATAGCAGCGGTATGCCTGCAGTTGGCTTATTAATATATTAAGTTTTATAGCCCTGAGTTTTGGTCATGACTTGAGAGGGGTCTGGACCGTGCGCTTTCGGATTTCCCGCAGGATATTTTGATATGGAACTGAGGTTCGATTCCGGTGGTGGATCTAGTTGATCGATATATATAACGTCGGTTTATCATTCATGACGAAAAGAAGACCTTTAGTACTAGATAGATAGATATACTAGCTATGTATGCTAGTACTTGATCGATGGCGCTCTCGAGGTTAACAAGGTAGTAGATAACTAGCGGGCGAACAAGTTACCGTGTGTATAACTATATATCGTGGGTCAGTCAGCTAGCTATAGCGCTAGCCTAGCCCCATATCCTATAAATTCGGCTGACGAATGATAAGGGTTCATATCTATTGGGTGACACTGTCTCAGCCAATCCTAGTTGGTATGATAGCCAAGTGTTCGAGATCAACTTGATTTTCACGTTCGAAATTCCTGGTATGCGGGCTTGAAATCAAGCGTCGAAAACCTCAGCTCCGCGGACCCTGCAGGCAGGTTGGTATCTCGGATCTTCATCCGAGCATGCGACCAAATTCCAAAGAAGAAAACTATCTTGCAGCTTGCGGCTGTCCATGCACACACTTAACACGTATGTTCCGAGTTTGCCTAAAATCCAGGATTGTCAATTTGCACTTATGCGCATTTAGCGTGGGCTACATAGTAAACAAATATATGCAAGTGCATGTGCTTGCTATAGGGTACCAACTCGAAGTTAGTCGACGGCACGGCAACAGCCACCGCCAACTATACTAGTATCAGGTCGCCCCGTCGAAACTCAAATATAAAGAGTGCATGGACATCAATAATGATTTCACGTTTCTTCCGTATATTCCGCAATAACCCCAGATTGTGGTACGATTGGAAGGCTTCTTACAAAGCTCGTCATCCTCAGCTTGCCGAATATTTGATAATGGAAATCTACATTCTCTCTCCAAACGCCGTTTCACGCACAAAATACAGTATTTCCACAAGTACAAGACCACTTAATTAGCTTAAACACTTCAAAGATTTCAGAACCCCCATGCCGTGCGGTTCCCATCGTATGCGGGAGCTAGGATGCTAGCGAGGCTCCAAAGTCTCTAGTGACATGGGCCCCCATGCAGTCAATCTGTGGCGCTTGCTTGGCACCTAAACTATCCAACCTCATCCAGCCTAGCTGACGTGATTTCAACATTCGAAGACGACATCGAACATTGGAACGCTTCAAGTTTCACTTTCTTTGCTTCTCAATGTCCCAGGCTCGTAATATGTACGGTACAGGATCAGACGAGCTGGAATGCTTACTCCCAACCAGTGGGACAGGAAATTAAACCCTAGCGTTACCAATTGATGATGGAAAACACTCTTCGTTATTTTTTGTAAATAAAAAGAATTTGCGACCCGGATCCAAGACAAGCTTAACCATGCCCGTGCTGTGATACAGACGCTTTTTCTGCAGATTGAACAAATTTAAGATCTGGAACGTCCCATATGTGGGGGCGCAAGCCGTTTTCTAAGATAACCGATCACCTTCTCTTTGGAACTAGCCCCTCCGTTCCATGGGAAATGCTTGCTTTGCTTGAACCGTTGACACCCTCAAGAGCCAGTTGGAATACACGTGAGCCCAGCAAATGGAAGCTCTCTTAGCCAACAACTATAGCATGAGGCATCCTGACAATATGGTGCAAATAAGGGGAATTGATAGGCAGAACCCGGCCGCTTGGAACCTGCACCTTCGGTCACTTTCCCTCTCGCGAATGTTTTCCTTGTTTTTTTCCCCCCTTCTAAAACCCCCCTCTGATATTCATGTCTTAAAAAGTGCAGTGTGCAAATTTGGGCAAGCCGGCTGAGAGGCAGCTGATTTGATGCTCGGATTCCCTCTCGCAGGAAGAAAATCTAGCACGCCATATTTTTCGAGACTCCAATTGTGGGGACCGTGATTCTCCTGAAGTTTTTTTTTCGGATTCATATGGCTTTACGTTGTTGTATATTTGAAAGGATGGGTCGCACCAAAACCCGCGATCCACTGATAACTTTATTTCGTCTTTATGGAAACCCACAAAAGCTGAATGTTTCGGTAATCTAGTCCCACAGACGATATTTTAACAGCAAAGTTGGCCTCTATTGGCTAGTTTGTCTTTTTCTATAAAAGCAGCTATGGAGCAAAGGCGTTCAACATCCGAAGATAACAAGGACCCGACATTCACCGCGCTGACACCAACCGAGTCACCCGTCGAGTATCGAAATAACATCGAAATAGCTGAGTTAACGGCGACATCAAAACGAGACCTTGAAGCCGCTAGAGAACGTATTCTGCGACGGCAGGCTCTCGTTCGGCAGGATGCGCCACAGTTACCGTTTTTAACTTTCTTCAGGAGGGGCCTGAGTGATGACGAGTTAGATCGGGTTGCTACACAACCCTCAGTTTATGATGATCCGGCTACTGCGAAGTTTTTTGAGCCGCATCCGCAATGGGAGAATTTGCATCGGTTTGATCCTGAGGCTCGATGGACCTGGAGGGAAGAGTTGGTATGTGTTTTCCGTTTTAGTCTGCAAATAAGGAAGTATATAGATATAGTATGGCTAACACGGGTCTTTGAACGAAGCCATTGATTAACAGACTTGACTGGAAAATTATGGTCTGGGCATGCATCGCCTTCTTTGGTTTAGATTTAGGTAAGCGAATTTAAACAAATCTAGATATATTCATATTATATTATACCTTTGGAATATACATATATTATGTATCTAACACTCAGATGGCCTGTTCATTTAGGACGCGGCAATCTTGCTCAAGCAAACACGGATAACTTTCTTCCAGATCTAAATCTAACGACAAATGACTATAACTTGGGGAATACGGTTTTCCAACTATCGTTTCTAAGCGCTGAACTACCATCTCAAATAATAAGTAAACGGATCGGTGTTGATAGATGGCTTCCGTTTTTGATGTGCTCTTGGGCTATTGTGTCCGGGTCGCAGTTTTTTCTGGCTGGGAGAACCTCATTTCTGATTTGTAGATGCCTGCTTGGGCTTCTGCAGGGGGGGTTTATACCTGAGGTTCGTACTATAATATGATTTACCGCTTCTGAGAGGGTATTTGCTAATTAGACTCCTGAGTCTAGGTCGTCTTGTATGTTTCTAAAAATCTAACAGCGGATTACAACATCCAATTAACCGAAGCAACAATAACTAATCATATATATCCAGATTTTTAACCTACTTCTACAAAAATACCGAGCTCCCATTCCGTCTTGCAATATTCTGGTGCACCCGTCGGTTTACTGATATCGTCGCCCCAATAATTGCTTTCGGAATCCTTCGACTCCGCGGAAAGCACGGCCACGAAGGTTGGCGCTGGCTCTTCCTAGCCGAAGGCGCAATGATGTTCTCTATTGGCGTTTTCTCGGCTTTTTTCATGCCAGCATCCCCAACTCAGACTAAATCCTGGTACCGTCCTAACGGCTGGTTCAACGAGCGAGAGGAAACAATCATGGTCAACAGAGTTATCAGAGATGATCCATCGAAAGGAGATATGCACAATCGACAAGGACTTACGTTAAAACTGCTGTGGAAGTCGTTGGGCGACTTTGATATCTGGCCAATTTATATCTTTGGCATGCTTTGGGAGTTGCCTTCTGGCCCGCCGGACCAGTATTTGACCCTTAATCTGAGGAATTTGGGGTTTAGTACTTTTGATTCGAACCTACTGTCGATTCCGTCGCAGTTCTTTGGGGCTATTACGGTATGGGCGGAATGTGGTCACAAAATTATATATACTGTTGCAGTTTTACTAACTTCATACGGCACCACCGTATAGATGCTTATCTTGACCTGGCTTTCGGTTTCATGGAATGAAAGAGCGTCGTTTGGAATAATAACACAATTATGGTATTTACCGAATTTAATCGCTTTAGCTTTGCTAAGACGACAGTCGGCGCATCACTATAATTGGTCCACCTTTGCTATTTTAACGGTTTTGTTATCTTATCCTTCACGTAAGTATTGCTCTCCTTAGTACAAGCGATGTTAGGAATATTTGACTAATATTTTTTTTTTGATATAGCTCATGCAATGCACGTTGGGTGGGCGAATCGGAATTCTAATTCTGTTCGTACCAGAGCCGTTTCAGCTGCTCTGTATAATATGATGGTGCAACTTGCTCGAGTGATATACTCGAATATTTACCGTGAAGATGACAAACCAGAGTGTAAGTTAACTCCAGTCCTCAAGCTCCTTAGGGCTTGACCAAGGCTAACTTTAAAACGTGATATATAGACCGACGAGGGAATAAACAATTGATAGCAATATGTTGCATGAATATTGTTGTCTACTGTCTTGCTAAATGCTATTATCTATGGAGAAATAGATCGAGAGACAAAGTATGGGACTCTATGAGCATGAATGAAAAGATTCACTATTTGGAAACGACGACGGATTCGGGGAATAAAAGGAGGGATTTTCGGTTCGCGCATTGAGAATAAAGAATTTTTTTTGTTTTTAGACAAATTTTTGAAGGTACTTTATGGTGGCGTTTGGAGAACTTTCGTCTTTTTTTCTCTTCTCTCTTCTTTTATCCGGCCAGGTGGTATAGTAGGCGTTCGAGTGGTTTAATCAACATGGTTTAGATTCAGTTGGGAGGAGATTATAGGTTTATAAATTTCTTTATATATCTTAGATCTAGAGATATGACAATATTAATACTATTATCATTAACAGTACTCTCGTGTCGAGTGGTTTGACCTAGTCCAGTCAACCCCACTTGATCAATTGATGGCATGACATGTTAAACGAGGAGTAGAAGACCTATCATTCATTAATCCAAGTCCGATCCTTATCCACAAACATCCCATCAAGCGGGTCCACCGCAAGATCAAAAATCTTCGAAACCTCATGAACCTTCCTAATGAACACAATCCCCATTCTATCATACATCCCCAACCTCAACCTCATATCCTGCTTTCCCGCAATCTTTAAAGCATCAAATTTCAATACATGCTTTCCAAGAACTTCAATAAAACCCCCAACAGAAATATCTAAATCCACTTCTCCACGAAGAATATCACTTTCCAAATCTTTCTCTTCTTCTTCTTCTTCTTTGCCGTCGACGTCACCATCGTCTTCATCACCTTTTCCTACAAAACTAAACCAATCCTGACGGTATATCTGCCGATCCTTCTGGCCACCATATTCATAACCCAATTGATTCCACATAATGCAAACCCCCATCCTCCAGTCCTTCTGTCTGATATCACGTTCATACCTCCACCCCTGAAAATTCAAAAGTCCTTCCTTAAGGATTTGAGAATCCGTTAGGTCAATAGTTGCTTTTGCACGGTCTTGATCATTTTTTAAACATCCTTCGGTTTCGTTTCTTAAAAAGATTATCTTAGAGACTTGACCAGTGAAGATGTTGATTGTGCATTCAAGACCGATTGAGAGGAAGAGGTTGTGGATTTGAGGGTAGAGGGGTGTGGCTGGGGTGTACCGAAGAGGTTTTGTGGGGTTAGAGAGGATGAGAGTAGACCAGAGGGAGTTAACTTCACAAGCCGTTAGGTGGTCTTGCCAGGGGAGGAAAGAGAAGATGTGAATGAGGAGTTCGGGGGGGAAGGTGGTTATTGACATTTTAAAGAGAGCATGTGAGTACTTTTGTGTTGAGATTGTTGGATTTTGGATTTGTATGTCCTGAGCGTGACTCGCGACTCGGATAACCCGCGAACTTTTAAATTTGACAGGATAAGTTACGTCGGTACAGAGTCAGTAATGGGTATTATATACTTTACTACTATAACGGTGGTCTTAAGAGTTAGTCAAAATACATTTTGAAACTTTTGCAAAAGGGCGCTAGAGATTGGACGGTCTTGCGTAGTGAGCCTCGTCAGTTCGGTGGAATCCGAGGTTATGCTCGCTAAGCGTCCACGCGGATCTTACGTACAACCTCTGTGACATTACTGTCGGTAGTTAACGACTTACTAAGTAAACAAGTAAAATGGTATTCCCATCTCTAAACTCTACGGTGTGTCTATCCTAGCTGTAGAGTCATTAAGAAAAGCTAGCTCAAGGGGTTAATATTATTCTATCTACAAATCATATTTCAAGCATAACTTTCATATATGTGAGTTACTAAATCACAAACGAAATGTCAACTACAAATTGTGATTTGCTCCTTGTTCAGATATTCTCTTTGATGTTCAACGCCACCGATACTGTCCTTCTTGGGCATCTTTCCTCCTGTCCTTCTCATACTTCATATCATCCAATCCCAATAGCACACATCCGCTTCCCCCTTTGGTCGGCGCCCACCCCTCCGCGTCATAAACAATTTGATTCCAAAATGATGTCCAATGCCATGGTTTCACCACCTTTCCACATATTTCTCCATCATCTACATCCTGTACATTGACAAAATACCTCTCAAAGGCAAATATCCCCATCCAATGTTTCCTCGGGTTCCTATACGTCCAATTCATGAGATGTTCTCTTTGGAGGTATATCGGTTTTACACCGCCTGGAATATGGACTATTCGTTGTTCCTTGCAAGTACTCCAACAATCCTGACAGCCGTGGGCTACTAACCTCGAAGCTGTGGCGGAGTGAGAGATGCTGGTTGTTAATAGATCTCTGATAGTGAAACTTTTGACTGGAAGTTCGAGAGAGCCGAGTTTGTGACTACAGCTTGCTGGGTAGAACCATATATTGCAATCTGGTTCGTTTTTAGGCGAGAGGTCGATGCTATCGTTGTTATAGTTGTTATCGACCCAAACTGCATCATCAAGAAACGGGGCATCCGTAAACTTCATTGCACCTGAAATACTAGATATCGGCTGATGTTCGAATAAGTTCGTATCTAAGAAAAATAGATTCTCAGGATACTGTTCCGATTCCTTCTCGCTAACCGCCGCTACGGGAATAAGTGTAACTGTCATTGAATCTGACTCTTGAATTGCTTTTTTAGATTCTGGTGAGGAATGGACGATGAAGTAACAGTCTCGAAGGAGTTGGTGGATTAAATAGCGTTCATCCGGGTACGTCATTGTATAACGTAGTTTTGATTGGGTATAGCGTTCGGCGAATGTGAAAGGGTCGCTGATGAGATTGTACCATATTGGTAAAACACTTTCGCAGGATATGTGATCTAGATAGGAGAGGTGGGAAAGGATCATGATGTGGAGTTCAACGGGGAGGGAACGGATTCCTGTCGGAATTGGGGGTGGCATTGTAACGTATGTAAAATGTGTTTGTGTGGTATTTTGGTATTAGATATCCGACGATACCGATCTGGCCTGGCCATTCGCAAGCAACGTTGCGCAACTAGAACTACTTTTATTTAGTTCCCTATCGGTCGGTAGGTTAAACGAAAGTCAAAGTCGATATACCTCCTTTGACAAAAAGCTTTTTTCATTTTGGAGGCGGACTTATGAATTTATGGGTGAAGGTTTTGGCATCCTGCCTGGGGCTGAAATTAATTGTGGTGCCTGGTCCCAACGAAGCTAAGGATTCATGGCCACGGTATGCACCGCCACATATGATGTGCCGAACGGCCTATGCTACATACAGCACATGGGCTTCTTTTCTCTGCTGCTATCACTTACTTCCTTTAGTTCGTCGCGAGATACACTTCAGGCATGCAAAGCCACCTTAATTAAGGTTAGATAAGTAGATATCATATTTCACGAGGTTCCCAACATCGTACGTTACAAGCTATAGACTAGTAATTTTAAATTGCCTTATAAGCGAAGTATCAAAAAGTGCGTATTGGAAGATTTGAAGCGGAGTAATGGGGACCACGTTGCAATTTTACGATTTTGTTAGTCAAAAAAAAAAGAAAGAAAGGAAGGAAGGAAGGAAGGAAGGAAGGAAGGGAGAGAAATATATGGCCCTACACAACGGCTGCGGCTTTAGCCTTGATGTGCTGCAGCTGCGGTACGGGAGGATCCGGTTCTCCTGTGATGAAATTAACGAGTTAATTGGACACTCTTAATTTTCCCGAGCCGGCCACCTATAGTTTTAGAAGCCCCCCGTTTGGTCCTGAACAGCCCTCCAGGTCATCAGAATCCGCGAGAGCAAGACGCGTATTGATATACGGGCATACTTTCATAAACTTCCCATCTAGTCTTTTCTCCATATGATTCTTCCTGGCCTAAATAACGACGTGGTGAGTTGCTGACGCTAATCTATATATAAGGTCCAGAAGTTGATTGACCCATTCCATAAAAGTACACCTTCAAGGTTGAGATTGCCATTATATGCATTGGTATATATACGTATTCCGCTCCAGATGTGTCATTCCAATCTAAAAACGCGGCAAGCTCAAGTGAAACTATTGTATACACGCGACCAAAGTTCTTCGACGAAGATTTTTAAAACAGACCTTTGGTATACTGATCTACCCATATAAAATTGCCCTCATTAATTCAAAATTGATAAATATGAATTCGGCCTTTTCAGTGCGGTAAGCTAGCGATAAAACAGACTAGGAAGCCACCAGAGTTTCACACCCAAGCTTGCTATATATAGTCCAAAATAAACCTAGGGTGGTAAATTGTAGTTGGGATATATCGACATGTACCTTTTTCAATAAACTGATAAAACAAGTGTTTTGCTACTCATTGATTTTGAGAGGATACAAGATGACACATCAATCCTTCAAGATACGGTTCAAAAGATTCATCCTCTGGAAGCCTTTTAATCTCTGCCCCGTTCAGGAAGCTTGCAGACAGGACTTGATAAAACCAAGAGGAATAACCTGTGAATTGAAGCATGAGCGCGTTGAGGCTGTTGTAATCCGTATTAAGTGATACTCGTGCTGGCCATGCCCATGGTCTCTAGTCCTAGGGGTATGGTGTCCAATCTCTGTGTTCGAAGATACAGTGAATTATATTGAATACATTGTATAATAGCACTTATCCGCAGAATTCTTGCGTATGAGGCGACTATCTAGAGGGCCTTGGTGGAAGCGCTCAATAGTGACTTAATTAATTCTAAACTCACAGTCGGATTAACCAAGCCTGCTAAGGCGAGTAATTCAAGCTAAAGAGCTCGTGGTTATTGAAATCAGCTTCGTGAGCCGAACAGAGCTCGCACTACAGTCGACCAAGAACTCAATGCACACATGATGTCCGCTGCACCCTTGTGAGGAGATCGGATTTTTACATTCATAGGATCTTAAAACGGTCAGTCTAAGTCGCCCAACTGTCCCCGGGGCTAACTCTCAAAACGATAACACTCGGCTTCCTTCTCTTTTCCCTTTCTTGTATAATGATACCAAAGTCCCTACACTGTTTCGCGAATTCCTCATATCCGGACTTCTCCCAATCCCCAAAGTCCCAACTGTCGAGATTTAGATTATCAAGCGTTTCGCGAATTTCTTGATACGGTGACCGTACATAATTCCTCGTATTTCTCGCTTCAAACATATTCGCACAATCAGTGCAACTGAACTCAAAGCATTGCTTGTAAATCTCATAGATCTTGTCGAGAACGCTTCCGATTGATAAATATTGGTTCTGGGTCGAGTCTAACAGCGGAATTCGCTTCTTCGAACACATCCGGTCAAACTCCAAGAAATAAAAAGGTTTCGGCTTGGTGGGTGATGACGGTGGTGGTAACGAAAATTCATCGTTCGTCGCAATGGCATTAGAAAGTAAAGAAAAATAATCGAATTTATAAAATTCGGGTCTCTTTGCACGGGTCGGGAAGTAACATAGGGCTTGATCGTCGTAGAAGCCTAAGTCCTTTGTTGGGGATATTTTGATTTGGCGTTCTTGGGTGAGAGGACAGCGGCGGTAAACAACCGTGCATTCTTGGAAGAGAAGGTGACGTCTGTGAACACGGGGGGTCTGAGTTGCTGACCTGCCGTATTCAGGATTATTGTTAGCGGCGAGGCAAAAAAAAAGAATTTCAACCTCATGATTAATGGATCAATCGACATGGGCACGCACTGGCCAAACGGTCTCCATTCGGTTGAGGAGCCAGGATAACTCTTGACGTCCTGATAATAGACCGAGGGGTCACGGTATTTCTTGAGAAGATCGCGCCAAGCCCGGCAAACTTGGGATGCAACTAAACAGTGGGTCCAGTGCCCCAATGAGTTTAGTATTTCGGCATGAAGTTCGAGGGGTAAGCTGGAGATGTCGGTCTTCGGCTCGATTGTCGGTCCACGGATGGTGCTAAGTCGGTTCGAATTCATCGAGTTCGGTTTAGCTGTATACAGGTTTCAATAGAAACTATCTTATGGGAATTGTTGTTGAAACAAATTCCTGTCTAGCTACTGGTGAAGTTTTCGGAGGGGAATATGAATTCCTGATGCATTGAAGCCGGGAATATCCTTCACACATATTCCTCGAGCCGTCGAGTTAATTCAGCTTGGATCCTTTTGCGGTGGCGTATTCAGCCCCTCTGTTCCAAGACAGGCCGGAACACCAGCACCCTTACTCCGTACCTAAGTATGCGTATGAAGTATGTACTCAGGTTCATTCCGCATTTGTGTTGAACATCAGACACCATTGGCAGACCACCTAGATCACGGAAGTCTCTCTAATCAATATCCTGCGAATAGCAATCGCGATAGTTTACCCGATGAAACAGACCACACGAGCGGACCAGTAACTTTGTTCCTTCCGCGGTCGCTTTTTGCTTTGCTCTGGAAAAGTATCTGTGTAATACCATGTACTTAGTATGTACATCATACATGTAAGGCTCCTGAGCTTGGCTGATTTGGTGGGCGACTTTGGCTCTGATTTCCAGGCTGGGAAGCCGATTGGGGCTAATGCGAAGGGATCTTCGCTGTTAGCTGCATGGAACGGCGATATGTCGATTCATATGAATTCATAAGATTTCATATCCGATGGCCATGTCCGTCGAGCAAGGGCAGAGGAATCGGGGCAACTAGTTTCAGAAGAAGGGCGAAACCCTCTGCCATAAATTATGTAGTAAGGACTTAAGTACTTACTTACATTTGTAAGAGAAGTGTGTCGGTTGGTAGATGTCAGGTATCGGTCTCGACGGGTCGCCTTATCCTCCTGGCGAGCTAAAGTACTGAGCTATACTACCACCAGCCTGGCGAGCGGTGGCCTTAACAAGCAAATTGGAACCGAGGGCAGGCATGTTTGGCGGTTTGACAGCTGGCCGGCAGACGAGGCGACACCGAAATTGATGGTATGCTGCCTGGCCGGGGTCGAACAGGCAGGTCGAGTACATGGCAATAAGATGGTATGTGCCTCGGAGTGAGCTGCAGAGCTTCCAAGTTCGCCAAACAGGTATACATACCTTATTTTCGTGAGTTCAGGAAAGCTTTCGAAGAGTTGGTGATATCTCTCATCCAATCAATTTTCCCGGGGTGACGAGTACTCCCTGTGTACATAAATGTTCTCCAACCTTTCTATACTTGCAGTGGGCTCTTTTCCTCCTTTCCTTGAACAAGGGACTCCGAGGTCTTCGTTTCCAGTTAAGGCTTAACCGGATGTATGCAGGTTAAACATGCAGTTGGATTCACAGTCTTCAGCACATACCATTCATATCATATAGACCGCACATACATGTACACCCATACCAGGTTCTTGCAGTTGGATGTCGACAATGGCATTGTTCCTGTTCCGTGATTTTGTATGATTTGCAGCCGGGTACATTACATGTACTTATGTAAGTACCAAGCACTCAGGCTTCCAGAAGAGAAGTAATTTGCCAAAAAGGACCGATTTGGCCTGGGGAGGGTGTGATATCGGTAATCACCACCCTGCACTTAACTCAAGGGATTTAAGACTTCACCCATGCTTTTTTCGAAAATTTCCTGACGTGCGAAGATACACACGGTCGTTAAAGGAAAAACGCCCAGAAGCGGATATCCTTCCCGACCAAGGGAAGCATTTAGGACTTGCAGGGGGTAGCAGCCTTCGAAATCCAAGCGCAATCCAATCTCTGAGCCGGTCCCTTCTAACTCTACGGAAGAGTTTCCATTACCCTTCCCGTTCTCTACGTTAGTCAATTGGCTTAGCTTTGGCTCTTGGGAGGCCAGCCGATGAGACTTTTCCAATCGATACGGAGTACTGGCGTCTTATCAGAGTCGGGTAACAACTGACTTGGCTAACTAATGGTGGTGGTGTTAGTGGTGCCATGGACCATTCCGTATGCGGGGAAAATTCTTCCATTTGCCAATGCAGTTGAATCATCTTGCAACTGATCTTGATCTTAAACTTGCTTACTTTAACCCAACCCAGGCCGGACTCAAAATAAAAATAAAAAAATAAACATCCTCATACTTGAGTACTTTTCCGAAGTTCTGGATGTCCTGTTTTCTGTGAAGGAACGGCGGTATATAGCTGGCGGCGCTCTGAAAGATAGTTTGGTCATTGGACGCAGGGTCAATACGTGTGTCGATAATACGAATTTAGTTTCCCAGACACACACACTCAGACACGTTCACACATACATACCTCATCCAGCTGGACGGACATAGTATACTACTAAGTACTAAGTAGTTACTAGCCCTTGGATATTTCGTTTCATCGCTCGGGTTTTCCCGTCCGTTTGTTCAGGAGAGGCAGCAGTGCAAAATCGGCCGGGAACCCAGTCTGCTGTCGCCAGTCCCATCTGCCTGTCTAACTGTCTGTCTGCCAGTTGATTCGTCTGTTCGTCTGTTCGTGCTGAACGAACTGACAAGTTCTACCTGTCTGTGTATCCATTATTTACCTGCTTACTAGCCCGGTTAGCTGCTGCTGGTCGGTGCGATGACGAGTACTCGAGGGGACTGTCTTTTATACTTACATCCTTAAGTACTAAGTAAATTCAGTATCGTCGGAGCCCACTTGCAATTGGACTTTGCACTGCGCACTAGTTAAGGCCTTAGCTAGTTCAGTACCTGGGTAATTAGCAAGAACCTTAAATGTCCTTTTTCTCCACCCGTTTCTTTTGTCCAGTTGCTCTCCGCTATTCTTACCGACTACCTAAACGTTACCATCAAACCCGTCCTACTTTCCAATTCCAATTCCAATTCCAATTCCAATTCCAATTCCCGTGTACCTGTGTTCTTGTACTGTACCGTACCGTACTGTACTGTACTCTCATAAGTATATGTTCACATTCAGGCTATTCCCCCTTCGTATTCGATATCTTCCTGTAGCCTAACCATCTTCCTGTGCCGTGGGTGTGCGCATGTGCAAACAGGTGCCTGTGAACTACAGTCTTGTTCGTTAATTTCGGCTCCGAGCCTCTTTCGGTTTCCTCCCCCCCCCCCTCCTTAACCAAACCTTCGGGATCTTAGGTCTCGAAGTTGAACGCCCAGTTTTCTTTTCCTGTTTCGCGCCTCTTGGTACGTATAGTACGGTTGTTACTAATTCCAATTTTTGGAATCTTGTTTCGGTTTCGGGGTTTCCTTTCTGTGGTGACCCTTAAGGTCCTTTAAAACGGAAGGGCCACCTGCTCAACCAGATTGCCGGGTCGGCAACCACAACTCACATAATCATCCCAATCCCGAGACTTTGGGTCCTGCAAAATATCTTCCGCGCGCTTTTCTAGATTCTCAAGTCGCTTTTATCAGAAATTGTTGGTGAAGATGTCGAGTCCAGCTCCGTCGATATATCACGATGCAATTCTCGTCGATGTGAGTGTTTTTCTTCCTTTCCTTCCGTTCTAATCGAATCACACAACTTCTCGCGGCCCCTTCTCGCCTACTTCACTCACTCACCCGGTCAGTGGTACCTGATAATCACCCTTTTCCGTCATGGGAATTACTAAAAATCGTCGTCCAAATCCCATCGTCCTTTAAGTTATTCTCAGTGCACTTTTTTTTTTTTTTTGTGGGTCAGGCACGTAGAACGGCTACTAATCATTTTTCCTCTATTTTTTTTGGTGGCTTGTGGCTGCGTTAGAGCGACGATACCGACTACGACCATTACTTCGATGAAGGCGGCATGTAAGGCAAAATCTCCGTCCAGGACAACACTTGACATGACATGACATGAAATAACATGACATGGGCCATGGGAAATGAACAATGCCATTGTCTTATGGGGCACATGGTAGATGGGTTCCAAACTCGCGGGACCTGTTATCGCCATTCTGCATTTGTGCCACACACCCACCTAACGGTTTTTGCATGCAAGGCCTGGCTTGTTCCCGGCCGGACCCAATTTACTGTTGGACATTGCGCTGACTGTCCCTGCCTTTCCTGCCCCGGTGTTTAGTACGAGTACTGCTGCTTCATTAGCTTCCCAGATCACAGGTAAGGTCTTCTATATATACCCATTGATAGCCAATTGAGTTCATTCTGTCGGCACGTAGACCGCTGTCTTTTGCCTCTGTGATGAATGTGAAGGGATACTGTGACTGGAGGTCCCCCACATGCACGCCTGTTTTGTCTCCACCGTATCCAATGGCTTCTTCCATGCCTTGGAAATGTTTCAAATTCTCGATCCCACCTTTTTATTCTTTTTCTTTGGGTGTGTTTCCGACTAACATGGTCCCGGCATCTCGATTCGAATTGCTTCCACAGATTACAGATACGAAAATGGACGAAGATATCACGCCTATCACGGTCACTCAGGTTCAGGATCCTATTGGGCGCCAAATGATGAGGTATGATTTGCCCGGAATAGCTGAGGGTTTTTTGTTGTCGTTCATTTTTGTTCAAAACGTTCCATTTGGAATGTTTGGGGCTCTACCACGCACACGCCCACACGCACACGCAAGCCGCCTGGCGTGACGTCGGGTTGCTCGGTTATCCCGGATGGGCGGTTTGCTATCAAGGCTCTAGTGTCGTTTGATGCAGCAGCGGGCGCTGGCTAACAAACGTGGCATCGGTACAGGCGCAACAGCAACAAGAGGAACTATTGTAGGGTTTATTCCTTTTATATTTAAGGCGTTATTATAGACAAGATGTCTTAGCGAGGGGATCGAGAGCTCTGTGATATTCTTTGAAGATAATTGGCTGACTTTTTGGATATGTAGCCATTTGGTTTACACACTGAGGTTAAATGGAGACTTATTCTTGGCCCCGGTCGAAATGGAATACCCGAAGCTGGTGCGTTTTGAGAACCGTACATTCGTGTCGGAGTTGAAACCCTGTTAAATTAACGTCTCCATGTAGAAAGTTCTAGATCTGGGAACAGGGAATGGTATTTGGTGTATTGACATGGCCCAGTGAGTTTCCTATATCTGTCTCGCTCTAAGAAGTGACTTTTACGCTAACATCCTTTCAGTGCATTTCCCCAATCTGAAATCATTGGCAACGACTTGTCACCCATCCAACCAACATAGTGAGTCTTGTGGGAACCGAATCTGATTCTTATTCGAGAAAAAAATGTTGAATCTAATCTATTCTTTCAACTAAGCGTGCCGCCCAACGTCCAATTTGAAATCGATGATTTTAATGATGAGTGGGTACACCCCGCAAATCACTTTGATTTTATACACGGCCGTGCGCTCTATGGCAGCGTCACAAGCTGGGATCAACTATTGCGCAAAGTTCTCCAGTAAGACTCGATTCTTCCCCATCAGTACCTCTCAATTAGACCCTCAATTAACAGAGTATAATTGTCTCTAGTGCTCTGAAACCTGGCGGATGGTGGGAGTCCGTGGAAACCATGGTTGAGTTCCAATGTGATGACGGCAGTTTACCTGAAGACTCTGCTGTCAAATATTGGGTTGGCATAATGAGAATAGCTTGCGAACGGGCGGGAACTTCGTTCGATGTTGCAGGCCGAGTCAAAGAATGGTGTGAAGCGGCCGGATTCGAGGAGGTCACTCAAAGGGTTTACAAGTTACCGATCGGGCCTTGGCCAAAGGACAAATCTGAGAAGACACTAGGGAGTTATAATTTAGCGAACATGCTTAGTGCTTGTGATGGCTTTAGCTTGCATCTCCTCACCAAGTTTTATGGAGTGAGTCTACCAATCCCAAGATGCTTTCGATCGTAGATAAGATGCTAACATCTCTTTTCTCCTCTAGATGTCTGTCCCAGAACTTAATGATTTGATGGATAGGGTTAAGGCTGAGATGAAGAATAAGAAGATCCATTCTTATTTCAGGATGTAAGTAAAACTCCCTCCACTCCCAATTTATCAATACCACCTAGAACTTCGAGAACAGCTGCTGATGAATATTACACTGCAGGTGGGTCTGTTATGCTCGGAAACCCGAGGCTCCGTATGAATCGCGTCCCTCTAGCAGAGGCTCGACAATACGTCCTCCAGCCTACGACTTATCCGGCGGCGAGACTACAGACTGCGCGTCGATTACCGAAGAATATGATGAATATGAGGAAGATGATACTGATGCAGAAACTAGCCAACGTGCATCCCCTCCGGCACAAAGTATATACCATGGACGTCGCGGACATAGGGGACACTAGACTCCCTAGGGAATACTGAAACCCCTACTTTGCGTCATAATATATAGTCTGCAGTCATGAACTCACTTTTTTTGGCGGTCCTTTTCCTTCTAGATACGTTACTTACATTTCATTCGCTTCATCGGATACACTGCATTGCATTTTTATTTTCTGCCGCCTCATTTCCACGTCTCTACCCCTTTCCAAAATCTGTTGCTCGAGGTCTCCTTTGTCCCTAAAGATTTCTTTATCTATACCACCATATGGTACCCCTTTCCTTTTTCTTCCCTTTGTCAAAAATTTTTTAAAAAAAAAACTCCAGGCGGTTCTTAAAAGTAAAGACAAGACAACCCGGTTTGGTTTATATACACCTTTCAGATTTCATAATACCCCCCTCCGCTTCCCTTTTCTTCAACATCATATCTTCTGTATTTCATAGCGTGCGCGTTAATGGGCTAAATATGCATGGGCAATGCAGGGTGAGACCGGTCTTTACTTATCAATATGCGATATCTCGATCATTATTCTAGTTTTACTGCCACCAAGTTGTGACGTAAGCTGGTGGACTTGCGTCGCCGTGTAATTAATATTATAATCCAGTTCACCTCTGTTCATACGTTTCTTCCGCGGACATGTTCTCTACAACCTCCTTCCAACTGCTAAAATTAACCTCCTAATCTGCACTAACCTAGGTATTAGATAATTTATTAAGGGCCCCTGATTCCAGCCAGGATAGGTCAGACCACATCGACGCAAGGCCCACTGCATCGGATCATATCATATCATATCATATCATATCATGCATCCTGGCGTTTTAACGCTCCTTGGGACGGGCAAAATGTGTTGGAAGTCCCAAGCGATTTTCCTCCAGACGAACAGATCAGAACGAGGGGATTAAAACCTCCCGAGCTCTCCTTCGGCCCTTCCTTTGTTCTCCACCATCAATACACCTCAATCGATCGATTTCCATCACCAAAATCTGCTATCATCATCAAAGGTGAGCTTTACTAGGTAGGTTTTGGGAGATTCTTTGTTTTAGAGGTGTCTTTGAGCGGGCTTGGGTGCTGGAGGCGCTTTGGAGGTGGCTTTTGCACTTTTGGGGCTGGGCAATTGTTTGCATTGCTGTTAGGAAGGTTGGGGGGCCAATCGCTAACCCGAGACCTGCATCTAGTCGCGTAATCTAATCTGATCCGTCGATACATCTAAAGGTACGTTGCATGGTTCCGATTCCAGTGGAAGCTTCAAGTCCGTGATAAGCTCCACAGTTCATCAGGGATGGAAATGTTAACGCGACTATTTTGATTCAAAGTGAACGTTTTGAACCTGTCATACGATGGCTGAAGAAGTTAAAGCCGCCGAACCTCCAGTTGCAGCTTCAACGGAAGTTGAGCCAACTAAGACCGAGAAGGTCGAGTCACCAACCCCTGACCAACCTATCGAAACAGCTGCTGCTCCAGCACCAGCTCCCAAGGCTGAGGAAACTGCTGCCGCAGACTCGACTGCTATTGCTCCCAAGGCTGAAGAAACCCCTGTCGAGGAAGCTGCTCCAGCTCTCCCGGAGCTCATCAATGCCAAATGGGGACCTATTTCTCCAAACCTCGCTGCTTTTTACCGACGTCTCCCGGAGATTCTCGAGAAGAGCAAGCATAGTGAAGTCTACAGCGTCCAACTCACTTACGTCGAAGGTTCCACGGAACCAACATTCGGAACTCTTTTGATTCTTCAGAAGTTCCTTCGTGCTAACAGCGATAACATTGAAAAGGCTGTTGAGCAGCTTTCTGCTAGCTTGGCATGGAGAGCTGAGAAGAAACCATTGGATTCTTTGGCGGCTGAACACGACCGTTCTGCCTATGAAGGGCTGGGATATGTACAAGTCCTCCCTGAAACTAGTGAAGTCTTGACGTGGAACATCTATGGCGCTGTCACGGACTACAAGAAGACTTTTGCCAACCTCGATAGGTACCTTATTGAAATATTTGGTTCTGATAAGAAGGGGGCTGCTAACACGTGAGTATATAGCTTTCTTAGCTGGCGTGTCGCCCTCATGGAGGCAGCTATTGCTAAGCTTGACCTCCCGAATGCCACAAAGCCCATCCCCGACTTTGGTAAGGGAGCCGATCCTTACCAAATCATTCAAGTCCACGACTACCTCAACGTTTCGTTCCTTCGCATGGATCCGGATGCCAAAGTCGCTTCCAAAGCCACAATCGCTGTTTTCCGCGATTTCTACCCAGAGATGCTCAGTCGCAAGTTCTTCGTCAACGTTCCACTTCTCATGGGGTGGTTGTACAAGGCTACGACGCTTGTCTTGCCAGAGGCTACCGTCAAGAAGTTTAGAGTACTCAGCTACGGAAAAGAATTGGCTGCTGAGTTGGGAGATGCCATTCCGGAAGTCTATGGCGGAAAAGGTGTTAAGGATGTGAAGGAACTCGGGGACCCGGTCAAATTATCTGCTGTTCCAGTTGTAGAGCCTGAGACTGAAACTCCTGCTCCATCTGCTACAACTCAGGAGGCTCCCGGTCCAGCTACTACTACCCCTGCCGCCCCTGCACCTGCCACTGATGCTTAGATAGGCGGTATATGCGGATTGCATTCATGTTTTTTCTTGATTTTCTTTCTCTCTCACGACTGAACAACGGATAACGGATACGCTTTTTTACTCTAACCATGACTAATTAATATGGCAAAGGTGCTTTCCTGCACCTTATTGCTGTTCAATGACTCGTTCTTTCTGCTTCTCGTTCCACCGTTTGTCTATCGCTTAGCTTTGCTGTTACACTTTTAGCCTTGAAGCATAGCGAGTTACCAGTACCTGTTTCTTTCAATTAATCCTGCGATGACTGGATAGATTCGATTCGACTCTCTCTCTCTCTCGCTGTCGCTGTTGCATCGTACGTATGCACATGTTACATGTACATGTTGTTAGCCTTAGCTTTAGCCTCCGCCCGATTTGACTTGACTTTCCTTGACTTGGCTTGACTTCTATAAAGCTCTTAATCATAAAATAGGAAATGAAATACATCAATCGATTACGTCTCGGCATTTCCGAACCCAGTACCGGTAACTGAGTACCTAACTAGATTGTCATGCCAGTAGGTCTTGAACGGGAACGCCCCAAAGTGTGGCGTGGTTGGTAACAAACGCCCTTCACCGCCACAGGATCGGTTACAGAAATGGCGGAGGGTTCTAACCCTCTTGTGGCGGTGCTGTGGCGCTGGGTAGCCGGGTTTGCTGTGGGCAAGCCAAACAAAATTCGGTTAGCCGAGCTGCCTCACACATATCGACATTCACCACCCTTCCGACGACGACTTCACGACCTTCACGACAACCCCCCTCCAACAATCCCCGACCAACCTCCGTTTTACACCGTCGATAACCAAGTCCTCCGACTAAGGTACGATAATTGCTCCAATTCCTGCTCGAAATTCTGCTTTTGCTTGCTTTCATCGGCTCGGATACCGACAACTTCATCGTCATCATCGACAATAGAAAGAACGAGAAACAAAAAATTTTCAATCATTGGAAACAAAACGATCAAAACTAACAACCACATTTCTTTCTTTCTCCAGAATATATCATCAATATGGGTATCTCTCGTGACTCCCGCCACAAGCGTAATGCTACTGGTGCCAAACGCGCCCAGTTCCGCAAGAAGCGTGCCTTCGAACTCGGCCGTCAATACACCAACACCCGTATCGGAGCCAAGCGTATCCATCTTGTCCGCACTCGTGGAGGAAACACCAAGTACCGAGCCATCCGTCTCGAATCCGGTAACTTCTCCTGGGGCTCTGAGGGAATCGCCAAGAAGACCCGTGTCATCGGTGTCGTTTACCATCCATCGAACAACGAACTTGTCCGTACCAACACCTTGACCAAGTCCGCCATTGTCCAGATTGATGCCGCTCCATTCAGACAGTGGTATGAATCCCACTACGGCCAGACCGTTGGAAAGAAGAAGGGACCTGCTGCTGCCAAGACTGAGGAGGAGAAGGTTCCAAAGAGCAAGTCTGTTGAAAGGAAATTGGCTGCTAGACAGAAGACTGCCAAGGTCGAGAGCTCTCTCGAGTCCCAGTTCGGTGCTGGTAGACTGTACGCCTGTGTTTCGTCGAGACCTGGACAGAGCGGACGAGTTGACGGTTACATCCTGGAGGGCGATGAGTTGGCTTTCTACCAGAAGGCATTGAGGAAGTAGAGGAGAAGAGGCATGATGAAAGTTGTCTGTCAAGCAAAATGGAGGCGTTATACATGTGCTTTTATCTCTTTTTTCCTACACTTTTTTCTTTATTTTTCCCATCATCATCAAGTCCCATTTGGCGGAGATTCAAACAAACTTCTACTCAACCTCTCCCACACAACGTTTTTCTAACTCGACCATGACGAAACGGAGAACTTCCTCTCTTAGGAGTAGTTGATATTGGTGGTGGTTTATTAGTCAAAATAATCAGGACCAAAAACGCTGCTTCTATAGCTTGCCCTCTCCCTTCCTTTCCCTCTTCAAGTGCTGTTTTACCTTCCTCCCTTCGAATCCAACCGCCTCGTCTTCCCATTTTCATTCTCTTATCATATATAATAGAAGCAGCACTCGAAGAATCACACCTCTCTCACCCACACGACCTGTCATATAATCATATACCACTTCTTTTTCCTTTGTATTCAGTTATTCTTTTTTTTTTTTTTCACCGGGACTTTTTATATGTGGTCAGGGTCCTATGCAGGTTGTTCCTTTTTCTCTCTCTTTTCATCATTTAAGAGAAGAGAGAAAAACACTTTAAATACAAATGCTTATTTTTTTTCTATCGGTGAAAAAAAAACTATTTCGGAGGTCGTGGTAGTAAACGGAGGAGGGCTTCTTGGATGTGATGTAGCTCTCATAGTGGGAAATATTTTGTGAATGTAGGAAGAATGGGGAAAAGTCGTAGACCTCTCTATATGTGTACTATTATCCTAGTAAGCGCATGATCATGACATAGTAAATACCTAACCTAGGTACCTCTTGAAATTGATTTCTTGGTAGCATATGATCGACGGCTGTAGTTGAAGTCGAGAGTCTTCTCCATAGGCATATACCAAGTACTTACCTAACCCGGGTACTTAGGTTACAAAATAGAAATAGGAGGGTCATAGAGTGCTTATAATAGACCCGCGGGCGTCGCGGATTCTGAGGTGCACTTTCCATAGAAACCTTTTGCCGCGAATCCGGCGAGTTGGGTATCATATTGCAAAATGCAACATGCATGAGACATAAAACACTTGTTGTTAAGCTAAAATATAAAAAGGCTAACCACGTCATGAATATCGAGTGAAATATTCGACATAACAATTTCTTGAGATGACACAAAGAGCCTTTCGAGTCGGCTATACCCCTAGCAGGCAGCATTAAAAGTTATTAGCTCGAGTGGCATGTCATGGTCTGCAGGTAGGGGGGATACCGAGTTTACAAAAGAATGATCAGTCATATGTGCATCTGAGCTGTTCCCAATAGACCTCAGATGACAGTTGGCCTAATTTTTCGATAATAACAAAATATAGTAAGTTTAAAACCTCTTGATTCCGTTCTGGAAGGTATAGTCGGTAGTACTATAGTTTGTATCTTGAATTGGGTAGATAGGCTGATCGATTTGTTTTCCAATATACACTTATTTTGTCAAACCAGAATGTGATAGCAATGCTATTTTTTTTCCCTAGAAAAAAGCAAAACAAAGACAACGTAGACCTCAGTCGACCATCGTCATATCGGTCTAGATTATGGCATAGGTTTGTTTAACCAATGTGACAGTTCGCGCAATTCGAGTGGCTGGCGCCGCCAGACCATGGTACTAGTTGCAGGGTTGTAAACGAGGTAAATTGTCCTCAGAATCAGAGGCTACGACAGCCGCTATCTTTTGCAAACCCCTGGTAACGTGTCGGATTAGCAGATTGAGGAAAAAAGAAATGAAAGAAGAAGAAGAAAAAGAAAACAAAAAAGAAGGGAATTGAAATATGATCATATGAGAGAAACTGCTAGAATCTTGTCCGCCCTGTATTTCGAAATCCGTTGGATAATCGCCCGCATGATCTTGTTGAGGACAGAAGTTAGCCATCCGGCTAGGTTGTTGCCCTTTGATTTGAAAAACATTTGTGATTTTTGGGTGCATATGCATCCTTGAGCCTTTGCTTCAAAAACGCGCTGGAAAGTTGGACGGCAGAGAGCTTTTGTCTATCGTCTAAACAGGCTAACCAGTCAGACTGGATATAAGAATAGATTAAAATTATACACATCGATTGGCGTGTTGTTCTATTTAAGGGCAAGTTCACTAGTTGGTTCTGTAGAAAGTAAGGGAGCTGAAATGGAAAGCTTAGAACCTCTGTATTAATATTTCATTCTAGACTTTTCAGGAAAAAAGCCGAAGTTTGGCGTTCGTGCACGTCACGTTATCCACACCTCCTGCGACAGGGGTATTGGGAACAGTGCACATAATCAGGTCCTAATCCGGTAGTGCTTTCTCACCTGTAAAACACCACTTAGGGTGGCCTCGTATTGAATTACAGTCGACAAATTATAGAGCACACTGCATGCAGGAACATAAATAAGTATCACGTTTCGAAGCGATGAAATTGGGTTGATTCTGATACCTCATTGGCTATTGACACATTCTTTACAAATATATTTTTCAATTGTCTCGTTTGCTGCTGTCGCTGTAGTCCTCGGCGTACAGTGCTTCGATTTTTTGATTCTAAATAGGATATATGTAGCTTCGGGTTGTGATATCTCAGTCGAGCTGTTGAAATGTGTATGAATATGTCATAATAGCTGAGACCTGATAATTATTCCTGGTAAGCCAAATGCTCCCGCAGAGTGATAATGTAATGCGTCTAGCAGCAGCCAATTCGGTGTGACGAATTCATATGAATGGGGTGTAAGTTAAACTAGCGTTAAATTTAGGCGCTAACTACAGAAGAAAACCGGAATTCATGTGCACATGCATGACCATTTGCGCCGTCTGAGTGAGTCTGAAATCAACATCCATGTAGAACTCTGTTTTCCAGGTCCTAACAGCTGGTAGGGAATATTCTATCAATATAAGATCGGGCTGCCAGCTGTGGGTCAATTGTAGTATTAGGATTGGACCTGTGATACTATCTACTACACAGATCGGTTTTCAAGGATCTATACCCACTCCCTCCCGCCTGAACTTCTCGTCTGAAACCCTTAATTTCTTTTATCTCTTTTGTCCCTGAAAGTTCGAAAATCTACTACAAGGCTGATATTTTTCAAAATCGACGCCAAATTACGTTAACTTTCATTTCGTACTCCAAAAATGGCCCAGTCATCTCGTGTAATACTTAGGATGAGCTTTGAGGAAGAGGATTATCCTTCAAACCTCAAAGCCGTTCAAGAGTCTCGGGGTGATATTACGAAGGCGTCTGTAGAGAGTATTGTTGAAACCGAATCGACTGCCGATAGCTGCGAGGTCTATCGCGGGTCGGATGACGGGTTCCAATGCGAGTCTTGCTATCATAGACCTAGCCACTGGACCTACGAAGTGGAACCGATTGTTATGATGCACAAGAAACATGATCTTATTGGTCGGCCTGAAGGCCTCAGTTTTGCCCCTTGCAAGTGTTCTAATAAACCTCGGGTAGGAAACTACGGGGACGAGGACAAAAGCCTGGAGGGAAATCGTCCTGGAGTGTCTGTGCCACTTGAGACCTGGCTACAAGAAAAAGAACATGTAGGGCCAAACGTAATAGTAAGTTCGATCACCGAACGAGTCTTTACCAGAGTACAAATCTTAATTGCAAACTATTATAGTTTAAAGGTTTAGAAACAGTCTCCGGTGGAGCCGAATTAGGTCTCGATTCTTTGAGCCTATCCTCAAACGAACCCGAGGCCGTAGTCGACGCTGATGAGGCCTTACTCGACGGAAATACCGTCTCAACCGGAACCCTGGGCATCAAAAACAAACTAAGAATTCAATCTCATTTACCAAACGAAAATGAGGAGATACCGATAGATCTAGAGGAAGAATTTTGCGGGACAACAGCGAACTTCATTTTCTTGGCAAATCTATCAGCGCGATTTGCATGCCCATTCGCGAAGCTGGACCTAGCAGCTTATCGGACCTGTATGATTGTTAATCGCGGAGATGTTTCGGGGATCAGGTTCGTAGAAGCACGAATATTTCCAACTACTAGTTGACGAAAATTTTTTAAAAAGAGTTCACAGTTGTTAACTTATGAATCAACCTACGTGGGTGTATAAATAGAGACCATCTTGAAAAGAGGCACGGTCTCCAAAACCTTCCAAGGTTTGACTATAAAGTCGATCCATCAACTTACTGGGAAGGACTTTTTACGTCCGTTCTATCACACGACCAGGAACAATATATTGAGCCTCAACACCACTCACCTTGTATGTTCGAATCCTAAATTTACACTTTTGAGGTTTATAGCCTTCTATTTGAAAATTACCACTTTATTATCTATGGGTTTGCATACTAAGAAATGAATCCTAATTATAGATTTCGATTTCAGTACACTTCTCCAGGATGCTAGCGACCTCCGCAGAACGAAACGAAACGGTGTGACAATAGACAAGAGGGACTGTGCGCCCTTGCCGTCAGAAGATAAGAACGGCTTGCTTTGGATCTCCGCCGACCAAAAGCTTGATCTACATAGCAGATACTCCGCAAACAATTCAGATGATTTGTCGGCTTTGGTGGTTTTAGATTATTTGAGTGCTGTCTTAATCTCTGATGAAGCGGCAAAGCGTTGGCTTGCAACTGAAAGCCAACATCTTGCCTCGTATACCCAATACGGTATCAATACTGGTACCCGCTCCGGAGCTAAAGAACAGCATAATAAAGGCCCACCGGCTTCCAATTCGTGTTCTTCTGGAGCCGCGGTGTCTTCGAAAAAGTCGAGGCAAAAACGGAGCGAAAAAAAGAAACAATATAGGCTGCTACGATATGTTGGGGACAGAGGGTCTGGAGATGAAGATGATGAAAAGGCACCGGAAAAGCGGAAACCCCAGAGTGGAACCTCCCGGTATTTGAAAAAGTTATGGCGCTGTCCATACTCCATCATCCGATGTGAGAACCATAAAAAATGTTGGCTTGATCGTCGTGGAGAGATCATGAGACAGGATGTGGCTGGAATCAGGTAAGTTCTAGGGTTTTACCCGACGGACAGCCAGTATATCGCTTCCCTTCAAAAAGATGACGTTTGCTGTTTGATGGAGACTAATTCTGTGCTTATGATAATCTATCCATAGAGAGCATTTGACAAGGGCCCATTTTCAAAATAACTTGCCAAAGGACTTGACTGCCGACTTTGCGCCAACTTGGAAAGATCTTTTTGAGGGTTGTCTAAAAGAATCTTGCCATGAAAACTGGTCAAGTCTGGGTTTCCATGCTAGTCAGTATACAATTCTATTACTTGTGTAGGTGCGCATCATTAAGCTTTGGGATCGAGCACTAATTCCTGATATTTGGCTGTATACATGTAGCCTGGTATCGATATATTGATGAATGTACTGTTCCCTCTAACAAGGCAAAACGTAATATTTCCTCCGACCAGGCGAAATGTTACACCCCACAGCAAGCTTCCGCTCTCATAGCTGCTGGTCTTGCACACATCGATGATCCTGAAATATTTAAGTGTCCGGGTGCAGGTGGTTTGGAGAACGCGACTTATTTAAAAGACGATAACTTTGAACCAGAAGCCTTGTTTGTAGGTAATTTTGACGAAGAAGTCGGGGCCCGAAACAATTTTTCACAAGTTGAAGAATCGGTTTCCTTTGGGGAGTTAGAGCCAGTTCTGAATACCCATACGCTTGCAGATTCACAGGATAGTGTTCCTAGATACGATATCGGGCAACAACCAGGGTATAGCCTATTGGAAGAAAACTGGTCTATCCCTCAAAAAATAGGTCCCCAAGAGCATTCAATGATTCCAACCCAAGCTGCAGACGCCGTGAAAACTGAAGCTGATACTATAAACCCCCAGCCAGTGGGAATCTCCGCTATTCTCGAAGGGGCTGTTGAACAAAGTCGAGTTACACAATCTCAAAATTCGACAGTGTTGTCACCACCTAGGCTTGGGAAGCGCCCCGCGAATACCCCCCATAAGGCAAACTCAAACGATGACAACCTACGAAATGAAATTCTAGCACCACAAACCGGTGATTTAGAAATGGTTATCAAGGTCCGGCATCGGCCAGCCGTTGATACGGAAGGAGCCCTAGCAGTGAGAACCATGAAGTTTCGGAGCTTGGAAGAATTACGATCGGGATTTGTTGGTCGTATGCGGAAGCAATTTCATGGATCGAGCTTTGACTGGGCTCATCCTCGGTGGCAGCTCCAGGGCCTTAAAACGGGAGCTCGGGTCAGTTGTATTCAAGACCTCGAGGAAGAGCTAACCCGGGGCAATAATATGTATTATCTGGTGGACTATGATCAAGCAAACGCTAAAGAAACGAGGACTTCGGGAAGCTCGCGAGAGGCGCCCATTGCAACGAGCACATCCATGGTTAGAGTTTGCAGAACTTCTCGTCAAAGTCCGCGCCACGGAGTTGATGTTGGGATTCCTGAATCTTGAGTAATATCAACATGTCAATGTAATTCTTATCTCACAGCATGTTTTAAAGAGTATGAGCCAATTGCAACGTCAAGTAGAACTAATTATGGGGCAAGCCCAACTACGCCGAACCAGACTGTAGCTAGATACCGATATTCGGATCTATAAGGCGAGATCTATGGGAAGCTAGCAGATTGAAAGGCAATCTCATACATAGGTTATGATTGTGGTTTTTATGACTTTCGCAGAGCACGTCATGACCAACGTTGACTTCAACACAAACCCTAAGGACTTTAACAAAAATACAACAGCAAAGCTGGTCGAACGTTCAACTCCCCCAACCTCTCAGCAGACATTCGCGTGCATTGCATTCATGATGTTCAGATATCTCGATATCGAGACCCCGATTGCGCATCGAAAACCCCTTTATATCCATGTGAGAACAAAATTGCATAGAGAATATCACATTTGAAAATGCGATATATATAAGACATTGGCCTGGGTGGTGCACATCATACTTATGTCAACAAGTTCGAGTCAGGTGGGGCAGTTGTTCGATCTGAGCGGCACAGCTTCAACCTCCAGAATTAATATACGCACGGAAGCTGAAAGCGGGGTTCGATACTGTACCGAGATTGCCGCGTCGATATCAATCATCACGAATTTTAAAATTCAAATTATTATATCATAGGTCCGCATATCCACAAAAGCCGCTCACGAGCTATATCTATAATAATGGAAACGAATGGCGCCATACATCCTGAGGTCAAGCGGAAGGCATTATCCCAGTGCTTTGAAGAAGCCAGGAATAAATTTAAAGCCGAGTACCAATCAGCCTGTCCTCCCGGTACGCCTAAGCGCACCGAGTTTGGCAGATTTCTCCAAGGCACGGATATCAGCGATCTAGAGCAGATATGCAAGCAGTTAGGCGAGCGGGCAGAGAAAAGGGTGAACAATGCTTCGCAGCTTTGGGATACTCTCAATAGTTTGAAAGATCTGGGAGATGCTTTTATTAGTTGTGCACCGGAGAGCGTATCCATGGTTTGGTTTGGAATCGGCTCACTGATACAAGTAGGTTTTCCAAGTCAGCTTTGCGCACTCCATTCCTAATACTCTATGGCGTCTCCTGATTGTAGATCGGAAACGCGAAGTTTCAGACGCAACTTCTGATCTGCGGCACCTGCGAAAGTATTGCAAGGATTATTATTGATTGCATCAGGTGGGAAGGTCGGATGCGCCTATTGGATGCAAAAAGTAATGCGCCAAATCTTGAAATATGGGACACAGACATTCCGGACCTAATCTTCCACATTCTGGATTTTCTTTGGAGCGCAAGACCGCATTTTGACGATAGTCGACTAAGAAGTTGTCTCCCTATCCCTCCACCTACGAGATTTGGGAGGACAAAGCTACAATTGAATATCTTCTAGAATCTAACTTAAGACAAATGAAAGTATAGGGCTAAAGATAACGCTGAAGGACGTCATCAAAAAAGAAGTACAGCAAAAAGTGGACGCTCTACTAGAAAAGTACAAGGAAATAGTCGAAATCGCTAATACCCATTTTCAAGAGTTGCTTCTCCACGAAAGCTTTCGTGAGTATAGCCTATATACTATATATCATAGCTCCATCATAATCTGGACCATACTTAATTCAATATTATATTTACTTTAGAGACTGGAACTGATCTGAAGCAAATAATGGAGAATGTTCGGAGTGAGTGTTCCTCCCGGATTACCATAGAAGTTTTCTTAGATATGGTTCAAAGCTAAGTCTGTCAATTATGTTTGAAACTGACGCTCCATGAAAATAAATTCTAGAATTCACATCTATAGGCGATGAACTGGTAGATGCTGTTAACCGACAGGGGTTACTGGAAGAACTCAACCACAGCAAAAACAAAATAAAAATATCCGGGACCCATGAAAGGCACATGAAAGCTCTAGACGATCATCTGGCGACAATACTGAAGCAACGTAATGGCCAGCCTGTCGCCGGCTGGTTATTTGACGAAACGGCATATATCGACTGGGAGAGCCTATCTAACAAGACCAAGATCCTCTACATCAAGGGGCCCCGTGGACATGGCAAATCGGTCATCATGTCGAATGTTTCGAGAGTTCTCGGTGCCAAAGGATCACTTGTTTGCCGATTTTTCTTCAAAAAGGGAGAGCAAGATATCCAACAATCAAGAACGGCACTAGAGTCCCTGCTCTACCAGTTATTAGATAGCAACCAGGTCCGGAACGACTTATCTGTGCTAGCCAATATTGTTGATATCATAAATCCTAAATTCGGAGATCCTCAGAGCACAGTTGGTTTTGACGCTTTTCTAGCAACTCTCACTTCGCTATGCGAATCTATTCGAAGAGTTTCCGAGGCTATCAAGGAACGTGTCTGCTTGTTTATAGACGCACTAGATGAGTGTCAAGATCGACAAGAACAGAATTTTGCGCAGATGATTCTATCGATTGTGGGAACTCAAACGGACGGATTGAGGCTGGTGTTTTCCGCTCGTAATAATATCGATATTTTGGACGAACTTCCAAAGCGACCGGAAGGACTCGAAGTTGTCGAAATTACACAAGAAAAAAATTTAACGGATTTAACGGCGTACCTTCAATACAATGTTGGAACAGTGTTGAAACGCCGTATTCATCCAGTCAGATTTCCCAAAATTTTTGACACAGAACTTACGCGCGTCGTAAGCATCATTCGGAGCAAAGCCAAGGGAGATTTTACAATTGCAAGGTAACGCAATACTTGAATCTTGAGGCGCCGTGGTCGGGGCCCTTTGAAGCTGATTTCAAATTCACAGATTGATTATTGCAAGCCTTCAACAGCCCTCGAAAGAGTCCCTAGAAACAAAAATCCAGCGACTACCGGCTTCTATTGGTGATATATATATGAGTAGCCTCGAATCTCTTACACCGGATGAACAAGAACTGGTCGTCGTGTTCCTCAAATGGATTGTTTGGAGCGTCTCTGGAATGACCGTCATTGAAATTTCAGATCATTACCGTGAACTTTACAAAGATAGATCTCTTTCTAATTCTGCTCAAGACGATGATGGTGGCATAGAAGAGCTAGAAGAGCTGCCGCAGAACTTAGAATACGATGCGGAAATCAAAGATCTAATAACGAAAGATCCATATGAGGATCCAGATGTCAAGGATATAATACATCATCTCGAAAACGCCGGCCGCGACTTTTTCAAACTCGACAAGAATACATGGGTGGTCAGCGTGGATATTTCCATCCGGGAATGGATACAGGATGACCCAAGCTCAAAATCAAAAATCATGGAGTCTCGTGGCTTTCAAAAGCGTCGCGATCGACAGGGGAATACCGTTTTCAAATTTACTCTCACTCGTAAGTCAAGGCTTCCTTGCTACTTCTAGAAAAGGATGGGAATTAAATATAACTTAGCCTGCTTTGTGCGATATGGTGAGAGCTTGAACGACCTTTTTGTCAAGCGGGAAGCACAAATGTCTATTACACTTGATATACGTAAGCTCCCTGAGGCGTCGTGTGCCCTGTCGAGTCTCAGCCAGTATTTCATAGCTAATCCCTGATATAGTGGATACCTTGAATAATCTCTCATTTCAAGAGAAATATATGTTGTGGCCGAAGTATGCTAAAGATACTGAAGGAGACTCTGAGGAGCCTGTGTCACCGCTTAGATACGAAGTTCGTCATTGGCAAGACCACATTGATATCCTACAAACTTGGTGGAACGGAAGCAGCAGTCTGGATGATCCTTGGTGGGCCGAGCTTTTAGCCCAGATTTCGATATTTAGCAAACTAGAAAACCTTCAACGTTGGAGTGTTCAGGTTCCAAATATCCCCGAGTATCACCATCGAAAAGGGCGGCGCTTCAGCCCAAGGAGAACATACCTACAGTCTCTACTCCAAGAACCTATACATGTAGCGTGTAGGTTTGGACTACGGCCGATGGTTGATTATATATTGCGGGCGCAGCCCCGGCGACAAACAGTCTTTGCAATCCAGGGTCCGGTTCTAGGGTTGGATAGCGATAGAATAAGTCAAAGTTTTATCGGAGATCAAACTACACTAGGTGATCGGGACACCTTTCAACGATTTGGACGTGACCTAGGAACTGACAGGGATGGGGACTGTTCTCAAGACCTCCCGAAAGGCACGAGCCACGAGGAGCTAAACGACCTCTTATATAGGGTTAGCCTTCTTAGTAGGACTGCTGACGAAGACCTGTCCAATAGTGTGATGGAATGGATAGTATCTAATTTAGATACCGAAGCAATCTCGGCCTGGCTCGCACTCAAAGAGCGCCGAGATGAAAGAATACGGAAGTACGCCTTTTTCTTACTATTCAACAAACGATCTCAGGAAGGTCCCAGTCGTTTAGGTGATACTTTAAATGCGGAAGCTTTGAATTTTGCAAAAAGACATGGGGACGATGAAAGGCTGTTACTCGACAAATTCGCTGATTTGATAAGAAAGCATTGTTCTAAGCCTACACAACAAACTCCGATAGTCAATACACCCGATGGTTATGGTCGATTGCCGTTATATATAGCAGCAGAGCATCCTAACACCGTTCGTTGTTTAATCGAATATGGTGCTGATGCCAACAAAACTGGCAGGGGACTAGTAAGACTCCGCCGCGGGGGGCTGGGACCTTGCCCAACTGCACCGGAACTTCCACTGGTATCCATTCTCTACGATCTTATTTACTGGGAAGAAAGATTGGACGACAAGACCTCGGGGCGTATGTTGCAGTCTGCTATGATTCTTCTCGCCAAGACCGTAAAGCTAGAGGAGGTAGTAGACTGCAACGGTAGGAACCTTCTCCAACTAGCTGCACGGATTGGAGACCCCGAACTTTTCAAACTACTCTGCCTTTCAGGCCGATGGAATGTTCACGTCAAAGATAAAGAAGGCTCCACACCCATGCACTACCTATTCCGAGACCGGAAATCACCAAGAGATAAAAGAAGAATTAGCGATATTCTAGAGATTTGCAGAATTATGGTCAATATGAGGCAGCAAAACGAAGCCGATCTTTTGAATGCACGGAATGAGAGAGGCGAAAGCCCATTAACATTGGCAGTTGATGGGCACTGGGTTGAAATTGTTCGGCTGCTCATTGAACTCGGGGCTGATCCTCATGATGAAATTGTGCCTGGCCATAATTGCTTTCACATACTTGCCCTCAGTAGCAGTGGTGAGGAGACTCTCGAGCTTGAAATCGCAGCTGTTTTATTTAGTTCCCGCGTCGACTCTGCCAAACGTGGGGCGAACCAGGAAACACCTTTATCAATTGCCTTACGGCATAGGGACAATGGGAAACCTTACCTAGTCCATCTTTTGATTCAGAAATATAGCGAACTTGGATACATTTCCAAGAGTAACGTCGAGCTTCTCACAAGTTATGGCGGAAATATTTTGCACTGGGCCGCGAAAAGCCCTAGGGAGGATACGTTTGGCGAAGTAATACGGACGCTTCTGCAGAATGGTATCCCTGTAGAGGATATTCAGGGTTTACTCTTGCAATTTGACTTATCTCAGAAACTACCAATAGACAGAGCGATTAACAACCTAAACTTTGATGCAATTCAAGAGATAATGGCTATTCACCGCGATCCCAAATCTTGGAAATCATCAAGGAAGGAATTTTTGTTATGCTATTCGGGAACAAGACTTGCTGACCACTGGATCTCTGAAAAAGCCAATATTAATATTCAAGACTTAATGGTAGATCCAACTTCCGGCTTATTCAAAGCCAAAAAAATCTTCAACTATCTCCTGGGCTGCATACCAGCGATGTCGTTTTTGATGTTTGAAACAGCTTTATTCTATCTCATTATGGGCGAAGGGTCAATACTACTGCAGTATATCGACATAGGGCTAATTGCTTCACAATATGGCGCTTCATTTAGAGATAAATCTGGTTGGAATTTAGTTGACGTACTAACTCATATCAAACTGGAGGGTCTCATCGATATTTTAAAGCTAAAGGAACGAAACCATTCACCGCCCGGGGTAATTTTAAAGCCATCTCGCATTGGCCAAACTACTAATTCCCTTGGGAAACTTTCTGAGAATGGACTAGAATTTAACCTGCCAGGTTTGAAATATCTAAGCTAGAATCAGATGCCCCTAGAAATCTAACGAGCGTTTTGGGATTAGATGCGGCTATAAGTGACGAACTCTGCCGAAAACTTCGCGGCACAGAAGGCGAATATGTACCATTTCATATAGATAGCCGGGTGTACTATGCGAAATATAAAACAAAGGTTTTTGCAGATCACCCAGTCCCACCGGAAAACGGCTTCTACTTCGAAGCGCATATTTCAAACGCGACGAGAGACCTAAGTGGTAGATATTCCGCTCAGTTCTCATATTGGAAGGAAAAGTTTCGGTAAAAGCTTAAACCTTTGGCCCTCGGTATTAGTCAATTCTAACACGGAACTTCTCAGACTAGAAGATCTCACATTCGGAAGCTCTACTCCTTCGTATGATCCCTTTGAATTGAAGATTGGCTTCAAATCATTTGGTTCAGGACATTCTCTATTATTTTTGCTCCGCGGCAGAAGTTTGATTTTAAATTGGTTGGGAAGCGGCAAACATATTCGGTACCAGGTTTCTAAAGAGCCCCCCACATCGGAAGCACACACACATTATGTTGGCTGTGGCATAAACCACAGTCAAAATGAGATATTTCAAACATATAACGGGGTAATACAGAACGTGGTTAAAGTCCCAGATGCTGGTCGATACACCCCCGAGCTTATTTTCGCATGGGGTTACAGCGATGTAAGATTCAATTTTGGTACAGAGCGCTTTCAATTCGAACCAGCGAACGATCTAGACCGGGTTTGGGACAGAAGTTTCCTTGATAGCTTTGGACTAAAGGGTGACTCGAGTCCATAACCCTACTCACCACGCGCCGCACTGTTCCAGGTATTCATATGAATCAGCTGCAAGAGAAGAAATGGTTAAGACTACCTTGTCTATAAACCGAAATTTTGAAAGCTTCATTCTTTCAAAAAAGATTGAGAGTTTATAGCCGTTTAAATACATGTGAAGTGCGCATTTTAGGAGCGGATTCATTAAATGGCCTATTGCACTGGGCAAAAATAATATACATGTAAATAAATTTTAAAAAAATTCATAAGAATGGAGAACAAACCAGAAGAATGTATATTTTCTTGTGAGTAATCTAACATCTTCGTCGACTTCATCTTAGGTCCTTCAGAACTTTGAGCCTAACGCTACTGCATGTATGCATCCATGCGAAATCATATTTTGAAACCACCGGAATTTCACCTTGGTCCACCGCCAAATGGGGCTGTCAAAACCACACCGCTACGGTCCCGTTCGATATCTTCTCGCAATCTTGCAAGTCGCTTTGATAGGCTTTCGGGTAATATTACCCAAATTTCCAGATACCACCCCTCCCCAGGCTTTGAACCGGAGACAAATGCCTCGCGGAAGTCCATCTCGAAGTTGACAGCCGTAGGTTTTTCATTTTGGGGAAGAAGATCCAGTAGTGGCGTTATAGCACCCAGAAATGCTTCCACCCAATCTCCAATTATAGACCCCTTTGGAAGTGTAATTCTTTCCCAAGTACTCAAAGAGGGGTTCTTGTTGTCCCTTTGAAAGCTGCGACCGATGTTGATATTGACCCATACGGCATCTATAAAACGTTCGTCGTCATTTTTGACCAGAGTATTGATGGTCTCGCTCGGCTCCCCTTCTGCGTCTTGTTCCTGAACAGCAGTGCCGTGGTTGATTTCTACGTCGCCTCCATCTTTAACGGCCCGATATAAAACAGATTTTGAGTCGATATTCGCACGCGTACCTTGTCGATCTGGAGCCAACCATCCGTCTCCATATGTTAGAGAAAAGATCGTATCATTGGCTATCATCTGAGAAACATTTATGTACCCGTATGCTTCCGTCTTGTATTGATAGTTGACGATTGCACCGTCTTTGACTTGGCAGCGCCCGTTGCCTTGAGGGGAGATGTCGAAAAACCTGTGGACAACAGGGAAATATGTATAGGGGGCTCGGCCACGGTAATACCTGGCAGCCCGGAGCATTGCGTGCTCATTGAGCATGCGGCGCCAGAGTGTGCATGTTCCATAGATGCTTGTTTGGCTGTTCATATCTGTCAGATATGAGAATATCTCTAATTGGATTTCGGTTGGAAGATTGGTGATTGAGGGGCAAGGCTTTGAGTAGGACATCTTGATTGCTCTAGATCTCGCTTTGAATATTGAAACTTAGTTAGGTTGACTGGCCTTGTGATCGATAGTAGCCAGTGGGTACAAGGGTTGATCGATAAACTCGATCCTCGAAAATATGATATAACTAGGTATGAAACTATCACTATATATATCAAAAATCTATATTTAACACTGGTTGCAAGATTCTTGAAAAGAAGAGGAGATGGGGGAAATTTACAAACTGTGGGGAATCCATAAGACATTCTTAATGCTTAATGATATAACATGATATAATAATTCTGTTTGCTACCGGGGCAGCTCAGGAGAGCCCGATGTTACACAAGTCTACTGTGTTTCTGGAAAGTCGGAGCTCTGAACTCACCCGGAAGCCTCTCGATCTGTCGGTCGGGTAGCTGCAGGTACGAACATAAGGGAGGCTAAGATCCGCATTAGTCGCCTTTTGTATTATCGTCGTTGGAATTTTCATATGTACACGGCCCGTACAATTGATGGAGAAACATGCACGCAGGAGCTCAGGATTAACAAGCTACACTGTATAAATATTGCAATCCAACATATGGAGTTGTTGCAACGAGACCAAGTTGTTGTACTGGTTATGAGGTTCCGCATATTACCGAGATTTCGAAGATTTTAGTATTTGTCTCCTGCACGACCTAGCTAGTTTGCCCATACTATAACCGAAGGTAGTGCGCCTAAGGTTCAGATCAAGTCCTATCATGCAGTCCAACATGTCATGCATTTCCGGGAATTTTGCCCACCCTACCGCCTCGATTAGGGACGGTTTGATAGTACCCGACGGCCTCCTGGCTAGTATCAACAGCGGGTTTCATGTTCCCGAGACATTTCAAGTCCTTCCGTGAAATTAGGATAACGATCGAACAGGAAGCAAACTTCGCCGCCTAGGCTCTCCGGGATCTTCTCACAGACCTTTTTTTTTACCCCAGACTACTAGTATACTTTTTCTATAGTCTGGGGGACGCACACCTCTGCCTTGGCTTTTTTTAAAAGAAAAAAAATATCAAATAGAACCTTCCCTTCCCTCCCAAGATACCTATATATTTCTGTTTGCTCAGAGCTCTTGCTGTGCAGATCCATTTGATACAGCCCATATAGTACTTAGCTAGATCGTCGCGGTGGTTACACGAATACGATGTCTTGGACGATTTAAACAATAGTTTTGCCAAACACTGAGGTGTACAGGCTCCTGCGCGCGCGCATTTCTTGCGACTTTGTAGGACAGGTGGATCCCGTGCACAGCTCTCCTCCAAAATTTCGTCCGAAGTAAAGAGGAGACCGTGACTGAATTCCGAACGGTCGTACATACCATAAGCTTTAAGAGTTTGTGTTTGTGTTGGAAACTTTTTGGGGCTACACGTTATCGATAAGTGGAGAAGGGTTGCGAGCGACCTTTGCTAATTAATTCTGATAGTTCCCTTTTCTTTTTTTTCCCCTCTTTCCTCTGAAATTGTGAAGCAAGGCAGAACGCCTTTTGTGACACTGCAGAAGTTTCTATCCGAGAGTATGGTGATAAGCCCGAGGAAATGGGGGAGTCCCCTCAAAGTGCGGTGGGGGCGATTTGATAGAACTTGGTTCCGTATCCCACTATCTGATAACTCGCCAATCTAACATAGTTGCACCACATCGTGAAAATACTGGTTTCCAGCGGCTGCTCTATGCTCTAGCGGTCCTACCATCAGAAACATGTTAACATCTATTATAGAGCCCCTCCCAATCCTAGTGGTTCAGAGCCCCGCCTATCGGATAGAGAGTTACGAAATAGTCACTCTATCATGCACACGGATATGTATATTCGCATTCCTCTGGAATTCTTGTGTGACCGTAAGGAGCGTACCACAAAGTGCCTGTTCTAAGGGGAGGGAAAGCTGGGCCGTGGGACATTTTCGATTGAAACGAGAGTTTCCAAGAATCCCTAGTCTGGGGAGGAATCCCAACTGCCTTGGCTTCCAATTCCGCTTTAGCTCTAATTCAACCCCGATTCTTTGTACCGAACCAAAAGTATGTATTTGCACGAATTGAACGGGCTCAGCTATCCACTAAACTACCTCGTAGAGGCTTCCTTAACTCCGTCGCGAGCTCCCAAGAAAGGGTAGCTGCAGACGGGTTGCAGCCGTCACAAGCCCGATTCCGGAATTGTGGCTTTGACCAATCGCTGAGTTATAGACTTCCCGTCTAGTCCCGTCTTATTCAATCGGTATCGTAATAATTCGGGCTCGAGATGGTATATTTAATTGTTTTCCCATTTATTGCGATATCGACCCTAGTACCCAGTATGACCTATTCTAGAGTTTTCATCTTTATTTTTGATAATGTAGACCTAGCAGTATTACAGTATATTGGCCTAACTTCGAAATCAATATATGTTTCCCGTGTGGCTCATTCCAATGCTAGTTAAGTTTTTAAATTCAATTCCGGTAAAGTTTCATGAATTCATCAGTATTTCGCTATAAGTTGACCGAATAATCTTATAATATGACTTTAAATTAGCTTCTCCTCATCATGCCCTCGTCCTCTCTCTGCCTTCCCCTCTTTTTTCTTTGAAACATCATTTGCATTAATGTATTTACTTCCCCAGCTGCTATCGTATACTACACAAGACCAATTGTATACTACCATTTAACTCCCTCATAATCAAATCATACAAGCTGAAAATTGAAAAACCAAGGCTGATTACTGAACTTCCTACCAAACCCCCAACAAGCACGGAGTACCTATTACCACGCCGAACACACGGATAATAGCATACTGTAATTCCAACATGCGGTACGGGAACTTGCTACAAACATTGCCAGGGAGCCGCAATTTAAAAACCGGTCCGAATCCTGCAGCCTGCATGTGAGTCGGTAGGCACGGTATAACCGGGTCGATAATTTAAATTTAAATATAGGTGTGTGCATGCTGTTTGTAGCCGCTTCTGACGATCTCCCCCCCTGCCCTCATCTGCGCCTGGTCTCGAGGCTAGATCTCCCCTTCCTTGTATTTATCGACTGTATAGTGCGTGTAAGTAACCTTCAGTTACAAAATGCACTGGTAAGAGTTTCTAGGGAAGGAATCTCGCTTTTCTTCTTCTTATAAGTCTAATTAATCGTCCTAACTACAATCTCAAGATATTCGTGTCTGATATTCGTGTCTGATATTCGTGTCTAAAACTGCTCTTATCTGTAAATTTCAATAATTTACTACAGAAAAGGAAAAAAAGGCTTGTTCATATTGCACCAATACACCCTACTAGCAAAACCTGGCTTCAGAGAGGATGAATTGGAAGCATGTGATCTCTAAGAGTACATACAATATCGCTATAGTACAACTCATAGTATCGAGACCTGCCACCTGCCAGCGTTATATACTTATGTTGCATATTTATGCAACAACCACCTCATCGATACCTACCCCTTTTAGTAATATAATTTTGCAGATCAAGAAAAATAGAAGGTGGAAAATACATCTCTAAATACAAGCAGGCCGCCATGCGGATCAACCTGGCCTTTCTTGAGATCTTTATGACGATAGGGGCCACTCTGGAGTTGTACTATCAACACAAATGATTAATCGATTATACTACGGCTCTAAGTCATGCACAAAATCATGCATGAGAGACGGGGGGGTATATAAAAGGAAGAGGAAGTTTCATTGCTTGGGGTAGTATCCTGGAATTGCTAAGGATCGAGCTTTGAGGGTGTTCGGTAGCATGCATGGAAAGGAGTCTTAGAAGCTATCGTAGAAGTAGTAATGGAAACAAAAGAAATAAAAGGCTAGTAGGAGGATAAGGATAATTTAGAGTACTGAAAAGGTTTGAAAGGATAGAGAATTAAACTGGAACATGAAGGAATACTAGGTTCGGGGAAGTATAGAAGAAAGAAGAAGGAGAGGAAGAAACTTTGACACGTGTAAAGTGAAAAATAAGTGACACCGATCGATGTAGGAGAAGTAACGTAGCAGAGAATGTAGTATAGGGCAAAAAGTTTCAAATAATTAGAACCCCAGTAAAATGTTAACTGGATAAAAAGACCGGGTGATCAGTTCTGAGAAGAGCTCGAGGCTTCAGTGCCAAACTCTGCGGCCCAAGGCTTCAAAGATTCCTCCGAAACAATCATGCCGCTGAATGAGATACTCAAAGCCTGATTTTCTCGACATCTCTCGAATTGAAGCTCCTGGATAATGACCGTGCCAGCTTCGTACTCCCTCTTTTTGATGGCTCGTTCGTTGTCCAGTTGAACTATTTCTTGGGCTCCCAAATCTTCCGGATAAGTTGGGTTATCCGGGTCGAGGCCCTTAACGCGGATGATATCTCTGAGAAGGTTTTCGCGCATTCTGAAGAGAAGAGTGCCAAGGGTAAGTCGATAGAAGATGTCTGTGCTGCAGCCGTCAGGATTGAGGTTTACATCGGTTGTGAATTGGCCCGAGCTGAGGGTTGTGTAGACGGGACCGTTGGGGTCTTCATCATCATCCGAGTCGCTGTCGTTGTCCCCATCGTCATCGCCTCCATCATCATCATCATTGTTATCGCCATCATTATTATCATCATCGTTATTTCCATCTCCATCACCACTGTTGTTACTGTCGGTTGCCGTTTGGTCTGAGGGAATGCTAGCTTCTCCTTCCTTATTTTCTTCGACTGGTGGGGCCAACTCCTGCAGAACAAACCTGACGTACAACTTTCTGATTTCGTCCTCATCGACGAAAGCAGGATTGACCAACATATCATTCAAAAACGAGAGATTGGCCAAAGGATATTTTTCAAACCTGATATTCGCCCCTGTTCCAGCTTTCTCAATGAAATTAAACTCAGAGATACATTGGACAGCCTCGAAGTTTTCGCCTTCCAATGCACCCCCAAGTTCTTGAAAGATTGACTCAGAAACTATTTCCTCGCTTGGATATAATTTATATCCTTCGGTACACTTGAATGCGAATGTTGTTCCATTCGTAACCAAGGTGTGGACTACCAAAGCACCGTAGAGGGCGAGATCGAAGTCTTGTTGAGGGAGCCAGGGTGCGACGATACTACGGGGTTTTGAAACTCTTCCCCGAAGATCCTCACGCCAGGCTTTGCAAACATGTTCACAGTTGAGCTGGTCTCGCCAGGGGAGATAGGAGAGAACTTGTTGGTGAAGTTCGATTGGGAGGTCACCAATTGTGGCTGGAGATGTTCGGGTAGGGATCATGAATTGATCATGGATGGTTGAGGGACCCATGGTTAGCGATTCTTGGGTTGAGATGTCCATCTTTTTTCTTCCCTTTGTTTTTTTTCTTTCTATCAGATATTGATATCCGGGTACTGCGCTAACTAATGACCTATATCTTGAGATTTTTCTGAGGTTTCATGTATTTTTGACTTTCGATATGTTGGCCTTTAATATGTTGAGATACTGATGGAACCGGGGTAAGCAAGTCAGCAGGGTTTCAGGTGAGAATGAGGTATCAAGCTAGAAGCTTAATGCCGTGATAGAGCTTGAGCTAGCTGGAAAGTTCTACAGCCTTCGCCTATCTAACTTTTGGGGGTCTGAAATGAAATGAAGTGAAGTGAAGAAAGAAAAGAAAGGAAAAGAACAGATGGGATGAGATGGGATGAGATCAATGTTTGGTGAAGAGGGAAAGGTGTTAAAACACAAAAGTTGGAAGTATTTTCAGTGGAAGTGTATCTGCAGCGTTTGAATTGAACGTGCCTTGGTACCAGTATGTTAATAGATAGTAAGTACTATATTAAGTACCCAAATCCGATACTTTTATCCCGAATAGTTTTAGATATTTCCTTTAGAATCCCGCCGGACAAGGCTGAGCGGAATTCAAACCCGATATCAAAGCTAAGTGGTGTATTATATTGTCGGTAGCTATTAGATTGGCTGTGGACGGTGTTAGGCGACAGCGAGGCTGATAGAGCAGGCAAGCAGGCTGGCAAGCAAGCAAGCAAGCAAGCAAGCAAGCAAGCAACCGGACAGGCCGCAAACGAGTATCCGTCGGCGTATACGCGTATATCACTCCTCTAAATATAATCGAACCGAGACTGATTTGAACTCCAAGGCTGGGAGGGTTCCGGATCGTCTGAATTAGTTCATTCGAATTGAATTGAATTTTAAGGTAATGGGACCCCAAACGGGTGGAATCTAGAGAGTGCAAGTATAGTGCAAGTACAGCGCAAGTGAGATGACCGGTAGAAAAGGCTGAAGATTCGATTGAGATGATAACGTTGTTAATATCAAGAAAACTATCTCACTCAACCGACAGTACTCACTCATTCTATCACCAGCTGGCTACTAACTACAGGCTTATACTATAGGCTAGCCGTGCAGTGACGGAATGACTCAAGCATGTATGTACTCCGGATGTCCATGTTCCAATACATTACCCCGAATCCAACCCCACCGCAAATTGCCATTATGATAGTCTGCTGCCAGCTGCTCCGAGAGAGACACAAAGTCGACTAGGTAAAGGTCCCTCCGGGAACGTGCATTTTGTCGCACTATTGGCCAATAGTTCCTTTACAGCCTCGTCACCTTCCCATCCATGCACCCACCGACCATGCAGCCTGCAGTTCGTCCAAGCGAAAAAATCAACTGTCTCAATCAATGGACCAGATCCTTCGTTAGACGTGTAGAATGTGTTGATGTGTTGATGTGTTGATGTGTTGACTGAACGTAGTATCCATGTGCTCAGACCATGCCAACAGAATCCAGACCGCGAATCCCTGTCGTCATGTCGGACTTAACAGCCGAGCCTGGGCTAATAGCGACCCAGGACTGACTAAGTAATCAAGATCAATCAATCACTCACATCCATTCAATCTATAACAGGCATGACTAAGTAAGTAACTACTTCCTACTCTGATGGCTTCATGACTACGACACTACACCATCATCTCCTTCCTCTCCTCCTCCTCCTCTTCCTCTCCTCCTTATATCGACAACCACCATGGATAGGGCCCATACTGCCCCCCCATCCGAGGAGAGGAATCCCTTTGATCTCTCCTGTGCTATAGATCTTCTCCGGTCACTGTCTTGGTATCATCCGACTTCCAACCCCTCTGACTCAACCATTACTACTACTACTACTACCACCGCCACGTCTACTACTACAAGTACTACTTCTACCTCTACTATCACTACCGCAAATATATCATCCAAATCAAGGCGGGTCCACGATACTTCTACTCTCGCAGCTTCTAATGATACTACCACCCTGCTTCTCAACCAAGATGCCGGACGACGGAATCCTTTCTTAGATATTCTTTCCTCCGACGGTCCTTCTAGCCCCGTTGTTGGTAAAACAACCAAGAAGAATAATGACGAAACCGTGGCTCCACCGAAGAATAATACCGCACGAAAGCTAGGGCATTCGAAAACACCCTCCACGTCTTCTATTCCAAAACAATCTAGAAAACGTTCACCTGTTAAGGAAACAGCAGTTGCGGTTGCAGCCCTCTCAGCTATCCAACGAAGAACCGGTTTTCTACAGAGTTTGAAAGAACTTGATAAAGGAAATAAGTCACCGTTGAACCCTGCTGTTCACGTCTTTGTGGATTATTCTAATGTACTAGAACACTCCTATCATACATCTCTCTTTTCTTTTCTTTTTTCTTTGGAAGTTCACATTCGCTTACACGTGAATATAGATATCCATCGGTTTCTACGACAGTGTCAAAAAGCTTCTTTCTGACACCAAAAAACCATCTCGCACCCCTCAAATCCAACATATATCCTTCAAAACCCTATCTTTAATCCTCGAAAGAGGCCGTCCCGCTACTAAAAAGGTCCTAGTCGGATCAACCCGAAATAATGACCTAAAATCAGAAGCCCAAGATCTAAACTACGAAGTCAGCATCCTTCAACGAGTACCCCGAGAAAATCAGGACTCATCCACCACATCCAAACCGTCAAGTCGGGGCTATGCCTCCGAGCCTGAGCAATCCAGGAAACGTACGGGGGAACAAGCAGTCGATGAGGTTCTTATTATGAAGATATTGGAATCTTTGGTCGATTGTTGCCCCGCTACTATTGTGCTTGCGACCGGTGACGGGAACATCACACAGTTTTCTGATGGGTTTTATAAGGCCGTTGAGAGAGCGTTGGAAAAGGGGTGGAACGTGGAGCTTGTGGCTTTCAAGAGAACTATAAGTAAGAGTTGGAAGAAGTTGGTTTGTCCGCAATTCAGGATTATTCTGTTGGATGGGTTTCTGCCGGATTTGCTGCAGTAATTCGATCTGACAAATCGACAATATAAAAAAAAGCGCCATGGTAGTCTATATAACTATCACGACAACTATGGTTCTCACGAATATAATTACGAAATTATAGCACGTTCTAAAGCGACGCTGATTCCTCAAGCACCGATCACTCCTTTTTATTTGTTTTTTTCTTTCTTTCTTTCTTTCTTTCTATCTTTTGCTTTTTTTGGAACTCGGTATAGCGGTGGCGTGGTTCTCATTCTTGATATGCTGGAATAGCTTTGTCCGAGAGTCGAAGCTTTCATTACAGACGCCGCATTTGTTTTGGGACTGTATACAACATAAGAGGTTAGTAAAGAAATGAGCAATCGGAGTTTGTTTTTTTATGTATTAATATTGTGTATATGTATTACCTCTTGTGGGTCTGGTTTTGATTGTTTTGCTCTTCGTCTTGCTTTCTTCGTTTTGGATTTTTGGGGTTGGGATTTATCGTCATTTGAAGGTTGAGAGGAGGGGTCTGAGATGTGCATATTTTGCGCATCTTTAGTCAACGACTCGTCGGAGTCTTCTTCTTCGTCGGAGTTTTCAACATTTTTCGAATTCTCAGCGGGTGGGTTTTGGGCATTTTCTTCTGGAGCTGGTTTGGAGAGCTTTTCTTCGGAAGCCGCTTCATCGTCTTCCTCGCCATCTTCTCGGTGTTCACTTATATCGTCTGCATCGTCATCATCCTTCTCACTCTCATCGTCCTGCTCGTCGAAATATTTGGCGTTTTTAGCCTTATTCTTCTTCTTCTGCTTCAATTTCGACAGTTTCGGTGCATCATCATCACCATCCAAGTCCAGAGCAATATCATCCTTCCTCATCTGTCGTTTTATACTCTGTACCATTTTGATATGTTTCTTACTCTTCTCATGCATTTCCATTTGATTTTCCGTTTTGAAAATTTTATTGCAAGCGACACACTCGAATTCTTGTATCTCCTCTTCTTCATCTTCTTCATCTTCGGAGTCGGTGAATTCGTGGGAGTTATGGATATCGTCGGTTTTCGACCAGTCTGCTTCTTTATATGCCGCTACTTTTGCGGCGTTTTCGAGTCTTGCTTTCCGAGACTGGGATTTCGAGGCTTCGCGAGAGGCGGCTTCGAGTTCTGATGTTGATTGGAAGTTTGGGAGGTAACGGGGGTCACGTTTCCGGATGTACAAGACGAATTGCTATTACAACGTGCCTCTCATGTTAGTATAAGAATACTATAGAGAGAAAAGGAGGCGGGAAAAGAACATGAAATGAAAGCGGGGGGGTAAAAGGAAAAATACATACCTTAACAGTATCGTTAAATTCCCTTATGGCCATATCTCTATTCTTCTTATTCTCCTTCTCCATAAGTCTTTTAACCCTCCTATCTGGCGCATCACGATATCTATACTTCTCTACCCAGGCGAAACTCTTTAACGTCGAAAACCCAGTCCAAATAGAATAAAACCTTTTCACATCATCCTGATAGTCGGATTTTGAGTTCCCGAAGGAAGGGTAATATAGAACATCTTCGTTTGCTAATGAAGCGGCTTCTTCTTCTTCACGGGATAATGTGGAAAATATCTTCGAGGCGGTGGTGTAGAAGCCCTGAGGGTTGGAATCGGTCATGTCCATCCGGGAGGAAAACAGGGAGAACTGTTTGAGGAGCGTTGAAGTCGTTAATGTGACATTTATGGGGGGTTGTTGGTAGTTGTTTGGGTCGTTGTCGTCGAGATCCTCGCTGAGGATTTGATCTTTGTGTGAGTCGTACCATGCGCGCTTTTTTCAAATATAGCTATTAAGAACGGCTGATTAAAATGGATGTTGAAGTTCTAAAAGGACTGACCTCTTGAGGATCGCTGAGGACTTCATATGCAGCTTGGACTTCGGAAAATAGCTTTGTGGCAGCTTCGACATTGTTGACGTTCTTGTCAGGATGGAGTTCTAGCGCCTTTTTTCGATAGGCTTTTTTTATTCTATGAATTTATAATTTGAAAAATATAGAAGTCTGTTAGTATTACTATTGTACTATAAAGTGTAGTAGAGGAATCATTTGAGGTTGAGGTTGAAGTTGAAGTAGATAAAGTATAAGGAAAATACGGACTAACTCATCCTGGTCGGCGTTACGGTCTACACCCAGCAAGGTGTAGAAATCTTCTTTCATATTGGCGCTGGCAGGTTGGGAGGGATTTGAGGAGTCGTGGGATTGCTGGGCACCCATTTGTTTAAAGTAGTAGGTATTGATGAAGAAGTAATGAATGAGTGGTGATGGTGGTGGTGGTGGTGGTGGTGGTGGGATGAAGATATGATGCCTGAGGGAGCTAAGCAAGCTTGCCAACAGAGCTATGATTCAGAGCGGCTCATTCTTTCATTCTTTTTTTTTTTTTTTTGGGCGATAAAATTTGGGCAGGTTGCCTGTTTGGGAATACAACAGACAACGCTTTTTGGGGTCGACTCTAAGCCTGGCCTGGAGGTAGTCTGGAGGCACGATAGGTACCACAGATTAAGGTACGAGTTAGTCTAGTTATTATAACGTTACTTGCATTCCTCTTTCATATAGTATTAGCTGACTTCAATATTGCCCGCGACATTAAATTCGGCGTCAGGTTTTCCATCTCTATTAGTTTAGCATATCAGTTACAAAATATTAAATCTTAATATCGATAAGGTATTTAGTAAAATTATTTAAAGCATATATGTAATTAGATGTAAAGAATATAATAGCATGTTACAACCTTAAGGGATACCAAGCCAAACGTCGAATCAAATTCAGTGACACTGGCTTTTGTGGGCTCCCGGTCTAGATTACGAGACAAGGGACTAGGGAGAGCTGCAAGATATATTATAAAGAAAGGTTACACGTTCGATTGATATATGCATGAGCGTCGACGTCTGGTCTTTGATCCCGAAATCCCCCATACATAACGCTGAGGTTTCACTGCCGGAGAGGCCACAATCCATATTCTGTGATTGTTTTATGGTTTTTTAACTTCCTCGGGCACCATTTTTATGATGTTCAATACTACTAGTAGGTATTATAAGCATTGTTTATTGCAGGCAGAGCTTAATTTTCAAGCAATCAACTGTCCAGTGGGAACAGATATTTAAATGTCGGCTGCAGATAAAATGATATCAAGCCCACTGAACTCCAAGATACTAGCAATATATAGCCTGGAATCTACCCGTTAAAACGCGGCGCCATATGCCGGACGACTACAAATCCCCTGCTACATTTTCGCTAATATAGCTCGTTTTTTGTCTCGTACCCAGACCTGGAAGACTAGTTTTATATACTTACAATATTCAGGTTTTATGTATAATAAAATCGGCCGCACCTTTATAGACTAGGCCCTAGTCAGTTTGCGACAAAGTAGCTAAATTAATCCTTGCTTTGCTTCAATGTGGTGATGATGTCAGCCGGCCTTCATGAGTCGAAAACATGCCGTTTTCAATTGGCCCCATGCATCGTTGCATATTTGTTGTTGGGAAATCGCGGTCGGAGAACTTAGCTTGCTTGGCTGCTCAATCATAATTAAGTATGTAATTACCCCAAATGAGATCGAGGGCTGGGACTGACTACTTTCATGAATTCAAAGCATCTACACCTACTTACTAAAGATCCCAGATGACGCTTAACATCCTCTCTCTCCCGACTGAACTCCAAGCTCATATCCTCAGCTTCCTCCCCTGGCACGATCACTTCCTCGCGTCATCAGTCTGCCCCCTCTGGCTTTCCATCCTCCGTACGGAAAACTTTCGCCGCCAGCGGCATTATGGAAGATCCACACCAGATGCCGTTGCGAGCAAGCCTGGCGATAGAACGGCGCAGCAGCTTTCTCCACATAAACTTCTCGAGCATCACCTTTTAAGGATTATCTTTCAACGCAAAAGGGACGCTAATACGACAGCCGCCACCACCACCACCACATCCAAAGTTTTAATGGCACTGGTAGAGAAGGTACGGGACCATGTTTATAACTATGATTGTAAGCTGTTTGATATTGGAGGTTCGGGATTATTGGAGACAGATGTTCTATTCTTTGGCCTAAAAGACAAGGAGCCGGGATCTCTGGGACTGCTTGATGAAGCTCCCTTGGAGCATCATGGCGAGGATATATACCAAAGAGATACATCACTGTACTGGACCATACTTTTCAGGGTAGTGCCGTGGACCCCTGGATCGGAATACGAAGCTAGCCCCTTTGGATACTCTATGCAAACTACCATGCCTGCCCCGAAAGTCAAGATACCACCGCTAAAGCTAAGAAGACATATATGGGAGTCCAAGGAAGGGACACTGAAAAATTTTATTGGCGCTTTGAGAGGACAGGTTGAAATGATGTTCTTCAAAAACCCTAATATGGCGAAGTGTGTATTGGATGTGAGCTTAGGAGCTAGAGGGATCCCTGAAGATATAGAGAAGAGGCAGATTTATGTGGCTGTAAAAGTTAAGGAGAAAGAAGAGGGGGGTGATAGTTGGGGAGTGTGGAACTGGGCTAAAGGTTTCTTTTAGAAGAAGAATTAGTCTGATCTTTAATATTATTAATCTTAATATTAACCCATACATCTACGGTATACCCATGTACATTGAGACATTTCTTTAGATAGTTTAATATAAATTTGAAGTTCGAATAATAGTCCTCGATACTAGCTGCCATGGATCCGGACCCTGTAGCAAACCGCGCAGATCTATAGATATACGACGTGGAGAATACGTTGTATTATTATTCATACTAATATTGATATTTAAAATATTTAGCCTCGACATGACATACTTCATCTTCAATCTCTAAATACTCCATAGACACAGTCCCAAGTTAGTTTGAACCAATCTCTTTCTTCAAGTTATAATTAGTCATGGATTCATACCTTTACATTACTGATACACACATATATATACCAAGCAGATATCGTTTTCCAAGCTTCTAAATTTATAAAGTATATCAAGATCAAGAACAAGAACAAGATGGACATATTCTCTTTGCCGTCGAAATCCAACAGCAAATCCTCTTCTATCCCCCGTGGCACGAGCACTTCCTCCTAGCCACCGTCTGCCCGCTCTGGACCTCCATCCTACAAACCAGGCTATTCATCAATAAAATTTAAAAGATACTTCAGAAGCACAAACCTCACAGATTTTCATAGTCCGCAAATCCACTTGGACTTCCACAACCTTCTCGCAATCGATTCTCTCAGTCTTGAACTTCATCGAGATGGCACCTGCAACACATTACTCAGAGTCTTTTCAGAACAAAGAGACGATGTTGAAAAGGGTGATAAAGACAGAAACATTATTTTGGCGCTGAGGGTATGTAAAGAATGGTGGTCTCGGCATGTAGACGACGACAAATATTCTTCAGGAATAACTACGGACATGGGATCGAAGAGGGCAATCTTCGATATCACCAATTCGCCACTAGTTACTAGCCTCAGATACCCTACTAAACAATAACCCACCGAAATCGCAGGACCAGCAAGCCACAGGGGACCTCCTAGCAAATTATTTTTCATATTAATATTCAGACATTTTCCTCTTGTTAAGCTTGAGGATACATATATTCCAGTCACTGGGTTGGAAGACATCTGTATTCATAGGCTTTATGTTAGGCGGGAATGTAACTATAGTATTCAGTATCTTTTGGGTATGGTGGAGAAGGCGGTGAGGCCTGTGTTCAAGGCAAAGAACAAAATTGCTAGAATTTGGGTGGTATTTAGAATATCAACCCTTTCGATTTTGCCCGATTCCAAGACTTGGGGTGTGCAGGCCCGGATGTCAGTGGAATAGTTAGGACCTGTACCGCATGCTAGCTTAATATCTCCTTCAATCCCACAATCCACGGCAGATTCCCATTGAACCAAAACCGAAATCTATACTCCTGTCCCTTCTCAGGCGGTATATCCGGCTCCGGCCACACCAGCTCCTCCAAAAACTCCAAAACAGTCTTGACGGATACCTTCACATACCCGCTCTCCCCTATCTCCACGTTGTCCAATTGATCCCATGGTATCTTAATCATGCCATCTCCACAAAGTGGTATACCTAGTAAATATATATTATACGCCACCTCCTGTATCTTCGAACCTGCCGATGGAACCTGAAAGATCGGTTCTTGGAACAGTGGGAATTCAGATGTAAGACGCATTCTATAACCCCGACTCGTGCTTGTATTTGGATATATGATCGAAGATGGGGAATCAGAGGGGGGTAGGAGAACTCGAAACCCGTCTGATGTGTAAATGTATTCTAACCCGGGGGTTGTGAAGATTGCGTGAAGACCGGCTTCGGCCTCAGATGTGGAAATGTGAGTATACCACCGTTCTTTTAATAACTTATTTGACAGAATTATCGACCCCCAGAGCTTGCAGACGTAAAAGCAGCGACAATGGTCGTCCCAGGTCAAGTTTGTCAGAATCTGTGTCTGCAGTTCTGTGGGGAGGGAGAGGAGGGGCATTGCTGACGAGGAGCAGACGATGGTGGATCAAAGAGGGGAATGTTAGAAACACTCTTAGAGAAATATATGGTGATCTGGAACAAGGTAGAGAGATGGAGGGGGTACGAGGAGAGTGTGAACATTGGAGTATAGTATACTAAGCTAAGCTAAGTTGATGTCATTCGTGTGCGACGGAGACGCAAATGGGGCTGAGGAAAATGCAACAGCCTTAAATGCGTTGCGTCTCTACGAAGGTTTATACGTTCATGACAAGCCTAGACTGTTCTGGCATTGGTACTCGAGATAGATAATAGATTCGAATCGAACTTTGGATGTTAATGTTAGTTAGCTAAGGCACTCTATAATACTCACAAAAGCTATCTTAAAGGACCCAAGCTCTTATTTTATTTTTATTTTTTTCTGTTTTTTAGAAGGAATAGATGGGAGGACCAATGAATTATATTTTTGAGATTAGAATATATGTGAGTTTTCAATACTTCTACCATACATCGTGGACTGTCAGGCCCATAGCCAGTTCGAACACTACCTATGCATATATGTCTTTCGAAAGATCTTGACTTTTGATATGCACCCAATATTCGGATGCTATAAATACCATAAACCGACCCCTATAAATCCTTATCCCCTTCAGAGATACACCGGATGCAATTCCACATTCGCACAACTCCTAGGCAAGTTCTTCGAGTAATACGCATACCTCCAAAACAACTGCGGCGTAGCATGAGCCCAATCACATACCAACCAACCCCCAAAAGAACTATCCCCAGGTCTAACCAATCCACTACCATTGAACTTGTACCCACTTTCTCCCTCCCCTGCGTCAATAGTTACAGACTCCCATTGATTGTAGCGCGTATCAAAGGTACGGGACAGTCCCCATGGGAAGTCCTTGGAAAGGTTGAAGATTATGTTGCTACCGGTTTTGTTGAGGAAGGCTATGCCATTACCATTGGGGATTGGGGCGACGTCGAAGCAAGCGTCTGAAAGGCCAGCGCCGGTGTGGTAGGAGTAGACTAGAGTTTATTATTACTATTATTAGTTTCCGGTTTATAGAAGTTCGTCAAGTTGTGGTTTGGAGGAAGAATTACCAAAGAGGTTATTGAATTTGGCTCGTTCATAGGTAGGCCCAAGGAGCTTCGTCCTGAGGTGGAACTGCCTGGTAGTGTTCTTGATAGCAGAGACAGATGTGGTAAGGCACAATAGTGCCGCAAGGACAGTAGAGAAAAACTTCATTCTTGTATCGGGGTCGATCGATTTATTTATTCTAAAGCGCAGTTTAACAAGGACTCGGGTTGTGGATTTAAAATATCGAGATATCAAAAATTATACTTTTCGCGGGGAACCTACAGGTCTTTATATATATCTATATATCGCTCGGTTGTCACACTAGCATGCAAAGGTAGCTTTTCTATCACAATTGCGATAATAATCGCCCACATAGAAATCCCCGGAATCGTTCTATTTTTGTTTTTTTGTATGTGCGAGATCGCACAAGGTGCACGAAAGAACTTCCCAATGCTACCTACCATCTACGTCAGTCCTGGATCCCTGGCCCTTGAACTAGCTCTTAAGCGATACCTAGCCCCCATCGTTCCCGGCTAGCCGTGGATCACGCACATCTAGAATGTCGCTTTAGCAACCATTTTTAGATTTCACACCCCTTGTGCTTTTTCGCAGTGGGGATGCAAGGAGGAAGGAAGATTGAGAAATTTCCGGGACATATTTTTTCTTCTGCTTTCTATAAAAGTGGGGATGGGGATGTATACGAAGCATACTGAATGTAGTTCGCACATCTGCGAAAGTCGTACAAATTGCATCATGCGGTCGCTTTTCTCGGGCGGCGGCTTGTGGAGGGGAAAGCCAGTGTGTATCACTCCACCGCGGGCACATAGACCTTTTCGCTAAGAACGGCGAAGCTTTTTGTTATCCGTACCAAACGGGCTGGGCGATCCGGCTAAAATCTCTCCGATATAAATGCATGAGAGAAAAATCGATTTTGTCAAGGCTGTCGTTCTATTCCATTCTGTTTTATTTTATCGGGGAGGGTTGCATCGCAGGGACGTAGTACAGAAACGGGTAGAATCGAGTCCCTGTTATCAGCTCATCCCGCTAACCATTTTCCTTAGTTAAGCTCCATGGTCAGACCCCATTTCGAATTCGATGTTTTGCTGTGTTGTCGAACAGCATTCTGTCGCAATGATCATATGAGATATATCAAGTATTGCATTACGGCTGGTTATTTCATGATCAGGTACAAAATTCGGGTGATTATTGATATTACCCTGTGTTTGAAAGTTTTGCAATTTGTGCGAAGGACCCAATTTCTGATTGAATAAAAGGCAGGCTTCTACTAGAAGCCCGCTGAGAGGAGTATTTACTATTAACACTAAATGATCGTGGTTTTCAAGAAAGCGCTGAGACCCTGATATCGTTTCCTCCTTTTTTTTTGTCCAAATCCTGTCAGTTTCTTGGAAGCCAGAATTGATTCCCCAACGCCTGGCCTATGTCAGGACCTTTTTTTGTATCCAAAATTACAAACCCTTTTGTAAAAGCCAAAAATATAATAGACAATTTCTTCGCGATCGAGAGATACAGACGATCGAGTTGGTTAGTGTTTCCACATATTAAGAACGTCCTCCTCATTGTATTCTCCAGTGACACCGTCATCCTCGACCAACCCTTCAAACCTCTCACGGAATTGCTCAACAGTCATTCCCATTGTATTCTCGAGCTCTTCAGCATTTTCGAACTCCTCGATTTCTTGAGCGGAATCGCCAGTTGGTGGTTTCTTTGGTGGAACCAGAACATTCTCAACGATTTGGATAACACCATCCTTTGCAATGACATCTTGAATCTTAACTGTAGACTGTGCGTTGATAAGAATGGTGATCAACCCGCCGAAGCGGCTGATGTCAATACTCAAATGCTTATTCTCAAGCAAAGTCGGAAGATCGACGTGGTAATGTCCCCTTGGGATATCCTGGGGTTTGACACCAGCCTTTGATGTTGGATGGTAGTATGCGTCGGAATACAAGGTCTCGTTGACGACGATGTGGTACTTGAGAAGGGCTTTGAGGTACTTCCTGCCCCATGGGGAGAAGAGGAAGGCGTTGATCTTTGGCCCTAGTTTCTGGAAAGCAGAGTTGGGGGGAGCAAATAGGGTTCCACCGGTATGCTCGTGTGGGATTTCATCAGTCAAGTTTGTGAGATGGGCGGCAAGAAGGAAAGTGCTGAATTCAGAAGGGAAGAAATGAATGATGCTGCCGGCTGGTGGTGGAGGAAAGAGGACGGCATCGACAGCATGGATGACGCCATTGGTTGCGAACTAGATATTTGCGATATGTGTCAGTACATAATATACACAAATAAACTACCTTTTGGAGACAGCGGTATATAAACTTACGATATTGCCGGCGACAACATGGCTGTAGAAATTGACGCTAAGACCACCAGGACCAAGTGCGACACGGATTCTTTGATTCCCACCAAGTTCTCCTCCGTCTAAAGCGGATGCAATAGTATGCCCAAGAAGAAGCTTGAAGACAGGATATGCGCCGTTGCTAATATGGTAAGTAAGGAATCTCTTGATCACATCCTTTGGCGGCTTCCAATCCTTTGGTGCATTCTTGAACTTCTTAAACGCCTCGTTGGTGGGAACGAAGAGGGTGTAGTTAGCAATGGTACTATTGAGAACTGCGACGAGATCTTCATGTTCGGATACGATGGAGGCGAATTTAGTGGTATGATTGGACTTTGAGATCAGCTGCCAGATAGTTTCATTAGGAGGATGGGGCTTCCATGGGTTATGTCGAGGAGGTGGATGCCTTGGATCTTTCCCTGGCTCTCTTGGTTCTCTTGGTGGCCAGTGTGGTGGATGTGGTCTATCGCCAGGCTCGCCGGGCCAGTGTGGTGGTTTATGATCTGGCTCCTTTGGTTCTCTTGGTGGCCAGTGCGGCGGCGGCGGCCTCTCGCCTGGCCTACCTGGTCCACAAGGCTTACCTGGCCTACACGGCTCCGGCTCCGGCTCCGGTGGCCAGTCTGGTGGCTGTCGTGGAATATCATCAGGATTGCCTGGAGGCTTTGGTGGCCATGATGGTGGATCTTCTCCAGGCTCGCCAGGCCCTCGTCGTGGCGGCCCCCAATGTGGTGGTGGTCTATCGCCAGGCTCGCCAGGCTCCCTTGGCTCTCTTGGTGGTGGACCCCAGCGTGGAGGCTCTTCTCCGTCATCAAAACGTCTACGGGGTCCCTCGTGCGGACCTCCATGTGGACCTTTGTGGGGTGGTAAGCGCGGGCTCCTAAGCGGACCTCGACGCGGACCTCGACGCGGACCTCGACGCGGACCCTGACGCGGACTCTCGTGTGGTCCAGGATATGGTCCTGGGCGTGGCCTTGCGTGTGGTACCCCATGAGGACCTTCAGGAGATTCTCCGTATGACCCTCTAGCTCTATGCAGCCTATGATAGTGAGGATAATAATCAGGCTCCCCAGGAGAACGATAGAAACGGAAGAAATCAGACAGTCTGGACGTCCCCTCTCCAGGGAAGATATGTGCCGGACTAAATCCCTCTATGGTATCTAGGTCGAATCCTGGCACACGGTGGTGCAGACGGCTACGCTCTGCATAGCGTTCCCGAAGAATATACTGTGGATGAAGAACATCACAATGATGTCCATGATGCTCATGAGGTGGTCCACCATCATGACGGGGTTTCTCAGGCTCAACGACTTTTTGCTTGTCATCGGAAGTAATCGGAGCCTGGTGGTGACGGTTGGAAGCAACGAGCTTGATTGTTTGTTCGTCCGGAATGACGATAAAACTGGCGGCAGCAAACGCTGCAGAGGCGACGGGCAAAAGAAGCGAGACCCTCATTTTGGTCTACGGATTACTTTGTTCCCATCAACATAAAATATTTTGCTGTCGAAGCAAATGCAAGATCGAGAATATTTATTATCTTATCAACGGAACAACCAAAAATTATAAAATTCTTGTAGGTCTTCCACGGCAAGGGGGGAGGGGAAAAGGAGGGCTTGAAAGCAAGCTGCGTAAGCTTTACTGTGGGATGGTGGAGCAAACGATTCCATCGAATTAACCCGCGGGGCCCGGCCGGGATCGACTTGCAACTGGCAATTAATTGGCCGTGCATACACTGTCAGGCAGTGCAATTTGGACGTAAATGACGTGAAGGCAAATTCAACAGTATTAACATATCGGCATATCTACACACCATCTTCCTCGAATCGATAGTAGCGAGCCTCGCGCAATAATCTTCTCAAGCCTGAAACCTTCTGCAAGGCGCGTCTGCCAAGAGCCACATTCCAGGGCTTGCTTGCGCTCTGGACTGGTGCACAGCTAGTCGGGGCGGGCAGAAGTGGGCCCGACTTCCTGGCATTTCTTCAAGCCATCGTTTGGATTCTGCGGTCTGAACCAGAAAGACTACGTAAGCCTCGCCAAGTTTTATGCCGATTGTCCGACCATATAATTTCAAAAATTTATAACATTATCTTCCAGTATTCACAATAAAGAGGATCAAATCTGGGAATTTGCACGCTTTATATTAATGTTAAATGTCCGCAGGATCCCTTGATAGTGTAGGGTAAATTCCGAAGTCTTTCGAATTCTCTATATCTCAATTCAATATTGCTGGCTGGCTAAGTACTTCAACATTTAAGCATTTATTTTAAGCAGGAGGCCATATACGTATATATACTATGTCACAGACAGGGCTTGTTAGTCAGAATATATATCTAAATGTATTTATGTATTACTGATAGTTGTAAACCTAAGTCATCTTTAATACTTCTAGGTTAATTATAGCGCTGCTTAATTGAAGGTGTGTAAATATATACACTTATGCATATGGCAGGCTGATATAAATACTCCGACCGACTGAATACTTAGACTGTGAGGTAATAGAATCGCCGACGAAGATAGTCAGTTAAATTCGGTATCTTAAGATCTTCAGCACAGTCTATGACGGACGGAGTTCGTTTCAATGCTTCATTAATTACCGGGGGTACATATCGGTATCTGTGAACCTAATTTATCAAATTCAACTAAAATATGTTCTCTGACTATGATATAAACTCAGGAAGATACATACCGTCCACAACTACCGCTAGATATTTACCGACAGCTCTGTTCTAGACTAATACTATAGAAATAAGGTTTGATCTTTCATCCTATGATAAGATCATCGCATGACAGTTCGGAGTGGGTCACTGGATCCATGGAAATGAGTGGCCCATTTCAATATGATTGAGCTTACGCGGCGACGTCGGCTACTTCGACTTTTCACTTTTGTAGCAAATAGAGGCGGCTAGACCGGCTGACTCTTATAATTATATATAATTACGATCTTGTGAGCCATAAAGTTTGTTTCAACTTCTCACGAAACAAAAGTCTGGCCGCACTTTCAATTATTGTGGGCATTCCTGGCCCTCTCGAGAACCAGAGTATCTTGAGCATCGAGGCCTTTAGAACTACAACAACTACCTTTCAACCTGTTCTCGATAGAATATAGTGATCCTTTAGGGCATACAAGGCTCCTTCGAATCCTAGCTTACTCCACGAGGCCTCCTAGCTTGCATCTTCAGTACATCATCGTCTCTGTCACCGCACTCCAATCGCACCCTGCAAAAATCCAACAATAACATAAATTTAGCACAGCCAGCTCGAGCGCTCCCTTAATCCTGTCGCCGTCTCGCACAAACGACCAGTGAATCGCCTTGTTCTAACTCCCTGCCTACAAGGCATACCTCCCCAACAATCACGCTGGAATCCTACGTTCGCCATATTAATCCGTATTCGACGAACTCAACCATGTTCAATTCACCAGATACCTTGTCAATGTTGTATACTTGGAAGTACAAGAGCTGATTTCAATGCCGCAATTGTGAGGTCAATTATACGTGGGATATTATAACATGTCGACAGCCTGGACTAGCTAAACCATAAAAGATCTGTGCTTATGCAGCCGAGTATAACCAGCCCCAACAACCAACAGTGAATGCACAGAATTAATTGCCTTCTTCGACAGGAACTAGTGAACTCGGAAAATGTACACCTCGGCATCTCCAAAATACGAGGAAAATGTAGCGAATAAGAGTGCACCTATATCACAAGCATGACCTTATCCCCCCCAAAGCGCTGTTTCTAAGTGCTCCCAAAATAGTCGATATGTTGCACGTGCCTTCCAATTAGACTCACGTAGGTAACCAATCCCAGGCCGCTGCTCCAACCGTTTTCAACGAGCAAGTTGCGCGAGCCAAAAAGGACTAGAAAGCTTTGGTCTCGCTTTTCCGACCATTTTTGCCCCGCTTTATCGTGGATGCCCACATTTGGCCATCTTCGCCACATAGAAGCATCACTTCCTTCATATCGCTAGGACTATCCCTGCATCGAAGCTCTTCTAATCCGTGCATCTTCTTGGTCTTTCCTTAAAGCCTGTGCCGACATGGATGCTGTCACCTGATTTGGGGAGCGATAGTACTGTTGATCATTAGAATGGCTGTTGGACTGGGTTGATGAGCCTTCTGGGCTCCGGTCTGAAGCCTGAAGGATCGGGTGCCCTTCGAGAGGCGATTGCGAAATCGAGGACCTTCGGGGCTAGATTCGAATGGTTTATCTTTTAGTACGTTTGAGGGAAGAACAGTAATCCGTATTTCTTTTATCGATAGGAGGGGGCGAAAGGAAAAGGGTCAGAGCGTAGTTGGAACTCACTCCTAGGCCGACTTTACGTTTGATATTCAAAAGATCTTTCTTGGGCCCTGAGTCCTGGAAGTGGGGGTCGTTCTCTAGGATGTTATGATGTATATCTGATTTGGAATATTGGGGCGTCGACATCCCCGTTAATGGGGCGACATTGCTGTTCGGGAGCAGGATGTTCTGCATACTTTAATCACCCCTGCGCTCTGATCCGTTGACGATTGAATCCGATGATTGAGAACTCCTTTCAACTAAGTAGATTTATTATAGGTCCCTTCCGGCGAGTAATGTAAACTAGGCCACCAGTATATTGTTCAAGTACCTCTCCCAATTTAGCATGATCATATTTATAAACCCAAACGGCCGGGTATCAGATATCAGGCGCCAGGACTCGTCATCGACGGTAACAAAATCCAACAAGTTTATATGTGTTGTGTCCATCCTTACATAGCCTTTATCCGAGGATATGCCGTTTGCGGAAAGCCTCAAACTCCGAATTTCGAACTCGACGTTCATGATCCTAACCATATTCCCGTATCCCTCGCCGCATTCAGAACCGTTGGCCTAAGCTTATTCGCTTCGACTAACGTCGTATATTTCAGCCTTGTTAACGTCGTACCTGAAACCCTGTTTTAGCTCTTCAATATAGCTCTAACGGTGATAATGGTATTGAGAACCATATCCGAAGGCTTATCGGATGCAATATCAGACTATATCTCTTCAAACCCTGCCTCAAAATCAAACCATGAAAATGCATCTCAGTACCTCCCTGGCGGGAATACTCGCTCGGTTCTGTATACCTCACCATTTCCCATAACTTTCGTTTTTGCCAATGGTATAACATTATCTTCAGCCGATGGGTGCACTTATCTTGACTTCTTAGGAGAATATACAGCTGGGTTATTCGGACATTCGAACGAACAGATTAAAAACGCTATTCAAGATGCTGTAGAAAGTGGGTGGGGGTTTGGTGGCGTTGGAGTATGGGAAGGACAATTGGCGAGGCGGGTTTGTGAAAGATTTGGGATTGAAAGGTGTAGGTTTACTAATAGCGGGACTGAAGCAAATTTGATGGCTATCGCGGTGGCGAAGGTCGTTACTCACAAGAAGAAGGTATTTTTTCACTCCTTTACGATTTTGTGAATGAATGAACAAGCCATGATTAAATCGATCCTTAGATACTGGTCTTTGGAGGTGCATATCACGGTTCTGTGCTCGCTTTCCCAAGCACCGAATTACAATCTCCATTAAATGTGCCACATGAATTCATTGTCGGTCCTTATAATGATATCAAATACATTCAATCCCTTCAAAAAGACCTCACAATCACAAATGACCTCGCCGCAATCTTAGTCGAACAGATGCAAGGCGCAGGGGGTTGTCACGCCGCATCACCTGAATTCCTTCAATCCCTTAGAGAATTAGCAGATAATACCAAATCTATTCTCATCTTTGACGAAGTCATGACGAGTAGACTTCACCCAGGCGGCCTCCAATCATATCACGGTGTAAAACCTGATATGACGACTCTAGGGAAATACCTAGCTGGAGGTTCAAGTTTTGGATGTTTTGGTGGGAAAGAGGAAATTATGAAAGCATTCGACGAGGGAAGGAGCGATGGGGGGTTGGTGTTAAGCCATCCAGGAACGTTTAATAATAATGTTATTAGTATGAGAGCTGGATGCGTGGCTCTTGAGATACTTACGGATGATGTTCTGGTGGAAATGAATACTCTAGGCGAAGGGATGAGGAAGGAGTTGAATGAATTGTGTATAAATTATGGAGTTCAAGAGAGAATGTGGGTTACAGGTGTGGGGAGTCTGATGGCTTTGCATTTCGGAGAGAGGAAGGAGGGAGATGATTTCAGGGAGTATGTGGAGGTGAAGGATAAGGATGCCGAGGACTTGTTTTGGTTTTGGATGATTGAAAATGGTGTCTACCTTGCGAGAAGGGGGTTTGTGGCGTTGACAATTGAACATAGAAAAGAGCATGTTGAGAGGTTCTTGGAAGTTGCGGAGGGGTTTCTGAAGACATGGGCTCATGTATTTCGGTAGAAGAGTTATTGTAGTGTATTTGTCCATATATTATTGAAATGAGACGAAGCTCTATGATCGGTTTATTATATTCAATCGTTAAGATACTCGCATACATATACCAAAAACGGTCATTGTCGCTTCCCTTCTCCCTTGCTTTAAGATACCGCAATCGATCTCTCGACTACATGATTATATTATATTATATCTGGTCAAAGATGTTGATGTACCTGAGGTAGCAGTGGCGGGACGGTCCGCTGAGAGATTTTAATTGAGTCAAAGTCTCCATAGCACAAATATTTAAATCTGCAGGGCCCAAGTGGCTTTCAACTACAGTCTCCTATACTAGTATAGCGCAGAGCTCTCGCGCGATCGATTGGAAAGCCCGGGGAATAAAGAGCAAATTGATCATATATGCAGATATGATAATCCCTTTTTTCGATCTTTTCAGCTAGATGGGAAACCTTGATCGGTATGAATATATATATTATATTGGTGATACAAATTATATTTGGACTTAGAACACGAGAAATCTACAGATCTAGCTGACGGGACGTGGCATCAGCTGACGGTGAGTGATAATTTCCGCTAGGACGATCAGAAAGTATCTGACCCTCTCCCATCTGGATAGCATATGCGAGCCTGTTCAAATGTAAGGCGGGCCATGTCTTGTTCTGCCTGGGGCTAGATCCTGGAGGAATGATTCCATATTCCCGGTCAGGTGTCTCAGTATCAGGTATCGCGCGCCGATGGTTCCAATGTTTTAGAAATGTACTTAGTCATGGCAATTGACACCAGGATAGGTGAGCTGATATTCTGATTCGGTTTCTAGATGTCTTCTAGAATAACGAGTAATACGTGCAGTTTACCGACATCCCTGTCAAGGAGAGCTAGGAAAAGTTCAAAAAAATACCCCAACCTGCAATCCGACCAGGTACCTACATACCGTCCTATCGACAAGCACTTAACGTGGGAATTGGGGAATCTGTAGGACCGAAAGAGGAATCCTTCTTGCCCCAGCTGAGGTGTTGACTCCTTGAGGCCTCCTGCAGGGGGTCAAGAATGTTCGGATATAATCTCGAGATCCATGATGAAACAAAAACTTGGAAACAAAAAAACTCGATGTTAGGTTGCTATGCTGGTTGAAAATTATTCTTATTGGAAATATGCACTTACCAAAAAAAGGGAGTGGCTCCTCACAGTGGTGTGTGCAGGTACGAGGTCGGGTAGGCATGACCTTGTTGTATTATATTGGCGGCGTATGTTCATACCAGAACCGACGGGGCATGGTTCCCGCCTCGAGATTTTTTTCCCGGCAGTCCGATACCTTTTAAATCCATATGATAGGATATATTGCATTAACGCTTATACTCATCTGGTACCCACGAGTTGGCCAAAGCTTTTCCTGTCCACGTTCAAATTGTCAACAATCAGCGGGTATATAAAAGATCAACGAGATCAACATATTACTGACTGTATCAGTTGACAGTTGGGATTTCTAATATGCTCTTGTCTCATTATGCATTACGGTAGGTCACATTTTGGTTCCAAATCGTCGGTACGCTTCAGGAACATGACCTTTTCTTGTACCTTGTGTTCTGCTGGTTTATTTTATTCCATTAATTCCATTAATCCCAAGTACAGTGGTTAATTTTTAGTTTAGGAAATTGAACCGATCTGTCTGTAGATGTTTAGTTTGTGTAACATTGACAAAGTATGCTTGGCCTGGACTTACTTGTAAACTCGAAATGACTGTCGAGATTAAATATTACCAAGTCGGCAAGTTAGGCTTCGTACATAAAAAGCCCGGGGAACCGGCTCATACTCCAAGTTCCAAACCAAAATTCTTCAAATCACTTCCCGCCAGTATGGGAATTCTATGACAAAAAAAATAGGCTGAAATTTCAGTGAGCCGTCGAATTCGCCCCAAGATCATTTGCTTGAGACATTTGCCTGGGTATAGCGAAAACTTTGCTATTACTATTCATAATCGCTAAAGAACTGGATTCATCAAACTGAGGGTTCACGGTTAGTCCTTCAATTGGGGAAACGAGACTTGGTCAAAGCGGCATGTTCTCCTGAACAAACTGCCCCAAAATGACAGGACATCGCCAAGATAACTTTAAACCAGCCGGCTATGGGGCAACTCTGTGTTCATGAAGCGGATTCTCACTTAAAATCCTCATTCACAACCTACGAGTGGGGTGGGGGTGAGGGGAACTTGTGAGGCAGGGGAAAACAAACGATTCAGTTATGTATTATATTCACCGCGGACAATTGCTAGCGATTTACCGGCTATTTTCTTCTCCTAGGATAACGCGACGCAGAACGCTGAAGCTGGGAGTGGTAATGAAGATCGCCAACGGTTTGGCTCTAGTGAGGCCCTATAAATGGGGCAGTATAGGGTTCAGACACCTTTTTCCCCCGTCGGAAAGTGATGGATTTTTATCACGATTGGAGGCTCACGTTAACGTGTTTCGAGATTTTATAATAATAAAAGTTTCTTCAGCGTACCTTGGAGCTTTAGCTATGTTATGATAAGACCTACTATAGCTCCTATCTCTTGCCGTTGAAGATTCCTCGGTTTCCTTAACGGCACGGAAGTCGCTGGCCTGCTTCCGCGACTTTAAACATATTACCTGTGATAGCTTAAGATGGCGATTTTATGAGAGCTTGGATGTAAGACCTTTTAGTTGCGATAAAAAGGGCCCTGTTATACGAGGCACCTTTTTCTTTTCTTTCCTTACTCCTGAAAAAGCGGAGCTCGAAAAGCTTGAAAAGAAGCGAAACCTTTCTGCAGTCTGCGTGATTCAGATGCAGCAATGCTCTATACGTAAAAAAAGTCCTCAGCTGCTGCTGCTTGGATTCTCCCTTTTTACACGAGGGAAGTCGGAGTATCAAGTAGAGGTAGCTCCTGCCGACGGCATGTCGGATTCGTCGGTGGGCGTGACGATCAAAGAGGCTGCATGTTTGCTTTTGGATTTGGAGGGACAAGAAAAGGGAGCGGGGATAGGTGCAGATGTGGCAGGCCCCCAGGTTTGCGGGGCCGGGTGTTGGGTGCCTTCTTTGAACCTGGTCGCAAATATTAGATACTATCAAAGCTCTCGAGTGGATTCTGGAGAACTTTTTATGAGATATCTTTGACAAATTTGAGAGGAAAAGAATTCAGGCTGGAAACAAAAAAGGTATTGAAATTGTTTCCAAGAGTGATTTTGTGGGGTCCGAAGCTCGAGTTATTATTGCTCACTGCGGCTGGCGAACTGTTAATTCAGGGTTTTTGTTGGATCATATTCTTTTTTTAAATTTTGAAATTTCAACAGAAGGATTAATTCGAACCGAGACGATTCAGAGGGCAACTGCATATATTGCGCATGCATAGACATCATAAAGGACAGATTGTGAGGCGATAATTTTGGCAATACATAGAGTTGAGGAGGTCTAGGTCTCCGCGGGCCCTCTCAGCAAATGCCGGCCTCGTTTAGGTTAGTCAAGTATCTGGTCTTGTATAAATATAAATTCCTAGCTGAAGTCATGATGTTTCTTGAAGTTGGTTAAAGTTGCCGAATGTTGGAGGAAAGCGTAGCAGCTACTTAAGCTTTAGTTAGTAGTTATGTGCGTATGGAAGTATACCTATTCTCCAACGGGAAACGATCCGATCATATGACGATATTTTGACGATGTAAAAAAAAAAAAAGAAGAAGATGTTCAAGCGGGATTTGTAGTTTTTGACAAACCCCGACTCGGCTGCGGTTTGGCGATACATCAGATTCGCAGGTTGACCGGGTATCGGCTGTATGGCCAGACATGGTTAGGTCCCAAATCGTCATTTTGAGGCCACCACGGGCAGCCGCTATTGAGCTCTTCGCTTGAGTTCCTTTCGCTGCGCACAGGCTTCTAGCCCTTCAAAATCGACTGTTACATCTTGTGACTTTGAGACCTTCCACTATGAGAAAATTTCGGATGGATAGTTGAAAGGCTTAGTAAAGAAAGACATGTGTGTACTAGCCTCTTCTCTTCTCCCTAAAAAAACTGCTAAATGCACTAGAAAATTCTATTTCTGCACGATTCATGCACTGTTTGAAATTCGACAAACCAAGCATACTAGGAACTATGGAAGAATCCGTGAGGTAAATATCCTCGTGGTCTGCGGGCGCCTTCGGGTGCCGATATGTCACTTTCTCTCTTGCATTTCGATTTATAAAATCGAAGGGTTGGAGTTCGTATTATGGCTGGCGGGCTGTCAGCTCGAGCCCTCGACGGTTGATGCAACCGGGATATATTAACCCTACTCCTGCCGGCCGTAGTTGTCCATGGCTACGATCATGCAGGTGCATAGAATAAAAACGAGTCTAGCGAGCCATTTTGCCATATCGCACAGATCCCTTCTGCGCCTCTGCTTGATATTCTCGCGATGGCAGATGTCAAAAGACGGGATAATCCTGTTCCACGATGTCGAGGGGACAGTCCGGTGGGGAACCTCTTCTGGGGAACAGATGCGCGAGCCATGTCCGTATTATGTACATACAGTACCTACTAGCACAGAACTTATCAACCAGCGCCAGTCAACCGGGTCCTTCTAAGTTGCATCTAAGTTAGTTTCTTTTTTTTTTGAATTTAATCGATGGATGTCACTCACTAGCGGTACCCATCGGTACATAACACCCAGAGTTCGAACCTGAGAAAAAACCAATAACATCACCGTTGTTTCCAAACACCAATGGGAAGAGTGAACCATGCTCCACTCCGACGGGGGAAAAGGCCTGGGGTACCCCAACTCTTTCACGAGAGGCACGAGTTCAAACTGAAATCTCGGTCTCATCGATGAAAAAATGTGGAGGCCCAGGTTCAGGGTGCATTTTGCATGCAGAAAATGAAAAAAAATGAAAAAAATGAAAACCCCATTTTATGTTTCTTCCTGGTAACTATAAAGTCGACGGCATCTGACATACCCTTGCTAGAGAGAAACGGCCTGGCCTGCGCTTTTTGGTAGCTCCAAAGTTTTGGAATCGAATAGGACTCTCTGAGTTCGAAATCCATTGCATACATACAGGACAGTCCAGGACATCATACATATTACTCGAACCGTGGGTTGCAATTGAATACAACTGCAGGCACAGGAAAGGATTGGAGTAACCAACCGCAGAGACAAATTCGATTCGATTCGGCCAATCTAGCTTTTATCCTAGTTCAACTTACCAGCAGTCACTTACAGACCTCATCGACATTGTCGCCTCCCGTTTGATTCAAATTTCTTTTCCCTTCTCGCTCCTTTGGGTGGTGTTACGTTATATACATTTAGCCCAGCAAGTAAGTACTTACATGCATAAAACAGAAAAAGAAAAAGAAATTTAAGCAAGAAGTCCCGAGAGATTTGCGCAAGGACAAGAACCGGTTCATAACCGTTCAAGCTGCCGTGGGTCCCTTCGGACTCTTATAGTCTAAGCCTGGGAATAGTACAGAATTGATTGTTTCTGCCCCAAATCGGTTCTGACGGCGTATAATACAGTCAGTATATGCTCGTACTAGTGTTAGCCTTGAGGGAAGAATAAAACCAACCTGAATCCCTTTCTCGTCCAGGTGACCCCGAATATTCCTGCTTTCTAATCGCTGGTTGGGGGGTTTTTTTTATCATCATCCGCATCTGCATCTCGCATCTTGCATTCCGATAACAACGTCGCCCAGTCGATACTATCCTCAGAGTCTGCGGCGCGGCATTGCCAACATTGGACGGAGCATTAATATATACCCGCCCAACCTTTCACACCTGCACCTGCACGACCACGACCACGACATATAGCGTAGTATATATCTATCTCCTAGCTTAGGTGTATCTACTAGCAGGATCCTTGAAGCTAATCGCCATACAAAATAAAACCAAGCGAATTAATAATTCTTCACGACCACTGAATATTCGATTTCCCAGGGCGGAATTCAATTCTTATATCCGCCACCGAAAATACCCTCGAGGCGCTCAATTTACTTGCAAGATCTATTTTATTTTATTTTATTTTATTTTTCTTGCTCTTTGCGCAGTTACGTACGCTGTTGAGAAACAGTCCAGAGAGCCGCATATTCACATAACATACGAGACCACCAGCACTGTACCGCAGTACCAGGTCGATAAATCGCTTCACCATTCATCCCTTGGCTCACGTTAGCAGGAATCCACCAGCATTTCAGCCATCCTGTGGCAATAAAACCGCTAGTTACTGAACTTCAGTCAGAATTCCAACCGGTTGTGTTGTCTTACAGTCCGGCCAGACCTGTCCTGAGCCATCCTGAGCCATCAGTTAGTTCACTGCAAGGGGGGGGACGATATTCGGTTCGGCATTCTCAGCACAGATCGAGGACGATAGCTATATCGAGAGTTCCTCGTAACAGTCTCCCAAAGCGTCAACTGCTGCAAGGCACATAACGGTTTACGGTAGACCCGAGGTTACAATTTGTCTGAGAAGGCTAAAGCTGCAGGTGTAAAACGAACCTGAAGCAAACCGCATTGAATTTGCATTGCAAGCAGTATACCATACTGCACCGCACGATATCATCATTCAACAGCCTGGCCTGTACGTTTTACGCTATTATGCCAGCCTTCTGAAATTCAAGCCACGAAATCGAACCGAATATTTTACGACTTTTTTCTATCATTTATATATAATTCCAGCGGGTCGATACCACGGCACTAGCCATTCCCAGAAGTATTGGATCTGAAATTGGCTTGAATCCAGGAGGAGGTGGTGATAAGTTGCGAATTAGGGCGACAGCATATTGGAATTCTGGGAGCAAAGGGATAGGAAGTTATAGTTTTTTATCGAAAGAACAAGCCAGGGAACCGGGTCTGCAATATTCAACCTCAGTCTGGGAATTTCTTTCCAGATCTGGTCTTGAAGCCTTTTTGTTTACCTGCGACTCCTCTAAATTTCCCAAACTTTCGATCTCGATCGTTCCAACTTGACCATCAATCAATCAATCAGTCAATCGATCGATCAATCAATAATCAATCAATCAATCAATCAATTCAATCAGCTGCGGGGTGTCTTTGACTCTTTTCTCTCTCTCTCTTTCTTTTTTTTTTTTCCTTTCTCTCCTTCTCTTCCTCAATGCCCTTGCAGGTTTCTCGACTTTGATATCAATTCCATATCATCCAGCCGACATCTGCGCACGCCCAACTCGAACCAAACTTAACCAACGTAACTTAACCTCAGCGCAGTCGCAACCACAACACACCGACTCTTCCTCTCTTTGCGACCCACAAACCAACATCTCCTAGCTATACTACACTATATAGTATAGTATCATCATCATCACCATATACACCCCTTCTTTCCTTACCGTAAAGGGGAAAACAGGGTATAGTTTTGGCCGACGGGATAAGGCTGCCTTCTAAAGGCAGCGGAGGGTTTGGCTTCTTTATCCGTTTTATCGGTTTACACTTGCATGCTATAAGTCCACATCATCGACAACCATGTGGTGGATAAGTTTCCAAGAAGGCTCGGTGATCCCGGGTATCATCGTAGGATGTTTCGTGGCAATCGGTGAGTTCTCCAACTGTCTGTCTATCGAGTTCAACATTCTAACTTTGTACAATAATAGGTGGTTTAATATTTGGGTATGAAGACTATGTTCACTTGCACGTATTGGACTCGGTCTACTCATACGTATACTAACACTATGCTTTGCGGTTCTATAGATGGGATACTGGTAACATCAATGGCATATTGGCAATGGACTCGTTCATTCGAGATTATGCCACCAATGTTGACGCCCACGGAAGACCTTACATTACTGCCGGCCAATCGAGCTTAATCGTTTCGATTCTTTCTGCTGGGACGGTCATTGGTACGAATACTTACCCTTCAACCCTAAGTTACTATGTATAAATACATATGCTGACGGATATACCTCTTTTCTCCTTTAGGCTCTTTGACAGCAAACTTCTGGGCGGATTGGATCGGGCGAAGATGGGGCCTGATATTATCGTCCACCCTTTTCACAGTATGTCTTTTCATATCTTCATCTTTTAACTTATTTAGTATCGTATAGAGTCCTAATCTTTCAATAGGTTGGTGTTATTCTTCAAACACTATCTACTGCTCTCCCGCTCTTCATCATTGGGAGAATGATAACTGGTATCGGTGTTGGTCTTATATCCGTGATGGGTACGCATGATCTAGATTGCATATATCACCTCCACAAAGCCAGACCACTTAACTAACTCATGTATAGTCCCTCTATACCAAGCAGAGTCCGCACCTAGGTGGATCAGAGGTTCAATCATCGGCTGCTACCAACTCTCCATCACCATTGGGTTACTTCTCACCACAATTATATCCAACGCAACGCATTCTCGCACTGATAGTGGTGCTTACCGAATACCAATATCATTGCAAGCCATTCTCTCTGTCACCCTAGCCGTTGGTATGCTATTTCTGCCAGAGTCGCCTCGTTTTCTCGTAAAAAGAGGCCATCCAGAGGCTGCGACTTTGGCCCTGGCCAAACTTCGAGCTTTGCCACGAGACCACCCAACCTTGCAAGAGGAACTTGAGGAAATTGAGATGTTCCACGAGATTGAATGTGATTTGGGAAAGGCGACATGGAAAGATTGTTTTAGAGGCAACCTGGGTGCAAGGTTGTGGACTGGTTGTGGGCTCCAAGCGTTGCAGCAATTGACAGGGTTCGTAGTTGTCCTTCAAAATGTTCGGGATACCCGAAGGCAGTAGGCTAACCCTGGTATCTAGCATCAACTTCATCTTTTATTACGGTACCACATATTTCAAAACTAACGGCGTTTCTCGACCATTCGTCATCTCACTCATCGCTAATATTGTTAACGTTGTGGCGACGATACCTGGTCTTTATCTCGTTGAAAAAGCTGGAAGGGCACCGCTACTTTTCATTGGAGCCCTAGGAATGGGGTTTTGCCAACTTGTAATTGCCGTTGTTGGTCTGACCACTAGTACCGATGTAGCCAACAAGGTTCTCATCGGTCTGACTTGCGTCTACATCGCCTTCTTCGCTATGACTTGGGGTCTCGGTGGCTGGATTGTCACCGGTGAGATCTTCCCACTTAGGGTCAGGGCAAAGAGTATGAGTATGACGGCAGCGACGAATTGGATCGTAAATTGGGCCTTGGTAAGTCTCACAACTCCCTCGGTTTGCTTTTAAATATGCAAAAAAGAAAGCTTTTGTTCTTTTTCCCGTCGCCTTGCAGTGCCTTGTGCGACGTTCGTGGAACGTCGATATTTTGTCTTCTCTCTGCACAGGTTTAGGCACCCTACATCCGCACGATTATTTGTGGACTTGCCTTTTGCTCAAATCATCTGAAAGGGTATTTGATCTGGGCTATTGTCTTATACATGGTCCCAAGAGGCGGCTTCCAGAAATAAGGAACCGAGGAATAGCACTGCGACGGCCGAAGTGGCACTGCTGTCAACGCCCGCTTGTCGTACTTGATTTCCATTCTCTGCTACCTTTTTCTTCCATTTATACCACCTTGCAATCATACAATAATTTCAATGGCTACAGATAGCTAACATTCGCGATTTTTGTAATGATAACAGAGTTACTCGACCCCATATCTTGTTGACGAAAGCCCCGATTCCGCTCGACTTGGCTCTAAGATCTGTTTTATCTGGGCCGGGTTCTGCTTCCTGAGCGTGTGGTTTGTTCAAAAGGTAAGAATAACGTTGCTATCTCCGCTGCCTAATCGGTGCAATGTCGCCCGACGTTGCACATAATATCTACCACCCCGAGTTCGTCCAATCTTCTGTTCACGAAGGGAGCTAACGCGCTCATTACTCTAGTACATTCACGAAACAAAAGGTATCTCCCTCGAACAAGTCGATGGAGTCTATCACGGCAGTACTGCCGCCAAAATCCGCAACCGTCTCTCTAGTGTCACCGGCGCCTCACTCCGAAAAAGGGACACAACGCACGTCAACGAAATCATCCCGCTACATGTCGCCGCAGCAGGCGGCATGCCATCGTCCTATACAAGCCGTGCTCCTCTATCACCACTATCTCCAGTTCATAGCATCATACCTTCAAGCAGCCGGGATAGCAATGAAGTTAGCCCTGGCAGCCTGGAACGAGGTTCTAGTTTGCCAGATAAGGAAAATAGTATCCAAAGGGTCGATACCAGTGGCTCATAACACACCCCATATTCTTCAAGTTATTTTCTTTCTCTGTTTTTATCGCTCTTTGCCATTTCGTTATTTTATTTTTTTTATATACCGGACCTTGGAGTCTCGGTAGGATACCCCCCACGCAAACAAAATATCATGCGGGTCCGGCGTTCGCGGCGTTGTCTTTTCCTTTGCAAAAATTACTTCTTCGTCCTCTTTGTTTCTTTCTTTCCTTTACTTTTTAAACCGAATTCTTTCTAATGGCCGCTGTCCTGATCTTTGCACGGGGGAGATATCTTTCTATATTACATATGCCAGAACCATAAGGGAACGGCATTCACGACCTCGAGGCCTTTCCTGCCTCTGCTCTTCATTTATTATGATGGTTCATCGAACATCAATAATAGCGCCGGTTAAGCCTTATATTGATACCTTCGGTGCTTGAAACGACGGCTCTTTTTTATTATATCCTGTTCCGTTCTTGTTTTCTCTTTTTTTTAAACTGGCCCGGCGTCGTCGTACATATCACTTTAGCATATGGCGTTGTATCTTTTTTTCTTTCTCATTCCCCACAATCCGTCAAGCTTGTCATTGGTTTCAAATACATCCCGTAAAGTGGATGTACATGTACCATACAATGCTCCCTTCCAATGATCAGAGGACCATTGTTGGTTCATAACTAGCTAAGCGCTTGATCATAGCTACAACTTATAACCACAACTACAACTATAACCATATATATTGTATTATAAATAAAATAATCTTTAAATATTCAGGGCGGCTTAAGAACCAGACCCTTCAATACATACCTAAATACATACTTAAGTACATGCGTCCATAGGGCTCTTTTTTCGTTCCACGATTAAACAAATTCTTCCAGTTCAGATGCTTTGATCGATTTTAAATTTTCTCGTACCCCATGCAACAAAACAGGATTTTTTGTTACCACTCAACATGCCATTTGATATCGATCCTGATTAGAATAATACCATCAAAAGATTAGACGGTGTGACTCGTATACAACATTTTTTCAAAAGAAAACAGATAAAATAATTCCAAATAAGACGAAAATTATAGAAACGAAGTGAATTCCAACCGAACAATTCGAAGAGGGGAGAGAGAGAAAGAAGGGAAGAAAAAAAAAGTGACAGAAACTCTGCCTCGGTTCCATGTCCGCGCCGCACCCTGTAAGCACACAATACATAACCCAACATAACCCAAAAGAAATCAATAGCTGTGCTTTTTTGTCCTTCAGCATTCGTTGCTACAGAAAATCCAACATTCCAATTAATTAGGGGACGAAGAAAAATTGTGGGGGAGATTGGGGAGAAAGAGGCAATCGTCAAAGAAATTTCTGGGATACCCCGACCCGTCAACTTCTAATTTACAGATAGAGACATGATAGAACATTTCTCGTTTCAATCACCCACATCCAATCCCATTATCCATCTAGCTTGTGTAAGAAACCCATGTCGAAGAAGGGTCCCTAAGGTCAGGGTTCCCCTCATTCAGCTGTCTTCAGCTCCTCGTGTCAAAGCTTCCCAACTTTAATCAAGCTAGCCCCCTTCCTTTTTTTTGCCTCAAAACCTGATCTATTGGCCGTGTTGCCAATTATACATGGGTTCATATGGACCCCTAAAAGCACCAGTGAATCCTAGCAAATCTGAATTTTGTAATAGATTCTCCCATTCCGACCAGTTTATCGGGGTCACACCAGCGGATGGTGAAGATGAGGAGGCTGTAGACCCAGCTGCTCCACCCCCAGTTGTATTTGTTATGTTGTTTGTTGTTGTATTTGCGGTTGGCGGCGACATTGATATCGCTTCTGGACCCGATGAAGGCATTGTGTTTGTACCAGCAGCCGATGTAGTGCTACCCGACTGTGATGATACAATGTTGATCCCATTGTCTAGAACTCCTCGGTTAGGACCAGCGTAGACGAAGGCTTGTTGTCGCTGTTGTTGCTGTTGATGTATAGTTGTATTTGCTTGTGTATCAAGGTATTGTAGAGGAGCGGGATCGAGGTTGGTAGTTGGACCCTCAGCATCGCCGCCTGGGCCCCTATGCGCGGGCGTTGGCCCAGGCATTGCGGTGGCGTTGGAAATAGCATACATTTCCCGTATTGTTTGTACGAATACGGGTACTCTAATTTCTTGTTCGACTACTTTCCCTGCCTTACGGATTTGGGTTTCACGGTTTTCCCAAGCTTTTAATGCGACTGCCCGGATCGCGGAGTGGAGTTCGTCTTTGCGTTCGAGCCATTCGTAGTGGTGTTCGAATACTTCGTCTACTTGCGCCCATGCCTTTTCCACTTCTGGGCCTTGTGGTCGATGGCGGAGCTCGCCGAGAAGATAGATGAATGCGTGCCACTGGAAGAAGGATTTAGTGTGCCAAAGGAACTTTTGGATGGAACGGCTTGAGTGGCAAAGATTATCGTATTCCATAATTTTTATTGAATCGGAGAACAGACTGTCTTTCTCCTCTTGAGACATGCCAGCCCCATTGTCTACTCGGCGAATTGGGTGGTGGGTCATAAGTCGAAGGTTTGTTAGTGCTGAGCGGCACACTATAGATGTAAATAACTGTAGCGGATTTATAGGGTCGCAATGACGAATGTACTTTTCTTCCAGCTTACTTGTAATCTCATCAAGTTGTTGGTCGTTATCTAGGGCTTTGTAGAAGTTGGCGAATTCGGGACTATTAGGGTCAGCTTTGTCGTACATATTCCCGAGATTGAAACTTTGTCGGTGCATTTGGCGCCAGCGGTCGACAAAGATCTGCCCTAGTTCGCCGCGGAGTTGTGGCCACATGTTTTCTGTGGGGCCCTCCCGTTCCTTAGGGGGTTCAGTCATACCGGGCCATATGTCGGTTTCGTTGATCGAAGCTGGCCATTTGGAGTCCCAAGCATTTTCGTCCATTGCCATTGTATATAACCCTGCACCGGAGAGTTCTGCGGTACGGAAGTCAAGGATGAGAATTTCACGCCAGAGGCGGCGGCGCAGTTCGGTTTCGAAAGGTGGGAGGTTGAGTTTTGTACCGTCCCGGTGGACACCCATTCTTTGAGCAATACGGACCGCTGTGCCCGTTATTACCCACAGAGATGGATAGTCGTAGTATGAACGAAGATCAAGCTACATAATTTTTGATTAACTTTGTAGGAAAGGAAGGGACAAATAGAATACCTACGAGGAAAAAGACCAAAGCTTGGAGGACTATCACATCCGTAGTCTTGAGAGTTCCGGCATTCTTAAGAGCGTGCTGGGCGGCAAAGCGGTATCTCACAAGTAGATCGTTTCTCGATTCTTGAAAGAGGTTTAGGCATTGCCTACCGTCTAAAGAAGACACAGTCAAAGCATAAATAGAGAGCATCAATGCCTCTAAGTTTCTAGGCATAGTATGGGGTTTGTCTTTATACTCAATTACTCTGACGGCGAGGGATGGGTGATGAATAATATGAGTAAGGGGATTGATGTTCTCAAGGAAGCAGTTCCATAATATTAAGCAGTGGGCAGCCGGGGGATGGAAGCCGGAAATATCAACCTTTGAATTGACAGGACCGAAGAAAAATATTCCAGTGCCCAGGTTTGGATTCGCGGTTGCATTATTTATGGTCCAGTCATCGCCTTTGGAGTCGTCGTCAGAAGAGTCCAAAATCGTCTCTTTTAGCTCTTGAAGTTCGTCCTTCAGAGAGTTCCAGAGATTACTATGATCATCTTCCGTTAGCATAGGGCTTTACTGTTACAGGACGTGTAAAACTTATATATGACATGAAGTTACGAACTTTTCAAAATATCTTGACCGTCCGGTGGACGCTAGTAAACCACCTTTTTTCGGTGCACAAAGCCCAAATTCACCAGAGGGTCGTTCAAACTTGGCCCGTTTGGTTTGCCTCTCTGGCTCCGACTTTTCCGAAAATCCTCCCCAGAGGACACCCGAACTTAGGCCGTCGCCTTTTTGAGGGGATGGCAGTTCCACTCCATCCAATAACTTAACATTGGATTCGACCTGTTTTAGTAGTTCTTCGTATCTATTTAGGCGTTGCAGCAGGTTCTCATGCTTGCTAGAGGATTTTCTCTTCTTACGGGGCCCCGGCTCGACGTATTGGCATTCCACGTTAAGTTTGGTACAAGTGGAGCAGGGTACTTGGCGGTCGCACTTGACCTTTCTGTTTTTGCAAACGACGCAATTGAATGCATGTGGCTTCGGGGAGGAAGATGTGCCTGCAGACGGTGGAGCATGCAGAGGCGCTGTATCTTCTGGGGAGGCCTGGTCTGGTGGTGACACTAGGTTGACTGTCTCGGGAGTCCCACTCATGATCAATAGTCTAGGCGTCTGCCAGGCCCGGATGTTGTACTATATTTTCTTCAAATCGGGGAATTTGTAGTCGATATCCTGCATGCAGATATTGAATTCTACCTGCAAGAAAAGGTTGTAGCCGTGAACTGTGTGGTAAAAGTGAACTTCCTGCGTTGGTCTATCGGTCGTTTCGCACTTTGAGAGGGCCGAAGGCGGCAAGCCGGACAGAGCTTTATCTTTATAATCTCGCCTGCCAGTTTTCGCGGTATGGGACTTTGCTCGGGCCTTTTTATGTGCTCCAAATAGAAACGACACGAGTCGTCAGTCCAGCACCTGATGCTTTACTGCCCATACGTAAGCAGGTTGCACTTCTGAATGGCCTGAGGACAATTGTGGCCATTTGAATTCCTCCGTTCTGCTGAATTCACTTGGATCGCTTCAAGGTGGATACGAATTGGGAACAGCCATCGGCCCTTGGCACTTGATTTCGGGCCCGACGAAGACATTAACAGGGACCGAGTTCCCTCGCGGGCGACTTAATCAGCGGAGGCTCTTCACGCAAACAGCCTAGAAAAAGCTTAAGTCCTCATATCCGAGCGCCACATGGACCTGTTGGCCTATCAGGGCACAGATGCCCAAGAATAGTGAGCCGGTCATATGAGGGCCGATTGCCGATGTCCGTTGGCCCTTCAAATTTTCTTTCAGCCAAAAATCTGAAAATCGGGGGATAAAAACGCCGTGTTTTGCTACTAACCAAGTGATAATGATAGTTTTCCTCTGCGAAGGATCTCGATAGCTCCTCTTCTTTATATATTGCGGGGAGTTCTTGTTCGTTCACGTTTGGCTTTCGGAAGGACATCGCTATCTCGACTTGAGTTTATAAAATTCTTAGCTTAGAATCGTCGGTTCACGGATTGCCCCTTTTGGAAGCTTTCTGCAACACAATCAACACGTTTACACCGGCCAAGAGACCGGATCCTCCTCGACGCTCATATTCATATCTACACATCCGCACATAACCTATAGCCCCGAGACCTATTTAAACAAGAGCTATAGTATTATACTATAGTGCTCTATATCCTGACCTATAAACACCGTCAAAATGGTGTCAACTCACTCTGACGCCAATACTATCACTGACCAGGCCGGTGCAACTGGTTCTAAGAAACATTCTATCGAACTCAACAATATCGACAACAGCGCACCCGCTGAGGTAGACCATGAGAAGTCTCAGGCACTAGCACTAGAACCCATCTATACAACAGAAGAGACTCATGTATATCCTACGGGAACTGTCTTGTTCTCGATTGTTGTGGCCTTAGTGTTGGCTATCTTCTTAGTTGCTCTCGACCGTACAATTATCTCAACTGCTATCCCTCAGATCACAAATGAATTTAATTCCTTGGGAGATGTCGGTTGGTATGGTTCTGCTTATCTTATCACTGGTTGGTATGTTAATATCCCGTTTTCTCTGATGAATTTCCCTTTCCGTATCGTTCTGGTGTGCTAACTCTTATAACAGTGGTTTTATGCCCCTCTCTGGAAAAATCTATACATTCTATCCAACAAAATGGGTATTCCTTGCTCAAATTGTTTTCTTCGAAGTTGGATCAGCTCTCTGTGGCTGGGCTCCTGATTCTACATCTTTTATCGTTGGCAGAGCTATTGCCGGTGCTGGTAGCTCCGGTATTTTCACAGGTGCTATTGTAATGCTCACAGACGCAGTTCCTCTACACAAGCGAAGCACCTTCATGGGGGCTTTTGGTGGTGTTTTCGGTGTATCTGGTGTCATCGGACCCATCATGGGAGGCGCATTCGCTCAACATGCCACCTGGAGGTGGAGTTTCTGGATCAATCTTCCTATCGGCGCCGTCGCTTTCATCATCATTTTGCTGATCATAAAGGCCCACCCGGTTCAGAATAACCTCACCCTTGTAGAACGAATCAAGCAGCTCGACCCTATCGGTACCGTTATCTTTCTTCCAAGTATGATTTGTCTCCTTTTAGCCCTTCAATGGGGTGGTACTGAATACGCATGGTCATCTGGCCGAATCATCGCCCTCCTTGTCGTCTTCGCTGTTACTATCATAATCTTTATTGGTGTCCAAATCTGGAAGAAAGATGAGGCCACGATGCCTCCCAGAATAGTTTCCCAACGTTCTATCGCCTTCGGCATGTGGTTCGCTTTCTGTGCCGGTGGTGGTATGATGTTGTTCATCTACTATCTTCCCATTTGGTTCCAAGCTATCCAAGGTGTCAACGCCACGGACTCTGGTGTTCGCCTCATCCCTATGGTTTTGACCCTGGTTGTGGGTACCTTTGTTGCTGGAGGAGTTGTTCGCGCATTCGGATACTATACTCCCTTCATGATCGCTGGAGCCGTTCTTACGTCTATCGGGGCCGGCCTCCTTACCACCCTCACACCATCAGCTAGTGCTGGCAAATGGATTGGCTTTCAAGTCTTGTACGGTTTTGGTCTTGGCCTCGGTATGCAGCAACCTGCTATTGCCGCTCAAGCCGTCTTGGAGCGCAAGGACGTCCCTGTCGGAACTTCAATGATCATGTTCTCTCAGATTCTCGGTGGCGCCGTCTTCATCGCTGTCGGACAGAGTAGTTTTGTGAACAAACTTGTCAAAGGTTTGATTCAGATCAATGCTGAAGGATTTGATGCGTCGAAGGCCATCCACACTGGTGCTACACATTTGAAGGAAGTCATTGCGCCACAGTATTTGCCACAAGTTTGGGAGGCGTATAATACTGCTATTGTCAACGTGTTTTATGTTGCGGTCGCACTATGTTGTGCTAGTTTGATTGGAGCGTTGGGGATGGAATGGGTAAGCACGAGGAAGCATGTTGATGCTCCAAAGAATAAAGAGCAATCTGGTGAACAGAAGGTTTAGAGACGAGGGAGGCTTTAGGACAGAAATGATCATCCTTAACAGAAAAGGAGAAAAAACAACTAAGAGAGGAAATTCCGGTTTTTGACGATATTTACAGCGATTGCATTGGGCGGCGTCCTAAGTTGGGTTTGTTTATTATATTTTGGAAGAGTTCTAATTAAAACTCTTCGGTTTTGAATAGATTATTAGTAAATATAGAATTAATCCCCTCTCTGTATATAATTAACGATACTTCAATCTATCATATAAGTAATGTATAATGTCTAGTCCTCCAAAACTCCGATGTGTCATACAAACCTGCAAGTCTTGTTACATTTGTCTCAAGGAATCGTGCTTCGTGTCCACGTTCCATGCCTGGCAGCCGTCAACATTCTTTGACCAATTGCCAACACAAAAAATACAACGTGGGGAAAGGTATGCCGATTGGCTGATCGAAATGTACTAATCTATCGCATCGAGACCCCACACCTGTCGTTCTGGCTGTTGACTAGCTCGGATAGACCAAGACGCAGACAGTATCTGCACGCCGACAGTGTCCACAATCGTCTGATGATTCGGAGAGGTGGGATGGCGTAGTTACATTCATGTTGCATCCTCGCTTTAAAGCTTTGCAAACCAAAGCATCTGGCTTCTAGCTGGCTACTTGGCGTCCGCTTAGGAAATTTGCCATTGAAACTAAAAAAATAAGAGAGGTCCAGTGGATAAAATGAAGGCTGTATTGCCTGCTCGCCTCTTTTCTTCCTTTTGCATTCTTCCTGTCCTCCTGATCTTCATTGCATTTTCTAAACTGCTTCGTAGAGGCTGGCTTGTGGGATTAGTATCTGCGCATTTTAACTGTAGGTTCTAGGACCACATTTTCGGTAGAAGGCTTCGGATAGCAGAACCGGTGTATATCTGGAACGAGAAGGCTTTGCGACTGGGATTACGAATTGTCACGACCAGTACTGCAAAATTACTAACTATTTTGCTTAATCTTAATATTTCGACAACGGGCCCCAGGGACAGCTGTATAAAGAAGCGGGAAATACCGTATCTATTTCGCAGCATCTCGCAATCAAATCCAGACCGAGATCTTGCAGGAACAAAGAAAGAACGCGTCAGCAAAGAAACTCCAACTCGACGCCCGTGCTTACGACCTCCTTAATCCTTATTGGTCAATTGGCAAGACATCAGCACACCCAACCGGGAAAATACCACCCCGCAACACAAAAGCTTGCAGGAACGAGGGGTTTGGAGCACAGCATTTCACGAGGGTATGTCTCAACTTCATCAAGATGATTACGAATGCTGTGGAGGACTTTGTGCTTGGCAGACTCCTTGGCGGCGTATTAAGCCCTCGGTTTCCCCTCAGACTTTGGGAGAAAAGTCGCTTGGGGATAAAATCATAGGCTGTAGCAATTATATCATGCCAGGCGACTTGGAAAAGCTTGAATGTGCAATGCGTGCGCCGGGCTAGGGGAATATCGGTTTTGAACTTTTGCAATTGGTATACGACATGAACGAGGCTGGCTAACATGACTCGGGAATTACTACAGAATAGGGACTTTTCCCTTTGCCTAACGAGACTTGGCGACGAAAGATCCTAGGAATCACCTCGAATTGAAGATCGATAGCTTGGCTTGTTATAACCGGAATCGAGAAGTTCTGGCGGTTAGATCTCCCGTTTGATATTGGAGCTCTATCTCGGCGGAGCGAGTATACAGGAGCTACAATTCTGTGCTTTGGGCAAAGTGAGTGGCAAACTTGGATATTAATATTCGAGAGAGGACCAATTTCCCAACGCCCACTGCGAGATTAGTCTATAAAATCCTCTCCAAATTCTCCAAAATTACATTTCCTAAATCAAAACACTCGCTGCCAACCAACAAACCAACCAACTTCCACAATGAAATATTCAACCGTAACTCTCGCAATTGCGAGCTTCCTACCGATCACCTCGGTTCTTGCACATGGGGATGAGAGCCACTCAGCAATCCATAAACGAAATGAGTTTATCAGTCGTCGTTCCCTCGCTGCTTGCCGCGATAATGAGAACGCAAAGGCACTATTCAAGCGATCCTTTGATCGTAGAAGTGCATTGGTAAACCAAATTCGTAAAGAGAGAGGTTTATTAGGACGTAAGTTTAGATTTTATAGCTTCCTTTTTCACAAACACCACGTAGGACCATCGTGCTAAAGCAGTCCGCTACAGGTTCTTTGGAGGAATCGCATAGAATCGCGAAACGAGCTTTTGAAGATGTTTCTAAGATTGACCATAACAGCACATTTGCAGACGCAAGATTCGATACCGACTCTAGTGTACTATTCTCGGGGAATACATCTTGTCTATTAATGCCAGAGGTTACGGAGGGGCCTTATTGTATAGAACTTCTTTTATCCATTCGGTTTACTAACGAGGCTGAGCTAACGTATAACGTTGATAATCAGTTGTTTCCGGAGAGTACGTTAGAACGGATATCACAGATGGACAGGTCGGCGTACCGTTGTACTTGGACATTCAAGTCATCGACACCAACACTTGCGAACCGGTCTCAAGCGCCTATTTTGACGCATGGCATAGTATGTCATTCATACATTCCATCTATCCTAGAAACAGTAAATTAACTATTCCTAGCCAATGCCACTGGTGTCTACTCTGGTGTCGTTGCGAATGGTAACGGCGTTGGCGAAAAGGATCCCACTAACTTAGACAATACCTTTTGTCGAGGCGTCCAATTTACCGACTCTGACGGTGTTATCAAATTCAAAACTATCTTCCCCGGCCATTACTCTGGCCGAACCACGCACATTCATATCATGTCCCATAAGGGAGGCACCGTCCACGCCAACGGCACATACTCTGGCCATGGCCGCGTTACTCACGTCGGCCAGCTCTTCTTTGACGAAGATCTTAAAAGTACAGTCAAAGATTTGGCGCCGTACAACACAAATACCCAAAGTGTGATCTCCAACGAACGGGATCGAATTGCACACCAACAAGCAGAAAACGATTATGATCCGTTTGTCAAGTATGCTTACTTGGGGGATTCGGTTGCCGATGGCATCCTAGCATGGATTACAGTTGGTATCGACCAAAACGCCGAGAGCGATCCATATGTCGCAACCGAATTGACTGAGAATGGCGGAGTCGTCGTTGGACATCGTGGCGTTGTGGGAACTGGCGAGGAAGTTGACGAAGTTCCTAGCGGAGAGCCGGAAGAGCCTAGTGGGCCTACGGAGACAAGCTCAGGTATAGTGAATTTCTCTGTGCTAAGAAAACTTTGTGGATACCGGCGTGGTGGTCTCAACTTCTTCAAGAGGACTTGATACCTTCATTTTTGTTCTCCGTCTTCCCCTTCATTACCTCTTTCCTCTGCTTCCGATCCTCACATTTTAATACACCTTACCTTGCCTACAGACCTTTACCTAAGGCAACATACTGAACACCTTTTTATTGCATCACTTTGACTCTCCTTGATCCATGTACCGGCCTAGTAGCTGATGACATCCTTTATCTTGGAATACTAATCCTCTTTCTATAAATATAGCCCAAACTGGCAGTCCGACCACGGGAGCTTCGACAAGAGGTACTACAACCTTGCCTGCGGATTCTACCACTTCGCCCGCGACCACTCCTGGTGATGGTTCGCAGATAGCACCATCGATGGCCTTTGTGGCGTTGTTGTTTATTGGGAGTGCGCTTTGGATTCTTTGAAAAAGATATTCTTTTTTTAAAAATGAACTTTTAATGTTTCATCAAGTTACAGAGTGTAAATAGTGAGTCCTTGTAGGCTTATATTATGAATGGTAATTGTGTTCTCCGTTTTTATGTGGTTGGAGTCGGCCTAGACTTAAGTGAGTTCAAACTTCTGAGTATCCGCACCTACGAGACTACCTAGGTAACTTTAGTCTCGAGAGTGGACGTAATATATATATAGTAAGTAGTTACACAAATAATTGTGATTACTCTCGAGATTCGGCGGTTACTAATAAGACTAGTAGTTATGAGGCTGTCGATCAGTCTCGTAATTAATTATAAGTTAACCAAAGTCGATAGGGAAATGCTTAACAACTGCAATCTACAACGCAAACTTTCACGAAGACCCCTAAAAATGCAACAGCCTTCCTGACCACACGCACTTCTGTGCACCTTGTAAGCTAGACCATGATATAGACGCCATATCAGGCTTAAATTGGTTAAAGATGAAGGCAAATACATAAACTTAAAGTTCCAGAAGAAAGTGCTACCAATAGATCTCCATTAGTATCCATAAATAGTTCTGAGGAGCGCAGTGCTTCAGTTCAGCAATTGACAGATCTACAAACGGAAGCACATCGGACTCACATGATTTAGAGGAGAAGGCTCTAGCGGCATTGCCTTGTTCGTGTCGGGAAACGGAATCCCCAAGCTCATAATGCAATACTCTCCGTCGTCAAAGATCATATGGACTGACGTTGATTTCCGAATGGCGGATGTGCATTGCATTGCAAGCATGTTCAACCTACCCGGATCTGGAACATTTATCGAGAAACTGCAACACTGACAAAAGCTTATGCCCTGAACCTTCAAGCCTAAAGCACAACAAACTGAAAACTTTATTGGTGGAGCCTGGGGTTCGATAAATGAATTGTCTAGAATTTCGAGATTTCTTCCAGAAACTGTGGTCAAGCACACCATACAAAATTTCAGAAGAACTAATGATTGTCACAGTTGTATTTCCCCGGCCCCTAGGGTGATATATGACCCCACAGGAACTAAGATAATTTTAGAGTTGTTGCTGAACTTAGTTTATTCCGAGCTCGATACAGTTGAATTTGGGACATAGTCGCAAAGTCTTTTATGTGCATAAATAGATCGTCTATAAATATGCGGCTTCTGTCATCATTTTCCACTCTACATTACATGCATTAAATAGATATATCCCGTCATAATATCAATATTTAATCTTCGGCTTCGAAACGAATTGCACCCCCAGCTTGGCTTCCATCGAATACGTTCACCATGCAGTTACAACTTGCTACCCTCGCTCTTTTTGCACTTGGTGCTATTGCTGCACCAACTGTTGCGCCGTCACAAGGCTTCGTGCCCACTATTGGCCCCTTTGGGCTGAAAGTCAATACCGCCAATCAAGAGTATAGTCACCACTCGAGTTGCCAACTATGAGTGCCTACTATAGTACTAACGCTACAACTTTCCCTTCTCGTAGAATGAACAATAAATTCTTGGTCCCAACTGCTGCTTCAGGGAGCTCCACCGACGTCGTACTCGCCTTCTCCGACCTCCCCGACCGTTCCTTCTATTGGGTCCCTAATAGCCATAATCCAGTTCCCCCTGGGCCTTACCTCGCCCAAGGGACAATCTTATACGAAGTAAAATTCCACACTCGAGCGTATAATCTAACACTTGATCTCACACCGTGGAACGGCACCGAGACTCTCTACACCCCCGTTATCCTGAGGGATGAGTACGACGTCGGTACTCCTTATGCACATTCTGCCGCGTTCTCGAAGCCTGGTGTCGCATTTTTGAATGACACTAGTGAATTCTTGGGTTGCCGTGGTGATGTGCCTACTGACAATACTTACACCTTGAATTGGCAGACCAACTTTGCCCCCGGGAACCAGAGACGGATTAATTATAAGTGCTCACCTGTTATAATCTCCATTGCTGATCACTAAATCACACTTGTCAGTTTTGAATTGAAGTTCTGATCGATGTTGACATTGCCTATATACAATGCATGTACATACATCTACATCTACACCTCTTTAATTGCATTCTAGAATCATACATAAACGGCATGATGCAAAAAAATTATTCCCTCAAATCTTCGAAAAGGAAGGGCTCAGTTCCAAAGTTCACTTTACCCTTGCATTTGTTATAAGAGCCGAATGAAGGATACAATCTACCTCTCACGTCCTCGAAAGCAGTTCCTAAGTACGTGCCGTTTAGGGTGTAGAATATCTTCCCTTCTTCAACAGCGTACCCGCAGCCGATAGTATCCCCCTTATCGTAGGACATTAATCCGACACGAGTGATATAAGCAGATGTCGATACGTTGTGAAACACGGATTTTGCGTTTCGGCTCGCCTGTATGTGTCCATGGCCCCAAAGACCAAATGTCTCTCCTTCTGCTGATCCAGACCCCGGTGGAGCCCTCATGTTGCATCCGCCAGCCATAAATCCGATAGAGAAACCACTAATAGGACATCAATATAAGGAACGAGACTCTAATCAAGATAGATTGTTGGTATGCTTACGAGTTGGAACCTTCTAACTCTTGTATGGTTATTTCGAAATAGAAGATTGGGCGGTGGGCGCCAGTTGGGTGATCCGCTCTTATCTGGATCGCCTTTGTGTCTTTACCGTAATCTATAGTCGCTTATGTTAGGGAATCCACCCGTATTATGTTCTAAATGATTGCATTAAAGAACTTAGAGCCCTTACTGAAACCATACGCATCCACAAATCCTTCAGCCGTCTGAAACTCAAGGCCATCCTCAGAGAGAACAAAGATATTTGGAGTCTCTTTGATGGCCATTCGTGATGGCACCATAGTTTCTCGCAGGCTGCGGTTGGGATTTTCTTTCCAGGTCGTAAAGCCAGGCAATTGTTGCATATCTGCAAGACGCCTTTCAGCATAAGCGTACTCGTAAATGGTCCAACCCTCCTCATCTACCCATTCAATATCGGCGCCGTTTTCTACAAGCTTATTTATAAGCTTTTCGTCGTATATTTTGATTGCCCACCTTAGGTTAGAACCTCCTCCTTGGCATAACTCGGGGAACTTTTCAATCAAGAAAAAAATAACATTTTCGAGATCTTTTTGACGTTGGAGGGTCTTCTCTGAGTATTCTGCCATTTCCGCCTTCGATTTAGCCCAACCCCAGATGGCTCGATCGAGAACAGTCCCAAATTCGCTTTTTATCGTCGCATCACCGCCAAGCTCGAGCAGATACTTGACCATTTCGAGATTTCCGTCGAAGGCAGCAAGATGGAGAGCAGTTTCTTTCTTGGCGTTCGAGTTCGCTAACATTGATTGTAGCTGTTCTGGTGTCCAGTCCTGAATGAGAAACTTCATAATTTTCATCCCACCCTTTCTGTTCCGTGCGGAATTTCGGAAGTAAGTCCAATTTTCCTCGCCGTATGAGTTGAGTAAGAACGATTTATCAGGTCCCTTCTTTTTCTGGTATTCTTGGAACAAAATCATGAAACATTTCTCGTAGCCACTCCATGCTGCACGGTGAAGAGGAGTTTCTCCATCTTTCGCTTCTCTCTCCACGTCTGCCCCGTAGCTTAAAAGCAGCCTCAGGATAGATTCAGAGGTCTCGGGCCCCCTATCAACTTTATTCGCAGCTGAGGCAGCAAAGTGAAGCGAAGTGAGGCCTTGATTATTATCGTCGTTCACATCTGCACCATGCTTCAGCAAGAGTTCCACAACGTCTTTGTCCTGCAAGCTAACTGCGAAAAGCAATGGCCCTCCACTGTTAGAATCTTGGTTGTTGGGGTCAGCTCCGGCTTCAAGCAGTCTCTGAGTCATTGCTTTCGAAATTTCAAGGGGATAATTGGAATTCGGGGAGAAATTCATCCAATTCAAAGGCGTCATGTCGTGTCTGTCCTTTGAATTGACCTTAACATCGGGATGCGCCATTAAAACATCGAAGAGTGCTAGAGATTTGGATGCAACAGCGCAATGAAGTGCATCGGAATGGTCAGTTGGCCCCAAAATTGGCATTTGTTCGTTGATATCAGCGCCGCTATCGATAAATATTTTGCAGATTTCGGCCATTTCTGGCTTTGGGGGGATATTTCCGTGAAGCCAGCCATCCAGCCACAAATCTGTGATTATTAGCTCCCAATAAGACTTGCCTCTGTACTTCTGATCAATTTTAAGGCCGTGCTTAAGAAGTAATTTCATGCAGGCAGTCTCCGCGAAAGTGAAATTGAAAGCAGTTCTTTGATCGCTATCGAGGATATTCGGGTCGACTTTCAAGTCAACCAGAAGGAACTCAACTACCATCGCGCACCCCTCTCCCGCAAAGATGTGAAGTGCTTCGAATTTGAATGCCTGATCATAGGCCAGATCTGGAGAGTAACCCTCCCAGAACTGGAAATATTGAGATAGCCAATGACGAATAGCTTTTCCTTCGAAGAATTTTCGTAAATTCTCCCAGAACGCCTCCCATTTTGAACCCTTACGATCATCCTTTGGCCATAGCTCCTCCACTCGCTTTAGATGGTCTATGAGGAACGCGGACTCGTATCGGAACTCTTTTTCTTCTACCTCATATGCCGCAAAAGAAAATGCACGTTTGGCCTCGATACCCGGCCGCAACTCTTCTTCTTTTCCTTTCGGCCCATCTTCCTCTCCTTCGAGGTCTTTGGGTGTTGGTTCTTTAATCTCGACCGAAGGTTGGTTCTCTTTGCCATCGGTAGATTGGTCCTCGCCTTCGGCGCTTGCAGTAGGCTCCTTCAAAGCATTATCCGCAAGAGGCGCCACGGGCACTGAAGTTGACACATCTGGTCCTTCCTCGGACTTTTTCTCCTCCTTTCCAGCTTCACCAGGAATATCAACACCAAAACCCATATACCGCTCAATAAATTTCTCGTTGCAAAGCGACCCGACTAGGATGACAGTTAGAAAAGTCGATATATTTCTAAAGTCGGGGGTTCTTACGGATATCAGTAGTGAGATCGAGTTGAGCGTCTCGCTCGCTCTGTAACTCAATGGAGACACCCCGACCTCCACTGATAAGACCAGCTGTAGATGAAAGTATCTTTTAGATTATCACACAAAACGAAAGAAACAGCTTAGCCCTGAGAAGGACCATAGTATCGGATACCAACTTACGTGGAATAGGGAGAGTAACGTTGAGCTCTCCCTTCTCGTTCACTGTGACTTGAGGTCTACTTGCGTCTGATTTCTCGTACCACTTCGACATCCTTTCAGCTTCGTTTTGGACCCAGTCTCTTACCGTCTTGTGAACAACATCAATATCTGTCTGGTTATTGCTGAACTTGAAGAAGTCTCGGCCACATCTAGTGAGATGGTAAACTGTTTCCGCAATTTCGGGATCATCCATAGCATCGTAGTCCTCTGATTTTTCATCAACATCTTCAGTCGATTCATTCACAGCAGGTAAACCTCCTTCCTCGGTATTCGCATTGTCCCCGGTAGTTGTAGATTCTTCTTCTGCTTCATCCTCAGACTCGTCATCTTCAAGTAGCTTATCGTCTGCTCCTTTCGGGGAGCCATGGTATATCCTTTTGAAATGCTCGGCTATCTCTACTGTTGTAATGCCTCCGAAACCCCAGACGACGAACTTCAGCGCCGTTAAGACGAGTCTTTGCTCTTCGTGGTTCAGATCTTCGAGTCGCTGTCGGTATAAGTCATCCATGCCTTCTGGGAGGTTCTTCAGTTTCTGGAATAATGTTAGCTGAGACGGCTGCTCCAAGCTAGCTATTACTATTGCCGCATATGTAAACATCCCATTTGCTTTGCGTTTGATAATCTTAGCTACCCGCGATGCATCCTTTTCGGATTTCGTGTTAGTACGAGTCGATCGTGATCGATGGTTCATGATGCGTTCCAGTGATTTTCGAAGATATATTTCCATGTCTGTTGAGTTCCTCTCCTGAGTGATATTGAGAATAGTAGCTTTTTGCGCCAAAATACAATCTGGTGGCGGTTTTTCAGTTATCTCAGTATCCTCTGTGGTGCTACTAGTGTCAGAATCACTTTCGTCATCATCAATGAAGAGGCTCTCGAGTTCTTCACTCTCTCTGCTTGATATGATAACCCTGAAGTTTTCGAGTTTTGATAGATCAATAAGATACGGTACTAAGTCTTCCCATTCATAATCAATGCATTCGTCCATTCCATCAACTACGATATAGATTCTGCGTTCGATTGCGTTGCCGATGCTGCGTATGGTTTCTTTCAGCATGTCGATAGTAAATGCAACTGAGCCGACCGAGCGAGTGTCATCCCCTTCTCGCGGGGATACTTGTGCTTTTTTCTTCATTTGGTCCAGAACTGAAGTCAGTTTTAGGGTCTCTTCTACCGTGCGTGCATTTTTATCGTCGAATAGTTGGGCAGCAAGACTGTTGAGGGCACGTAGACTCTTTTGAGTATTATCATCTCCTTGCTTGAAGAAGAAATAGGCCACAATACAATTGGGCTCTAAAGAAAGTTTTCGAATCACTGATGCCATGGTGACTGACTTGCCAAAACCGGGCCGCGCCTGTATATAGAAGAGATTTGGAATCTTCAATTGTGCTGTTTTGTCAGTTTCGGAATGGATATCGAGTAGTTGGCTGTGAAGAGTCTCTTTTTGTTCAATATCGTCATCATGAAGCTCCCATAGCTTGTAGTGTATGTCTGAGAACAACCATTGGCACATGTGGTCCGCGTACTTCGAGACCGGGTCAAAGGTTGCATTGAATTGTTGCACATGAGTTTCGGTTGGTCGCAAGTATTCCGTGCGTTTCAAACGAAATTCTTCGCGAAGTCGTGTCAATTCAACGTTTGCCTTCACATCGGAAATTTCATTTAGCTTCTCGCTGATCTCTATATATTGGGAAATATATTATCAGTGTCCTGGTGAGATAGCAATGTTTTAGTGTGCATTGGAAGATATATTTTACCGCCGAGAGCTGGGAACATTATTGAACGAAGCTCGTCTCTATCCTGTTGGAGGCCTGGTAGTAATTCCACGATTAGAAACTGGCATATTAAAGGTCCTGGCTGGTGACACGAAGCCAGCCTGTGCTAAAACGTTCTTACTTTTCCGTAAATCTATTGCATATCAAAATCTATATGTTAGAAAACCATGGCTCCCATCTGATGCGATCTTGTATTGAAGGTCTAGATATCGAACCTTCAACGGAATCCATAATGCGTTCTTGGAAGGCATCGTTGGCGATCTGCCTAAGTTTTGCATATCCAGCGTCTATTGCATCTATCTTCTCTTTTATCTTGGGTGAGAACGCCTCCTTCAGTGCCCTCACTATATCAAAGTCCTATTAGTCAAAATCATCGGATTCAGAAACCAGATGCTTTCTCTCACCAAACTTGTTCTTCTTAAACAACAGGCGGACGTGCCAGGAAAAGTCTAAGATGGAAGCAATGACATCGGGTATGCCTCCAATGATCTTTTGTTCAACTTCTCTGCTTCCAATTTCAACGTTTCCAGTTCCGTCCTTCGGGGCATTTTGGTAACGGTTCTCGTATAGTCTACATGTCAGAAGGATCGTGGCAACGTTGTTACAAGCGCCGAAGATTAGTTCGCAATTCTCAACATCAGTTGCACCAATCTAAGATAGCCACACTGTCAAAAAAAACGAACAAAGCGTATATGCTCATCTCATATCTTAAATCTGAAGTGAACGAGAACGGCACGTACTTGGACTAGCGCGCTTATTGCAAACCACGCGATACTAACACTCTCGGGAGCGAACTCTAGAAAGGGGTCGGCCACTTCTTTGATAATTGACAACGTATTTAGAAGCTTTCCAATCAACCGCCCGCTTGCCTTTTCCTTATACGATGCGTCAGCATTCTTTTGAATCTTTTGGCAATCTTGGATCGTTCCATCCAAGTGGGCATTGTCTTTCATGAAGTCATCAATTTCTCCTTTAGATGGAGGTCGCTTGGATTCCAATAAAGATAAGAAAAACAGTTCCTTCCCCCGCGCCCAGCAAGGGGACGCCTGGATTGCCGTACGAGCTTGCACGTGGCTTGCATTCCCGCTTTTGTCTTCGACTTCACCTTTCGTTTCCATTCTTTTAGTTGCTATGGCTGAGAGTCCTTAATCTGTTGAATATTTTTGTACTAAAGAAAAAATTTAGGAATTTTTGAGAGTTGATACCAGCTATGGAAACCCACTTGAAAACCCACCCCACTTATATAATATGGAACGCGTAGGCTAGCTTCATATAAAGTTTCTAGGCGGATTCGGATCTCGGAATGAAATAAATATCTGGATCCTTCGTCCAAGGACAGGGAATACCTGAATTATCACGATGATTGGAGAGCCAAGGTTGAGAAAAAGCTTGATTCTCGGTCCGCGAATATGGTTCTTCTCGAGTGAATCCTCAGAAACCCCGCTCTACGGCTGGGCGGGGTCAAAGTGTCTGCAAGATTTTACGAATTCGAAAAAAGGATACCAAAAATATCACCAAAGTTGCGAAAAGTGTAGCCTTGAGGTCGGTCAGCCTAATGCTGACCAATGAAATATACAACCAAGAAGCGGGGCTGACAGAAGAGAGCTCTTGAGGCTCGGAGTTACTAGCGTCTAACTTATACAGTGCGGCTCTATTCCGTAACATCGACACCGCCAATAGTGGCGGCTCTCGTGGCGTACAAAAAAATCATTTCTTTTTTCTAATATCAAACAGCCGATTTCTATAATTATGGCTATTAATATTCACTGATCGTGAAGTTAACTTCACATATACCCATTCGACCCCGAACCCCGCTAGGGTTTTGTATACAAATCTAGATGAACATACCTACTGACTATATTATCTATTCACTCATAAATATATTTAATTATTAATATTATATCGGTAAAGTCAGTGCTTCCTTGAAAGACAGCGGTTTCGGTTACTGAAGGCTCAACACACGTGCTAAAAGGCTAGATCAGTCCATACTGATATGATCATAGCTTTGTCGATACTGGCAGGTGTTTACAATCAAGACGAGAAGCCGGAAATAGGCTCAGGAAAATATATCGATATCACCACTACAACCGAGACATGGATTGGGCATATATGCGCACACAGCGCATGTACACGCAGAATGCAAATGTAGACATTTGAAAAGATATCAGACCACGCTCCGAAGTTCCATTATACCCCACGACAATATAAGAATATTTTATAAGAAAGAAATCACCATTGCTCACTGCATCACTGCGCTCTTATAAAAAATAACCAATCGAATCGCTTCGAATAAACTTGCGTGCAGGCGTGCATATATATGCTGGTATCGACACATCTTGGCGGAAGTACTTCACAATATCCAACATACCAACACGAAAGTTTCCAGGAATCGGACGAAGATTAAGGTTAACGCCAGGACTCCGTTATCTTTCTCCTAACTTTCTAAGGGAGGTAGATAGAATCACCGACATTCCAAATCCCGCATAATCGAAGACATGTCGGGTAGATCCTAGATTGCCTATATTTAAGGCAACTGGTATGTACGAACTTCGACCTCCCCCAGTCGGCAATGGTGAAGCGATCCCCAACGTGGTACCTGCGAAGAAAGCTTAACCCCACCAAAGCATCTAGCATGCCCCACAATTCATACCAACTTATTTCATATCCGGGAATCAGAAAACACCACTGCAGACACGTTATCAATTCATGCGATAACACTCGTCACAAGAGCGTTTAGCAGCCGGGATAATCCCGTGCTCAGACCATTCGGTTCTAGGCCTAACCCGTCTACGGACTTTCAGATTAGGAAGGTATTCGGTATTAAGTTGCTGATATGTCGTTTCATCGGCATCTCCAAATATGTCATAGGTGATTCTCAATACTAATGGAAATCACAGAGGTTTTCAGGCTTCCTCGGCATGGTGCACCGGTGATAAGAAAGTAACCGTTGCGCAGGTTCCAACATTATATAAATGGGATACCGCTCCAACAAGACTTCCCTCTGTTTTTTTGTTGATTCGTGTCGCCAAAGCAAGACTTCGCCATCTAAACCTACTTTTGATAAGCCTTTTCAGACGATCGAGTCTTCAGTATTTATTATCCTTTTCTATCAAATATACTTAAAACTTTTGAACAATTCTTATATTTTTGTTTCATCAATCAAAAGTACTTTACCTTGAAGATGAAGTGCTCAACACCACTTGCAATCCTCGCCTTGCTGGTCGCCCCGGTGGCGTACGCGAAGGTTCAAGGTGTTACTGAGATCGAATGCGGAGGACAAGAGTGGAACATGGACCAAGTTCAATCCGCCTCCGATGAGAGCTTTGATCATATCAAAGCCGGAACTACAGTATAGGCATCTCGTACCCCTCGGACCAAAAATCATTTGTGGTGGCCTAACATACTGGTACCTCTAGGTTGGCAAAAACGACTATCCTCACAAGTTCAACAACCGTGAGGGATTTGAGTTTAGCAAGGATTGCACACATCCTCTTTATGAGTTCCCCATTGTCTCAGGGGGCGATTACGAAGGAGGGCCACCTAAGACAGATCGTGTTGTTATCGGAGCTGTGAAGGGAGATACCGCCTACTTCTGTGGAGGTAAGTCCATAAATATGTTTGGGGTTATGCAGACACTAGGCTTTGGGTGAATAGACCTAATTCTCGAGCTCTCTATCATACAGCTATCACTCATACCGGTGCGGTGGGAAATAATTTCAAAGAATGCCGCGACCAGGGCAACAAAACTCGCTCTCGAGCGGAACGCCGGGTCATGCGACGGGGAGTGAGGCTTCCCTCCATGTAAACTCTCGGGAAGAACGAACAGACGGTTCGACCACATTTTAGAAAGCTAGGCTGTTAGGCCACCTCGTGGGATCAGCGTCACGAACGGTTTTCAGGTAGATGGCATGGCTAGCCTCGATTACGCTCTTCTCGAGCAGTGAATAATTACCCCTACATGTAGCGGTTGTTTGGAATGGCTCGGAAAGAAAGCTTCCGAGGCTCAAAAACTCCAACGGTGCTCTTTTTCTTCACATGCATCATCGTTTCACTATTATTCTTTTTTGTTTTTTTCTTCAGGATACCCAGGTTTGTACAATACCCAAGTTCATGCATGTAATATATACAATTTAAAGAGATACCCATATAACCTTTAAGGAAGTCAATCTAGCCGTTTTTATCAATATATCTGCTTTGTGAACCCCAAGATCTAGTAAAATATCTTCCTAAGGCTTGTCAAGCGAGATCTCGCAAACTATATCCGAGATCTCGATTAGAGAGCTCAGTCAAGGACCTTATGTAGTAGATGCTTGGTTATGCCTTTATAGGGAACGAGGTCTATGTATATATATAACTAAACTGATACCGCAAAATTCGGATGGTTATATGATATGCAATAATATTGATGGCTTTACGTAAGTACGGTCATAATGGATCTTGATGGTTTCGAATTATTTTCTACAATGTCTGAACAAAATATACAGGGCTCGATTGATCGATGATTAAACTCTGAGCCCTTCGCCACCCGCTTCTTAAGCAGATACGCATATTACCTTGGTGCTGTTTGAAATACAATATAAATTATATCTCGATCCTTGAAAATCGCTAGCCACAAATAAATTGTCTTATTCGCCGAAAATTTAAAGTATACTTTAATTTATCTGGAAACCTAAGCTACAAGGTTTGCATTGCTTTCAAAGATGATGGTATAGTATAGTTGTAGCTAGTATATAGGCACTAGCACAAGAATACGATGTACGAAAGAGCTTCTAGCATATTCAATTTAGTAGCTAGCTGTCGTCATGCTTCATAAGCAACCTCTAGCAAAAACCAGGCTATTGCGACGCTGTCAATAGACCATATGACCAAAGATTTCACCTCTCCGGAATTGAAATTTAAAAACGACCCCTGCTTTTTTTTTAACATGCAGCTTCGCAGAGGCGAAGGTCAGTGGAGATACGGCCCGATACTTGGCTTCGATCCTTGTTAGTTCACCCCTTCAGCCTATCAACTCAACACAGCCGGATATTATTCCAACAATCCGCTTCACCACACGTGGGTCATGCGGCCAGACTTTTAAAATTTTGGGGCAAGAGGTGAAGACTTAAGGCGAGAGCTTGATTGTCTTGATAGTACGCTTGTTGCCTTGGCTCAGAGAAGCGATTAATTTGCTTTACAGAAAATACCAAGTCGGCCTCATTCTAGACCTAGGCTTGAAGAGCTAATTGTAAACTACGTCGAAGTTCTCCTTTGAGAGCGGGAAAGGTATGATGTAAAAGATTTAATACAATTTTAGTTTCTTAAGACTGGGTATGGGGAAAAAATTAGGACGTAAGAGAGAGCTATCGAGATGTTGAAATAGTATTAATGATACATGACTCGCTTTGACCTTATATATGTAACTCTTATACACCCAGGCGGACTGTACATGCAATCACCGTCGGCCCGGGGGCGCTGAAGTGCAGCCATTGTTTTTTTGTTGTCGTATGCCATGACACCTATATGAACGGAGAAGATTGAGTAAATGTCAACGGAAATCTGCGCCTGTTGACCTCCTGACACAGATCCAGAGTTTTCGTGAAACACTACGTCAAGGCTTGCATATAATTGCCTTTATCTATAGCCCACGATATTCCCAGATCACGGCTGTTCGGAATGTTTAATTTACTAGCATATGTTCCTGGGTCATATAGGCATATTGTGTAGGTTATAAAATACCACTTGAAGCCCAAGTTTACTGCAGCCTCCTCCACATCTTCTCTCCGATTCTATCTCCCGCATACACATATAGAAATTTGTCACTAGTCCGGGAGTTTTGCCACCTGTCGAGGTTTTCCAGGAGCCACTTTTTTCTCCAATATATCGATACATTAAAAAAAAAATAATTTATATTTTTCTCTCTCCAAAGCTTCGTCCGAGATGAAGTACCTTGTAGCTGCGGCCTTGTTGGCCTCGACGGTCAGCGCTCACGGTGGTGTTACATCCTATAATATTGGTGGAACAACATACCCAGGGTAAGTTCGTTCGTCTTCACTTGTTAATAAACTTCCATTCTTGATGGGAAGCCTGCTTTACTAACCCGATAACCCGGATCTTAGCTGGCAACCATACCAATCCCCCAGTGGTCAATCAACTATCGAAAGACAATACTCATCCTATGATCCCCTTTTCATCGCAGACTTGGGTGTGAGTATTTTCCATATACCGCAGAAGATAGTTGCATAATCTATTACGGGGAGCTAAAATCTTACGAATTTAGAAAATCAATATCCTCTGTAACAATGCTGGAGTTACTGGCACTGGAAAGACAGCTACAGTCGCTGCTGGTTCAGATATTACAGCTTATTGGTCGCAATGGACACACGCTGAAGGTTGTATTATGGTCTACATGGCCAAATGCCCTTCGAGTGGATGCAACGGCTGGACCGGTACTGGAACTTCTTGGGTACGTTATTCCCCTAGAAAACATGCAGCTAAGCTAGTTTAGTAATATAAAACTAACATGTCTAATACAGTTCAAAATCAACCAAGTCGGTCTCATTAGCGGTACCATGGGCGCAGGTAAATGGGGTTCAGGTCAAGTCCAGGATACCTTGAAGTGGACTGTCAAGATTCCAGCATCCCTCCCCTCGGGAGAATACCTTATCCGTCATGAACTTCTCGCTCTCCACCAAGCCAACAACCCACAATTCTACCCCGAATGTGCTCAGTTGACTGTCACTGGAGGTGGAAGTGGAACTCCAGGGCCTTTGGTTGACTTGCAAAAGACATACAGCGGAAGCGATCCCGATGTTAATGTCGATATCTATATTGCCTCTAAGGATAAAACATCTTACACCTGTCCCGGTCCAGCTGTCTGGAATGGATCCGGTGGAACTAACCCTACCACCACCGCTGCCACAACTGCTGCAACAACCCGAGCTACCACCGCTGCCACCACTCGAGCCACTACCCCAGCCACGACACCTAATGTCCCAACTACTACCCCATCGGGTAATAGCTGCACCGTCTCCGCCTGGGGACAATGTGGTGGTAACGGATGGACTGGCTGCACCGTCTGTGTAAGTTTTCCCTGCTATAAAAATGCTAGCTCCTCTTCCTCTTGCATCTTACTAACAACCTCTACTACAGGCATCCGGAACTACTTGTAAGGTTCTCAACGCCTACTACTCTCAATGCTCCTAAGTTCTTTACATGGACACATGTTTGAAATGATTTCCAGTGCTTTATGTTGGCATGATCGTGTAGCATGCAATGATTGAGCCAGCAAAACACTTGGTTGTGATGCTCCGATGACAATTTTGGTAATTCGCCTTCTAATATGGTTTTATCTACCTGTATATATTAAAAATTTATTACATTCATGCAACGATTAAAATGTTGCCCCTCATCTACATGCCATCTTAGTCTATATATAAATACAAACTGCCTCGTAAACCCGAATTCAATAGTTCTTGTCAAGCAACTGAATCTAGAACACGACCCCCACCACATGCACACGCTATATCTAATATTAGTAGTTTCAAGGAAGGCTTCGTCGTTGCAGTATGCATGTATAGTTCCTGGTTAATTACATTTAATTACGCCATCGAAAGTTATGCCGCTGCTTCTAGGCTGTGGATAGAGTGGATTAACAGCTTTGGCGGTCTCTCTCAACTATAATCATATTATCGCATGTGAAGGAGATACCATATTCTGATTGTCCAGTCTTGAACCTTGCGGTGATTTTTAAAATTTAGTACGGTAATTATTGCCGTATGCCAGTAGCCCGTGTTGGATCTAGTGTCGGTCTCCAATGCATACGGCAAAGAGTAATTAATAAGTACTTAGGTATTTAAGCTAGCAGATATGCAGAACAGAAGGCCTCAAGCTATATATTTATATATTTAGATTGGACCCCCAGAATGGCTTTATATGTGAAACTCCTTTGTGTAACAACATTTAATACCTGCCTTAACTACCAAAAAGGTGTCCTAAATTGATTAGGAGCATTAACAGTAACGCATGTGCCCGATTCTGTGCATCGTAGCGAATGCATGCATGTGCCAGAAAGATTAACTTGCCTAATTGTTAACTGCGTTGTGTCTGTTGTATAAAATATCCCTCACAGAACTTAAAAGCTAAAAAGGGCTATGGCCAAGGGATGAGCTGAGATTCGACGTACCCCGCAACAATTCTGTGTCAAAACACGAACGCCATTCCCAAAATGGGGATGAGATGATATACGCCAATGAACCAAGACAATTTCAACGTCAAAGCAGATGGGCAAAACGGCCAAAACTTATTTTATTAGTCACTTTCCCCACTCAATTGCACGTGAATCTCTTTAAGAGCTGGCGTTGTCGATGTTTCGCGCACAGGCGGAGATAAAACATGTTAGTGTTCTTTCAGGAACAGCCGAAAAAGCGGGCGAACTCCTCCAGAAGTGGCGTTTAAAACGACTGGCTGCCAGGCAAACTTTATGTTCGGCGTATATTTCGGCGAAATCGGCTTGTTATTGCTAGAGACCTCCATTTTCCAATACTATTTGTCTTTTCAGCTGTTTGTGGGTGTATGCGTACTGGGCATGTATGTAAGTACCTATATGTATGTCAGCAAGTACCTGCATTGACTCCCTTGCTTTGCATTCCAACGCGCAAATATCATTTTCCGAGAAGCAGTCGGCGGGTTAAAGGAAAGCAAGGGGATTTTCGTCAAACGAATATGCTCTTTATCATCAGATATGCACGCCGGTCTTGGTAGGAAAGGATCCGTGGATTTGTGGAGTAGGAAAAAAGGTCGACCCAGCTTGCCCAGTGGTCTGAGCGAGTTTGGGAGAACCTGGTCAAGAGCTGGGACCTTTCACACACACCCTTGACTGCCATTAGAAACGAAAGGCATGGCATCCCTCGCCAAATCTGGTGTGCAAAAAAGGTTCAGGTCCGAGCGCGATATGGCGTTGGTTGGTCCATTTTAGCCGTTCCTGTTAAAAAGGTTATGGAATTCTGCCATGGAAATATGCAAGATGGAATTGATCTCCACAATTTGTAGAACTTGGGCGATTCTTTAATTTTCAAATCTGGACTGTCCCTTTCCACAAAACCTTTCCCTGTTTACCAGACTTTTGGCCTCGTATAGAATCTTGGGTATTCGCAGGTTGCGACCGTTTTTCCTCTCGAGATTTCCCGGATCGATCCCTTGAACGAAATAACACTATACTATACCACGGATAACGACAATTTTATAGTAGGATTAGATATCGATATTCAAAGTCATAATGGTCTTGATAGCGGTACCAGGTTTCACATAGTAGCAGAGCAATATGGCCTCGCCGACGAGAGTCTTGTCAACAGGTCAGACAATACAGGACCTCATCCTTCTTGGTCAACTACAAAACTTAAATCCCAAATCGCGCCGTCCCGCTGGATGGGTGCCTCCCGCCCTTAATGATCCCAATTATGTTCCTCCGGTACGACTGAAAGGGGCGCATCTCTATTCGGGCACGGCTTTCCTGGCGATAAGTTTTTTGATGATAACGTGGAAGATCGTAACGACACAACAAACCCGGACTTCGAAATCGAAGCTGCTTTTCTTAGAAGATTGGCTGCTGCTGGCGGCTCTGGCTGGACAGATTACTTATGTTGTATTAGCATGGGTGGCACAACAGTACCAGGTTGGCTGGCATATATATGATCTCCGATATATCAGTCTCCTCGAATTATATAAGGTATATACATATAAAGAACAGGGCCGAGTCTAGTGATAGGTGTGATGGAAATTAATTATCAACCTCAAATAGTACACTGGAATATCCAATATAATCCTAATATGGATATATTGTACAAGCAGAGCGTCACTTCTCATCTCCATCCGCCGGATGTATTCTCCCATCAGAACCCGTCTTAAATTCCTCATCGATTTCCTCGCGGTTGGAAAGTTCTTTACCTTGGTCATCTGCATTTTCGCCTTCATTTTTCAAGTTCCGCAGCATCCTGAAGCGCCTTTCAACCTTGTCTCCGCCCTAAAGAATGGAGTTAATATCTTGGCTGCTGATATTAAACTGATGGCCGTCCAGTCAGCATTTGATACCGTTATTATGCTGTCACCATTACCTCTACTTTGGAAATTGAAAAATCTTCCGCGGCGAAGAAGATGGCAGCTTTTGGCCCTCTGTGGGTTTGGTATCTTGTGAGTTCTTTTTTAAATATATATATATATATATATATAATCTCGGATATATCCTTGGATAAAGCACGCCCCGGCTAACAGCTGACATCGTAATAATACTCAGGACAATGTCGGTGGGATATGCACGCCTCGGAATCGTCATTCACATGCAAGATATTATTTGGATTGATTTTCCATGTAAGTCACTGAAGCGGATTTTACAGTCACTGTCATATAGTCCGGGAACTGACAAAAGTACTAGGGTATTTACCCATCGTTGGAATCTCAAATAATGTTGAAATATTCGTTGTTTTAATAACGGGTAAGTTCGAGCGAATCTTTCAAGAAATGGCTCTAGAAACTCATCAAATGATTTATAAAGCCTGCGTGCCAACTGCAAATCTTTTTTTCAAATGGGCGTATAATAAGCCCGGGATCCCAGCTGCTTGTGCTACTCGATCTACGCGCCGTCGAAGAACGATTCGAAAACATAAAAGAAAGAAAGACATTGATAGTACGATCGACTCCATCCGAACTGAGGATACCTATGATACTGACTGGATGAAAGGCGATACCATCCAGTCCGACCAGTTCTGTCGACCTATCGAAAACCCAAAGAACCTTGCCAAAATAGTCACGATCGAAGAAGCACCGTCGGCATTAGAGCCCGTTCTAACGAAACCGGATTCTTCACTGTCTATTGACAAGGACCGTGACCTACTGCCTCCGCCGACAAGATCGAGTATTGGTAATTCCGGATATTCATATCGTGGGGAAGCTTCTAGATCTTCTAGGAAGAGTATTATAAGCTTGAGAGAAACTGACACCGGTGATGCCGAGGAAGAGGAGGATAATTTTTACGAAATGCTCATTCCTAGTGATGCTTTCTTCCCATTTGGAACAGGGCTACGTCCTCGACCACCAGTACGGTTATCAAACTCTGGGGAAACGCACGAGTTGCGGGAGGTCTAGATGCCATAACACTTTATAATACTTGCATGGCTTTGGTGGCAATTTATCTTTCAGTCTTCGAAGCTTCTCATTCTTTCCTTCCTCTTCCTCTTGTTTTTTGTTTTCCACTTGGGCCTTTAAATTTTGGCATTAAAAAAGCCGTGCAGGAAGTTTGGAGTTTTTGACCCTTTTTTCGATTAATTCTTCTGCAGGCGCATATGGCGCCCATTTTCGAAATGGAGCGTCTGTATATATCAAGACATATACCCCTTTCTATCATTACGAGAAACGAATTTCAATATATTGTTAATTGACAAAGCAAAATACCTATATCTTACGTAAGAAGGTTACAACCCGCCAGCCAAGGATAACCAATGTTTGTCCATATAAGTGGGCGTAGACACCAAGATCTCATACGTCTGAGCTCTAAGTATAAGGCTGTGACACAGCATAGACGCTCTTTCAATCAGGTATAGAATTTGAGATGGTTCCCAAACACAGCTTTTTAGAAATCTTTTTTGGGTCGGAGAAGTGTTCCGAAACCTTTACACTAACTCCCGCATTTGGGGAAAACGTCGAGATCCAAACCCGTTGTAACTTCAAAAATGACCCAGACCTTCTGTGGCAAGAAAATTTGGTTGACAACCAGATGTAACATATATTTATAGTATACTATCCGATGTCGCCTTTAGAATAAGAATAGAATCGACGGTGGCGAAAAGCCTAAATTTTACCCGAACTGTCAAATCTCGTGGTCAATGTTTTTTTTATATATATTTTTATGATGGTATATCGACCGCATACCACGTGTTGACCATGTTGTAGAACGAGCGAATATTGCATCGCCAGATTTGATCTGGTCCCACACGTCGCTATTGGCTCAGGGGCCTATCATTTTGGGCTTGGCCGTCTTGAGAGCATTTGGGCATTTGGGCTTTGGGCTTTTTGCCCAGGTCATTTAGCCGTCGCACTTGCTATCATGCCGAGAGCCTTGAAGTTTCTGATAGTTTCCTTTTTGAGCATTAGGCGGAAATATTTTCGGTTTTGGTGGTAAATTGTGTAGTAATCACGAGTGGTGAGAACGAGCGCAAAGAACGCTCTCGTGTCATTGTAAAGGACGGTTCGGAGGAGTACGTATTTGACGTCTATCGGGAGGGTTGATAAATTTAAATCTGACATTTTGGGATCGATATGATATATATGATGATCGATACTGGTAGCTACGTAGTGTCTATAGAATGTAGCTAAACTGGTCTGGCGCCTGGAGCGCATCCTGCTGAGCTGGAGGGGATTTAGAGTTTAGGCCCTTATATATACGGTTACAGATCTATACATCGAAGTCGGAGATAGCAATATCCGTACGTAGACCGTTATCGAGTTACTAGCACTGGCAGTGCAATACCTGGATCCATGGAAGGATCCATATATAGGGCTGACTGGCCGGCATGAGCAGCCAAAATACCGAAAGCCGCGATCGATCTTATATCTTAGGATGTCAGCTCGGTACAAATATAAGTAAAATTGCAGTATACGTATAGACACTGAAGTATATATAGATCAGCGAATCCTGCATATGTTATGAAGCATGGAGGGTCTGATCATCTTGGGCTTGTAGTACTAGCCGACCGCGAATAAATCTCTAACTTCGCCTTTTGGAGCTCCCTTTCTATGATTTCTATCAACAAATAATTACTCTCTAAACTTGTCCATCGGAGTCCAAAAAAAAAAAAAAAAAAGAATTTAGAGTCCATCTTTGTACCCGGGACGAAGGTTTCGCTCGTCATTGGATCAACGAGACAATGCAAGTTTTCGGGTAGCTATTGAGATGTACGCATCGCTACTTAAAGTTATTTCTAACGGTATTGCATTGCATTGCATTTCTTGAAATAGAACCTGGATTCAGTCCCATCAATGCGACTTTGGAGTCGCAAAAACGATTTAGCATTTTGTCAATGATCCATCCTCGTTTCTGGTCTATGTTGTTTCCGGGAAGGAGCACCCTTTCGCGATACTTCGAATATTGCCAGCCCACGTTTGTGAAATTAAGGCAAATGTTGTGGAGATCGAAAAGTGTTTGATAGGATTCCGGCTGGATGCAATACAACATCCCAATTAACTAGGTAATTCGCAAGATTAGATTGGTTAATTCAAATGTAAGAGGCAATACTGGAGCTCCATTGGCTGTCGAATTAATGATTACTTAAGTCAAGCCGTGGAGACGAATCGAAACAAAAGAACGGGGACAAGCGGAACCCTCGTAATTTAACGGAAATGCAGAAAAGCTTGGTGAGCTTATCTCGAATTACTAGTTAACGAATTCTCATCTCGAAAGTTAAATGAATGAAGGAAAGTCCCTATCATCCGGGACTCTAACTAATAGGGAAATAGATCTTGAGATACGAATTGGGGTACTGTAAACGAAGTATCGTTGAACCGAACTCTGGAAAGGAAATGCTGTCTCATGGCGGAGAAACATGACAGGAAGTACCAGAGATCGAATTGATCCTGTCCCTCACATCCTCCTTCGTATCACACGCACAGGGATAGTATGGGAGAGAGAGGTGGATGAATAATTGTTGAGCGTCCCTGACTAAACCGTTTGCAAACAAATTGAATGTTGGTCCCAGAAACCTGCTCTCGTACATGCCATGATATCAATGCAATACCACCTGACGACCACGTTAAAAGGTCTTGGTCTAACCGTCTTTTCCAAAGTAGTGGGGAAAAAAGCCCTTGATCTTCCCACCGGCCGCCGGAATCTAGCACGATTGGTAATTTGATTATCTAAAAAAACCAAGATCAAAGAGCGGGGTTTCTGGTTGTGAAGTAACATCGGACGGGATTATTGATTTTCTTGCAGTTCTTCGTTATCCAAACATTTTTATTTGCGACAAGCATTTCGCATTTATGCACTCCTCCCCACAGAAACAAATACGGGCAGCGCAGCTTTGATAGTGGAGTTACCTCTGGCAAAGGACGTCGAACATTGGCGGAAGGTTTTTTGGGTATGAGGACGCTAACCAACCACTCGCGGGCCAGCTAATGCATGTTTGTGTCCTGCACGTAAGTCAAGAAAGAACTCGCTTCGATTCGACAAGACATGACTAAGAAGCATGGGAGACAAAAAAGCCAAATCCCGGCTGGGTCCTGTGCGACGAATGTAACCTCAATATATAAAAAATCAAAAAAAAAATCTGCTGGGACAGACCGATAAGACAAGACACTTTTAGAATTTTTGTTTTTTTTCACAAGACATAGCCCGGATAGAGGAGCGAAGGGTCTAACTCAGAGCACGGTAACGTGAGGGGGGAGACCGTTTTCCCGCCAGCTTGGACCAGTGTCGTCACATTGATTCGGTTCGGCCGATGTTCGTAGTGTGCACCAGAAGAATTGGGGGTGGCGAGAGGGCGGGTACCTAGTATACCTCATGACCTCGGCGAAAACTGGTGGCCTGCGAGGTATCACTAATCGTCAAAAACAAAAATAGTATCACATCACAGACAGAACCGAAAAAAGCGCTCCCACAGATGGAAATCATTCCGAATGCTACTTCAACCATGCCAACAAAAGATAGAATGCGGTCGCGCTAACGGTTGGAAATGGTTGTGCCGGATCAATCCCAGCGAATGCGAAGAAGGTTCGAGTTCCACTGCCCGCAGCCCAGCACAGCACAGCACAGCACCGCACCACAGTTGCGGGAAGAAAATTAACTTGTATGACGATAATGTTCATGCTCACGTAACATGCTGCCTCCGTTTCCTTTCCCTGTACTGGTCGGAGAAGCACGATACCATATCGCTCTTTTTTCTCGTATAGTCTGTCGCATTTGGTTACATTGGACAATCAACCAATCCCGTCGTACATTCTGGGTCCATAGATTGTGAAGAAGTATATTGTATAAAGGAAGAAGCCTCTCGCTGTACATTCCCTCCGGTCTTTTCATCTTTTCCCCCAGAAAGCATCTCAGATATCAAAATAGCTTTAGTCACTCGCTGTAAAGCCTTTAATTGCTCGAAACAATTGAAGTCCACTCGTTTTACAACAATCCACATCCATACAAAGTTACCACACTTGCAACACACCCTTTTCGAAGAGAACTACAAAACTCTTCTGCTTTAAAGTTTCCGACTCGAAAAGAAAGAAAGAAATTTCTCTCTGGCAGGATAATAAATACATCATCATCGTCACCCTCTATCGTATTCTTCATACGTAAAGATACATTCTATCTATTTACCGATTCAATCATCTATTACAATGAAGTTCACAATTGTCGTCCTCGCCACGGCTGCTGCCGTCAATGCTCAACTCATCTTGTATGCATTCCCTTCCCTTGTAATGTCTTTGACGACTTTAAGTAGCCATCATGGATAGTGGATAGTATACTAACGGTTATTTAGTAATGAGACCACCTCAAGCTTCCAGTGTCTAGGTGATGCCGCCGGTAAGAGGTTCTGTGCGGGATCCGGAGGATCTCTCACCTCGAATATCATCATCCGCTGCGATGGCGAACGAGGACAACCAGGAAACTGCAATGATAACCTCGCTGGTGTCCCACCAATTGGTGTCAAAACCTCGGCCCTTTGCTGGCAGTCTTCTGAGACCTCCGGTGATGCTGACTGCTCCTTCAACGGCATCGTCTATGCCAATGATGGAACAACTTTCCCAATTACCACCTCCGCCTCATCTTCTACCGTCGAGCCTACATATGGAGCCTCTTCCTCTTCATCTGCTGAGCCGACATACGGTGAACCTACCACTACCACTACCATCGTTGAGCCAACATATGCACCAACCACCAGCGAGACCAGTTCCATTTATCCTACCCTTTCTTGGACAAATACTTCTTCCATCTACTACCCACCTGGAACTACCCTCACCACGGTCACTGGTACTCACACTGTCACCAGCTGCGACACTACCACCACTGTCCCAGTCCCCCCAACCAGCTATGCTCCACCACCAACCAACACTACTTCCAGCTACACCACTGGTCTCCCAGTGCCAACTCAATCTCCAAGCGGTGCCGGTGCTCTCCTTGCTAAGGATAGCCTCGTCCTTGGTGTCGTCGCCTTGATCGGATTCATGTTTTTGTAAATTGTTTTTACAAATTAAACTGAATTGTTACCCGGTTAAAAACGACCGACATGAATAAATATAATTAATCTCCTCGGAACCATTTTTTGGGTCTTTTTGGATTTTTTTTTTTTGATGTTTTTTTGAGGGCCTCTTCTTCCTGCTTTTTTTTATTGCCGCTCCTTCCCTTTTTTTTTGGACTTTGCTTTCAAGCAACTTATTACCCACTCGGTTCTGTTTTTGTTTTTTAAGGCTTATGGCTCGGTGTTTTTCGTTGACCTTTCATAAAGGTTTTATCACTACACCACTTAATTCTTCTTGTCACGATATACGGTTGACGACCTCACGCTCCTTAGACACTTTTACTCTATAACAATGGTTGAAAAACACACATTTTCTTCTTTTGGCCTGTAATTTTTAATCTCTTAGTAAATAGGACAGCTACAACAAAAAAATTTGGGAAATGGAAAAACTGATTTTTTTAAAAAATATATATATTTCTTTTGATAAAGAAGCATTTAAACGGGGAGAAAAGAGAGGGGGGGAGTAAAGTTACAAATGAATGCGTAAGTATTAATTAAAGAACAGGATAAGGATACGCACGATATTCATTTCATGCGTCGCCGGTATACCCGACCGTTTTTTTGTGATGTCATGAAACCGACGGCGAGTTTATAACTTTTTTAGAACCCAAATCCGCAAAACGTAGAATATCGACAGAAGACCTCATGATCCTCTTAGATTGGCGAAAGTTAGACATCGACGAGCCGAGGCGAGAGATATTTAATTTTCTCTTTTTTTTAGAAAAAAATTATATCTACGAGATTCGGCCGGATCCGAATGTATAACGATCTGAAGTATAGTCAACTACTGGTGAAGTTTTATGGGACGATTATAGGCCGCCAAAAGTTCGGGAAGTCAAGATCACAACTTCACCATATCCCGATACTCCTCACCCGCCATAAACTCCTCCACCTTCCCCTTAAACACACAAACACAACATCTCCCACCTTCGCCCCTCATAGTAGCACCCTTCAAAACCTTCCCCTCACACTTCTTCCCTTCTTTTCCCTTTTTATCGATTTCACGGCTACTACCACTATTAACACAGGTTTTATATTCAACATCATACCCTTCCTCCTCCAACTCCTTTCCGGAACATTCATTACACTTTGAAACCGTATGAAGAATTAGTCGGGAGGATAATAGGGCCTTGGGAAGTTTTAGGAATTTGATTTGGGAAGAGGTTAGATGTGTGGTATGTTGACATACTGAGTGTTGGATGTGTAGGGAGGGGAAAGGAGGGTTACGGTGGTGGAGGAGGATGGGGGTGGGAGTTGACCAGGGCATTTTAGTACCGTCTTTTGCTATATATTCTCTTGCTATATATTCTCTTGTATGTTGGAGTTAAGATTTTGTGATGGATGAGTATCTAGGAGGTATATCGATCGATACTATAGATTAGGTGGTATGATATAGTCCTAGAAGAGTAGTGTATATATTTATAACTGAACATGCATGCTCATGTCCACACATGCGCAAATATCATATAGATTGAATGCTTGAATACATAATTTGGTCATGTAGTTAGTGTCAAGTTTGAGATATCTTTATAATTCGTGTCAATGATATCCATCGGTCTCGTTCTCAAGTATACTTTCCTAGCCCTGATCTTCTTCCAATCTGACCACGATACCGATGGGATTTTACTCTATTGCACTTTCGCTAACTTGATTACAGGACTGATTTTGATAATGAAGATATCGTAAAGAAGTAGGATTAGGTATACAGTGCTATATTAATACATCGATTAAAAGGGGAAAATGAAAGTACGGAAGATAGGAGCGGGAAGACCGCGACCCAATCTCTGTACCCATCGCTAGGTGGCTTTTTTTTGTTAATAAAGCGGAAAAAATGCCTTAAACGTAATGCAGCGTGCAATTCATAGCATCATAATGCATCAATCTCATAGGAAATTAACAAAGAGAGGGATATCGTTAACAACCACCGTTAGTTAACTCAAGCAACAATAGCGGTTAGATAGCGTTCACACTCTCCTTAGTAGTGTGTGTATCAATCGATCCATTGCGACCCCTATTCTCAATATGCGTAGCATCCTCTCTAAGCCCCGCATCAACGACCGCCCTTTCCTTCTCTGACTCCGCTGCTTCTCTCCTGCTAGCATATCCTCTAGGAACCCAGCTACCACTCTTCCACGGCTTGGTACTCCTATCACAGTACATCTCATCAACCTGCTCTAATGTCAAATTCGAACTCTCGTAGTAGAAGAAGAAAACCATGAGAACACCAATCAAATTACACCCCGCAAACACGTATCCGTATCGATATCCAATTGATGAAGTAATATATGGCGTGAAAAACGCGAGCAAGAAGTTCCAAGACCAATTACCGGCTGTGGCGAATGATGCGCTGTGGGATCTGACTCGCAACGGGAAAATCTCGCCGATGGCTACCCAGACACCCGGTCCCCACGTAGATGCGAAACCGAAGATGAACATACAGGCGCTGAGAATGAGGATTGAGCCGACGGTAGAGCTGTTAGGATCGGCTTCAGAGCCTACTGCGGCGAAAACAATGAGCCAAGCGCATTGCCATAGACCACCGAATATCAGTGGCTTACGACGGCCGTAACGTTCGATAAACCAGAGGCCTGGAAAAGTGGAGACGACGTTGACACCGCCAAGGATGATTTGGGTGACATAAGGGTTTGTGAGGCCGACAGATTGGAAAATTGTTGTACCGTACTAGTTTTTCGTTGTCAGCTGCTTTTGTTCTTTCACGGATAGGGCCCGGATATAGTAAAGGAGGGGACTCACGTAGAAGAAATAATTGGCACCAGTCAACTGCTGGAACATCTGGAGACCAAATCCGAGAAGAGTTCGGTACAGGATCTTGTCCTTGGGATCAAAGCTGCTGAAGAACGACTTCTTTGCAAAACTTTTTTCCTCGTGGATGGCTGATGACATCTCCTGGTACTGTGATTCGATCATAGCATTGTTATTCTTATTCTTCTTTCCTGCGATCCATTTAAGAGCCTTAATACAATCCTCTTTCCTCCCCTGAGAGAGAAGATATCTAGGAGTTTCTGGAAGAACGAACATTCCACCCATCAACACCAAAGCCCAGAGATAACCAACAATCAAAGCGCCCCTCCAAGACCAAGGAGTATCATCAACATGACTGGTTCCAAGATTAACACAGTATGAAGTCAAGATACCCATGGTAACAAAGAGCTGGTATGTAGCCACTAAAGCTCCACGAATCTGTTTTGGGACTGTTTCGGAGACGTAAACGGGTACTAATACCGACAGACCACCGACAGAGAGACCGCAGATGAACCTTCCGATCATGACTTGGTACCATGCGTGGAAAGAGGCCACTTGGACTGTGTTTCCGATCAAGAAAACACCGCAGAGGACGATCATTGCCATGCGACGACCCAGGCGGTTGGAGATTGGAGCAGCTATTAAGGCTCCGATGAGACACCCGATGGAGAGAAGACCGACAATTAGACCTTCACGAACATTATTGAAACCGTAGGGTACGCCGTTCTTTTCTTCTTCTTCAGGTTTGTATTGGGCGAAGCGACGGAGGAAGTCCTAGACTTGAAATTAGACACAATTTGCTTCAGAGGCCTTTCCATGAGTTTATGCTTACTCGCATGATCAGAAAACCAGAAATCTGACCGGTATCAGCTCCAAAGAGGAAGCCTGGAAGCCGTAGCTGTTAGATCTACCAATTTTCTAGCCTCCGGTGAGTTCGTGTGTTAACTTACCTCCCATGCTAGCGGTTAAACCAATGGTTATCACCGGGCCCGAAGCCACGGCTTTGATATCGCTGAACCGTTCACTGTGAAAGAGACCCATCGTGGTCGTGGTGGGTATAGGTTATGTCCCTCAATTGGGTATTTTATGTTATGTTGGTGCAGTGTAGGTTGTGGAATATAACAGTGACGACAGGGCGATGGAACGAGAAGAAGAGGGAATTTGTTGTTTGTGTGGTAAAAAGTTGTGTATATTTCCTGTTGCTGCAGAAGAATTCGAATTATCTTCCAATGTAAAATTGGAACTGGGAAGACGTTAGAAATTAATTGCAATCCACCATATTTTTATACGTCATGGCATTTACTCTATATATATCGTTTCTGGATATATATATCAAAAGCAAGCCGCAGTTAAAGCGTGACCGTGACGATAAAGAGAATTCGAAACATAAGCTTACCGAAGAAAACCGACTATCACTGCTACCGTCCGACGGGTAACCGCGTCACTTTCGTCCCAAACTGAAGCTGGGAAAGCCTGGGAAGCCGGTATAGAGGAAGGGAGGACAAAGACTAAGATGAACAGTTACACACCAGGGCTATGGTCAGAACCTTCAAATTCTTTGGGAAATAAAATAGAAAAGAAGAAAATTCCAGATGAGGGCAGCGAAAGGGTCACTGGGGGATTTATATCACCATCTTTAAAATACCACTCTGCACATGTAAGTACATTCTGGATTTCTCGTTTTGCTTTGGTTCCTCTTAGAAAGAAGAGGATTTGTATGTAACCGGTTAGCAATGACGTTATTCGAGGTTCTTTCGTCCAAAAATTTACAGAAAAAAGCCTGGTTTCAGTGGATCATAGTATCATAATCAAGGGCAGATGATTGAATGATTCAGATGCCAAGGGCCTTTCATTCACCAGGAATCTACGACAATCCGGGGTGTCCGGGGTGCATGTACCTTATCTATTTTGTCATTTTGTCATTTTGTCATTGTTACTTTGACTTACAGTAAAAATTGGGTTTTGCACGAAAGGTGTTTTTCCTTTTGGCCATATCTAGAAGGAATCGGTTAGTTGACCGTTTGCGACGTCATAGCGGCGACATCTCGCGCCCACAACTGGGCAGGCGAAAGGGTCCATACGAAAAACGGCTATCAGGAATTCCTGTCCAATCCAGAAACGGGGCAGCCGAGCTCGAGCGAACCACCGTCTCAGTTAAGATCGGATATCACGGGATTTATAACTAGTTTTTCTAATTTTCATCTTCATTTTTAAATTTTTTTTCCTGGTCATGGGAAGTCGAAGTTTGAGAAGATTTCTCTCCCTCGCGGCGAGCTCGCACATATACAGAGACAGTACAAGGGCTTGTCAGGGGTTGACGGATAGCTCGGCGGCTCCACTACGAAGTTCTAGATTAACCGCTGAAAGTTTTGGGTAGTATGGTACTTACTTACAAAGTAAATATTTAGTACGATCATGATCATGCATGATCATGATCGAAGTACTTACCTAAGTAGTATCTTTTCATTAGATAACTTGCATCTCCGTGCAGAGTGTAGAAAGTGTTGATCTCAAAAATACCACACAATGACAACACACTGATATTGACGAGATGTTTCCCTGCATGCACAGTCCTCCAATGTGCATATATGCATATGTGCCCTTCGATGTCTTTGTTTATGAATTCAACTTCTTTGATTAAAAAAAATGCAGGTTTGGGTAATATATATAAGTACTTATAATGTCTCCCCTGTTATTATAATTAGCTCTAGCTATATATTATGATAGCTAGAGCTGTGTTGTTCCCAAGTCTTAGTTAGTAGGCGCATGCATACTGTAACCGCATATTATATATCTCGAAGAAGATACTTAAGGGCATCATGCCCCACTATTACCCCGCTTCGAACCTAGGAGCTCTTGGTAACGAATATCTATTTCTCAGCTTCAATATATGCTCTCTCGGATACAAGTTTATAATATATTTCGGAATCTCAAAAGAAGGGTCGATATCTTATATATAAAGCTAGATATATCGATTGGTATATATATCGACTAATACCCACGAATTTCGTACGAACCTGGGTTTACAAACAAACATGCTAACGCTTGTACATTCGCGGAAAACTTACTCGTAAAAGCCAAGGGGGGCGGTCTATCATGTTTCCTCGATATGCTAATGGCAGCATAATACACCGCAGCTGTTCGAACCCGGGTACCCGCGCGCCTTGCTTAGATCTAGAGTGTAGACGAGCGGTTTACAGGCTCGGATAGCGTATGCACCTTCTGGATCTCCGGCCTCGCTCCCAAGCCAGGATAAAAGTACTCATCGAAATCAGGTACCTTCCTGGCAACCCGCTAATCGGCGCAGCTTCTGGACGTGGCGCAGAATCCCAGCTAAGTTCAGCTACACTTTTCTCCAAGAAATATCCCTACCAGATATCGATCCAGACCTCGTCGAAGGGACATTTATCGGCCTACGAGCTAAGTTTCAGGTCTGGAAAGAAAAATGCCGATATGAAAAGGACTTTTTCCTTGACAAAGATACTCCAGATGGGGATATCAAGGTCATCTCTAAATGGGACATAGAAGTTGAAACAACCTCAGACTAGAAAGTTCTCCCAACAAAGATACCACATTCTGGGTCGTACGAGTGGATAGGAGACTAGAGGAGCTCTGAGCCACCAAAGTGGCTGGGATAGTGAAGCAAAAAAGATCTTAAGACAGTTAGGGCCACGAAAAAGATGCTGAAGGAAGGTTATATCGCGGTTTCGTATACTTGAGGGAGATGGTGCAGGAAAGGTCAATGGGGAACTATCCCCGGTGTGCTTTGGGGTGTTCCTGTCGTCGAACCGGGACATGGGGATGTTGAAGACATGATACCAGAAGTTCTAGAAATTCCGTGATTCATTCGATTCTAGGGCTATCTAATACAAATCTATAAAAGAATGCATAGAATATGCTAGATGATAAAGATACAGTCAAAAACAAAGAGTATATGTAAATATGTACGATGTAGACATGCGTGGGCACATCTATACATCTTTTTTTTATAACACCCCCCCTGTACATTGGTCTTGACGGCAATGCGATGCAGGTAGTCTTGAAATATAAAAGATCAGATAAAGAGATAAAAGTAAAAAGTAAGCAAGCAAAAAGACCGTCTAGAGAACCGCAGCAGGGGTATTTGGAAATTTTATCGTAAAAACATTAAAATGAAAAGTGTGGGAACATAACTTAGTGGCACTGTGTAAGAAAGAAAAAAAATGAATATGAAAAAAACTCCCCTCATGAGCTCGTAACGACAAGCTGCTCGAAACCATCAAAATACCGACGTGAGTAAAACAATAAAATATAAGGATATGTTTTGGGAGTTATGAAGAATCCTATGAATGATTCCCAATAAATATTTGGATGATTTCTCCCGAAAAGGAAAGACGCAGGGGAAACAACGCCAAAAGAACAACAGCCATGAAAAATTAAAAAAAAATAATCTAGCTAAAACAATGATAATTGAATTTTATATTCTGAAGGATAGCGGGGTTTGTAAAAGCAAATGTCTATTGTTTTCGGATTTCTCACCTCTGAACGATTAAACAGACGAAGGAAGGATGAATGGAGAGATGGATGGACGGACGGATGTGGGGGTTACCTAGACAGGGATGGTTGGGGGTTTAGGAGCTTTCATCCTCGGAAATAATTTCCAAGGGCATATTGCTTCCCGACTGCCGGCCACCTTTCCTCAGCGCTTTCGTTCGGATCCCATGTTTATTCTTCATATGTGTTTTGAGGTTCTCACGTGCCCTCGCCCCACGATACTTCGCCACACAACCCGCTACTTCGCACGTAAATTCGGTGCCGACGCTCCCGCCTAGACCGTGTGAAGAACGTTGGTGGCGCAGAAGATTGCTGTTTGATTGGGTGTATTTTGCCCCACGAATCTCGGCGCCACAGCCGGGGAAATCGCAGATAAAAATTCGACCCCCTGGAGCTTTCTTACTTCGAGGGGCCCGACGGGGGCGGATACCGCGAGGAGCTGTGTTAGTCGTCGACGTAGCTGGGTCGGAATCTGTTTCCATATCCTGGGGCACTTCGTCGTTGATGTTCATTGCGGCTGCATCTGAGAAGCTAAGTGCATCGTCAATGGAATCTGGGGTACCCTCGGAGACATGGCCGATTAGATTTGAGATGTCATGCTCATCTGTATCGATAAAGCTAGGCATGGGAGCGAAGTCCGGATGAGCCGGAGCAGCGACCGTACCGTCCCACGCGGAACTGGCGGCAATACTTGAGACGATGTCGGCCATGGTCGATGGTGCTGTAATCTGGCAGGAACCATAGGCTTGAGGCCAAGTGACTGAGATCCCCTGGCATGCCTCTTGAAGTCCTGATGCTTGGTAGGGTACTTGCTGTGAGTCCCAAGAGGTAGTGGGAACCAGGAAGTCGTAAATGGAATCTGCCGTTGTCTTGGTGCCCATAGCATCTCCCAGGGTTGAGATACTGAGCGAGGGGCTTCCCCTAGCAGGTACCGAGGCGGCCAGACTAGTTGTTTCGGACAGAGTCCCCGATGAGAAAGATCCCGTGGGTGATAACTGGGGCGGAGAGTTCGAAGGCATCCCATCCGAAGAAAGATCCATGAATGGTAACTGAAGCCTGAGTTGCTCGACTGGGATGTTGGAAATGGAATTAGCTCTGAGGGTCTGCAATGGAGAGCCTGTGAGTTTCATTTGCATAGAGTGCCGTCGCGCCTGGTATCGAGATAGCATGGTTGCCCTCTCCAATCTCAATCGTGCATTTCTGTACCCGGTGCAGTAGGGTGTCTGGCCTTTCCGGACCTGAAGGTCAGTGAACATAGGCGCAAATGTCACACAAATGTCTAAGAAGGAGTCAAGGAAATCCAGTCTCTTCGGCACTTCTTCGCAGAACTAGATGAATTAAAAGGACAGTATTAGCAGACGTTTTAGGTAGGATCGAGGAAGGTTGTGTTCTCACCTTCGTCAGCCCGACGACATAATCTTCAAAGTCCCGAAGGCATTGGATAGCACCATACTGCACCATGTTGATGGCTGCGCGCATTATATGGCCGACCCAGTTGAACTTCTGCTTTCCCCAAATCTGACTGATGATGAACTTCAAAAGAGAGGTTTTGAAATCACCCATTGTCTGACATGGCGGCCGTGTTTGAGGGTTCGGCCCGGAAAGTTGCTGGGGCTGAGGTGCAGGAAATGAAAGCCTCGACATCATTGAACCTAGTTTAGGGAGGTCTTGAAATGATTATTCGTTAGCTTTGGGCGAATATGTGTGAAACCTAGGGACCATGTTATGCTTACTTTCGAGAAATGCGAGAATGTGAGTGAACATTGGCCCACTCATAATCACATCCCATTGCGCTCGAGCGGGCTGCCGTTCAGGGGGCAGACCCATTTGATGGCACTTAACTGAGCCCGGGAGTGTAAGACTGGAAGTTAATGGAGGTTGTGGATACCCATTGTTTTCGCCTCCCATAGGGTGTGCTTGGCTCAGAATATACGACTGAGACTCGCTTTCATCATCCGTTTCGTCGACGTTGGTCCAGGCTGTCATACAAGTTCGCGTAGATATCCATTCCAGAGCAGCGTCTATTTCTTGAGTCATCACAGCAAGTAATTCATCGAAAACTCCTTCCTCCGAGAACCCGAGACTATTCGGCCCCGACTTAAGACATTTCTTCCAACGTTTTTGGGCATCTGCACAAAAAGTACTGACCGCTAGGGGCTGTGATAATTGTGGAATCGATGACGATGTAGTTTGAGATATGGCATAGGCAACATGAAGGACGCTGTATATCGGTATGAGTGATGTTGGCGTTTTTCCCTCGAGCACTTGATCTAGGTTCTGGAACCCAAGCCTTGTGAGATGCTCAAAGCTTCTGATAGACTTAAAAAACATCTTGAACCCCTGGGTAACCTGGTCGGATTTAGCTGCAGTTTCAAGTTTGACCCAGGCTTCCCGAGCGGCAGCGGTGAACTTGGTGACGATCTCGACGGTCTGTTCCTTAGAAAGTTCCTCCTCTCCATAGTACTTCATTTTCCTGTAAGATTGAAAAAGTTCCTGTTCCCATTCAGCCATAGACTCATCAACGTCACTACCACACATAGCCCTTCCGACATCAGGTCTGAAGCTATAGTGTGATTGCATATCCGATCCGAATCCGAATCCCAGGTTATAACTAGATACGGATGCACCATTAGACCCGAGTCGTGGCGACGATCTAGAGGCCTGAGGCGGCTTGTCTCCAAACATGGGGAGCATTTCGAAACCTGCGTGAAGGCCACGGGCGTTGGTTCGGGCATTCCGTAGGTGTTCCATCGACTGGTTTGGAGGCTGTTGCGTGAATGAGTAACTGGGGTTTCCATCCGAAAACATGCTGGACCTTCTCCCGCATTCTATGGCCGTTCCAATAGGCTGAGCGGCACGCGCAGCACGGGCTTCCGATGGAGACACTCGAAGGCCGTTGGAGTTCCTAGGGACCTGAGCCACCGGGTCTACATTTGAAGGGAAAAGCATGTTGGTAGATTGCACACGGTGATGCATGCCATGTTGATTTGGAGCTTGGCCGCCCGCTGGGAACGACTGCCAGCGTTGCCAAGTCCCCTGGACAGCAGGAACGAAGTCGCAGGACATCTTGTTGGAGATTATCGAGTCGTGGTTCCAGATTTTGTCCAATATATTCCTCCGAAATCTTTTGGGTAGTTTGAGTTGAGTTGAGTTGAGTTGGAGGTGGTCGGGTCGGGCTAGAAGGGCCTGATGTAGGAGGTTGGTAGGTAGTTAGAGATAACGAAGAAGAAAGGGCCCAAGGAACCAAATAATTAATTGGCTAAGTAACAAATAGTTGATGTTATTTTAGGAGAGTAATAGTGTTTCTATGATTTGTTCGAACTGGTCGGAGTAAATGTCCAGTCGGTCCAGGGCTAGTGCCAGCCTATAACCCTGTTAGACTATCGAAGTGTCCGCTCTACGTATATTAGCAGTCATTCGGGCTAGTAAGATTAAAACCGTGTACGCAAATCTAGAACGTGTGAGGATATGAATAGAATGAAGAGTCCGGTTGGAGCTGCACTTGGGGGAGTATGGTCTATATGAATAGGTCTCGGATGTCAAAAACTTACAGGTTGAGGTAGAAGTTGGAGACCGACGCTAAAAACCCGCAGTTTAGAGGACGATGCACATGCAGGGCTGATACGTCGATGCCGGGGCTGCCGTTAATGCGCACAAGTTATGAACCAGCATCCATGTATACAATCCACCGCTTAACTTTGATCGGAGTGTCTTCTCTGGAATCTTTGTTGTTTCAAGATGGACAGTGAACCTTTGGGGAGGACGATTCTGAATATGAATAGCAGTAGCAGATGTTGGGGGTCAGGATGCTACACGGAGGTCAAAGAGGTCCAAGAAACTAGCCTGAAAAAAAAAAAAAAAAACGCTGCGTGATTTCCAGGTTGTGTTCCCCGTCGTCTGCTATTGCTTGTTCTGAAAGTATCTTAGCGATTGAAAATTGAAGACATTTTGTATATAAAAACCGTACCGATGAGAAAGGCCAGCCAATGGCAGTGGACGCCTCGATTCACGTTCGGCGAGACGACTGTAGCAATACCGTACACGGTGAGGGATGCAGGACGGAGGGAACCAAATGCGAGATGAGAGAGCGCCGTAGGATTCAACCACTTCGACACTCAACCACACAACACATCCAACAGTTTCCTGGAAAGGACTTCAGGTGATGGTGGTGGGATGGTAGCAGCATGAAAGAATGCTGGGCATGAAGCGTGAACAGGTTAGTCTGTACTGGGCAGGCTGGCTGGCTGACCGAACGGCAGGTCTGGGGCAGGCAAGAAGTCGTAATTGAGAGAGCTCGAAACTGCAATCGATAAGAGAGCTCAACATCGCATCGCAAGTGGGTCACGGAATCTGGTTTGAGGCCAAACCGGGTACCCAAAGGTCATCAATCCAGACTAGTTAAAGTTCCCCAGTACCCCCTCATGTTCGAGAGGCAACTTCTCTGCTTGCGCAATTGGTATCCATCTTGGAGGAGAACGTCAAACTCCCAAGTCCCTGCCGACGTTTCGCTTCGTTCGAGGGCCGTCGAGCGAAGGGCCTTTTGACACCCGCTTTTCACTCAACGGACCCACATTGAAGACGGCGTGGAAGGTCCAGTCCCGAATGGGCATGACGAAGTTCATCTGAAGTTTTACTGGCGTCTTCAGTGGTTCTTCAGCGGTTCTTCAGAAGCTTCTTTTCAGACCGAATGAAGCACCCGGATTTCTAGATCCGTTCGATGGTTCACTCGAAACATGCGACATAATGACCTGCCATTTTCGACTCGTATTCCTTTGTATACATGTAGCTAAGGCGATGGTGGTTAAAAGTTGGTTAGTTAGCCAGGTATTCAACTTAGGACTCCCCTTTTGCTTAATTCCGTCAACAAAGACTTGCAACAGACTTTGAACGGGGGTAAATGAGAGAATGGATGTTGTACCTGCTTCGAAGGGAACCCTTGTAATGCAGGCCCAAGAAGCACAAGGCCAGGCCAGTCATAGTAAGTCAATCGAAGGATTTCGGAGGCTGTTGCTATTTTAATCTCAACAGAAGCGGCTGAATCAAATCATCGCCAATTCAATTCTCAAACGTAAACTTAACCCTTCGCTGATGCTGGTATCGTAGCTTAAAAAACGGTAACTCCACATCCCCTTCCGCCTTCTCGCGATCTCTGAAAACAGGCTATTGTTAGCGAACGCCACACTTTCGGTTCTCCTTCGTGTCTTTGTCTCGATATCTTGGATCCGGATCAGAACGTTTCTGTCGTCTCTCGAAGTTTCGTTGGAAGGTTCAAAGTCAGCCGGTGCACATCTGCAACAATGCGCAACACATTCAATCTGGCAGTTGTTCTCCTGCTTGGCGGCTGTCGTTTCGTTCTTTCGCAAAATGGCTATAACGGGGTTACAATGTTAGTATTTCTACGTCTATTACCCCGCTGCTGGATTCCTATGCCGCGGGTCCTATAATATGCGAAAGCTCTAACCCACTTCCGGAGTTTGGGATATCTGTTGCCCTATACTAGCTAACATATTCACCATTTGTAGTGATTTGGATGGGACTCTGAACTGTCCTCCTGATGCGAATAGAAGGTCCTACTGCGCTGGGGATTCAAATTCTACAGAATTTATTGTACATTGCGATAATGGTAATGCCAGATTGGGCGCTTGCTCGCTGGATCTAGTCGGTGTGCAGCCTGCTGGTGTTAAACTAGGTGCTACCTGTAAGTACCAATATTGGCATCCATCGGATTCTCTACACGGGCTTTCAAAATTTCCCATATAGTCATGTGGAAACAATGATCGCTCTCGACGGTTCAAATGAAGAAAGAAACCACACTAAAAAAGAATCGTCCCATAGGCTTCGAGGAATCAAAAACAGCAGGTGATGCCGTATGTGTCTACGATGGGAAGGAATTCGATACCAGGCCATTTCCTTCAGGCGCTACAGCGACTCCTACTCGGGTCGGGGAGACACGGCCCACTGGTACTGGTGTATCCACGGTCCCTGTAGATGATATTGCAGTTTATATCATGGATGGAATCAGACATGTCTCAAATTAGGGTTGGAAACTGTTCACCATCCATATCTTGTACGTGGGTATCCTGGCGATCCTTAGTATATGGTTCAGCTGGCCGGAGAATAATATAGTATGGGGAAAGAGGTAATTCTGCATACAACCTGGCTGGTTCACGGGGTATACAGTTAATTTTTTGGAAGGGTTTCGTTTGGCATGTTTGAGCATTTGGGATTCGGGTTTGATATCATATGTATTTTAAATTTCAACGTCTATAAAAGCGGAGATAACGTTTTGCATGTAATTGGTCTGCTATGCATAAGTCTACTTGATTGATCAATTCGACCTGTAGGCATACAGATTTTCCCTTATTTTCTGCCCAGGGGACACACAAGTTTGGATATTGTGTCGGATATCTACCATGAACTTCATATTTCTAGGATTTCTGTGTTTCGGGTGGCACTTTGTCCAAACCAAATACCAGCCTCAAAGCTAGTTCAGAAACCCATACATAGGATTCCCGATAACGAACATGTCACAGATAAGGATTCTTACAACTTAGTAGAGATAATCAACCGACCGCACACTCTTGCGTTCCGGAAATATACCATATTTCGCTAAATACAATATTTTACTTAGAAATGGTATGGAGGAGACACGAAGGGAAGGAGCTTCTGTCTCCCATCTCCCATATTCCACATACAAACGACTGGGTAAGCTATATGCCGAAGGTCCTAGTACTTAGCGTAAACTCTGTTGTCCCTGAATCCCTCGCCCTAGATGACTGATCGTGATCGATGTTCGAACGTTCCTGGCTAAGGGGTGTCGGCGCAAACGTCCGACTGTCATGTGGGACGCCGCCCCTGTTCCATAACGATGTCATCCCTGGAGGCGTAGTACCTGGCCCCGGAACCCCTTGCATTGAGAACAATGGAGAAGAAGGGATACTAGGCAATAGAGGTGAACCAAAATGTGATTGTGTCACTATCGTTGGGGATATTGTTGGTGGGCCACCGTGTGTGTCAATGTGTATTTGAGGTGGGGGGAAGCTATAATTCGATAACATGCTATGGCGTTGGGGGTGGCTGTAGATGGTACTACTCGAATCGCTGTGCGCTTGGTCGTGAGAGTTGAAGGTTCTCTGATGGGGTTGAGGAACATATACAGCGGTTGCTCCCGAACTTCCTGAGCCACCAGAACCACCAGAACCGCCAGAACCGCCAGAACCGCCAGAACCGCCAGAACCACCGGTACCTCTAGTAAGCGCTGAGCCGCCAGTGCCTGGTGCAGGATCTATCATAATAACAGCATAGCCGGCTTCTTCATCCTTTTCATACCTACCACCGTTTGCCAGGTATCCCTGTTTTTCTTTAAACCGACCATGAATATCTAGATATTATTAGCTTTGGGGGAGCCTGAAGTTCAAGGGAACTAGAAATTTTCAACATACAGTCGATAATTATAGGAAGCCAGATAGTGACAGCAATTATCTGGCCGAAGCTCCACTGTGAAGGGTCAACAATTCCCCAAAAGTTGTATAGCATGGTGACCTGCAATGCGAAAATGGCGAGGAAGCAAAGTACGGCAGCCAAGATGAAAAGCCACAAGAAAATCTGTCCGATAGTAGTGGCAATCCAATCTCTAAACCCACGAGATAACTTCTTCTCGCCCTCAAGCATCCAAAAGATACAGGCTATTTGCACCAACAGACAGAAACCCCATGCGATATATATTGTAGATCGCGGAACCTTCGATACAAGGATGACCCATTCGGTTATTTGATTCGAAGATTCGACTGCTGCGGAAAGCTGCCCCCTGCAAAATGATAGCGCTGGTAGAACATTGTCTATTCGTACTCCTCGCATCCAGTTGGCGTACAGTAGAAAAGCCGAGCACAGGAAGAAAGTGACACACGATAGTATGTAGACATACCAGGACTTTCGACCGAGGAGTAGAAGAGCAGCGTTCATGTAACAGATGAGCACGACACCGTTAAGCGATATTCCACCCAGGAATAGGAAGTCTGTGACTGAGATACTTGTTATTGCTTGGGTTTGTCGAATAAAGGCTGCGATCACGAGGGAGCCGATGAACCAGCTATTTTAACCTATCAGTTATTCTCATCTATAGATATAGTAGCTTATGTGAAGATATCTGACCTCTGTAGCTTTTGGAATTCTTTTAAAGACTCCGGAAATGCTATCGACCCATCAAATGGGCTATGCATGTCGTCTGGAACGACTCGCCGCTCATGAAGTATAAATTTAAAGAGCACGTATATTGTCATCATTAGAACTAGCAGTATTTGAAGGATATATGAAATAAAAACCTGCATGTGAAGTGTTATGTCAGTGTAAAGCCCGCTTTGTTGCTGTCTCGCGTCATTGAAGCGCAAGAAAGGTAGACATACACCGACACCACCAATATCAGGGTCGTCCTTGACGTATGGTTCTAGGTTTTTGCATATCGCAGCCATGCACGAATTGACTTCCTCTAATACTAAATTTTGTCCGTTTTGCGATCGCATAAGCGATCCATCGCACCTAACGTTGTTCTGAGCGCTGTAATCATTATTGCAACCTATTCTGTCGCATGTTCTTGCTAGGAAGTCGACTGTTTGCCCTGTGATATCTATGCTGATTGTCGGGACATTTTGTATGGCTTGTATTCGATAATTTGAGAGTTCATCAATAAATGTCCGGTTGGAGTCAAAGGCGCCATTGCTTAGACCCTGCACAACGTCGGGGTAAATGGTACAGACGTTGAAGTATCGGAAATCGGTTTGTTCTTCGTATTTGTCGGGTAGGTTCAAACATAATTCCGGCCATTGATATGGTACGTTGGTCTTCAGCGTCGACGATAGAATATCGTGAAAGAGGGATACGTTCGACATTTTCCCGACCCAGGACTTTTTAGTATATAGTTTTCGTTGGAGAATGGAGATTCGGTCGAATGTATATATCTTCCTCCTTCTATATCCCTATGCGCCTAGAAATTACCAGCAATTTGACGTCAAACGACCACAAGATCGAGTTTATTTTTTGTTTAATTGGTAGGTTTGGGGGGCGCCACGGCGGCTTGCGATAGATGAGATCCAAAGTTACGTATACGCTCGGAGAATAGTTAGATGTGTATCGACTTCTGAAGCCGCGCGCGACCTTGTCAAGGCAGCGGATATCGATAAAGCATCGTATCGGCGGAATCGTGGAGAAGTAAAAGGCTTCGATCCAGGCATCTTCAATCGAAGTGGGCAAACAGAAGAATTTCAGCTGAATTGCCTTGGGGGTCGATAGTCGCATGCCTCAGGCATGAGGCTGAAGTACGTGTGCGTTTGACCGGCAGCCGCATATACGCCCCTCTTTCATGAGAAAGCCGTGGCTCTTCGGCTGAACCATGTTGGGGACGCAACAGGTTAGGAATGTAGACACTATCAAGGAATATAGTTGGCTTCATAGGTGATTGAATGCGAGGAGGTGAAATGACCTTGTCCCAGATGCCGAATGCACTGATAACCCAAGGCGAGCTTTGGCGACAAATTACTATTGGCAAGACGAAGCCAGGGAAAGTTGACGGCTAGCTCGGAGGATTCAGCCCCACTTTTGAAGCTTGACGGTTTTTGTTCAAGTGCGAGTCCTCAGGTTCAAATTTGGGTGATACTGAATTTCGAGATCTTGCAAGAATGAATTCGAAAGAATTGTGCGTCAGCCGACCAAAAAAAAAGAACCATCACTGGGATATAGTCCGAAGACTAAGCATGTATTGTTATGCATATGGCTGTGTCGGTCTAGATGCAGGGAAAGCCGCTGATATAATATAATCGAATCACCAGGGCAGAGCTCGGCAAGGTAAGGCCTTGCAGCCCTGCAACAGAGAAAAATTCCCGGCTCCGATCTATCTCATGGTCGGCCGTGACGCTCCGACAAGGGGTAGCCAATGATGAGAGTTTTCCGGATTCCTTCCTTGCCGACATCCACCCTAATGCTTGAATGGGCCTCGGCTCCATGAATCACAGTAGATCCAATTCAAATCCCTGGGTTTTTGGAGAGCAAAAAACCAATAAACCTGAAGCTGGGAATGCTGGTATTGGCTGGGAGAGAAGAATTGCGATCATATGCCTGCTGGCCTGCATGAACATCGGCAATTTCGTCACAAGCTTCTCCGAAACGTTGGAGCCTGGCGACCTTCCGTTCAAGTATCTCTGCGATGAAGTTCTCGAAATAGCTCCCTGGTCAGGCGTGAGACTCGACCATCTTCTTGATTACTTATTCAATCGATCATTCCCCCTTGGCTGTAAAATATTTGCATCATCAGACTTCATTCCATTAAGACACGCGACGCTAGATTTACATTACATTGATTGATAACGTACTCCGTACGTAGGGTATTCTTGGTCTCTGCGACCCCAATCAACCGGACCCATTGCGGCTTTCTTGTCGAAAATTGGCTTCCGTTCTTTCGTCTGAGGTGCTTCTGGGCGCAGGCGAAGCCTTCAAACCATGTCCGCCGAGGCTTCTTCCATTCGGCAGGACCCAACCGACAACAACAATACCACTACCACCGTCACGGCCAATAACCCGGAACCCCACCTGGACAAAGGTGATATATCAATAAAACCAGATTCTTTGAATACGGCGCCTGATGATTCGACAACAATAAAGAATAATGATTCTGATGGGCATGTCAATGGGGCCAAAACGGCCTCGAAGAAGAGTTCGGTGCTGCCCGACTGGGTGACAGAACATTTGACCCTACGCGACTTCAAGATTCTTATCCGATGCAGTATCGCAGGATGGGCGTCCTTTCTTTTCGTCGTTATCAATCCCGTTCTTCAGAATTTTGGCCAGGCAGCCTTCATGGGCATGTAAGTTTTGCTACAGCACCTAAAACTAACACTACCAGCTCTGTTTTCTAATACTACTACAGGCTCTGTTTGTTTATAAATCCGCCGTCTACGATCCTGCCGCTATATCTCCTGGCTGCGACCACAATCCTTCTTGGTATATGTCTGGCTTGGGGATGGGGTACTCTAGCATCTTTGGCTGCTATGTCGCGGCGTGATGATGACCTTTACAGTGCTAGATACAACGCTATTCGACAGGCCGCTGCCGGAACGCCAAATCCCAGGTTTTATATTCAAAGACAGATATTCAATGGCGAACTCCTCGAAGCCGGCCCTACTATAACGCTGCTGGCGATGTGCTTGGTATTTGTTTATTGCATGGCAAGGATACAAGCAAGCTTCCCAAAACTTACCCTCGTGAGCATATTCGGAATTATCGTCATCGATCCCTACATCACGACAGCGCCTTTGCTTAATAATTTCAACGGGACTCTTCCGCTCATATTCGTCAAACCACTAGCTTCTGCAGTAGGAATCGGTGTCGTGTTATCTATCTTTTGTTTCCCAGAGTCTTGTTCTCATGCGACATTGGCTCTACTTACGAAATCTCTAGGCAGGGTACGGGAGGCGCTAGACATCACCAGAGCCACGTTAGAGGATTTGGAACGAGATATAGCCGTTGGAGATATCAAGAAGCTCAAGGAAAAGATAATCGAAGAGCGAACGGAGATTGACCTAGGTTTTACATTCATGGGTTTGGAATTCAGCTTAGGTCGGTGGTCCGGGGAGGATGTTAGGTCTTTGAAAGACATCTTCCAGGACCTATACATCCGCACAAATGTCCTATTGAACTTTCATCTTTTACGCCAAGAATATCGCTCGAAGATTCTCCACGGATCTCCCAAAGCCGACTACCCCGCCGATGATGACTCCGACAGCAGGCTTGACAAGAGTCAAGAGCATCTCGAGAAACCTCAAAAGAGCGATAAACGTGAAAAACGCCCACGACGTGCTGGGGCAAGTCAGACATTAGCAACGTTGACAGTTTATGAATTCCTTCGTCCGGAACCAGAAATCGTAAAACTAGGTCAAGATGCTCTCAAGGCCGTTGAGGACGTTTCCCGTGGCCTTTTTATAGCCTGCGACGATGCTTTATCCACTTCCTCTGAAATCATGACTTCCGTCAATTCTACACGATGGTTTGGGTCTCCCAAGAAAAGCGAAATAGACGCTATGGTCGAAAAACATACGCGGGTTTTGGACAATCTGAAGCATGAGCGTGATTACTTTGCGCGGCATGCTGTCGACCGAGTGGTGGAACCTATTAGCCAGTTCTTTGACAAAGAGGGAAAACTTGTTGAAGCCACAGAGAGGGAAAAGTCTGTTAGACTACCGGGCTTGATGATTGGCATCAACTACAAGCACAGGATTCTTTCAATGGCATCCGTACTGGTAGATCTTCTAGAGAAATTGATCGATCTGGAGATGAAAAGGACCCGAGCGAGACTATGGATGCCATTTGCTTTTACAGGCCTCTTTTCATGGGCTCTCAGCCCAGAGCCAGTTCGCGATGATAATGCCCTCGAAAGAACTGAGACTCGGCAGGAGAAGGAAGGGGGTAAAGTTAAGCAACTGAAGGCAAAGAAGAACAAAAAGGCTAAGAGCAAGGAAGCAGTCCAACCAAGGCAGACAGTGGGACGTCAAAGAAGCAGATTCGCCCAGGCACTGACGAGCGTTTTCCACTGGTTAACCAACAACGAAGGCGTTTTCGCAGCTAGAGTGGTTATCGTCACGTTAGTTATGGCTATTCCCGGTATTCTGCGTCCAACAGCAGAGTTCTGCTATGACAATAGGTGTATGAATCGCCCATTTCTCCCTTTCTTGAAAGTGCTTCACTAAAAATCTATTTTTTTAGCTATCTGGGCTTTGATTATGGCACAGCTAACGATATCACAATACTTGGGCGACTTTATATTCTCCGTTGCTATGCGGACTTTTGGTACCGTGGTCGGCGGGGTTTGTGGCCTAATCGTCTGGTACATCGGCGCAGGGTCCGGTCCTGGCAATCCATACGGCATCATGGCAATTCTTGCGCCGTTTGTCGTCATTGGGATTACGATCAGAGTTTTTGCTCCACGCGAATGGATGATGCCGGGCGTAATGGGCGTGGCAACATTGATGCTTGTCATCGGCTACTCCTGGGAAGTTCAGTAGGTCCAGCTTATCAGTAAAATATTTGCCGATGACGTTCTAACCGGTGCTAGCTACTTACCGCAACTTATTCACGCTGAACCCGGTTATGGCGTATTCTATCGTAGACTCTTGTTGGTCATGGTGGGATTCGCAGCTGCAATCATTGTTCAAATATTTCCTCGTCCGCCATCAGCGACACGTAACGCTGCCAAATCGCTTGCGACTGTCCTCTCTGAGCTTACTCAATTTTATTCCGACACTATGTCTGATTTCCTATCCGCCCCAGACGACCAAGAATTTTCTGCGGAGGAAGTCAAGGAACGAGTAGCCGAATTGTATTTTTCGATGCAGGAACTTATTCCCCGAATCAAAATGGTCAAATTCGAACCAAGCTCTAGTCCATTCACTTCTGAAAATCTCATGGATATTGCGGATTACCTTGGCAAGATCCTGGAGAGTCTAAGCATCATGTCACTTTTGACGCCCAGGTTGTCCCCTATGTACAAGAGAAGACTAGAAGTACAGACAGATTTTGCAAGAACGGAGACTGTTGCCAGTATTATGGCCATTCTTGGGGTTTTGGAAGGAAGTTTGAGGACAGGATACCCATTGGCCGAAATTCTACCGGTTCCCCTGTTGGGAAGGTTAAGGAACTTGGGAGGGCCAGCTGACGGTGTGGACTCACTAACGATAGATATGCTGAAAGACGAAGAGGTGAGAGTCAACATTGCCCGCATACTCAACGCGAACATGTAACTAACTGACCATGCACAGTGGACAACATTTGTAGTTATGATGATGTCCATCACCACCTTGTACTCGGTAAGGTCCCTTATCACTCCAATACTTTGCGTGGGTTTCGCTAATATTTTGTCAAAAAGCGTATCGACGATCTTGTAATGCACATAAAGGGAGCAGTAGGAGAGAAGTACTTCGTCACAGGACTCCCACACCACTCGCATACCCACCATCATAATCACCCCCATGAACAAGCCTCTACAGAGGAAAATAGTTCAATTAATGTGTAGACGCTAATAAAGATACGACCATTGGGTGGAAGAGGTGCCTTATTGAAGTGCCTTCACGGTCATAGAACCCTCCAATATCATGCATATACGGTGTTTGTATACTTAATATTTTAGATCAATAATTATTTAATAACTTCAATGGCGAGAAACAAATATAAAATGATTTTTTTTGAGTACACGAATTCCGACACTCTGCAACGGCTCCGCATAGATCGATAGTCTTGTGGGGGTATATTCCGTGCGGTACGCAGGGCTTATTGGATGTCAGCCACATCACATGGCCAGTGGCGTTAACTTTATATGGAACGCCACGGTACATACATGCGTCCCAACACTCTTGCTAGGCATTGAATCGATGACAGTATTGTCAAGACTATCTAAGTAATTGCCAACAAAAAATTAAAAAATGCGTAGCTCAATAGGTACCTGATCGGGTTCATATCAAACTTAGACACCCAGCTGCAGCCGCAGCGTCGCGTCTTCGGCGTCAGGCAGGCCGCGTCGTCACTGATGTCGCGGATACGCAACACAGAACTAAAGACTGTAAGTGACTCCCTTAACTAGCCCCAACATGCAACACCGTTAATCAACGTTAACTGGAACTCACATCCATTGAATCCAGCAAAGATGAACTATGTCATCGGGCCTCGGCTTCACCTTTTCGAGATCGATGACCAAACATGGTAAGCCAATATATCTTATTTATCGTATCAGAGGCATCTCTTACAAGTTGCTGCATCCGCAGGTTCCCCCAGTACCTCCGTGGCAAGATACAGGAGTGCCTGACATTTTGCTGGAGTGTGTCCTTCCCGTTCTTAAGGTCCGGACCATCCGCATCATCTAGTCTTGCAAGAGTTCTGAGGAAAGAACTGGGCTCTTCTTTGTCGTCATACACCTTTATAGACTTCTGCGCTGGGGCCGGCGGTCCTACTCCGATAGTAGAAAAACATCTAAACAGCCAGCTCATCAAGGAAGGGTTAGAGCCCGTCGACTTTATTCTAACTGACTTGTATCCAAATCCCGAGGCTTGGAAAAGAATTCAAGAGCAAAGTCCGGCGTTTAGATATCTTGCGCAGCCAGTTGATGCAGGGAAAGCACCCCGCAAGGAGATTTTACTTGGAGGTAATGTTATAGCAGGGAAGAACGAAAAGAAAATCTTTCGGATGTTTAACCTCGCCTTTCACCATTTTGACGACGATGGTGCGAAGAGAATTCTGAAAGACGCGGTCAATGGAAGTGATGCCATAGGGTAGGTCGCTAAATATGGTTGTCAACATTTGAAAGACGAAGCTAAATGCGAAATTAGGATCTTTGAAATACAATCAAGAACTCCTGCGGGGTTTCTTCAAGTCGCTGCGATCGGTCCTATCCTTACATTCTTAACTCCATTTCACGGGCCTTTCTTGAACTTTGGGCACTTGTTTTTCACATATATCATCCCTATTCTTCCGTTTGTTATGGTGTTCGATGGTTATATGTCAGCACTTAGGACTCGTACCCCAGAGGAGATTTTGGAATTGTTAGGTACTATGCCGGAGAAAGAGAGAGTTGGGTGGGAGTGGAAGTGGGGGAGACAGAGGTTTGCAAAACCTGTGGGAGAGATCAATTATTTTATAGGCATCAGGGATCCCGAGAAGTAGGATGTTTTGATAAAGCATTTGCAGTCACTCTACTTGATTCACTTTGTTGTGAGCATTTGCATAGCTGGTCGAGAGTACAAGTTCCCTCCCTCCCTACCCAGTACTATATATTTGCTGCCTCAGTGAACACAATATATAAATTAAGATACCACTCGCACCTACGGCAACCACGACCTCCGTGAACCATATATATTCGAGTGCGAAATTAAGCTATATATATAGATGGTTGCATCGGTGTCGAGAGTCCTCAATTTGGTTAACTTAGATCAGAGTTTAAAACTTCTTTCTCTCTGGCCATGCATGGGAAAACATCACACAGGCGCATATCGCTAATTCGACACACCGATCACTATCACGAGACTACATGTATGAATTGATATCTACATATGTAATATGTTAATAGCGATAGAAGCCCCTAATAGCTGAATTCATGAAAGGCCTAAATAGAAATTCAAAATTAAAACCGTAAAGTGGCCGGTTCAGCAGCTTTGGTGTATGCATCCAGGGATGTTAAGGAAACAACCCCGCTTCGATTACAGTATAGTCGAATCTACAGTCGACACGTCGGAGTTTCCCCTCAGTTTCCCCACCAGAGCAATGTCTCCGCATTGAAGATTTGGGCAAAGGTCTACCATTCTAATTGGTTCGATGCCAAAATATGCATATGCATGCGTGCATGGACATGGGCACTTTGACGTTGTCGAACTATAGTACCATATCTGCTCTAGAACATGTCTGCATAGGTATGGAATTCTGTGATCTGCACTAAATTTATAAATTGTAATATTACTTCCTGTCAAAGTACCTATTTGCCCGCACAACCGTTCTGGACCAGCCTTGTCTCGATAAATACACAATTCCAGGCAACCCTAGCACCAGCCAATCAATACTCAACAGATATCCCGCGCTGCATGGCATACGCAGCTAAAGAGTCTAACAAGTTCCACGCGATACACCAGGTGAAGATCAGCTGGTGCCTCTCCACCTTGAAAACCCGATGACAGGGTGCAAGTATCTCGCCATCCTAGTCTCATTGGCCACAGGATCGGGTTCGCCCATCCCTCCATAGATTATCCACTTCTAGAGTTGAAAATGCCAGGAAATGGGTGGTTGGTAGAGCTGGCTGGATGCCCTGGCTAGAGATTTGCATTTCGAGGGCGGCAAGGTCTTTTACACTGTGTACATTTATAGGCGACACCACCGCATGATAGTAATAGTCTTCTTGCCCCACGATACATATAGGTCCCTATTTGGTCGCACATCATGAGGCTCGGAAGGCTCTAGTCTCGGAGTCCTCGATTCAAGACCTGAACTGTCTAGGCTAGGTTCAACCCGGGTGCCCGGTACGAAGGAGATCCCGAATCGGCTGAATATGGTTGATGCCTCAATCCTAATACACTCGAGCACACTTCGGTAAACTGGTCTCACCCTTTTTAATCATGGCAAAATTATTTTCATGATCATGCTTGAATACACCTTATTTTGGAACATTCATAGAGTAAACTGTAAGTGTACTCCAAGCGAGAGCCATGGCCTTGAACCGCCAGTTGCCAATCTATCTACCGGTGCATCGGGTATCCTGTCAACATGGTTTCCTCGGAATCGCTCTGGATAAATGGATAAATGGGGAGAACCGGGGAGTTGGAAATCCCTATTCAATATTTGGGTTTGAGTTTAAATCCAAATTCGTCGATCTGGAACTTTGAACAGGGCCTATATTAGCAACTGCTGTCACGAGGCTAGATGCTAAGACTCCTTTCGCTAAACAAGCCTGATCAGGAACAATGAAAGAATGACTAGCTATCTTGAATATTTGGTCTAGCTAAGATAGTAAGTTACCTCGTGTTCGTACATCTTCCCTCTATGCAACTGCAGGCATAGGTGCATGGATTCTCGTCAAGCTATCTTCTCAAGAGCTAGAGGTATTGAACAAGAGCAAAGGCTAGCACGATCCCATAGGACTAGGCGAACTTCAAGGCATGCAACACGCAGACCTGTGGCGTTTTGAGGGAAAGGTGTGGTAATTCGTGATGCCGGCTAAAGAGCATATTGCGGGGAAATACCTGGGCTTCCCACGGTGGTAATAACGGCTAAAGGAAACGGTACCCGTGCCTAAATGTTAACATTCCGACGTCTACTACATACGAATAGTGGTACACTTTTTCCTGTAATTGACCGTCGCTCGTCCGATCCTAGACAATAGCATGCTAATACCGATTGTAGCCCGTATCTATGTACATGTACAAACATACACCTGTACATGTACATACATACATCCCACTGTGCTGCTCGTTATCGGGGCATAACAACGTGGTGCGATATAAAGTGGAGCATCATCCTATTAGCCAAATGGAAGCACAGGGATTGTCCGTGATTTCCTGAAGAATGTAATATTTGATACGATATTCAATATGGTGTTCAATACCTGCTTTCGTCGAATACGAGAACGAGCCACAGAACATATGCACTCAAAAAAAATTGCCGCCTCTTATTTCAGAGCCTCCTCCCTCGTCCGATGCACTTTGTAGAGCATGTCGCTAGGGACTTCCGATACTAGAGCTAACTTTTTCGAAAGGCTGGGGCAAAGTTGAGGAGGCATTTGCGAGACACTAGGCAAATCAAAAGGCAGGAAACTGTTTTTTAAGCAATATACTATAGTATGATATTTATTATATTTATTCGTTATGAGTTCGTATTTCTTGATGATCATGCATTAACTAGCTAGTTTTCGTGAAATTGCGGGGAAGCACACTATTGGTTATACTACATGTATGTGCCCGTTTGCACACACCACGGATGAGAGAGATGCCGTGAGTTCCGTGCCGCTTCTAGAAGAATGTAGGTATGTTATTGGCAATGTGCACCATGCATGCTGCGAATGTTACAATTAACATGCGGGTTGGGTTGGCATTGACCACCGCATATTCGAACTTCGTTTGGTTGCATTTTTTGCATACCGAGACGTTTATTTGGGATCGCCAGAGCCAGAAAACGCTCCAGACGCCTGGGTTTCCTAGACTCAAAAAACTGGTCCAATGCAACAAGGAAGTAATAGTGCCAACGTCAAGGAATAATCGACTAGAATTTAATTTTCCAAAGACAGCTAACGCCTTCAATTTGATCAAGATGATCTTGTGAGCAGTTTTGAAAGACCCGAAGATTCAGTCGGCGTGACCAAGACAGGAAAATTCTGCTGGATCCACGATTATCTCCTTCGGGAGAATTCAGGCTAAACACTGTTTTTTAAATTCTTGTGGATGGTAGGCAAGGGTGGCAGATGTTTACCAAGGGTCTTTCTGCTTAGATGCAGTTACTAATCAGCGAACGGACATTGTCGCAGTGCCAGTTTCAGAAGAAATTTGTCCTCCAAATACGTGGTAGGGAGCCAAGTACCAAGTCAGCCTTGAAAGCTTCTAAACCCTTGAGCTCTGTGTTCTAGCTCGAGAATGTCACGACGCATATTCTAATTTTTGTCACGGTGTCAGTATTACTTATGACGCCTACAGATCCTCATATCTTACGCCGTATCTCTTCCGTACTATCATCCCGAATTTCTACCTATTTGACCAAGCCGAGATCTAAAGTGGCTTCTTCCCGATGCAAAATCACATTTCCCTTCCCGATGTCTGTTGCCTTCGCGTCGAATCAATTGCGATTCTCACCTTCACCTGGTGTCATGCAGGATGCAGCGGATAAATTCGAGAGCAAGGACCAGGGGAATTAAGCCTGATAAGTGCAGCCGCCGGGCGCTGGTTGGCTCATAGGGGTGTGGCGTGTCTTGGTGTGGGGTCGCATTTTGCCAGCGAATGTTCCATAGAACGTTCTATTTTGCCTATCGAGTCGACATCGACTCGGCCCGTGGGTCCGCTTCAATTGGATAAAGTCGAACCAGACCTCGGATTCGTCGCAGCCCTCGTTCCCTGCCACATGATTTGAGCGGACCCTGGTATTCTTGCCCAATTGGAGAATTAATCCGGTTGGCCGAGTGGAGACACCACGACCAACACTTCCCTCAGATTGGAAATAATTTGCAGATACCACGTGCGTCAGAGGCTGCAAATGCGAAAACCCTTCGGAGAACCGTGGTGGTGGTGGTGGTGGTGGTGTTCTGGTGGTATCTGCATGCTGAGAAACTCTAATGTCGCATTTGGGTTTTTTTTTTCTCTCTCAGGAGGAGGAATTCTTGTTTTTGAAATATTCGGGGTCCCCACACTCAGCTCAAAGATATCATGGGGGCTCCAATGCATCGAGACATTAGGACATTGTCCGGACACACCGAATCGATGGGATGGTTTGGCTAGTGGTTCGAGTTTGGCTCGTGGGAAGAATATGCTAACCAGGCATTGCACCATGGTACTGTACATGGACATGCTGGTCGGTTAGTCCCCGGTTTGAAAGAACGGATTTTGCGTTCCAATTTAGTTTGAATTCGAGCTTGTTTATCTGTGTAAGTACTACATACTAAGTACATACATACACACATGCATATTTCTTATGCGAAGCTTTTCGGCTGATACTTAAGACCGCTCCAAGTGATTTGCCAGTAAGGAGTATCTGTACATACTTACATTCCTTCGGGATGGGCATGCGTACATACGCGGTACTCCGCTAGGAACTTTCGAATAAGTTTTATAAGTAAATTAGCCGGTCACGAAAACCGCAAAACCTTCAGCGGTGAATTTGCTATGAAACTCCACCCGTATAATAAAATTCTGAATAAAGTCATGCTGGGGCAAATCAGATAAAAGTATTTTTCCCTAGGAAGTTTTACTAGTGATAGGTATTGCTTATTCTACCGATCCGTGCCTAGCTCACTAGTCCCCAATCTGCATTTGCCCAGAGTTTTGTTAGTACGGAGAAGCAAAAGGTTTGGATTTCAACCTCACCCCATATTGAACCTCACCGGTTAATTGAATTCCATTCATAGGGATCCTGTCCTTCGTATCGTTCAACCTCTTTAGCCGGACGATCTGATGTCTTTGCTTCATTGAATTGCAATCCCGGACCATGTGCGCGCACGCACTGGCAAAACAATAGCTGCACATGTACAATGTTAGCTAACAGGCAAAGATGTCTGACAAGACGCGGCAAAAGATACCCAGCAGCGGGGACAATATCAGCTGTCCCCAGAATGCAGAATGCGGAGGGAGATCTTCTTCTTCTAGTGCGATGCATTTGTATATAAAGAGAACATCGTCGCTCCCTTCTTCCCTGTTATCCTCATTCTCTTTTCCCAGCCAAGTGGGTTTCATTCAACAGCCAGCACGATACTTCTCCCTTCAGTGAAGAGAAGAAAGTATTGATACCCTATCACCTCGAACCACAAAAAACTTGTGAATAGGTTCTTTCTCCTGCGTCTACGCAGAAGAACATCCTTTGCCCAACATGCCCGCCATGGCAGCGCCAACGACCAACCAAGGTAACATGCTTGGTGGTCGCGAGTTCCCACAAGTTACCTGGTATAAGGAACCTGGTCTCCGAAAGCTCTACTTCCTCCTCTCTACCGTCATTCTCGTCTCCGCCACCAATGGTTTCGACGGTTCCATGATGAACGGTCTCCAGACCTTGAGCTACTGGAAAAACTACTTCCACCCCAGCAATTCCGAGCTCGGTCTCCTCAACGCCATCATGTCTGTCGGTTCTATCGCTGCCGTTCCATTCTCTCCATTCTTGTCTGATTGGAGAGGTCGTAAGGTCGCCATCATGATTGGTTTGTTCATCATGTTCGTTGGTGTCGCCCTTCAGTCCGCTGCTCAGAATCTTGGTATGTTCATTGGTGCCCGTTTCTTGATCGGTTTCGGTATCTCGTTCGCCCACGGAGCTGCTCCATTGCTCGTTACCGAATTGGCCCATATGCAGCACCGTGCCAAGATCACTTCCATCTACAATACTACCTGGTATCTCGGTGCCATCATTGCTGCCTGGACTACCTTCGGAACCCTCAAGATTAAGTCTGACTGGGCATGGAGAACTCCCTCTATCCTCCAGGCTGGTCCAGCTCTCGTCATGATCTGTTTCATCTGGTTCGTCCCAGAATCTCCACGTTGGTTGATCTCCGCCGACCGTCACGAGGAGGCTCTCGCTATTCTTGCTAAGTACCACGCCAATGGAAACGCCGATGACGAGCTCGTCCGACACGAATTCATTGAAATCAAAGAGACCATCGCCCTCGAGAAGGAATTCAACCACCAAAAGATCTCTGTCCTTTGGTCTACCAAGGGTAACCGACACAGAATGTTCATTTGCTTGTGCGCCGGTCTTTTCTCCCAATGGTCTGGTAACTCGCTCGTTTCCTACTACATCGCTCTCATTCTCACCCAGGTCGGAATCACCAAGGAAGTTGACCAGAACTTGATCAACGGATGTCTTCAAATCTGGAACATGCTTGTCGCCGGTACTATGGCCTTCATGGTCGACCGCTTCGGTCGTCGCCCACTCTTCCTTACCTCCACTGGTGGTATGTTGGTCTGCTTCATCGCATGGACAATCTGCTCTGAGCGTCGTGAGACTACTGGCAATGAGGCTGCCGGACGTGCCGTCGTCGCTATGATCTATCTCTACTACACCTGCTACAACTTGGCCTGGTCTGGTCTTCTCGTCGGTTACACCGTCGAAATTCTTCCATTCCAGATTCGTGCCAAGGGTCTCGCTGTCATGTTCTTCTTCGTCAACTGCGCTCTCTTCTTCAACAACTACGTCAACCCAGAAGCCATCAACTCTATCCGATGGAAGTACTACATTGTCTACGACTGCTGGCTGGCTCTCGAATTAGCCGTTGTCTACTTCTTCTTCATCGAAACTCGATACACTCCTCTCGAGGAAATCGCCAAGTACTTCGATGGTGATGATGCCAGAGTCGGAGGTGAAGGTGCCACCGGACACGGAAAGGAGCTTCTCAATGCTCTTCACGACGACGGAAAGTTGGGTGATGATAAGGTCACCGTCGAGCACGTGCAGAAGGCTTAGATGTCATTATCATCTTTTGTATAATGTTGTGTATATTTTGTGGGGTTCAGTTTCCGCCGTTTTCTTGTAACTATCTTTTAATATAGTTGAGTCTATTTTCGACAGATTAAATGATAATGAGTTTTTCTCTCTTGATCACAAAATTTGAACCCGCTGAAAGTGAAAAATGGTCGTTGCTAGCTTACATCTCGTATTCGTCTGTGGCTTTTCAAATTCGCCTAGGTATGCATGCACTACGAAATTCCGTTTAGCCAGTAGGAACGTTTTTGTGCTGGGATAGAATATCCAACAGCCGATTTTCATTGAACCGCCAAAATATAAAAAGAGTTTTGCCGAGAGAGCCAATAGTGCTAATCTTTCCGAGGGTTGGCCCGGATCAATTGGGGTCTACCAATTGCGCCCCGCTGGCTAGCCATGGACTACACCCAAGAAGCTCCAGGTATTGACCCTGCTATACAGTGTGGGGGTCATTTCACATGTATCAAAAAGTAAAGGTTCCTTGAACTGCTATTATGAAGTCTTCTCGCGCAAGGGCGGTATCTTGTTGGAATATATATGTGCATATGCGCATACATTCTTTTTTCGTTTCGATGCTACGTGGAATACACCTAGGTACCTATAACAGCACATGATCGCTGGAATTTTTAAGATGACTGATTCCCGATTTTTTATCACTCTCATTGTTAACTTCTTTCTTTTTCTTCTTTTTTTTTGAAAAAAACTAGAGGAATCTATATAAACCTCTTGTCAGGTACTAATCTGGCGTCTATACTAGAACCCACAATCTATGAATTCGAACGATTAGACGAATAAACATTAACATGGGTTTACTAGTAGCCTCAGTCATAATCGCGTCTTCGTCTTGAATGACTTCTTAGCGAACCAAGCGAGGCAGCTTGAAGATCAATTGCTGTCTTCAAAACCCTTCGAAACCGTTTTCTATGTATCAACCTCAAAAACCTTTCAACTCTTCCTTCCCCTTCGTATTTATCTCTCCAAAAATGCAACTTCACTTCGGCAGTCATGTGTTGACTTGTTCGGACACGACCTCTTGAACCCGTCTCGGTTGGCACATTGTAGACGTTAACGGGTTCAGTACTAACAGAGAAGCCATGTTTGGATCGTGGCCTATGGTTATCCTTTGTTCGATCTTTGTGGGGTTTAAACGATAGTTTGTTAAACGATAGTTTGTGGCGTAGGGTCTGTCCCAGCGGTTGCTTTGGCCTTTTCTTCTTCCCCTCCTTCTTCTCCTTCTTCTCCTTCCTCTCGTTTCTTTTCGTTTCTTTGTCTATAACCTTATCATCATTAGATTTTCCTAACCTAAAACCCTTTTTACTCTTCTTTCTTTCGAGGTCTCGCTCTGCAGTATGTGCTCTTGAAAGTAAACCAGGCTCTTCTGACTCTGCTAAAGACTGCTGGGACGGCGATCTTTGAACGGGCCCAGAAGGCCTTCGGGGATTTTCTCCGTCTTTATCGGCTTCACGACGAAAACCGAGCTGTCTTTGTGCTGGTCGGAAGGATATCTCGGAAGGGTTGTCTTGTTCAATATCTGAGTCGACTTCCCATGGACTATTGAGAGAGTCCTCTGACGGTGAGGGAAGGAGAAAGGTGGATTGCTCTAATGTTTGGGAATCATGTCTCTTTGGTCGAGAGCTTTTGCGAACGTTCATATCATTCGATTTAGAGGTTTAGGAAACTGAACTCTTATATTCGGGCTGAGTTGAACTATGCAATGCGTTAAGCGTTATTGAGTGCAAAAAAAACCGTATTATCGGGCTAGCGCCGATGTATATACACCGTTGAAGCTTCGCTGAAAGGCCGATTGATTTAGAGCAGTAATGAGCACAATGTTGGGGGGATGGTGTCTCGCTCCAACGACGGATAATATAATGAAGTAATTGTGGATAACTTCAGGTTGTAGATTGAAGTCGAATCCATGACATCAGAATACCTCGAATTGATCTACACGTCCACAAGAGCATGAGACACGACACTCGGACTAAGTAACGAGGTCAGATTAATTATTTATCAGCTCTTCATGAGCATCTAGCCAGCCGGGGTCGAGGGACTGATGCACGTGCAGATCACATCTATCAATTGATCAATAGGGCCTTATAATGCTAGTTCTGACTGTACGTACCCTTGTAAATACCAACAAATTGTAAGCTACAGAGACAATATGGTTTAGTACAAGACAGTCCCGGAGACTATTAATCCTCCTTCTTTACCTTACACTTTTATCTTTACTCGCGGCATATTTATGGACGCCACGCTTGAAATAGAAACTGGCCAAATCGAGAAACGCAACACAAAGTCAGCATCCTAATGTGGAAATCCAACATATGACTACAGCTTGAGTCGAATTAATCTCCTAAGCTTCTCCTTCAATCTAAAGCTCTCCACGACCTAAACTGTATTTATCTCTAGAAGTAGGCTTATTGACTCGAGCTATGCCAATATCTAATCCGAACCTATCTGCTTCACGTGGCATTTGGAAGATTGTCTATATCCTTTGTGCCCGCTCACGTCCCAAAAGATCAATCTTAAGATCTTGGCGGGTATCGGCCCGAGAATTTAGAGCTTCTGAATTAGCGGCACGGGAAAACCCCAGACGTTACCCAACTCCACGGGCCTATTTTCGCGAGGCAGATGAGGCCCCATGATCTATGCAAACTACGCAGCACCTCCAACGATGGATATTTACCGGGTCTACACCCTTCTCATGATGGTCTGATCCAGATATGTGGAATAAACTAACTTGTTGCCCGAGCCTTTTGTTGAACGCCCCTCGGCTTTCAATATCGGGAAGGGTGATGATGGGTGGCCAATCACGATGAAACCAAAACGACCGCAGCTCATCCATATTAGAGTCCGGGGCTCAATCCTGGAGTATGCGGGGTCCGGACTTATACGAACTCGGGGTATCGGAAGTTGTTTTACTATAAAACCCTAAAGGTCCGATGCGACGGGCCTTCATATTCTAGTACCTACCTTTCTGAGACTTTATACACCGGCCGGCGCTTTCGATTTAGCTACTTCCCATATTCATTCGTATTAATTAGAATAGTATTCTGAATCATCCCTTGGACCTGCAATTTGGATTACGCGCACCAGCAAGATTGAAGCCGTTATACTTTAGTCTGAGCAATACAATTATATATTCAATATGGGAGAAACGCCGGCGGGAGCAACTTCGAGCACGCCAGAGCCTCAATCGCCGGCCGAAAAATTAGTCACTTTGGAGCAAAGAGCCGTGGATGAGCCCCGTGCTATTAAGGTTATTGTCATTGGAGCTGGAATCAGTGGTATCCTTGCCGGAATCCGATTGCCTCAGAGAATTGAGAATCTCGACCTTGTTATCTACGAGAAGAACCCAGAAGTCGGAGGAACATGGTATGAGAACAGATATCCCGGTGTAGCTTGTGGTATGTATATGACATCTAGTTATGATATCGCTACATGATTGCGACGGTATCATAGATGGTTATATGGTAAAATGTGGCATTAATACGTTGCGCCGCTGGATAGATATCCCCTCGCATTCTTACCAGGCATCATTCGAGCCTAACCCCAGCTGGAGCCGCTTCTACGCCCCCGGCGCGGAAATTGGAGAATATTGGAAACATGTGGCAAGGAAGTACGGCGTATACAGGTACTTACAAGCTAGCAGGAAGGTTTTGGAGGCAAAGTTCGACGAAGCCAGGGGTAAATGGACGCTGAAGATCCAGAAATTGGATACACCGGAACAAGAAGTGTTTGAGGATGAGGCGGATGTTCTCTTCGGTTGTATTGGCGCACTGAATGAATGGAAATGGCCTGAGATTAAGGGACTTCACGACTTCAAGGGGAAACTTTTGCATAGCGCAAACTGGGAGGATGGGTATGAGTACGCTGGCAAAGAGGTTGCGGTTATTGGTATCGGTTCCAGCGCGATACAAATTGTTCCAACTATGCAGAAGGTGGTTAAGAAATTAGATCACTATGCTCGTGGGAAGACGTGGATTGCTATGCCCATTGCTGGGGAGTTTGCGGAAGCTAAGAATCCTGATGGAAAAGACTGTAGGTCTATGACTGCTCCCAAGTCGAGAGTGTTACGGCGGACAACATCATGATACATATGCAGGCTAACAAAGACGAATAGTTAATTTTTCAGAAGCCGATATCGAAAAGTTCAAGAATGACCCGAAACACTTTTATGAATATAGAAGAGAGCTCGAACATGAGCTCAATTCGGCGCACACCATTACTATGAGAGGGAGCGATCTCCAAAAAGGAGCCGTCGAGGTTTTCACTGAGAACATGAAGCAAAAGCTGGCGTCAAAACCAGAAGTTTTCAAGTCGCTGTTACCGCCGTTCCCACCTGCTTGTCGACGGTTGACGCCAGTGAGTACGCTTTGCTTTGCCAAGTCCGATTTCCAGTTATTGTTCTGATTTTAACGCTCTGTTTCAATGTAGGGTCCTGGTTATTTGGAAGCAATCGCCAAAGATAATGTGAACTTCATCTCTGACGAAATTTCATATGTCACACCAGATGGACTTGTTGCTGCAGATGGCACAGCACGGTCAGTTGATGCTATAATCTGTGCCACAGGTTTTGACACAACATGGACCAAACGATTTCCAATAATTGGCCGCGGCGGGAAGCCACTTTCTGAGAAATGGAAAGACCACCCGGACACCTACCTTAGTATCGCAACAGATGGGTTTCCCAACTACTTCATGAGTTTGGGACCGAACTCTGGCGTTGGAACTGGCAGTCTGACAATTGTGTTGGAGAGGGAAGTTGATTATGTTTGCAAGGCGGTTCAGAAGATCCAAAGGGAAAACATCAAAACAATTGAGGTTAAGGCCTCGAGCGTTCGCAACTTCCAAAAGTATTGTGATGCATATTTCCCTGGAACTGTATTTTCGATGAAGTGTCGCAGTTGGTACAAAGGTGGCACATATGACGGCAAGGTCTCCGCATTATGGCCAGGTAAGCGGAACCCCTTTGAAGGTTTTTTTTTTTTTTTTTTGCACAATCGGGAAATACCAAGACGGGTCGGGATGGAAAGAAAACCAAAATTCTCCTTCGCGTCTCGGAGTCCCCCTGCGTTAAGGCTGCATGGCTGATAATCGTCGTTTTTCTAGGATCCTGTCTCCACGCTGAAAGAGTACTGAGCAATCCCAGGTGGGAGGACTGGGAATACGAGCACATCAATGACAGCGAACATGGTTGGCTTGGGAATGGTTGGACAATGGCCGATATGAAGCCCGAGGCGGACAGAGCGTACTACTTGAAGCATGGAATAGTTGATCTTCCTCCTGTTGTAGTATAATTTGCATATTGCATAAGATCTCGATGTTAATGGGTTACGTTGAGTACATTTACATGCAATCAATCTGTCAACATCGATTCGATGGCATAAATACATTGTCTAACGTTTTTGTAAATGTTTCGCCCTATTTTAGCCTCATATTAATATTATAGGCCCGGCACTTGCCGTGTACATAGATACTTAACTTAAGTACTTTATACATGTACTCAGATACATACCCATCCCACTGCAGTGCGTCCATGGATATGTAGATATCGGTATCGTTGACGCGCTCTAGCTCATCAACATTTTTCATGTATTCAGATTCAAAGCCTAGCTAACCGCTCGAGGTTGAGCTCCTGAAGCTTGTTAGCCTTGATCTGACGCAACTTTCTTTTTTTAGAAGAACCGCATTGTCTGTTCCCATCGTGATTCCAAATCGCCTAACCGCAGAACAACAATCACCAGACGTACCCTGGAAGAACAATCGAACACTTCGCGGTTCTATCAGACCTTCACGTTCGATGCTTAAGCGTTGAATGGTGTAAATGGATACCATCGAAGCGCCTCCTTTCCATTCCGTAACACTGCAAGATACCCAATGCAGGGAAGACGGGGGTGGGAAAAAAAGAGGATAGAAAGGAATGTAACCATCAGCCTGCACTACAACATGCATGCGCTGTGTGCCTAGCAAGAAAAAAAAAACTGGTGCTGAAATCTGAAACGGACGGTGACGCTATTATTGGCCGCCGTGGCTCCAGCGTACCTCTAACCAGCCCTCTGTGATTCGTTCGAACTCGACAACCCTCGTTAGCCCCAAAATGCAACAACGCTAACTGCCAGCCATTACTATGTAAGTATGTACAGTCCAGTAAGCAAGCTAACTCCAGACGCAGGTACGGACGGCACTTGTACCACTTTACCTGAGTGTTCCAGCGGAGCTAGGTGGGCTAAGCTTTGGTGGACGAAGATTGGGTGAATCAGGGTCAGCCTCTGTCTTGGCTTGTAGACACCTTCCGCCTTTAAGATCCTTTTGTTAGCCCCCTTTGCTGTGCCTTTCCTTCCTCTCTCTCACGCTCGCGCAGTCTCTCCTTTTTGTTTCTGTGTTTCAAGCAAGCAAGCTTTGTGGTCGAGGTTGATTCTTTTTTCTGAATCCCTGTTCTGATTCTTTTCGCTGAGCGATTCGAATTGATTCTTAGAGGCCCAAGTCATTCCTTCCCTATATAGACGATCTTACGTCCCGGCTTAGAGCATTCTTACGTTCTTGCCTTTCCTTTCCCTTCAGCCTCCCAGCCAGCGGCCTCGGTTCTTGTCTTGTCTCTGTCAGATTCTTATTGCTCTAGCTTCTTGTAGTATCGCAAGTTCGAGACTACATTACATTCCTTCAAGCTCAAGAGTCTTCCAGTGGTATACTCTCATTATACATCTTGTTATCTTTTTGTTAGACTGCTCAGCCTCCTCTATACCAAAGCTCCATCCAGTCTTTTTCTATAGTCTATCGACATATAAAAGTCAGTGCAGTGCACAAAGGAGACTTCACGATCTTTTTTTATTTATTTTATCAATACTATCGATATCAGTACCCCAGTCAGATTTCCTACGATAAGAACGAAGAAACGAACACCGGCAAACATGATTTCCACGCACCTTTTCCTCCTGTCTCTCGTGGCTTCTATCAATGCCATTCCGGTCCCTATGCCGCAAACTCCAGACTTTCGCACCCTAGATACTTGTCCAACAAACGGAGCTATTGTTTGCAGTCCCGACGGTTCGAAGTTCTATCTCTGTAACTTTGGGAGGGCTGTCCCCATGGGCTCTGTCGCTGCTGGTACCTATTGCAGCAATGGAAAGATCGTTACCATCGGTGCATCTGCCGCTCCTACTATGATGCCTCTGCCGGCTAAGCCTACTCAATTTCCAGAGCCGACTAGCATCGAATTAGTCAAGACCTCTCCCCCAGCAGCAACTCCAACTGCAGCTCCGATGAATCCTAACCCTGAGCCCATGAAGGATGAAATCACAAGCACAATCACCACCACCGAAGAAGTCACAAGCAAATCCACCAGCACAATCTTGGTTACTGTAACTGGCGAACCTCCTCGTGCTCCTATGGAGACTCCTGTTCCAGAGCCTGTTCCCACATCTGAACCATCCAGCGGTTCAACTGGCGGAATTGTCATCACCGAAGACATCATCATTAAGACCGGGGCAAGTTCGAAGAGTTGTCCTCGTGACAACGAATTCAGGGATCTTGCAGTAGAGGAATGTGCCACCGCTAAACATGCCGCTCCGTTTATCACCGAAGCCTTCAAGAAGTACGAAATCAACACCATCGGTGAAGCCGCTGCCATCCTTTCCCTTATGATGTTCGAAACTGGTAACTTCCAATTCAATACCAACCACTTCGGAATGGGGGGTAAGCCTCGACCAGGTCAGGGAACCAGAAACCAAATGTCTCCAAACTTCATCGTCGAGTACGCACAAACATTCGGATCCACTGATAGCATCAGCCCTGGTATCACCCCCGCGAACATCAATGATCAAACCGATGAAGTCAAGAATAAGGTTTTGGCTTTAGTTCTTGGCGACGATAGGACCTGGGCTAGCGGTGCTTGGTTCTATAAGAACTATGCCCCATGCGCTGCCATCATGCCAGCTCTCCAGAAGGAGACAGTTTCGCGTCAGGCCTGGAGTGATTATATCACCAAGTGCGTCGAGACAACTGTCGCTTCCAGGGGCGCCAGCTTCGAAGCTGCGGTTGTCGCTCTAGGTGGAACCCTTACCGCCTAAACTTTAGGACCTGTGTCTGTAAATTTACTCTAGGGCACTGACAACCTAAATTTTGGTGCTTTTTATCCTCTTACAATTTCTTTTCCTTTCGCGATAGGGATTTTTAGGATCGGTTCATTTGGCTTTTTAGGATATGCATACTTGCATTTTTTACACGGTGTTTCGGAATGTCTAAAATTTTTCTTCTTCTATTTCCACTTCATGTTATATACATCCATAGGGCTCTTTGAGAAATCTACCATGGAGGGGTTTGGTCTGTGACCTCTTCTCTTCTTGTTCCCGACCATCTAATTTTTGATCGTAAGCCTTTTAGAATAACTTGAGACCTAAATCCGGCCGATGCGCTAAATTACTTAACCAGCCAATGATCTAAACAACAGATCTCTGTGTAACTCTGTTTCGAAACACGCCAGCACAGGAGACCGACCTCCTTGAGAAGCCGCGTGGCCGTTTCGAGTTCGTTGTCATATGATCATGGGCATTCTTTCCCACATTGGCCGGGACGTTAAAAGAATTCCAAAATGAGGCACAGTTATATCCAACAGCAACAACAATATTCTAGCTTGAAAACATAGAGATATTCGAAACGAAACATAATTTCTAGTTGTCTAGTATATGGTACTCCGGAGGCGAGATTTACAGGTGTCAATCCATGGGTTCATACTGATTCCGGTTTGTCCAGAGTATTTGTGTCCATGGAGCGTTATGGTCTCGCGGTGTGAGCAGCTAGCGCATGATCTCTGATCACAACCTACGTATACTGCGTAGCAGGGACTGGCATTCTGGACCGCACGATACTAACTAGAGTATCAAGGCGTAAACGTTCTCACACACATATCTAGCTTTTTCAATTCCTAAAGCCGGATTCATCAATAGATATGATCTCATCTCATCTCATTTCATTTAAATATTTCGTAAGATCGAGCGCCTCGGGTTTGCTTACATGTTATAAATATTACGAAGACTTACTTAGCCCAATTCACACTCTAAAATTCGTGATATATAGCAATGGAAAGAATATAAACCCATTCTCATTAAAAATTCCTCACAAGAGTCATTAATATACCTACCGCGTGTGGAAAGGATACAAACTTGCACGGTAAATACAAAATTATTAGAAAAGGGGAAACTGCCGTGTCAGCCTCAGCCATTCAAATGTGCCGCTAGAGCTATCCTCGATTGACATCTGATTTCTCAGAACGGATACATGTACATAGGTGGACCTCTGAGTCAGATATTAGATACATGTATAAAAAAGCCAGTTGCAATTGAAACTTCATAGCTTGCTCAGCTGCCCTTGGCATTCCCAGGTCCTACAGCAGTCCCAGGATCCTATCATTTAGCCCACGATGTCCTTCTCTACCCTACTCCTCGTTACCCTCCTCACCACGGTGATCACAACCATGGCAACTGTTTCTTCCACTACCAACTTAACATCAATCCTTATTCCACTCTACATCTATCCCACTCCAGGCGCCTGGGATCCATTATACCGAGTCATAACCGCATACCCTACCCAACCGTTCACAATAATTGTAAACCCGGACTCTGGCCCCGGACCCAAACGCTTCCCTGACGAAAGCTACAGAGAAGGAATTACGAAACTTAAAGCATTTAAAAACGTAAGAATTATCGGATACGTTCACGTATCTTATACCGCGAGAAAATTGGAGGATGTCTGTCAGGATATAGATAGATATGTTGGATGGGATGAATATAAAAGTGGTAAAATTTCGGTGGATGGCATATTTGTCGATGAGGCTCCGGAGGATGTTGGGAAAGATGATATCAGTTTAAGGTATATGCAAAAAGTCAGGAAGAGGATATCAGCTAGATTTCATAGGATTGGGAAAAGCGGCTTTACAATGATAAACCCTGGTGTGATTGCTGATAAAAGGTTTTACGAAGCTACTGCGGATGCGGTTGTCTCCTATGAAGACCGTTTGGTAAATTATTATGCCCCGGGAAAGTTACAGACGAGTAAAGATCAGAATAAGAGTCCTGAGACTCCGCCTAAGATGCAGGCTATCATTGTAACGTCGGTTGATGGATCCGATGCAAGGGAACGATATTTGCTAAAGAAGGTGGTCGAGAGGAGGATAGGATTTGTGTATTTCACAACTGATCTTGACTATCAGAAGTTTGGAACAGATTTGGTCCTTCTAGTAGATAAGGTCGCCAGGAGTAACGGACTTGTTAGAAAGAGGACAGCGTTATCACTATGAGCTTGGTTCTAGATCTAACAAGAACTATGATGCATGAAACATCATTATTTGCTTGGTATCAATTTTTAAAGTGATTCCTAAAATATAAAATAACATTGGTCTTAGTCTAATGTAATACCAGACTGCTCATCGTATACCGGATAGAGGCATCGTTCAATTTACGATGAAACAAAGGGATCCAACATGTCCTTCTCATCCAATATTTGAAAGGCGAAAGAAGAATAACAGAACCTAACGGCATGAAGAGTAAAAAAAAACCTATTTTTACAAACGAAAAGAAAGAAAGAAAGAAAGAAAGAAAGAAACTAAGTACGCCGGCATATGGTATTATGGGAAAGTTCGGATCGCTAAGACTCCACAAATATCCATATCTAGTCTTTCCCAAACTCCAGAGAAAAATCAAGAAAACGCCTTTAGATGATCTGAGTCATGGTGCATGTAATACTAGGGAATGTGCGGTCATAGTGGTAGTGGTATTAGGCGGATGTGGTGGAGTATAGTGATCTTGATGGTGATGACGACAAACCCAGGAGCACGGACGAGATCAATATATATCCGGTTCCGTGGGTGTTGGCTTTGGTGCTGGCTCTGATGGCGGTTCTGATGGTGGCTCTGATGGTGGCTCTTCCTGACCCTCATCTTCGGCGATGGGGGGACAGTAAGTGCGAAGAACGTGCTTGAGGGCGGGCCGTCGGATAGGTTTGGCGAGGAAGTAATTCATACCACACTCGAGGCCTAAAGCGGGAGGTATATTAATATAGGCTCAAGTTCGACAACGGCTAAAGCAGTGATAACTTACACTCCTTAATATTACTCTCCTCTGTCAGAGCAGACAATGCTATGATGGGGGCAGAGTATCCTAGCTCTCTGATTTTCCGCGTGCTTTCCAGACCGTCGAGGTTAGGCATCTGAACATCCATGAAAACAATATGGAATGCCTGGTTGGATTCAATTGCCTCCTTGATTCTATCCACAGCCTCAACGCCATCGTCGGCGAGGGTAATGTTTTCAATTTGCTCAAGCTTAAGCATTCTAATCACAACCTCCTGATTAATTTTATTATCTTCAGCCACCAGAACCCGTACGTTCTTTGCGTCGGTGCTCCCAAGTTTCTTGTTCACAAGGAGAACCTTGCCCCCACTTGCAGTTTGAGGTTCTTGTGATGGAGCAAAGAAAGGTTGTGAGAAGCCGACGAGGCGGGGCTGAGGGAATGCCGCTAGCCTTTCAGCATTGGTGGCTGTAGGGTCGAGTGCCCTATCCGAAGATTTACTTCCAGGAACAGGTGATAGTCCAGTACCCGAGTCTATCGTTCGCTCAAGGGAGACGCTTCCCTCTCGAGAACTGACGTTTGAAGAGGTCAGCCCGTCTTTGGGGTGTTTGAGAGGGATTTTTAGCGTAAATGCGCTGCCAACGCCTTCTTGACTGTCTAGTGTTATCGTACCGGACATCAAGGTAGCTAGTTGTTTGCATATAGAGAGACCCAATCCAGTACCGCCGTACTTCCTATTCAGGCCGAGCTCTCCCTGAACGAATGGTTCAAATATCTGCTGCTGCTGATCTATCGGTATTCCGGGGCCTGTATCTTGGATCTTAAACTCAAATATATAGCTTTTGGGGTCTAATTGGCTTTCTGATGCGACACTCGGCTGCTTTCGAGATTCTGAAAGATTGCTAGGGACCGAAGTTGGCCCGATGGCAAGTGGTTTCTCGTTTTGGATGTCGGACGACTTCTCTGATAAACTTTTCGAGGCGGTAGGAGATTTGTGTCGGTTTCGGGAGGAATCTCGAGAGTCTGTTATTGGGATAGGTATCGGCTTAAATTCATTGCCAAGTGTGATAGTAAGGTGCACCTTCCCAGATTCCCTACAAGGTTTTCAGTAATTCAGTCCTGTATACTTTCTGTTCATTAACAACCTTCGAGTTCGACTTACGGCGTAAACTTCAGCGCATTGCTGATTAGGTTGATAATGATTTGAAGTATACGGTTGGAATCGCCCATGACCACCATGTCGCTCAAGGCCGCCTCCGGGATCATCGTAACACCCAGTTTGATTTTGCTATCTCTAGCTTGCTTTTCAAAAATTGCCAAAACCTGGCTGGCTATATCAGTTATTCTAAACCTTTTGATGTCCAACGGTATAGCCTTGCCGCCGATTTGGGTTCTGCTAAACGTGAGAAGATCGGTAAGAAGATGTAACAATAGTTCACCGCTTTTGTACACGATCCCAAGGCTTTGTTTAATTCTAACAATGTCGTCCTCGGCAAGGCAAACAGCACACATACCCAGAATGCCGTTCAATGGTGTCCTCAGCTCATGGGTAATATTGGCGATGAAGCGGGATTTTGCTTCATTGGCCGTTTCTGCTATCTGTCTTTGCTCTTCGAGTTGGACAGTCCTCTGACGCACGCGTTCTTCTAAGGTCTCATACTGCACTTCTAACTCTTCCGTCATCCGATTAAACTTATGGGTTAGTTCCGTCAGCTCATCTTGGATGAGATGCGACCTTTCAGGAACCTTTGATGGAATGCGGAACGTATTGCGAGAATCATCCTGATCCTCGTAGAGGTTTACTTCGGTAACAGGACGGAGGAGGACACTTTTGCTAAAGCCAACTAAACCCTTAGCCGACTTCATAACATTTGACGTTCTTCGTTGGCCATTTCCAGGTCGCCCTGCACTTTCAGAAGCACTCGGCGCATCGCTTTGACGTTGAAGCCCTCCATTAGAATTGGCTGTCATCAAGGAAGAGTTGAAACCATCCGGACGACCCCGGGGGCTTAGGCTTCGTTTACCATTTTGTGTCGCAGCAGAAAGCCTGGTGATGGGCCGAACAAAAATATGAGATAACGGCCATACCAACAGGATAACAACCCCAAGAGTCCCAAAGATTGTTGCTAAGAGAATGTTGCGGAGTTGTATTACGGGCGCAAGGACTTCTTCGTAATCCTGAGCTATAATGACACCCCAATCTAAGTATGGAACGTCGAGTAGGACGAAGCCGACGCTAAAACGGTGATCTGAGATATCCCTCACGCTGAGATCAGCTCGTGCTGGGTTACCCTTCCCGTTGTGAAAAGTGTCGATGACAGTCGTCCACGCATTCATGGGGCCGGAAACTCCGAATATATCAGGTTTCTCATAGGCAGGGAGGGTAAAGCGAAACATGGTGTCACCGTTTACTTTATCATCGGATGTATGTTCCCCAGACCACAGATTCGTGGGGTTATCAGGCCCGACAACAAGCATGAGACCTGTTTCGTCAAGCCCAAGACGCCGGTTTGATATATCTACTAAGATCTGGATGTTGACAATAATAGTGAAGAATCCAAGCAACGGGTGAACACGGGTACTATTATTAGTCTGGTCGAATATGGGAACAGTGTAGGATGCTAGGTAAAGCGTTTCATTTACCATAACGGGCCCCTGGAAGGTGAAATTAAATTGCTGAACGGTAGCCGGCGTAATGATTTCAAACCGTTCATCTTCTCTCTCAGTCATGTTGTATGGACGAGGGTATAGAGAGTCAGGGAAACCGTCGTGTCCATTCCAGCTGAACCCGGATCCAACAGGTTGGAAACCATGGGCAAGGAAGGTACCATTCGGCTCGGTGCCGTTGATACCAAGGGCGCAAGAGCAGGTAACATTCGCAAAGGTCTCATTGAGATCTCGGTTCCAAAGCACGGCTTGTAAGAGATAAGGCTGCGTTTCGAGAGCGACGGCGATGTCGGTGATTGTATCATCCCAAAGGTTCCAAGGGCGGTTCCCTGCATAGTAGTCTTTTAGTGCACCTTGGATGAGAAGCCGTGAGGAAACCGAGGCGATTGAGTTTTGGAGAATGGCAAGGGCCTGGGAAAGCTGGTCGGCTTTGAGGGCAGCGACAAGGGCTAGACGGTCGGCACGTAGATTGACGACAAAGTGATAGTTTTTGACCCACTATTATAATATGAGAATGTTGACCATACTAAAGTAACGAGGGGAAATGAGCTTACCGATATTAAGGAGGGGATACCGACACAGCAGAGGGCGAGGATCGTGACGAGGAACTAATGTTTCGTAGGCGTTAGTATGACTGCTGTCGCTGTTGCTGTGCCGCGTGCAGGAAGTCAGGGATGAAATAAGAAGAGACCATACGTACGCTGAGCTGCTCCCTAATCTTAATTCTCATCCTCATCCTCCTGCTGTCCAAGATATCCGTCACCGAAGACGACAGCCGTTCATACCATCACCAACCAAACAAGAAAGCCCTGCGGATACAATCGAAACAGATAAAATGTTTCGGTCGGAGAACGGTCGCGGTAATCCTTCTAGGGGTACCGCCGTGCGAAAAGATAGTCGTTTGTTGATGTTGAATACGTTTAAACGAGATGATCAACAGGGCTAAAATGCGACGAGGCTATTTCGCAACCTCGACTAACTTCTAAGGTATCGATAAAAACCGATAGGGATAGTATAAGAATGCCAATAATCTCAGGTTCGAGTGCTTGGATGGGGATATCGGATTGGGCTGGGCTGGACTTGATTAGACTAGTCGTCGAAAACCTGTTGCGCGTCTGATGTCAGTGGCGGTGTTAGCTAGGATACGATGCTTAAACACGATCGTGCACGATCGTAACAACCAGCCGAAATCCCGGCTAGCCTGGGCTTCCTTACTACGTCGGTGCAATCGCGATGGAGCTGCGAACCGAGGTATTGAAGTCGAAGAAGTCTGGAGAGTGTGATGGTTCAAGTCGAACATGGCTGAGGTTGAGATCGTTAGTTAGAGTTGATGTCGAGGTTGATCGATCGGGTTGGTGGAGTGGCAGCAATAAGCTCGCTTTTTTGGCGGCGGCCAGCGGTGCAGTGTGGGGAGATCAACGGCCGGAATTGTGCGCATGTGCTCCGTCGTGTCAATTAAGCCTTTGCCCCCCAATTTACTTCTGGAATTTTATATACATGCGGCAAACTCTCTCCCCCCTTCCTCAGCGTTATCTATGTATAAGAGATGGTATCGCTAGATACCGAATCCAGATATCCACATGGCTGGATTGTTTAGTTGATGATAGTTATATAAATACATGGTGGTGGGGGTGGTGGTACCGGTGGACGGGATCGCAACATTCGAATTCATCACTCATTCATACAATCAAAACAAAGTACGCCTAGGCAAGATGAAAGAGCAGGAAAGAATCAGCCTGCTTTGTTTGAATTCACAAGCTCGATCTCACTTAGTGCTGGCTTCAAGGTAGACGGTTCAACTTCAGATCCGAGAACCGTCGACTGCGATCCTGCAATCGTGTCTTCCTCAAATATCCTTGTCACCCTCTTCTCGGCCTTTTCGACATCGTTCGCTTGCTTTGTAACCCCCATATCCCCCTCGGCGCTAGGAACTGCACTCCCTCTCCTTGACGGTATAGAGTTATTGAATAAAGAACCTTCTAATTGGCTTCTGAGCCAGTATGGTCTCGATAGCCGTTTCGATCCTCGGTTTCCCTCCAGAAGATTCGGCGATAATGCTGCCGGGTTAACGATGGCTAGATTCTGAGCACCATCTCTAGGGCTAGGTGATATACCAGCTTCGAAGTTATGGTCGTCCGATGACCCGTGGGAGATAAGCCGGGGCAGAAACTTTGCGACAAGCGCCTTCAGATCAGGCAAAGACGCTGCTGTGATTGCGAACAGTAACTCGAATGCAGTACACGACCATAGTACAGGTCCTTTCCCTGTGAAGCCGTTAGCTTGAGTTGATAGACCCGTCATAAGGATCTCGAATCAAAATGAGTTACTTACATGTCCAGTCGAAGAAACCTTCGTCGTGTAGTTTGATTGAAACTCCTAACTCCACCAAGGCTATGCAACAAACTGAAAATCCTAGTCCAAAGATAACGACCAAATTCAACCTTTGTCGCTTGGGCAGGTTGAGTTTCCATAGATAGGGGATCGGTAGCAGATAGATCGCAAAGTCGACGATAAAGTTGCCCGCAATGTTACATATGTATAACAACTGCACGTTGATGCATTTCCCAGGATTTTCATAAACCCATAGAGATGGCACGGGCCTATATAGATAATCTTGATTCTTAGACCTTCATGGACTTACTTGGACGATGTCTAGTCCGCGCTGGTGTAATCGATTTGTATCCACTTACCTACAAGTATTAACCATAAGGGTAGCGGTAACAACGAAAAGGGCGAAAAACCCTGCCACCAAGATTTGCGATGTTCGTCGAATATGTGTCACCTCTGGAGGAAACATTCGCTGGTACCGCAGGATAATCGACGCTTTCGTGAACATCACGCATGCTAGATAGAACAGGATACCCATGAGGTAGTACTTGTTCAACGCTCTCACATCGTTAGGGTAGATATCGTAGCGGTGTAAACCGAATCCTACAGTTGTGCTCGCTATTACAATGGCAGACTTTAATGCGCAAAAAAACTACCCCAGTGTTAGCAATATGCAGCGCATCCTCAGAGACCTATCTCTCTCTCTCTATATATATATCTCAAAACATTCTGGATCAACTTACGACTGCTGCAAGTATCCAATAGTCCTCCCGGAATAGTTTCTTTGACCCGATCAGCCTTGAAAAAAGTCTCAACCCGACAGCGACACATGCCAGCCCCAATGTCAATGGCTCAACCACCCGCGAAATGGTTACCCGAGATTCTGGGTTATTATAGTTCGGAGCTGGCCAGGTGTTCGTGATGTAGTCCGGAACGAAAACGAATGAATTGTGGGGATTGGGCTTTTCGACATTATAGCGCTCGTACCAGCCTACTGTATTCTCCATAGTTTAGTTCCGTCTGTGACAGTTTTCCCGATTGTTCATATTGTTGTTGTTGCTGCTTCGAGGATGCCCTTTTCAGCCCTATCGCATCTTGTCTCATATGTTTGCCCTCCGAACAGCGAAATCGAAGAAAGGGAAATGGATCCCTCTGGAAAAGTTCTCCATGTTCAGCCTTTTACAGCTCGCTTCTTCCTCGTTCTTCCTGTCCTTCTAGAAGAATTGCCTTCAGACTAATTCAAAAGAACTGCGGCTGGATCAATACTCGCTTCAGCTCGGAATAATGCTGTAACTTTTTGATGGAACAGCACATTTTGAAGAAGGAGCTCGTGGGCAATTGGACGCCACCGGCAGAAAAGAGTCGCTAGATTTGGGATCCGGCAACCTTGGCATATCTACAGCCAATGATGTTTCGAGTTTGGTCTAGCAATGCTGACTTATCGTGACTAGATCAATTGAGCGCGATCGATCGGGCGAGTCTAAGATGAAGGAAGTCAGTTTTCATAAAAGTAAGTACATAGTAGCTCTAGTTCTTGAATTTTTTGCATCATTCCCTCGAAACCAAGATTATAATTAATACCTGTCTTATGAATCCGGCGGATTTCGCAAATGCCCGAGTCCAACAGTCTCCCATGATTCCACAACCTAACTTGAGTACTTAGGCACCTAAATAAGCCAGTCAGTAAGTATTTGCGTACTTGGTACTAAGTTGGAAGTACTTACCTCTTAGCTTAGTACTTGCGTACAAGCTCTAGAAGATTACTTCATCCGAAAAGCTTAGATTGATTGACACGAAAATCCAACCTCCAGTCACACAGACTTGCACCCCTGTCTCATGACGTATGAACAGGGAAATGCCACATCCCGCAACACTCGCATCTTTCTGACGTCGACGATGCCAGGATTTCCTTGCTTCTCGTCTGAATTTTTCGAGATCCCACACGATAATTTGCGATTATCACCAGATCCCCCCATGGATTAAGGAAGCGCAAAGTGGCATGTACGGTTAAATCCCAACATATTCGCGATGTCCAATTCGTGCCCGCTTCGCAGAGCCCTGGCGCGGACCCTGAGGGTTTTTTCATATGACGATGTTCAATTCTTACCCCCCAGTTCTACGAAAACAAGGATTCTGGACCCTTGGGTGATATGTGCTGAAGGGCCTTTGCTATTTATTACAGGCCCAGGGTTTTCTTATAACTAACAGCCTTCGTTTCTTTCGCCTCGCACTAAGTTGCTTTCTATATGTGATAATAATTTGGCAAAGCTTCAGCCACAGATTCGGCCCCCCTTGCCAGTAATATACACCTTCAACTGCCGACGACAACGGCCCGAATAAATTAACTGTACATCTTAAAGGCTTGGTTTTGTCAGCCTTGGCGACTTTATTTTTGCAATGAGCTCGAAGGGCAGATACACCGGTGAATCTTCGCGGTCTACATATCCTAGTAGACGCTCCTATGACTATTCCGATTCCGAATCATCAGATGACACCTCTTCATCGTCATCCGAATCGGACTACCGCCATAATCCCCAAAGGAAAAGGAGGTCATCATCAGCTCGACGGCAATATACTTCCGATAAGTTGAAGGGACTGACTAAAGCACCTCAGAACCAACCTGTCAGACGAAGGCGAGCGGCTTCAGAATCCAGGGCCCGAAGTAAAAGACATTTTGATTCAGATAGTTCGAGCCAAGGTGACTCCAGCTCAGAAAGTGATTCTGAATCGGATGATTCATCCTTGGAAGAAAACTCATCTGGGAGGCGCTCCAAGGTTGACATGAGCGTCGCTTCCTCGAGCTATCATAAACGTCCTAAAACGAAGCTGGAAAAGAAAGTAGATGAGGTCTTGGACGCCTTCGGTCTATTACATATCAAAAACAACCCCTCCAAGCGGCAACTATCTTCACCTGACCCGGAAAAGTACGCCAAACAAAAGCAAGCCCTCCAGGCTGCTGTCACTGCCGCGGCCATCGAGGCGTGGAGAAGTCATTCGAAACCTGGAGGCTTCAATCTACAGAAGGTCATACGAGTGCTTGTCGCTGGTATTGCTGCTGGAGGTGTGGATGTTTTGGTGGAGAATAGACCAGGGCACGACAAGATGAGAGATATCGCCGAGGCTGTAGTGGGCGGCCTGGCCACGAGTAAGACCTTGGGAGGAAAAATTACACATAGAAGGGAAGGTGGGGCGCAAGGAACGATGATTGATGGCTTTATCGCCCTGGCTGCGAGCAAAATGGTCAAGCCGCCCAAAAAGGATGAGATTGAGTGGAGGAAGAAGAAATACGCTAAAAGATCAAGAAGCATGGAGCCGTCGAAGCAAAAACAGTCGAGCCCGCGCAAGCGGTAATTCGCCATCTTCGGTGTTTCCCGCGGATCCGGGCCTCGTGATATTCATATACTTTTTGTCGTATGATATCATGGTGCGCCACGTGGGAAGTTAGGAGGTTCTATATAACGTGGGTCGATAATGCTGGGAACAGTTTAGCGTTTTGGCGGGTCCCCTGTTGCAGTTACAATTGATGGCATGCATTGGTATTGGGATACGACGATATATGATATTTATGACCTGAGAGTTTTTAAAAGTAGTTAATGATGGCTTAAGTATGGTTCTGCTTTGGGAACATTATTACGTTTGAATGCATCGAGGAGATTTTGAGACATCGACGCCCCTCCGACGCATGATACCCCTCTTCTGTTTTCCCTGTATACGAATTTTACGAATCCTAAAATATTTTACGAAAGAAGTGCTTGCAGGAAGAAGTTTGTTATTAAGTGGCTGGGATTTTATGTATTATAATCTCGTAATGACTGTACTGATTGATATGCAATAGAATAGCTTGGTTATATCTCGGAGGGCTCTCAGGTTTTCTCTTAGTTCTACTTAACGCCATGGTAGTATCTCCGTATAGAATCAAGTCTCGTAAGTGCTACCTTAGTATATAATTTGCATGCAATAGGCGCCCAATGCAAGCCCTCGGAGCGTCCACAGTGCAGAGACGGCGATATTGATATCAGTTTTGCGAACTCGGTAATTATTTTCCTCAATGTAAGATCGAATAGCTCGCTCAATTGATTGATCAATAACTTGTTATTTTAGTTTAAGGAGTTCTGCGGCACGGAAGTGTGGGATAACTCGATGAAACGACCAGGCAGGTAATGATATTTAACCGGCAGTAGTGGCATGAGGATGCTGGGGCATTACATATATTAACGCAATCGTAAGATCAAAAATTGGGGGCCAAAATGCCACATGATAAGCCATCTGCGGAGAGAGCGTGAAAGATGGTATGTAATATGAGGTCCGCCAATCGGAAGCTGAGGAAGGATATACCTGGAAAGTGCTTCTGTGCCGAACATTCCCATTTTTTCAGTTCAGTCGGATATCTCCACCTGAGCTGAACAAAAAGCTGGAGTTTACATTTTAAGTTTCCTCGCTCGTATCGCGCTGCAGGTGGCCTTGTCTGCTGGTGCGCCAGCCAGGTTCTTGCGACACCCATGGCCAGGGGTAAAAGGGTGGGAAACTTTCCAACAAACAACGCAGAATGGGTGCTGGGTTCGATGCAGGCTTGCTTGGCTGTGCATTCTTTACCAGGGTTAGCATCCCGGCCAATCCAAATACATCTTTGTAAAGACTCTTGGGGGTCTATATTTCCTCGCTGTTATACTTTTTCCAAGATACCTGGGATAGGTCAGCTTTGGTTCTGGCCAATAAGCAGTCACAGCGCTAGAGAGGTCTTTGGATTCTTCGCTCAGAGCACATAATGTCTCACTGCTTCGATGCCATGGACCCGTCCCAATGGGCTTCCCCATCCCAATTCCTAGGAACGCAATCGCGAACGACCGGGATTGACCACCCGCGAAAAAAAAAAAAAGTTAGTTAAATTTGGTCGGTGCTTTTTGGTTACTCCACAGTCTCCACCTCTCCACCTCTTTGGATGAACCGCCTTGCGAGCGAGAGAGAAAAAGTCGTCGTCAGACATGACCAAGTCGGCACCTGGAGACCCCATGCACGGGTTAAGGTGTTCCTGACTGCGGATCTAAACCGTCCGTTATTAAGGCACAACGACTAGGAACCATGGGGTAATGGTTGACCTATTTAAATTAAGGTACGATGCCCGCCTCAAGCATTGCATTGACCCCCCTCAGGAACGGCCATTGATCTCTCCCTCAGCACTGCCAAGCTCATCATATCGATAATGCGGTTGTCGTGGACTCTCCTTCTCTTCGCGGGTCTGACGTGCGCGTCGCCGCTCTCTTATTCCAAATATTCCATTCACGAGTCTCGACAATATCTACCTCATGGATGGCGTCGTGATGCCAGATTATCAGGCGATCTTCAAATCCCCGTAAAGATTGGTCTCGCACAGGCAAATCTCCATCGCGGGGAGGATTTCCTAATCCAAGTCTCGCATCCAGACAGTCCGAATTATGGGAAACACTGGACCCCCGACGAAGTACGAGAGAAATTCTCGCCTTCGGAGGAAAGCTATACTATTATTGCAGCATGGCTAAAAGCGTCAAAGATACCATACAAGCTGGACGCCCGCGGATGGGTGACCTTCGACGCGCCTGTCTCGATCGTTGAGCGTTTGTTTAGAACTGAGTACTATTTCTACGAGCATACGAGTGGGCAGATGCACATCGGCTGTGATGCTTACAGCCTGCCTGAAGGGATCGGTAGCCATGTGGATATTGTTATGCCTACTCTGCACTGGGATATCCAAACTGAAGACGCCTCGTCTGAGAAGCAGCGAAGGCTTAGAAGGCTTGCCAAAAGATCGGCTTTCAAGCGAACAACTGGTGCTATCATTGATGGCATGGGCACCGGATTCCGTACTGGCGGGGCTAGAAGGCTCACACAGTCGGATTCTAGCTATTGGCATAAATTCAGTAATCCCAAGTATGCAGGCCTACAAACCTGCGATCAGTTCATCACCCCAGATTGTCTGAGAGAAATGTACAGCTTTGGTGTAAACCACAACCCCATGAAGAATAACAGCATCGCTATTGTTTCCTTTTCACCACAGACATATCTCCAACAAGACATGGATAATTTCTTTGGTAACTTTTCGCCCGCTCAAGTTGGCCAGAGTCCAACGTTGAAGTCTATTAACGGAGGATATGTCTTACCCTTCACCGGCGACTGGTGGAATGCTGTCGAAACAAACATGGACTTGCAGTATGCTATGTCCATCGTTTATCCGCAGGTATGTTCATATATTATATATACACATCTCGAACTTCAGAGGAAAGATGAGGCTAAGAATAGTCTAGAACGTTACGCTCTTCCAGGTGGGAGACGGTCTCCAGACGGGCAAAGACGAGTACAACAACTTCTTAAACGCGATCGATGGGTCTTATTGCACTTACGATGGAGGCAACGACCTAAATAAAGATGCGGTATACCCAAATCCAGCACAAGGAGGTTACAAAGGCCAAAGGATGTGCGGTACCTACGATCCAACCCTCGTTCTATCAGTTAGCTACGGAGGCAACGAGGCGGATTATACCGCTAGATATGCCACACGCCAATGTAACGAGTTCCTAAAACTTGGTCTCATGGGGGTGTCTGTTCTCTTTGCTTCTGGAGACTTTGGCGTTGCAGGATATGGGTCAACTTGCAGGGATCCTGTGACTGGGGCATATAATGACGGTAAATCAGGCAGATTTACGCCAGACTACCCGGCCACTGTAAGTACTCTCGATCCAAGATCTTTAGTATCTCGCGACTAACTCCGCCAAATAGTGTCCATACCTCACTTCTGTGGGAGGGACTTACATTCCTCGTGGAAAAACTGTGTGGGATGCTGAACTCGCATGGAATACTTACCTCCCATGGAGTGGAATTAATGCCTCGTCTGGCGGCGGATTTTCAGAAATCTTTCCGGTCCCGGCCTATCAACAAGCTGCAGTTTCTTCCTACTTAGCATCTAATACCTTCCCATACAACGCCTCGCAGTGGAATCAAACATTCAGTGGACGAGGATTCCCCGATGTTGCGGCTAATGCCTGGAATTATACTGTCGGAATCGAGAACGTTTTAGACCTTATTGGTGGCACCTCTGCCTCGACTCCGACATTTGCATCCATTGTGGCATTGGTAAATCAGGATCGAATTTATCGGAAGAAAAGCCCGGTAGGATTCTTGAATCCCGCCCTCTACGCACATCCGGAGATTTTAAACGACATCAAGGTGGGGAATAATCCGGGTTGTGGGACAAATGGGTTTAAGGCGACGACAGGATGGGATCCAGTCACTGGGCTTGGGACACCGCACTTCCAAAAAATGAGGAGTTTTTTCGGAAACCTTCCTTGAGATGGTATAGTTGTATCTTTTTTGGAGTTTGGTTTTAGCGATATTATTTCAGTTTTATTGTTCTGTTCAGCATTAATGCCATATACCAAATTTAATTTATTATAATAACAGTATGCAAAATACTTTTCAAGTATTCGTGGATTTATTCTAAGCCTTGATGAGCCTTCTAATCGTTTGAACTTGGTCTTTGAAATACTAGACACTTAAATAGTTGAGACAGGAATTGGTATAATTTTAGGAATGACGACAGTTGATTGCGCAATGGAGTGGCTGAATAATCATATAACCGTACGCACCTTTGTACGGTCTAGAATATGCGGAACTATCCTACGAAACAGTTGGTACCGTACCATAGGATGAATCGTCGAGAGTTCAAGACATTTGCTAGTGGTTGCTTCAAACTCTGAATATATTGGTTCTGCCTCTTTGTGTTGGACTGGCACAATATATCACATGCGCCGTCGCTAATTTTTTACTCGTCTTGGTTACACTCGTACAGAGAACGTTAGAACACGAATGTGAATTAGATATAATGGCTGACCTTAACAGGAACCATGAGGAGCCTCTTTTTTTCAACTTGTACGATCCCGCTGGAAAGAGTGTTTACGACTGTGCTGTGTGGGTGGTGCGGGGTTTTACGTATACATACGTTAATTGCGAGACTGGAGTCTGAGTATGGTCAAATCGAAATCCCACAAATTACAACACACTTTCGATGTTGAAGTACCATTCTTGCCCTGAACAGGCCCACGAATCGATCATTGATACTAAGAACATATAGCACCCGTGTATATTCGCCGACCGGGTATGATAAGCTCGAGAGTGTTTGTTTCCCCCGCGCCCTATCCTCCAGTTATTGCTTTCTGTTTAATTAAAGTAAAAAGATGAAAATCAACGGTATTGCTGAGCTGATATCATGTCGACGTCTATGGCTCGACTAGTGAGGTAGTTCATAACCAGAGTATAGCTCCTATGTTTAAAATCTATTCGAAAGCTAGGTCGTATGTAACCCTGCCTCTCCACAAATTTAAGCTTTTAACCTGGCCTTGGCGAATTGACGTAGGTAATATATCGATTTGCAAGACATCTCAATATGAGCATGTTTCTTAATTCGTTTCGTGTGTGTTGCACTAGTTGTTTCGTACGCAGTGCCAGTTTCTAAGCCTCCTGTGTCCCCTTTTGAATTCATGCGAACACATTGATTTTTGATTTGCGGGGCAATGAATTCCCGTCGTAATATGAATCGAGAAGCAAGCTGATCTGTATATATGCGTGTTCTCGGATTATAATATAATCTGAACCAAGCATTCCAATATGCATCTTGCTGACAAAGAGACGAAATACACACGATAACCGATCGATCTATCGATATCGGACCCCGCCACATCGAAAATGAAATAATTCGCCGGGGCAGTGACGACAAAGGTGGTGTGCTTGGCGTCAGCAGGGTACTTCCAGGGCTCCGACACAGCGAGAAACACAAATCTGGTTTCAAATACATGTAAATAGCGTTTGGTCAAACGGCACCGACTTGTTGGTCCTTCAAAAGGCGGCAACTCAGCCCCCCTGGATGAAAGACATTCCAGAGATCAAGAATGTATATAAAGATAAGGCTGGCCTCACTTTGTGTCTCCACTTAGACAAGATTCTGGAAAATCAGACAAGAACCATCAATTTGCCATTTCATTTCTTCTCTAGAAAACCTATTCCCGATTACATCATATACAATTTAGGAACTATCTCTCTATCAATTTACAATACACCAATATGGAAGACATTCGATTATTCGGTAGAATCGGCCACCTCAGCGACGAGCAGGCATCGGCGCTTGTGGACTTTAAAGTTCTTCTGTCGGACAAACAACTTTTCAGCCCTGAAGTCATTATTGATGAGAAGAGATCCATACCTGCCACCCACGAAGATGCCTACCTCCTCAAATTTCTACGGGCGGGCCGGTTTAACCTGACGGCCGCATTTCGGCAATTCGAAACAACAGAGAAATGGCGCAAAAACGGGGCTGTCGACCAGATTTACGATAGCTTCGACGTAAAGGAATTTGAAGAGACGAGAAAATACGTAAGCTACTACGATGTACACCGTAAACTTTGGCACAACTAACCCTTTTGCTAGTACCCACAATGGACCGGGAGACGGGACAAGAATGGTGTTCCGATACAAGTTTATGAAGTTGGCGCTTTGGACAGCCGTAAAATGAATTCGTTCTATCAATCCGCCAAATCAGGAGCCAAAAGCACCAAGAGCAGCCTTCCTGCGACTACTCAGCGTCTCATTGTCATTGCAGAACACTCCACGAATTTCGTCGTGCCTCTTTGCTCTTCGGTACAGAAGCGCACCAACCCAGAGGTACCGATCGAGACAACTGTCAACATTGTTGACATAACTGGCTTGGGGTTCACTCAATTCTGGGCGTTAAGAAACCACTTGAAAGATGCGAGCACACTTGCTCAAAGTTATTATCCCGAGGCCCTCGAGAAGGTCTTCGTTATTGGAGCACCGAGTGGATTTACGAAGATCTGGGATTGGGCAAAAGGATGGTTTGATGCGGCGACAACATCCAAAATATTTTTCCTCACTCCGGAAAACATCACGGCTACACTGAAGGAGCACATCGACTTGGATAATATCCCGAAGAAATATGGTGGCAACTTGGACTGGAAGTTGGGCGACGCACCGGATTTAGATGAGGAGCTACGGGGTCTTCTTGCTGATGCGGGGTCCAATGACACCCCGTTTGCCCCTGGTACCTTGCATTGGAAGGTTTCTGATGGGAAAAAAAGCGTTGTTCTTTCGGGGACACAGAATGGTGAAAGAAGATAGCGGTTTTTTTTGGGGCACTTTAAGTGTATCGATCCGTACTTTGATTTCGAGCTGATCATTAGCGGGAGTTTATGGTTTTTGGTTGTCGGCGTTCCATATTTTTTGGGATTCTACATTTACAAAGTGTCGGAGTCTGGGCTTTCTTTCGGGCTCTTCTTTTCGTTTAGAATACTGGGCATAACAAAAAACTGTCTCAAATCTTTTAATGGAAAATCTATGGCTTTCATAAATTTCATCCAACTTTGGAAATCTAAGTGATGTCGTCGACAATGGACATATGCATACTCCGAAATTATCAATCGATCATTAGTGGACAAGACAACGAGCAGGTCTGAGATGAAACGGTCAAACACTCGTGGTCTCCCACCCGTCTGCTTCCCATCTTAAAAACCGTGAGCAAGTCGCTTGATGTGTGTTGTTTATGTGGTGTTTTCGCTCATCCCGGTTCGATTGGCGATTCTAACGCTGCTTGTTATCGATTTGCGTATTTGATTGCATATATGCATATATGCATATTGCAGTAGAATATATATGGATATGCATATGGATATTGCGACATAAAACTCCCTTAATAAATGCTTTCTAAACGATACTCATACTTCCCTCTTGCGGGAAACATTTAGAATACGGATTCGATTTAGTTAATATAATTTCCTCTTATGATTAATGATTATGATCATGAACTTCGGTTCAGCTGCCACCTTTACGGCATTTTATAATCGCTGCATTGCTATCTCGAGCTTGCCCATTATTTAATGACGACGAGCTACCAAGTAAGTATTCAAATCCGATTCTAAAGAACGTATTAAGTTAATTAAGGTATACTGAAGCTATAGCTAAAGTGTAGCTAAGTACAAGGGTTTGAATCAGGCGGAATTTAATCGGTGTCTGCATGGACTAAGGGGTATTCCTGGCTACATGAAAGGAAACCGCAGTTATTCGAGGTTGCCATTATGATAGCATTAAGCTCCCCGTTATACAGCATGGTCCTGCGGCTGTGGGCGTCGAGGCCATTGCCGGCGGTAGCGACACACCCGACGTTGCTATAACATAAGGGGTCTACACCGACCACACAGTTCATTTTGCAGCCGCAGATAAGATAGGTCTGCTCCTCGTCGTAAACTGGTCTGACACCACACCTGACTGGGGTCTTGATTATCTTTGTCGACCGCTGCGCCTGATACATACCGTCGATGAGACCATATGCTTCTGTTGTACCGAATCTCATGAAACCAATCTCGTGGGAGGCTAGGGGGTCATCGAGCTCTGCCACCATTTCGGTTTTGCCGATTTTCAATGTTCCTAGGACGTCTGATGGTCCGTCCAAAACTACGTTGAAGGTTTCGGCGTCGTTTTCAGCGACCAAGCCCAGACCCGAGTAGTTGTCTGTAACGCTATCGACGGGGGCGGCACGCTTGCCCCAGAACCGGTGGCCCTGGACGTTGCCGTTGCCTTTGACTTTGAGCGAGTTCCAGATAACGGTCTGGGTTGGCAGGGCATTGTTGGTGATCCTTTGCGTTTCGGTGTGGGTATAAGTTATGGTCGCAAGTACTTGGCCTCCACCTACGATCTTCGTGTACGTGGATGTGACTGGGGTAGGATGAACCGTAGTCATTATGTAGGTAACAGTGGCGGCTGTAGTAGGAACAACAAAGCCTGTGAGGCCGTGACATGCGTCGGTAAAGCGTGAAGAGAAGCCCCAGACATCGGTTGTATCAACACAGTATGAGATATATTGTGCAGGAACCTTAGCTGCAGATGCTGTATACGCAGTGGTAAGATCCAAGGTAGGTGCGACAGTGGATGAAACGGTCACAGTGGTTGTTACTATGGGTGATCTCGGTCCATTTGGCCATGTTTGGACAGTCGTTGTAGATACATAAACAGTCGGAGTTGAAGCTACAGCTTCAGTTTCGATTGTCACAGTACTTGATAAAATGGAAGTTAGAAACCGGCCGTCTATACGAGATTAATTATTATCTTTCTGTCTTGTTTACTTACGAAGTAAATTGAATTCTCGCCTTTGAGAAGTATTCGGAACAGATATCAAGGCCGGCAGAAATATCGGCACTAACAGCTGTAATTAAAAAAGATTATAAATTTAGCAAAGGAGTCTAAGGGTCCGTCAATGAGGTTATATATACCATCGAGACAGCTTGTATCGCGCTTTCCAAGGGGGAGTGACAAAGCACTGGCAGTTGCAGCTAATGCGAAAAGTAAAAGTGGCTTGGAGTGCATGGTGATCGGTGTTTCAAGGTTTTCAACAATGCTTTCTGAGTGTGAGGATATCAGAGTCTTTGAAGCTTTGTATGAGGATGAGAGGATTAATACAAATCATAGGGGGGGTTCGAGGCCGATTAAATAGACAATCAGGCGAGAGGAGAGCTGCTGTCAATGGCAACTACTCTCCAACTCTAGCTTTCACGACCATAGCGCTGGCTGTATAATTAAAGCCGGTTTGCCATGGGCTCTTGGTACCATGATGAACAGTAGTAGTGATGAACTCACCATCCCGAACCCATCTGAATGCCGAAAGTATGTTTTTTCTTATTTTGTCACGGCTCCGGTAATTACGCGTACGCATATCGTCTGTATAGTCTTTGGATATAAAGTTTCATGCATGAATCTGTAGCAGATGCAGTAGTGTAATATGTACCATGCAGTGTTCAGCAAACACACCACAGGCACAAGAAATAGAGCCTTAAAAACTCTAAAGAGCTATCCAGAAGTTCATAAAGAATACTAAGAGATCTTGAGAGGCTCGCCGGCTCTGAAACTGATAGACCACGGTCGACCACCAGACCCTCAGATCAATACCCCCATCTATGATTGTTTCGTGCACCAAAAATCACTGATTAATTACTAGAATCATGATTATATCTGAGGCAGATGCCGTAGCTGGGAATACAACGGCCTAGCCAGGGCATCTTAATACATTAAAGTTTAGAGCAGCGAGGATCGATGGGTACTGTGCGTATCTGGCAGTGATAGTTGAGGCCGGCAGTACTAGTGCTAGGGGCAAAAACAATCACCGGATTACCAGATACAGCGTAGTAAAAACGTCTATATTCGGGCTAGGGAGCACTAACTAGATTAGCAGGGTGATTATGGGGTATTTTTGCAGCTAAAACCTAGAGTATAATATATATCAGTAGCGGCTAGAGTGAAACCACTAAATAAGTGTACGGTACACACATGCCGCAGGCCAAAATTGTGGCTTACATGCGCATTCAACGGTCCATCAGATGCAGAGGCTGCTCCATACGCCGTGTTAGTCTGTCTGAGCGCCTATCCCGTCCCTGATTTTCAAGAGCCCCACTGCGGCTTAGGAAAAGAACATCTACCATATGCCATGTGACTAAAATTCAGACTTCAATTTCAAGTAGAGATGATCATGAAAGGACAGCTAGTGTTTTTTTTACCTTTCCATTCCCTTCCATTCCCTTCTTTCCTTTATTCTTTTTTTTTGGTATACCCACTTTAGGGGTGTAATCATGAACATTACTCGCTCATGCAACGATCTATGGATACCATTCCCCTTCATTTTTGGCCCATCTGCGGACTAAATCTGTGTTTTGGGCAGTTATGGGCTCTTCGCCGGCCAATAGCTGGCTACGTTGTACATTGTGCGTGTGGAGGGCGAAATGCGAAGCCTATCAGGCCGTGAATGCTGCCCACACCTTACAGTATCAAGAATCTATGGCCTCCACCTTCCCCGATTATTGTGGACCTTATTTGTTTTTACTCGGACGGTTAGAGTTGCTAATACTGGAATAGACGGCGCTCGCATCGACGGCGTTGATATTGTTGTTACTAGCTATAGACCTCCTTGGCACATTTCGTGCATTAACGAGCTTACTAGTTGCGCGGAAGTCAAGATTAATGCCTCATCTTTATTTTCGTTCTCTCATGCTAGAATCCCTCCGTTTCATCCTACAGAATATATCAGATTCAACCGAACCCCGCCGCGTTAATACAGGGTTGATTATATGCAATTGCCGTTAGCCGACGACCGTATGTAGCAAAGTACCTGCTTTGACTACTCTATTCGTAGAACAAACCTTGAGTTTATAAATTATGATATTTGATAACTTGATATCCTTCGGCCTCTAGTTTCACGTTTGAGCCCGGGAGCTAAATCTCCAAATTTTGAAAAGGAATTTTGGGAAACATCACATTTTTACCCCGCAATACGTGTTACGCCTCGTCTGGTACCCAGACCTAGAGTTCGAAGGTTATGCCTAAGGGAGCTCGAAAGTATAATACTCCGTTACGGTACGGCCCGACCTCCAATGTGAACATCAGGATTCAGAGCCCGGCCCGATGTGGACCCTTCAACGCCACGGGAGGCACTAGACCTATTCTCTTATTCGAGGCGTTCGTCGCGCAATCTGATTGATCGCTACAAATACAGCGTGCAGAAGCATGCATACGCTCGTAAACCTTATTGTGAGTCGGACTTTTCGATTGGCCAGAAGGCCAACAAAGCTGTGAGAGGGAACGGGTCTTCGTTACGACGGAAGGCGGGTTGTTTGCGACATGCGCGTAGGCCATCTATAAATGGCCTAACCCCATTGTATCGCTATAGAGGCTGCTATTGATATCGCTATACGCACATAAAGAGTCTAAAGTTAACGACTCGCCTACGTATAGGGCCACGATAGTGGAGTCCTAGAGCTAGTTAGACTTGTCATTCAGGATATCCATTGGTTGTATCTGGTCAACAACTTCTTGGCACGAATCTTACATGCTGCAATTGATTCATCTATAATATAATGTGCACATGATTACGTATATTACGCTTTTCAAGTATAGTCGGTCAGCGAAGGCCCTGATTTTGCGGCGGTTCGTTACCTCGCCCCACTGTTGTGCATTTACTCCATAGATTAAGATTTAATACTACACCATAAAAAATAGCACCCTTGACCTTGTTCCATTGACTTCCGGTCTTCTAATTCTTTCCAGATCGGAATCAGTAACTTTGTCTTAGGTCTTTCGAACAAGTATCGTTTTTCTGTGTTTCTGTGTGTATTTTGGGCACGAAAAGCGGGCTGAGCAACATAGGTCTCAAACTTCCCATGTATTTTTTATAGGTTGAAAAATACATCATCTTTAGTAGAGTAAATCCTAAATCGAACAACCTAAGACTTACGGTGTATGTTGACTTAGAGCGTACGGGATGATATGCAAAAGGACAAACGGACCAGTCATGCATCCCAAGAGACACGCAGAACTGTCTTGGTTGTGTAATGATTTCTATATCTACTAAAAATCGAATGTTCTTTGAGGAGCTCCAAAAGCAAGAAAAGGACCTTGAGATCCAGTTCTGCGGGTAGGTCAATTGGTCTGTGGGTAAGTTAATTGATGATAAGATGGTGTACTCTCGTCTTTACTTGTCTCCCGAGAAAAGAAACGATTTTAAACTCAATATTTGCTTCTCTGCGACCGCGTGGGACGATATTGTTTGCTGAAAAAAACTGACCTATATATCACTATTTGGTACTCCAAGCAAGCATAATTGGGCCAGCGGTAAGTCGATTTATTATGAATGGGCGGGGTATAGATATATCGATATCTACTGTTAGATGTTGACGTGTATTCGTGTCGCTGGATGGAGGGAGATAAGCTTGCGGGTAATATACATATATTGTATTTCGGGGGACTTCGAGCAGGCCCTTCGGCTTTTGTCGGTTAGCTGAGCCGCAACTCTGAAACCCTGATAAGCTAGATAGAGGGGTTTGAGGCTAGCTAGATCTATAGAGGGATAAATGATGCCGAAATATATACGTACTGCATGTTGAATGTGAATGTGGAAACCTGTTTCTCTTGCAGATACCAGGCCATACATCTCCGAAGCTTCTAGAACCTGGGTATATATTGGAACACACCAAAGTCTAGTGAATGCATGTCGATATTCAATTGCGACTCTACTCCGGAGCTCCTCTAGCTCTGTAGCGAAATATTTTACATGTTGTAACTAGAACTTGCTTTGTTTTGACCGGCTCGCGGCTTTTATTTGACGAAATACGTTTTCAACCTCACAGTTTTGGTTGAAACGTTGAGCCGGCGTCGGCATCCTTCGCTCTCTGTTCTCAGTTTTAAGTGTGTCAAAGCTACGCAAAGGAACCTACCGGAAACAAATGTTATCCCGGGCGGCCGAGGTTGGAGGCCTGGTTCCATCGGAACATGAGATATAGGCGGGTTCGGACGTTCCGTGAGACTTGGGTTCTAAGGTTTAATAAGTTTTGGCGGACTCGTTCCCAGACGACCCCCAGACTATCCCAGACGTCACAAAGGGCAATCTCGAATGCGTAACGTTTGTCCTATATATGTCAATAGACCGAGGTTTTCTATTTGTGATTGTAATTGGTCAATGAGTTCGACCATCAAGCAAGGATGCATGCGCATGACGTGACATTCGTACGTCAGATAGGAAGGATAAATCAACAGTATGTTTGCATGAAGGCTGCCTGCAGTTAAAATGTGATAAGACCAGGATTGCACAGTTGTTTGGGTGAGGATTTGGCTTAATTATATATGCCACTAAAATACAGGTGATGGTATAGAACTAGCTAGATGACAACCTGCCGACTTTTCCCGAAATCAAGATTGACATTATTGTTACATTTATTTGGCGGTGTCAACGACATATCGGCCGGCGATTTTACCCTCGTGCATCAGCTTGTAGATGTCATTTAGCTGGCTGAGCCCAACGACCTTGAATGGGGCCTTGATAAGACCTCTGCTATAGAATTCAATAGCTTCAGCGGTGTCTTGTCGGTTTCCGACGTAGCTCCCCTTGATGTTGATCATGCGTGTGACGGTATCGAAAACGCTAGCCTTTAGGAATGCGTTTGCGGGAAGACCAATGCAGACGACGGTACCACGGGCGCGGACGTATTGTGTAGCTTGCTGGAATGGTCTCTCGGTGACGGCGAGGAGGAGAACGGCGTGTGGTCCGAGGCCGTCTGGTGTGGCAGCCTTGACTTCCTCGACTAAGTCCTTGCTAGTCATGAAGTCAACGTATGCAACGGCACCGGCGTCGTTGCAGAGTTGCTTCTTCTCAGCACCACCGTCGATAGCAATTGCATGCAATCCCATGGCCCTAGCGTATTGAAGAGCGAGGGATCCAAGACCACCACCAGCGCCAACAATGGCGATGTACTGACCGGGCTTGATGCCAGATTCCTTGAGGCCCTTGTAGACGGTGATACCTGCACAGAGAACTGGGGCAACAGCCTGGAGGTCTGTGCCTTGTGGGATACGAGCGACATGGGCGGCCTTGCCAATGGCGTATTCTTGGAAGGTACCGTCAACAGTATAGCTATAGCTGGTTAGCGGGCTGCAAAACCGGGGGTTCGAGGGGGGAAAGAGGAACCTACCCAGAGAGATCTGGAGTTCCGCAGAGAGGCTCGTCGGCCTGGCGGCAGTAGCTGCAAGACATGCAGCTACCATTCAACCACTTAATACCTGCCAAATCTCCAACCTTAAGATCCTTAACAAGGTCACCAACGGCAACGATGACACCAGCACCCTCGTGACCACCGACCAGCGGCATCTTGGTGGCCAATGGCCAGTCACCCATCATGGCGTGGAGATCGGTGTGGCAGACACCGGAGTACTTGATGTTGATGAGGACCTCATCTGGACCTGGCTTTGGGACTGGGATTTTCTTGTAGACACATGCTATCAAAGAATAAAATTTCAGCGAAATTGTGAATATTGAATATTAAGAGAGGATGAGAATCCAAACTTACGTCCTCCGGTCTTCTCGACAACTTGTGCCCATTGTTCAGTTGGGATGCTAGCCATTTTTCGTATTGAGGTAGGATCGAGATAACGTCCAGGTTGGTAAAAGCAAGTATGTTTGAGGTTTGAGGTTTGAGGTTTGAAGATTGAGTGATTGAATGATTGAACTGATGATTTGGAACTCAATTTGGGAGGAGAGAAGGCAGCTATATATGCTTCGTCGGGTACAAGGATCGAGAAGGACCGAGGGAAGAACGAGAAACCGCTCCTGGGCTCGGTCTCGAAGCCCCTACCCCACAAAATATTCTTGATGTCATCGGAACGTCTAGTGAACTATAGCTACTTAGTTCGGCGAAACCCCAGAAATAGAGTTTCAGAATTATGAGGGGCTCGCGAGACAAGCTTTGAGCGAGATGTACCCCGCAAAAACAGCACGGACGCGGGACCTAATCTTATCTCGAAATCATTGGGGTTGCGCGTCAGTGGACGAAGGGAACATGCAATGGGAGAAAGGAAGCTAGTGGCCTACACGTCTCCGTTTATCTTTAGTCGTTTTCAGAATCCCTTCGTGCGAGTGAATCTGCGTGTTCTTCCGCCCCATCTGGCTAGTGGAACGACGGACAGAAGCAGGCCGGCCGAGACGAGTTAGCCGCTGGAACGAAACCGACGGAGAGGACATTAGGCCATTGGTTGAGAAGTTCCGAGCCATGGTCGTCGAGAACGCGACGAGAAGCAGAAGCGGGAAGTTTTTGCGGGGTACCCTTGTCTTGTCTCTTCGGCACAAGTCGGTAACGAGTACACCCCACAGGATCTTACGAGCCAAGTCTCTTGGTGATCTTGGGCCGGGGACGAAGCCTGTAAATTATTGTTGGGAGGAACTTTGGGACCCGGGTTTCGATTCGTCTTTGCACATGGTACATATGACCTAAAGAGACTTCCAAGTAGCGTCTTGCAAGTCTGACCGTTAACGGATGCTAGTCGGAGAAAAAAAAAGTTATCGTTGCATCGCATCGGAAACCGAAATTAATCCCTGCTTTCAGGCCTCTGGGCATTATCTTTCTTTCGTATCCCTTTTCGGCTGGGCTTCCCCACAACACATATCTGCTGACAGGTTTGCAGCGTCCGAAAAGAGGTTGTTGGAATTTGATATCGATGATCATTATATACTTAACGTATACCATAATAAGACCATGGCGCCAGCTGTACCAGCCCCAGCGAAATATCACTTCTATTGTATGATGAACACGTTATCAGCAGTAGTATCCAGCTTAATATGCGTGCTGCTCTTGAAGAATCTGATTGACTTGTAATTATAACATCATATTATATATTATATCAGCGAGATGAGATTTCACTGTTGTATCCAGATCATGGAGAATCTTGGCTCCAATTAACAGGTACGATATCGGCTCTGCCCGATTGAATCGAAGTCCTTGTCGTTCTGATTTCAGTCTCGAGGATCCGTTACTCCATTAGAACTAGTTTCCCCTTTACAGGAAAGCGCAGCAGCCGCGTTTAACCTTCTTCCTAAAGGCCCCTACCGCCTGCTGAAAATTGACTCCCAAAGGGATACTCGACGCGTCACTTGGCGAGGTATAACTTTCGAAATACCATGCTCTTTCCCATTGACTTTCCCTGTCGCATCGAATGTAAGACATTGGAGAAGCACACCCGGGGCATCAAAGTCGAATACGTAAGTACTACTATGCCTGGCTTTCAGAGTACTGTGACTTAAGTAAACTAGTAAAATTATGATTTTGAAGCCCGTCCAACACTAACCAAGCATTGGGTTGCTGATTCAGCTGCATAGCGTTAGCATCTTAAGCCAAGGGATTAGCTGAGTAACCGGTCCTACGGCTCTGAAAAACCGTGGCACTCTGATTTGAATTTACTAATCTTGAACCTCAATTTCACCCTAATATGTGGAGCCAAAAGACCATCTCTAGCAGTAAACCGGCACAGAGGCTTACATCCTTTTTAAGGCCAATAAATAGATGTGAATTCTAACTTGCCATAGTTTCGAGAATACTGCTGCCGCACCGATTAGAGGGATTGTATACCCTCAGTATATATGTATCGGTGTCGCGTAAATTCCGACGTTTCCTTATTTGTATGCTTAATTGCTATACGAGGGTATGGATTTGAGTTATAAACGAGTAGACGGCGCTTTGTTAAAGTAGAATATATCTCGTGATTCAGATCGATTTTTAAAATCTCATAATTAAATCGGAATTAGCGCGAAAAGGTGTGCACGTGTTGCAGGTTGCAGGCAGGCTAGCGTGATGAAATTTCAGCTTGTTCTAAGCCCATACGCCCACTTGAAGGTGTTAACTTCACTTGCAGCATGCTAAAAGTTAAGGTACGATTGGTACGCCGCCGCCTATCCCACCGCACGATTCGATAAGTAGCATGTTGACCACCTATATCGCTTCTAATAGTCACTTTTAAATTTATCGAGTCCAACTCGGGGCTGTAATCTTAAGTATGATTCATCAGCCGAACCTTCTATATTTATCAGCCTAGAACGCGAATGGTTAGACATTGACTCCATCAGCGGTAGCCAGCTGCTGGCCAGAACAGCCCCATAATGAGTATTGTAGCTGTCGACTTTACGAGATCAAGTAGTCATACAATCGACGTCACGCATCAGCCCCCACTATTTGATATCTTCCCATCGGCCGGTGCCTTCATCCGAGATTTCATGTGCATGATATGATAAACCTACTTTTGGCTTAAACATATTAATATAGTTTATAGAATCCAAAAGGGTTTTTTGGTCACGTTTCGACCACAACTTCAACATTAAATTGACTTACGCTTAGTTTTTTGTTCCTGTTTATCTATTTGTATCGTTATCCTCGATATCTGATATATATATACCACACAGTTGAGGAGTCTGGCGACGAGACAAATATACCATAGACCATGATATCGCAAACCAGCATTCGATTTTTAATACTTACTGATGTGGAGACACCACTGCAAAAGAAAACATGCCTTGAAGAATACGCAATCGATACTATGAGACATGTATCGGCTTACGCTGGTCCGGACTTGAGAAGAATATCTGCCAATTCACCAACCGAACTCACCGTAGAAATCCTAGTTAAGTTCCTCATCTATGATCCCGCAGATCATTTAAGGATTTGTCTTCCGTATCGATTGAAGCTCCATTCAGAGTTCGGGTTCATGCAAAAATAATAGATATGCGACAACGGGCCCCGTCCCTTGCAACTGCTCATATGTATTGGGGTCACCGGAAGTCTGATATATATTTAGAGGATATGTCAGCTGCTAGTCTGGGAAGGATTGATCGTGGTAGTTGTACCATGTTAACAATTAGGGAGTATATAGTATGATATAGATATGCTTGTTAATTTGAATGTTCTGGATGGAGCGTCGCAATTTGTCCTTTTCATCGAGCTCGCAGGAATATGAGGATTCTTTTGCTTGCCCGGGTCTAGAACTGAACCGAAGATTATGATGACTGACTTCCGTTTCTGAGATCCTCACTCTCGAATAAAAAAATTTATTCCCCTTGTTCCGTTCTTCAATTGTCGGCGCCGACGGATGATATAGCGGGCCGATTGTGTGACCGGACAGCTCCTAAACAACCCGCCCGTGGCGTGGTCCTGGGCGTTGAGAAACGACGGAGCTCTGGCAAAGCTATAAAGTTCTGCCACCCATTGACCCTTTCATTTTATTAATGAGTAATTAGTATGCAGGCATGCAAGGGGCCTTAAGAATATGAGGGCCATATATCCATAGGAAACCGAAATTTGCTGAGCGAGTTATTGTCGCATGGCTATCGAGCAGCAGGATCCAAAAAATTTTGCAGCGCCGATAACGTTAAAGTGAGGAGAGTCGGGCCATTTGGAGTTGGCCCCTTTCACATGCAACCGAAATTCCATGCGAATCAAGCCACAGTTTGAATAGCTGCCTTCGGTTTGCATTGTGCATCGGTCAGGTTAACGTTATACAGTAAGACGACGGGTAAACGAGCGGCTTCTTCGAAAGTATCGATATGTCGCCCATGCGAAGTTTCTCAAGCCCGACGATTTCGAAGAATTATTATTGTGATACTACCTGGCAAGGGCGAGTGAATAATAGAGTTACCGCTTACTTGGGTAGGTGTCAGTTATTTCTGGAAAGTGCCATAGTCAAAATGACAAATGGCTATCGAATGCTGATATTGGTGAACGTTGGACAACGTTAGGAACAGGCGGAGGATAATGTTATGGCTTTTAAATGACCTCGCCCTGCTTCTAGGCTGCTATTGTTGGCAACGGCAGGGCCCTGCATATTCCGGCAACTCAACCGACGGATAAAGCAGCTTTGGATGAGATCCTGGGGTAATATCCTTTTTTTGGTAGCTTGTCGCAGCTGCTGAACTACCTGAGAATTAATAGCCTGTCGCGGCTGCTAGAATTCTGAAACCCAATCAGGCGAAATAGCAAAGCTTAAATTTACAACAGGCAACGCACGGCTAACACCCACCGTTATGAGTTCGATATGCAAGGTTCCTGAAAGCATGATACATCATGTCGGATTCTTTATATACTATACTGTAGATAGCCAGGATATTGAATGACCCTAACGTTATGTTTAACGATTTTTGCAATGTTTTGGTATCCGGAATACCAAAGTTTACCTTGCAATTCAAGACTGGATCTCGCCGGCGCTGTGGCTTGAAGACTTGAGGTACAAACATGCAAGTACATGGCTGACTTAACCTAACAACATTTCTGTCGACTTCACCGATCTCGAAGATGGCGGAATATGGATATAAAAGGGGCCTGAGGGCGCCTCGAAGAATCATATTTTCTTCTCCATCATCAAGCAACGTCAGATTCTAGAGCCTGAACCATCTACTTCTTTCGCAAACTCGATATTGACCACTCTCTTTCCCTACCCCACCTTACACAATCTTCCCAATCGTCTGATAATAATTACCGATCGTGCCAATATCAGACAAAATGCACTTCAGCAAGCTCTTTTTTGTTCTCTCGACCACTTTGGTCACCATTTCGAAGGCAACGCCCACCCCGCAACCAACTGATGCGGTCGATATTCCCGCTGTTGGGCCTGTTGTAGACATCGACTCAGTCGGGGAAGTCGGCGGCATTACCTACATTGATGACGATGAGGGCGATTTGGAGCTTTTTGACGCCGTTGAACTTCCAGGCAAGGAGTTCGTCAAGCGTGACCCTCAATGCTCTGCCTCTTGTAGGACTGACGGCCTCCTGTTCCATACCCCGATCAACACCTTCATCAAGAACTACCGCAACAAGAAGTTTATGAGCCCACCCCTTGACTGGGGCTCAGATGGTTGCTCCGTTCCAAAGGCCGTCGCCAAAGCCCTCAAGATCAACAAGGACAAGCCACGCGGTTATAACTTCCTTCCATCTTGCCAACGCCACGACTTCGGATACAGGAACTACAAGAAGCAGAAGAGATTCAATGGTACCAGCCGCTCTAAGATCGATAGCAACTTCAAGAAGGATATGTACAACGTTTGCAAGCAATATAGCGGCTGGAAGAGTTGGAAGGGAGTTGAATGCCGCAGAATTGCTGATGTTTACTTCAAGATGGTTCGCCTTTGCGGTACCGGAGGCTGCAGCGTTGCTAAGGTTAAATCCATCCTCAAGTCTGTTTTCTAAAACCTGATAGGTGGACAGAAAGACAGGGTGGGGATACCGCAGAAACTCTCATCTTCAAACGGTGGACCGATCTTTGAGATCATCTTTTCAATACTTCATTTCTAAGATTGTACTTATTCTTTTTGATATTAATCAACCGATTCCCATAGTTTAATATTATGTACATTTATTCTTCTACAAAAAACCCAATTAATAAAATCGTCACTCAAGATCATTTTCTTCAAAATACGCTAAGTTAGATGAAGTTGAAATATTATCCTACTAGTTTAAACAAAGACGAGATTGCGAGCACCTAGACATATCAGCCAGGTTAATTCAACTATGCAAGGTAGCGGGTATCTCCGGGTTCACTCAACAACCTTAACTTTTACACTGTTCGGCTGAGGATAAGATAAATGCTACAGCTAGAAGGTCCTGTTCTCGCAGGTGACGCATTCATATAGGTTCCATCATGATGGGGTGTGTCTGTTTTTGTGGTTAGGATACCATTTAATCTGGGCTTAAAACGAATCTCTATTGATCTTGTACATGTCAAGCTTTGAATGCCGGTGAACCATTGGTTTATGGCTCAAGTTTTTTTATTTTTGATCGAAAATTTAGCTTCGAGACTAACTTGTCTTATTATCAACAATAAACTGCATAAGTATACTGCGCTCGATCCCACAGCCTATGAATTTGCGAGGTTCTTTTGTCAAAATGTAGACTAGGTGACTTACATAATTACGTGTGTGATGAGACGGAGGAGTTTGCATGCAGGACATGTGGTCCGAATAAGGCCTCTTACGCAATTATACGAATCAAAAAACCGCAAAATTCCCAGGCGAGAACGGGAAAATCATTCTTAAACCTTCCAATGAAACGTAAAATTTTTGCCTGTTATATAAAAAGCGAAACTTTGAAATTCAATTTCGTTTGATTGTGTTGATCATGGTGCAGTTGAGTGATTCGCCTTGCTTGGTGGGGCCGATTTAGATCACGGTGGCTGGTGGGTTAGGTTGCCCTATTCTGTAAGATTGTTCTAAACCTCTCAAAGATTATACAGAGCTGTTATATAAACGTTATATAGCTAGAATCTAGACCCTGCGGGATGATAAGCCTTCAGAAAAAAGAAATTTTGTAGAGGCATTTAGAGATGCCTCTAAAAAAGAAAGCTTTTCCCAGAGTTATATGGAGATTTTTATCAAACATTAAGGTTTCTTCAAGAGTGCGAAGCGAATTCGGTAAAGGCTTAAGTGGAGACCTTTTAAGCTTGATAGAAAATTAGCGGCATCAATGTTAATGTGCTACAAGTGAGCTAGTGCTAAAGCGGATACCTTGTAAACCTATCTACAGTTCCATGTATGCTCTCTGCGGGGCGTAGATTCGATCAGGAATATAATTATGATATACCTATAGCTTCAGAGAAGCTGTTAGGGTTCACCATTACCCCGGATTAGATTGCGAGGGCAATTTTTATATGTGGAGCGGATGTGTGAATGTGCATGTGAATATCTATTGAAAACTATGGCTCGCGTCCATATATACGTCGCCATGATTTAACATTTAAGGTTTAGAGTTTGAAGATTCCGCATCACCGCGGCTTCGGCTCGTGCAATATACTGGAATAGTATTATTACTCCACAGGGCCAGAAACTCTATTTCTTCTACCCTTCAATCATATTTTCTGAAGCTAGGCTCATCTAACTACATTCGAGCGCTCATTTCATGGCCTTTTGTTGCAGGCCTTTGTACGAGACAAGATGGCCTTGGATAATCTTATTTTCTTACACATATCTATACACAGACGCTCACAATAATTACCATACTGGTCAGATGTTTTAATATCTTCACGCATCAAAACCAGTATACACATGTAGTCAGGGTCGCATGAACGAGAGTGTCTGGTACGAGGTATTTATGTAAATAGGCCTTGCCAACCAACCTAGCCTCGAGACAAGACATCAACGACCAAATATCCTGCAACATACATGCATATACGACTTGATTGTATGTGAGTTCTTAGAAATTGACTAAGCTAGTTTCAGTCTGTTGGCTAACGCTACAAGGCGAGATCCACGTGCACGTGTACGTACGTTAGGGTTCATGCGTCACCAAAGTAGTTTGTGTTTTCTAGTGTCGGGAAATCTGATCTTGTGGAAATTGTGTTGTAGGTGCTGTAAAATTGTTATACACGTCTCGCAATGTCAACATGCATGGCATGCAATGATTAATGATATGGTCGATCACAGGATCTCGCCGATTAGAAGCCCGCAACATTCTGAAATTGGTAAGGCGCGCAAACGATATTCAGGCTGGAGCGACTGAAGAAAACAACTGGGTTGCCCATTCAGTATCTCTCCTACGGCTTGTAATAGGAGAGAGTGGGGAGACGTATCCTCTTCAAGTCGATAGCGTGTAGGGAACCATCATTTCCGTCGTTTTTGCCTGATTTGCTAACTCTCGAAGTACCGCAACCGACTTGCACCGAGAATTCTGTCCTCGAGTGAGATGGCGGCCGCCGAGGAGCCGCTCCCCCTCACCCAGAAAGAGACAAAGGCGAGCATTGGGAATCGCCACTCCTTCGCGACCATTACTTGTAGATGCATCGATGAAGTGTTGACGGCCAAGGCTGATATCGCTATCACACTTCTGAACTGTGATGAAACCGAGCCTTTTCGACATAGTCTGAACATAAAATTCGGACTCTCCGAGCTGCCTCTTCCCTTGAAGAACATGAACCAGTTGCCAATTCTGACTTTTGAAGTTAAATCTGTCGATGGCAGCTCGCTAGAAACAGAAAATCAAGCTACAATGTGCAAATTCTATTTTGCAATCATGGCGTTGCCTTGGAATGCCATCTCGTTTTCGTTATTCTAACACGAGCCGAGCGTGTGGGGTAGCGTACCCTACTAGTAGGACCAGGAGCCAGGAGGCGGGTGGACGGGTAAACCCACAGATCACGATGGACGCCCGGGCTCGGGCGACTGCGAAAACTGCTGAAGAGACTATTCTTCCGGAAACTAACGAAATGGTCGAAGAGGTTGGCATTGATCACGTCTTTTGGATGCATGTGAATGCCTACATATGGTCGTACATCGTCGTATATACCGACCCTTCTGGCGAAAGTGATAGAGAAGTTGCGGCGCGTCGAGGGTACTCTCGACGCTTTCTTGGTCCTTATCTAGTTGGTGATACACAGACTACTGAAGGGATCTACGCAATTTTGCGGTTTTTGGACCGCCTTTTTGATTATAAGGCAAATAAATGGCTGCCAGGAATCGCCCAGAGAGACCCAATACTCTCTGTTGTAAATAGCTAGTGTTAGCATGCACTTCTTTAGCTTTGTTCAACGCTGTTTGTTGGATTTTTAGCAGGAGCTGCTATAGATTTGTGTTGATCTGCCTGTGCAATTAACCCAAAGACATGCGTGACCCCCGGGTACAGATTAGCAAACAAAAATGTAAGTACTTAGATACTTACATGTATAATCGCGAAGTGCGCTGTGGTTCTGATGCGCATGTATGGCTCGATGAATTAGCCGTGTGGTCAAAAGCCGAGACATTTTGGCTTAGCGAACATACTGAACTGTTGATCGGTTGATTCTCAAAAATGACTTTGACCTCCCGAATGCATTAAATGATTAGTATTGAAATTCATTGAACTGGTATCGGAGTACTTGAAGGGCTAGATCTAGATCTTCGGCTAAGGCCAGGGCTTATGCAGAAGGGGACTGAGAAACTTTACGATCAGAATTCAGAATCGTGGACGAGGATATGCAGTTGGAAAAGCCTCTCATGTTCCGAACACGATGTGTTTTTAGAGACCTCGAGCGAGGTCGCTCCAAGTCCTACCTCTGCGTTGATTTGTCTGGCAGATAGGCCGCCTTAGTTGGGCCTGGACCTATAATACATAGGCAGTCGAAAATTTTCGAACGCTGGCTTAAGAACGTGCTATATCGCTCTGCATGTTATAACAACCTCTGCAATATAGACCAAATGCTTCGGTTTTATCAACGCTTCGGTTGTCCGTCTTGGGCAGTAGAAAATATTAAATTGGATTTGACCGGACCACAACTCAACCGAGCAAGAATTCTCGCGATCGTGAGCTATCTAGAAACATAGTTGTTGGAAGGAGAGACAAGTTCTCGCTATGGCCCTAATTGTGGTTTATAATAGGAATAGCGACACAAAGCGAGAAAGAGGATACTTTATGCACGAAAAGTAGAAGCTCTTGCGCCTTGGGGCAGCTGCAACCATGCTATAACTCCTATTATGAGTGATGTTGTTCGCTTTTAAGCCATCCAATCCGGCCATGTGACCTTTACTTCGGCGCTCAAGTTGTCAAAAAGTGTGAAATTTTGGTGGATGAAAATCGTTTATGTACTCAAGCTCAGTGCCCGGTTCGGTTTACCGACATAAGCTTGTAAATATCACTGTCTAATTAGAGCTAGGAGGTGAGCAAAAACACAGGTCAAAGAGATGTAGCTAACACCAAAAGTTATTTAAGCAGGCGAAAATGCCATGTTCATCATATCGGATTTTTAATTGACTATGCCTTGATCTATGGGAGAGCATATCTTCCATCACAATGCAGCCAATCGCAGTATTCGCCGCCGCCGCCGCCGCCGCTTTCCTTCCCGGTGTACCTCAAGTTTCGGCACATGCGCGGTTCCCTGAATGCAAGAACCTACTCGTCACACCTGCAGTGAAAATTCCTGCTCTGGGATATGACCCAAGTATTCCTATGGTACCCAACGGCCCATTTGTTAAACAGCAGTTTGATACAACTGTGTTCTCAACTCCACCAATACCGGCCGATCCAAGCAGCCCACATTATAAAATACGTCGTCGTTATCTCGAACATGGTTGTGGAGGTACCCTCAACAATATTCATAATTATTGGATTCGAAATTCTTCATCAGACTATTCAAAGCACGGTGATACTTCTGCCGGTTGGGCGCACAGGATTAAAAATTACTATATGAGGCCTTTCGATGCGGAGACCCTGACCCAAACGCAGAGCTTGACGCAGCAATTACTAGCTAAAGGCAAGGACGTCTCGTGAAACATCTTAAAGTTAATAGTCTAGTTCTAATCTTATCGTGATTAGGAGGCTTAATGAAAACAAGACCGGGGCTTCCGCTACAGATAGCCGGCTTTCAAATCAATAAGGATGGTGGCGGCCCATATAGGTATAGAAACGCTGGTTTTGTTTCCTTGGAGCGACTTGACGTCTCAGTTAATTTTGTTTAGATGCAAATTGGATTACACCGGCTCGGGGCAAAACTTTGGTCCTTGGCTTACCCGCAAAGGTAATATATACATTAAGCCTTGGGGTGTTATGAACGGAAATAAGAATGCGGAGTGCAGTGGCGCCAGCGGCGAGGCGCCCGAATGCGTAGGAAAGCAATGGGGTATACTCGTCGATATACCGAAGCCTTTACCTATGCAATGCCGAGGTGTCTACGGAGTGCATAAAAACATTTGCATTTTAAGATGCGAGAATGAAGCGAAAAACGGACCCTTTGGTGGCTGTTGGCCTGTCCAGATCGAACCTCCTCCAGGCTTGAAACCACCAGAAACTAGAATTGTCGTTAACACCAAAACACCTGAACCAATACCTAAGTATGGAGATGCGGGCTACGACGTACAGAAAGATTCATATGACGAAGGGGCAAAGGCTTATTATTGAGAAAAAAGTTGAGCCACTGGGTGCTGGCGATATGTGGGCTTTACACTAGTACGGTAGTCCTGTCACGATTAAAGTTTCAAGATTGGGTAATCAATTGTTTCATCAAGTATATTGCGTGTCGGCTCTGTGGGGTTGATAACTAAAAACGAGTTGCGAGTTTAGAATTTATGAATTCAATGCAAATTAGATGGATGAACCTCAACTTTAAAAGTCGAAGGTTAGAAATGTTGTATTTTATTTATTTTTTTGATTCACTTGTTCGGTTGGTTACATAGATATCATTAGAATTAAGGCCCCTCACCTGAGTTCACTACTGCATCTTCATATATCTCGGCTTCACTACATATGTGTCTCCACACGAGGCTGTAGATACACAGTATACATATTAACCGGCCGCCTAAGCCGGAGATATTTCAGAATGATCGTCGTGGTTAATTTTGCCGACATTTATCAGTGCGCCCTCCCCTTTTTTGCGACCGGGCCTCCTAGCCACGAGATAAATTTGCCGAGACTCAATTTCGCTAAGACGGGCGGGAAATATATTGCATCTTCTCTCCTTTTCCCTTCAATTCAACTCCTCCTCCCTATTCGACAGCATGATCACCTTCTAGAATTTCTTTGTACTTTTCGCTCCCGACCAACTGTATACGGTTATTCTATTTTGGCGAATTTTCCGTTAGGGCTATGTCGACTCCTGCGCTACCACTACTCACAAAATGGCCCTGCGCGGTATGCTCCCGACAGCGACGGCGGCGATGTGCATTTCATGCATGCTGACATTCTTCTTCAGGACACCTGCATAACCGCATATGATGGATTTTGCGAACGCTTCACATTTACAAATATCTGGCCAGCGACGGCACAATGCCTTCTAAGCACTTGCAATGAAAAAGATCGCATCGGTAAGTTTTGTTTTCTAGGCGATGTTTTTCGTTTTGGGGCGTTTATCTAAACAACGGATTCGTTTTCAGCACTTCAAAAGTCCGTAGCAGGATATTGCGATGCTGTTGGATATCCTGATGTTTGGGGTCCATACATGTGGGGGGCCACGGACGAAGACGCTCCTTCGAAAACCACATCTGTGAAAAGCGCATCGGTCGAATCAACGTCGTCATCCACTCCAACCGTATCCACGAGCCCGATATCTTCAGCAGCTCCTGTTCCTGTCCCTCCGGCCACTGTCACAATCATCAACAACGCAGCTGCGACAACTTTTGCAGAACCAACAACCACCACGACAAATTTGCCTTCCGAATCGCAAGGTCCATCTTCCGGCTTACCTACTGCTGCTAAGGCCGGCATCGCGGCCGGAATAGTCTTTCTTGCCGTCCTGATTCTACTCGGTTGGTTCTTATTTCGTTGGCGAAAGAGGAAGAACGAGCCGAATTTCCCTGAGGGTCCAGACCATAGCCCAACCCCAAGTCCCAAAGTCAAAGATTTCGAAGAAGCGCCCGTCATTAGTTATTCCATCGAAGGCGGCATGCTAACACGAAAGGAAAAACCGAACCTGTCTATTAGAGTCATAACTTAATTCACCCTGTACAAACGTTAGCCAGTTGGTCGTTGTTGCATTTGTTGCGGTCATATTTAGCGTTGCTGTATACATTTGCATTGCATTAGAATCGAGTCCTTCCCAGATATTTCACTTCACCTCTTTGAATTTATCCGTCCAAGACATCTCACTCGTGCACTCACATCTAAGACTATATCATATGATATCGCTAACGCGCTCTCAACAGAATCGATGGGGTGGTCTAACGATCGAAGCGAAGGCACAACTGCCGCCGTTTTAGTTGAACAAGAGCGAACGAAGGATCAGACAACAATCATAACATTAATGCACCGTTTGGTTGTGAGCGAGTAATCATCGATCAATCAACCCATCCAGCACCTGACTGGCCAACACACTTTGAATGATTAATATTCAGCTGTTGTTCGCCCCGCCCAACTGGATTCCAAAATATCAAGAAATGATGGGGAGCAAACGTTGCAAACTCGTTTCATCGGCGGCTCAGGGTAAGGACTTACTTACTAACAACTAGTCTTGAGAATCCTCGGCCCGTTTTGTTTTGAAACAAGCCCAGGTTTACATACATAGCTTAGCCTTTGGTCTTCAACAACGTGCGGACGGCTACCACATGCCCTTCCGGGTAACATGTTACTGGTTAAGACTATTTAAGCTTTCTAGGCTCCGGGGCGACCCGACTTAGCACATGCATTTCTGCAGTATTTCATTCTTCGCGGGGACTTTGTTCACACCCTTGCATGCATTCCCAGATGCTGCCAATGAAATGCCTCGTTGATTACTGTGCAGATATTACGTTTTATATTAAGAAACTCGATTTATCCCATGGGATTGGCAGGCCTTGAATACCACCTTCCAATACGAACTGAAGTTGAGGCTCCAGCCCTGATCATGCACAAGTGACTTCATTGACGACCTATGGTACGGTCATCCCTCCATGTGAAGCGTAATCTCGCCTGAAGCTGCCTTTTGTTAGCTCGATGTTTATACTTACCATTTTTAGGGCCCCCCTTTACATAAGCTTACGTTTTCGCATACACCCAACGGGCTTGTCCATGTTGCATCCCGGATTCTCAGCCTCCCTCGTGTGTACCAGATATCACCAGCTCTTTGACGATTTTAAGCACTCAAAATCTTTTCGGTTAACCTCGTCTGCAGGCATCCAAATTTTCCTCTCCTAGTCAAGTTTCAGCACGTTCCTCGCGACAAGGAATGCGGTCAGATAAGACGGCCATCACACGAAAGTTCCGTGATGTATACAGCTCCCACCCGCCTTCCGGAGCGCAACGAAGCCGAGGGGATCGGTGTAACCATGTTTAGGGTTCCATCGTCTTGGCCAAATTGCGACAAAAGAAAGCTTCAGGAATGCAAGCGCCGGTATCCTCGGATATAAAAGGTATAGATCTCACCTTCAGCTCAACATTATATCTTACTCGTAGCCACATCAAAACTGAACACAATCAAAACACAACTAACGCACACCCTAGTCTACATATAAAGATGGTCGTCAAAACTGCTGCCCTCGCTACGCTCCTGGCCGTGACTGCGTCCGCTTGGACAGTGCCATCGAATCTCCAAACATTTTATAACAATGTCAAGAACGGAGGTTGTAAGTCCTATGCCGGTGGCAAGAGCAATCTGAACGATGGCCAGGGCCACTCCGGTTTCGGCTTCTGCACCGATACCGCCAATGTAGTCTACCTCACAGGAAAGAATTCTCTGGGAGACATGGACATCGACTGCGATGGTGCCTCAAACTGTGGCGGCCTTAGTGGTGACTGGCAAGCCGGAACGTCGTTCGACGACATTCTAGTTAGCAAAAAATATGGGGTCAAGACCCTCGACGCTAGCATTCACCAATTCGTAAGTTTCACTCTTCATTCCCGAGGCTAGCTGTTCACCTTTGTACTGATTGTCGCCCAATAGTCCGTCTTGGGAACATGCAACTTGAACTTAGAGGGCCTCATTAGTCCTCTTGCCTTAGTAGCTGTTGTTTGCAATAACCAACTCTTCTACTCAGTCTGGGGAGATACCAATGGTTGCGATGACAATAACTTCACTGGCGAGGCCTCTATCTCGCTAGCACAGCTCTGCTTCCCTAACGAAGGCCTAAATGGCAACAAGGGTCACACAGCACACGATGTTCTCTACCTCGCCTTCACTGGATCCGATGCCGTCGTCGGCCCCAGCAACGCCAACTGGAAGACAAAGTCTGCATCAGACTTCCAGAACAGTCTGAAGACATTTGGTGACAGTATCCTCACGAAGAAATTCGGCAGCACTGTTCCACCCACGAACCCAGGAAACCCTGGAAGCGGCACTTGTGAATGGGTTGGTCATTGCGCCGGCGCAACTTGCAAGACTAACGACGATTGCGACGGCGACTTGGAGTGCAAGAGTGGGGTATGCGGTGGATCCAGCGGAGGCACTACTCCTCCCCCAGCCACCTGCTCTTGGGCTGGTCATTGCGCTGGTGCTAGCTGCAAATCCCATGACGATTGCTCTGACGATCTAACATGCAAGAATGGCAAATGCGCTACCTAAGATCAAGTCACCGGTTGCTCTATCAGAAGCCTACCTTGGGAAAACCCTTAACATGTAATCAATAGTTACGTTACGAACCCCTGAAAAACTAATATGTATAATAATGACATTAATTTAAAACTCATTCATGCGTACGAAACTGGGTTTGATACCTCTACTAGGAGGTAACAGCAACAGATTCAACACAACATTTGCATATATATGTGACTATTGTCCATAGTTTTCGTCCGGCCTATATTCCCCCTTCCAATTAACGAAAGCCTATAGATCTTCGACTCTCTTCCCACGCCGCAAAAGCCTTTACTCTATCCAATATGGGTATAGAACTATAAACTCCAAGGGTAATAGTAAACAAGGATACGCCAACTCCCGTCCCTAGTGCCTTGAAACTAAAGCTACTTCCTTCCTGCAACCCATATATATTGAGTCGGCAATGAAATCGGCGCCAGAGATGGTCATGTTGGCTTTACTGATGTATCGGTTTTCATGCTGAAGTTAGTGACCCAAGATAGTCTTTTCCGTGATTTGGTTGAGAAGACTGGTAGTTGACTACATGCTACTCTACAAGATGTGGGTGTTAACAGCGCTGATACCAACTTGTTGTATGGTAGTCGCGGCGCGCGGTTGCGCTCTTGCAATTATGTCCAGGGGAAAGCATTCAAAACCGCTCTAGCTCTAGGCATTCAAATGAATTTGATGAAAATGCGATAAAGGAGATGTTTATTGGTGGTCGGCCGAATTGGTATATGGGTTGTGTTTCGAAGGCTAACTTGAAGGTCGTGGCCGCAGCTCTCTTCAATATCGCAGGATGTTCGGTATTTCCCAATGTAGTAATATTGGTTTCCGGCGATGCCGCATGTCGCGTCTTGGCAGAGGCAGGGCTCTTCTCGCTTGGCGCAGGTTGGGAAGTCCACCCTCGATACTACAATTCGTATACTAATATTTCAAAGAGCCGGCCTCTCGGAGCTAGAAACCCAACCACAACCCCCACCACGCCGTGTACGGTGCGCTCGAATGCCGGGTTTCAGCATTGGAGCTGCTTCGGAGACAAGCCAGAAACTAGAAACAGCCATGATTGATAATTTCAAGACCATACCTAGTCTCGGACACTGTGTCTTTTGACAATTATATTTCTATTTTCCACTTTATAAAAAAATAAAGTATTACCGCTAACAAAAAAAAGCAGGGATGCGCTTAAAAGAAAGCCGCCATGGCCCGCATGATTATGCTCAACAAAACCCAACAACAGTCCCGGCCCCCGGCTGCTGTATAGCCTTATCCAAAATACCAATCATAGCTCAACCGCTTTGCCTTTTTGACCTCCCTATTAGAGGCTTGGAAGGAGAACTTAGTCCCCTCTTGCTTCTCTCCCCCTATTCTCTCCTCATCTTCCTCGTCCTCCGCTATCCTCTTCTTCTCAGAAGCTCTAGAAGCTTGCGTGGGTACTGAAACTGGTGGGAAGGATGGGAGGAGTGGTGAATGTGGGACCGGTTGTTCGGCTGGCAGCTTAAAGGGAAATCCTATCTATAAGCCTCCCGTCGCGCCAAATTCGATTTTTCGTCCAATTGCTTGATCTTCTCCAGACTCTAAATATTCGAGGCAAAACACTCCGAACTCCTTTTCGAATATGGCACAACCGGGCTTATTTGACGATTTCGTCAAAAATCTCGCTACCGTTCGGGCCGTGCATTGATGTGCGGCAATGTTTCTCGTTCGATACGAACTGAATTTGTCAGCTTGATTGCCAGTATTTAATTAACTTTATTGGTAATATAATTACAATACCTGAAGAATGCTATCGTATGTGCTCTTGTAATATTATACGTGGCAGCCAATTTGTCACAGTTGGCAGTAATAAACTGATCTTTGGCCTCTCCGTCCCACCCATGTTGGGTGAGGATATAATCCGCGAAAGAAGCGAGTACGATTGGCCCGCAAATTTTAAAGAAAATCTTTTCGTTGCCTTCAAGAACGGCGATTCTTGCATTAATCCTTTTATTGACGAGGTCCTGATAGTCGCCCATCGCCTTCATATACTCGTGGAGATCTAAGATATGCTGCATGAGTTCGCCAGTCGTGGGCTCCATCTTGCACGGAAATTTTGCTACAAGGTAACTCGGACGAAGTTCCTGCTACAGTTCGAGTTGGTAAATTAAGCGGTAACTGCTGTGGTATAACTGCTACGGACGGAAGTTTTGAAGCGCTGGCTAACTTACTAGCCAAATATTTATATTACTACCGAGATAATAAGTGCAAAGTTTATCTGTATTGCTCTAATTACTGAATCATTTACAGATAGCCGCTGCGATCTTCTTTTACACATGTGGTTACTGAACTGTGCTCAACCGCGCTAAACCGCGCAAGCGATCCCAATGATAAGCAGAATCGCCAGTTATGGAAAAGGTGTTCCGTGCGCCTTCCTCGTCCCCTCCCGATCAGTTCTATTGTTGGTTCCACAAACTCCCCACTAGTGAGGTATGCCCTATTCTGAGCTGGTACGCACGGCATGCATACGAGGCATGTGAACCTGCGGTTCTGGGTGGCGGAACTGCGGGCCGACAGTGAACTGTGAAGCTAGGTGTTTATCATATCTTAATTAATACCCTTGTAACAGGATCAGATTTATAAGTTTAAAGGAAGGAAATACTGAAGCCGAGCGGTTGCAAAATTGAGATTTTGACCAAGCCGCATGTGCATGGTAGCCACGAGTGGCGTGTGAGGGCAAATCCTGAAAATTGAAACATCAGCAACACATTTATTGTTGCATTTCGACGCCAAAAGCCCTGTTGGGGCCATTAACTACTTAGGTAAGTACCAGCGGGCACGATGGATATCTTGAGGAAACCGAGCCTGATTATAAACTGGCAGTATACTAGTTGACCTCCTAAAACATTTTAATGAGTTTCAACTACCAAGTTAAATCTATGCGTACGTATATTCAATTCTAAGAATATATTTTCATTCTTTCAATTCTTTCATTGATTGTTTTTTTATATATAGAATAAGGTGCATATGCCCTTAACCCTTATATACAAAATGAAGGCAGAATTTTCTGTGTAGTAGTAGTTCATGATAAGATTAATACCTTCTTCAGTAATAATCTTCTTCGCTCTCTGCGTCTTCATCGCCTTTACCGCCAGGATTCTCGGTGGATTCGGGAGGTTCGGGTATCTCCTGAGTGACAGAGGGTTTTTCCTCAGTGGTCTCTGGGTTCTCCTCAGGGGTCTCTGGGTTCTCCTCAGGGGTCTCTGGTTTCTCTTCAGGGGTTGCGGGATTCTCTTCAGGGGTTGCGGGCTCCTCTGGCTTGGGTGGGTCGGGCTTTGGAGGGATTACGACCGGTGGCTTGCCCTTCTGGATGACAATGATCTTATATTTGAAAATGACTTTTTTGAAAAAAATTCCTGTTGCCAACCTTGTAAGGCTTTTTAGTCCAGGAAGGTGTTTCTTGGGGCTTGATGGGTTTGCCCGGGGTAGAATAACAAGTTCTAACTTCTGTCACCGTGGTTGCGTATTCACCCGATGTAGTTGTGCCATTAACAGGTGGATCCGTTGGTGGATCCGTTAGTGGTTTGCATGTGTCGGTACTGGTTTGTACGAACGGGACACAGCCACCGAAGGGCCCATTTACCTGTATCAACATGTTAGTACGTGAATTTTACCAGTACGGATACTCTTTCGGAGATAGATATTATCTTACAGCCTCGTTCTGGCAGCGGACCATGCAAACATTCTTATATTTTCCAAAAATGCCAGTACATTTCACTGTGTTTGGTATCGGCAGAGTAAGCCAGAGGTTCGGCTTGCGCATTGACGCCTTATTCTTAGATCCAGGACCCGATGCAATGTCTTGACCTCCAGGAACTTTGTTAAGATAAATCCATTCAGTCTTGTGATTACCCGGGAATTTATCTCCCATGCCCGTTTCATCGATCTTGCACTTATATGGACCTGCCCCATCCTGATTGACTTGGTGAATACGCATCTTAAGCCACCCGCCCCCAGATGCCTGTGAGATCATATCCTCGTTCATGAGTGTACTCATTTCTGCTGTGACATTCAATGTGTACCGGCGCTTGCTATGAATTATATTCTTGACCCTTTGATCACCCCATCCTAAATCTCTGATTTTAGGGTAAGGCCACATGTCTCTTGCCCACACTTCCCAGAGGGTGAGACCGCAACCCTGGTCAACTTGTACACGGCCGGGATTTTTTTTGCCGCAGCAGTGTGCGAGTGGTGGATCGCTAAATACAACCGAGTCTAACTCAAAGGGGTGCAGCCCTTGTTTATGGCGGCCGTGCTTATTGACTTCCTTGCTCCATCCAAGATTTCGACCGTTTTTCTTGCCCTCGGGATCACAATTTCCATGTGCTTGTAAAATCAGCGAGTGCCCATAAACTGAGTTCACACAGCTTAAAAGAGCGATAGCTGCGGTGCCGATGGTGAAACGCATTTTTGTGAACCACTTTTTTGAGAAGTATGTGATCCAGAAACAGTCTTTCGAGTAGAATTATAAAAGAGTGAAAAATGGTAAAGGGACGTAGAGTCAAAGAGCGAAAAGTTAAGAGAGCGTAGTGTAAAAGAATAATAGAACGCGGAATAATACTGCTGAAGTAGCTAGTAGTCAAGTTCCTGCTGAAACCGAAGCTGGCAACTGATAGATAACAGACGGTGATATAAGTGATATTTTATACTCATTGCCTTTGAAGCTTCTCTTTGCTTTTGCGCATCTTTTTTTTTTACTTATCCTGTACAATCCACTTCCATATGACACACCTGCGCATTCATCTGTTCTCATACACCACCTAGAGGTCTCTTACTACTGTCCCTTTGTTTGTTTCTTTCGATTCTCTCTCCGTTTTTCTGCAATACTATTAACTCGCCACCCTGCCACAGAAATTTCAATGTACTCCTTCCCGTTAGCTAAACCCGAATATAGCCAAATAAAGGCCCAACAGACATCTCAATGCGGCTTGTCATGGGTTATCCTGATAGATAGGCTTCCCGCCCTCTAGCGCACGCCGTTTACAAGAGCCCCAGATTGCTCTTTTTTCCAAGTTGGGGAGCATGATTAGCGTTTTTCTTTTGTAGGCTACGCGATCGCGATCGGATAGCATACCAAATACAAAAAGGATAAAACTCTAGAAGTATATGAACACTTAAGTGTATATATGTAAGCATGTAGATTGATTTTGATAGTCTAGCTTTGTTGATCAGCGGGGTAATGTGGGTAACAAGATAAAGTTCAGTTCGGATTTAACAACATATACGAGAGAAAAATGACATACATAGGTATCAATTACCTCGTAGCAGCAGCGTATTGCTACGGGAGAGTATGTACAGAGTACGTAGTAGCAGGTGCTCCATCTCTGTTTTTTGGAGGGAGACTGTGTTGCATGTTGAATCCGAATTTTATTCGTTGCCCACGCATCAGGTAAGGGACACGGAAATACATATGGAAATTTCGATCCAATCGCATGCATTCCGAAAGAGATTCTAGTGGCGGAAAGGCAAGCCCCAAAAAGAAAAATGACACGAGGCTCCCGTTATCCGATCCCTATGTAACCCAAGGAACAAATCGGTTTGGAAATTCACCAAGACAACGCAAAGTAGTTAGGACTTAGGTACCAGCTACCTGATTAGGGGCGTAGTAGTAGTAGTCGTAGTAGTATTGTAGGTACTGGGTAGCCAGCATACTCGGCCCCAAGTCCTTGGCGAGACCACATATGCATACTGGTCGCGTTTCGGATCCGGATCTAGTCTACAGAAGCTATATTATAACTGACGAGATATGAGTTATCCAGATGGGACACCCATTCGGCTCAACACTACTATGTATACGTATACAAACTAGTGTGCGACTGTAGAGCGGATAATCCGGCACCGCTCCGTTCCGCTGGTTTTTTTTTTAAATTTTTAATTAGGGACGCTCGCTTGTGGATTACGTTATATAACTAGAGGGATATGGTTAGCTACGTTAGTGCTTCTGGAAAGCGCTCGGATGACGAAACCAGTATAGCCTAATCCCATAGCTACCGTATGCTAACGTCACAAAAATTGGATATGAAAAACGTTGAGAAGTTGATAAAGATCAGGCAACATTTAAATTATACGTCATTTTGTGGATCCTCGCTTAAACAAGCCAAAAAATATGGGTAGTAGATTTGAACACACCTATTTGTCATTATGATGTATTTCTCCATCTTTCAAATAACGAGGCTCATGTGTAATAAGAATATATGATTTGGGCGAATTTTGTACATTTTTATCGCCACGCTTTCAAAATAACGCAACTCAAGTCTTGGAAAAACGTCCCATTTGGTGCTTCAACCAAGGAGCACGCACTCATCAACCGCTGTCGACCTGACGTTCCAATTCTTTTGACCCATTCAAACAATTCTTCTTCCTGAATAGAGCCTCTAGCCTTATATATCCCGTTCATGACTTTAACACAGTTCAGCAGTTCCTTCGTTTCAGAATCCTGACCAATAAGTTCCAGTTTCTTTCCAAACGATGTCCCATAGTCTTTTGCAAGGGTATCGATTTGGAGAAAGTCAGCAGCACTTAATACAGCCAAAGTTCTACACGTAGATTCGTTGCATGTAAAATCCTCTGGTAGTTTAGGTTCCGACCGATATAGCCATGCAAGAACCTCCATCATGGTATCAAGTTGAATATCCGGCAGTTTTATAAGTCTCTCTTTCGCCTCCTTGAACTCCTCGTTGTAACATGCCTTTTCGAAAAATTTTGATTGTGAGGCTAGGATGTTACGGTTCGCCTCGAACTCGAATGAGTCTCGCCCCAATAGAAGGGTTATGTCAGTCTCTCCCGGAATGTATTGTGGCCTTATAACTAAGCTTAGATTGGCTTATTCCTGAATTGTGAATATGGAAATGGCTTACGCGGTGAAAGACATTGTGGAGAGTGTCAAATATAATAATATGGCATGGTAACAGGGTATTGGAAGAGGAAATAAATGTAATAGCCAAGGAGAAAACTGTGGGATTATATCCTGTAATCTACAATCGGCAATGACTCAATCATTGCCACAAACTCCGCATCGGTTCTAAAACGGAACGTAACGAGCTCACTTCATAGAATAGAGGTTTGATATCTTAGAAGACTTAACGATAAGTTGAAAGTAACTCTTAATTTGAAGTGGTCTCATACTCACACGTCACAACGGCAGGCGAGTGAGCCGTTGCTGGGATTTGAAGACGTTTTCATGTTAGTTCAGCCTATAAAGTATAACTCGTACCTCGTTTTGATATTAGACCTATAAAATGAATTAAAATAGAATACTAACGTGTCATCAACATAACCTAGATCTTTCCATTGCTGCCAAATTGTCGGGTGCAGTTGAGTGCAACTAACAAAGCACATGTATTGCGTAATAGCTGAAAATAACACCGTGCTAGGAACCCCGCACTCGAAAAGGAGCCCACATACCGGGACAATTTAAGTTAATAAAAAAAAATGATTCTCATAGCGCGAATTATAGTTTAAATTGTGTAAATATGTTGCAGATCAATAATTAGTTCGTATGGATACATAAGCATCCTTAAAACCCAGCCGGGATTACGCAGCTCGTCAAGTCGCCATCATTATGCTCTGTGACCTAATAGAAAATGAATTAGAATATAAACTTTAGCCACTTTTACAGAGTAATTCTCTTATATTATGGACGATTGCAAATAAATCCGTCCGTGAATCTAAAAATAGAACATACTCCAAAGTATTAAAATTCTCGTTAACACCATTTTTGTAAAATATCTTAAGAAATGCATATGTCATATCCATACCTAAAAAGGACCAGCCGGCTATTCAGTAAATCTATTATTGTTTACAGCTATTTTGCTTCGGGATTATATATTAAATATACCTGCAGCAACTCCGGAACTAGTCTACTCCTTCCCACTGATAACAAGCCTCCCATCTCACTAATTACAGTAGAAACTTTAATAAAATTTAGGAAACAATGCGAGTAAACTAAAGTAAAAGAGAGAAGGACTCCTGGAAATTCCTATAAAACAACTAGTTCAAACATAAAAAGTATAGACGTGTGTAATTTGACAAATGTGTTAACTTTCAAACTAGATTATGAAATAACGTAACAATATACTACTGCATAATAAATAACAAAGATGTACAAAATCAGCATTACACTAGAACATAGTGCCCTTACAGGAGGAATTGAAAGCATTTGAAAGAATCCAGGACAATGAATCCAATATTACATACTACAAGACTGATGTCTATCTGGATACAGATAACTATGGTGGCTGCAGTGTCGGAAAGGTCCGCAAGGCCTTCATGCATATTACGTATGGCATTATCAACAAGGATTCTGATCTCTCACCAGGACCACATGTGTCTAACAGGAAAGTAATTTTTAAACAGCATATTATTGAATAAAATCTGACTCTACTAAGGCTTAACTTAAGAAGTATTGCAATTTTTTGCATATTCCAATGGAATGGCTATTTTTTTAGGCTCATAGAATCTATGAATTTTATGTATTACATTGCAGTGGGAGCACTGCGCAAGCTGGTCTGTGTGTAACCAAAAGCCCTGGCCTGCTGAGCAGATCTGTCTGTTAGATTTTGCCGCAAACGGTAGTAAGACACGGCATGTTGTTATTGTCCCACTCAGTTAGATTATTAATTCCTAAGCAGTTGTTTATACCAATAATTGTGTAGAAAGACTGCTCATTCTGTGCGCGTTGCAGACGGCTGGCTCCGTCGACGATTCTGACCAAGCTTTTGAACAATCAATATCTGAGACTCTAACTTCAGGCACGATTTAAACTAAGCTATTAATATACATACCTTTAAACCAAAAGTCCATAATAATATATATAAAAATCAATATTGCAATATCTAACGGATACCTCATTTCCAATAAACCTAGACCTGGTTCCAGTATCCAATTTGACAAAATCACACTTTCCAGAACCATATTTACCCAATTGGCCAAATATCTGCACAGTGCACAAATCATTCATAAATCTTTGCTTAGAACTATAGATTCTATAACAATGTCTCTGTCCTGTGGTTGGTTCATATCTTGTCATGTGTCACTTGCGAGAAATATGGCTAATACGTCCAAATTTCAGACCCAGATGAAGAGGGGCTACGCTTCATAATCAATCATGTTATCCTACCACCAAGAGTCCCCCAAGAAGAGGAAGTTGATATCAGGTCAAAGAATTTTGACCTTATAGAATTTCTAGTTGGGGTCGCTAGGGAATACATATGCAGCCCGGACTCGCCTGCCTCATTCAAAGCGAAGAAGATCTTAGAGCTAACGGCTCGGGTCCATGAACCTGCTACAAACTTTCCACTAAGATTGAGAGATACAATATTGCAGTTGGAAGAAGGAGGTATTGGGCCTTAAAAAACTCTGAAGATTAATTGAGAAAATGCTGATAGAAAATATTAGACTCTTTCGTGTTGCACGTTTTCATGCAAAATGCAGGAATTATATTCAGGAGGCTTGAAGAAAATCTTCAAATGGAAGCTTTCGAAGCATCTCCTGTTTCTGAAGCTGTTATTAGCTGCAAAGGACGCTTGAAATGCGAATACCCGGGTCCTGCGACGGTAATACCGTGGGGAGTAGCTAAAGATCCCGCCTTTTTGAGAGAACTTGGTAGTTTTCTACATCACATGGACGTTCAGCAACTTGACACTCTCTCCAAATCTCAGAAAGGGGAAAATAATCTCTCAAAAACAAGAGATACCGCTAATCCACGGTATATCATTGAGCTTTTTACCGGGATGATGCGTGGGATCGGGAGGGAGTACGACCCACATAGGATATCGAAAAGTTTGCGCGATGAGGTAAATTGGGACTCTGGCCTGAACCCTTGGAGAAGAAGTGGGTTGTGGCTGGTTGTCCGAGTAGCTTTACAAATCGCCTTAGACCACGATGAGTACAAATGCTTCTTATTAGAAACCGTTCGTGTCGTCCTCGATCAAGCTAGTCGGCTCAAAATTGATAGCTATTCTCTATCTTGTACTAGCCGCAAACTGGCTCGCCGGGCTTCCAAGATTGGAGAGGCAAAACTCCCTCGATCTCTTCTTGAAAGAACTTTGGACACAGCGGAAAAAGCGTTCGGCATACTCTCAGGTCGTTGGCAGACTGAAATCTCGGATTCGAAACGGATGGCCGAATGGAATGTTGATTTAAACACTCCCGAAAATGTTGCAAGTAATAGTTGTCTTCGCTTGCAAAATGCGTCTTCCTGGATAAACGAGCGAATAAAGGAATACCAAAGGCCCGTCGGGGTCATACTTGTGGTCAAAGACCCGCAAGAAGAGCAGCGTCACATCGCTTCGGACTCTCCTCCAAGATTATCGGAGGGAACGGAGATTGAGATGGCGATTAGTTTGATAGATTTCGAGAATTGGATAAGAGAAAATCTCGAAGATTGGTGCTCTGTTGTGCATGCTAACGATCAAGCGGACGTCATCAATTTTCTGTCCACCAATATCGAGCAGTATCACGTGAAAGCATCTCAGGCATATGCTAACCACAACATTCTCGATACTTCAAGGATGATTCTTACAATCATGGAAATGTGGGTGCAGCTTGACAAAATCATCTGTCAGAAGGAGCCATTGCTGCTTTACTATTCACCCGAACTTCCAAGCAAGTTGCTTGAGCCGACCCTCTTTATTCTAAAAGAAGACATGGAACGGATTTTGAGGGTTGAGGGTCATCTTCGATGGCGGCATTCAACTGCAAAAGAATCGAATCGGTCCCCGCTTTTTAGCAGAGAGATATCTTCGACGAGCTTTGCAGCCCATTACTATGATCAATCAGTTCATCTGCAAACCGTGAAGTCGGAGATTATTCGCAAGGCTGAAGTCGCTAGAGAGAAGAAGAGGAGAGAGCTCGAGCAACTGAAGGTGCAGCATAAGAAACTCAGGGAGAATGCTCAACAGCTGTCTTGCGACTACAGGATAAACAAGGAGGGCCTTTCTTACCATTGGAAACTTTGCCACAAATGTAGCCTGGAGAATGAAGCAGCGAATATGAGGATTAAAGTTGAAGAATGGCCCCTTCCAGTGAACGAAAATGAAATCAAGATGGTAGTTTTTGAGTTGCAGCCGCCGGGGGACTTTGTAACCTGGAGGGATGTAACATATTACATCATGCTGGATGTCTGCGCTTGTGCCACCAACGAGTTGCCTGCAACCGAGTTTTACAATTTTAATAACTGGGATATACTCGCTTCTGCTAAATCACACTCACGTGGTCGAATTACATGGGCATCCGAGAAAATGCCGATCAGCCGGTCACATTATTCCGAAATCAAAATCCCCGAAGACGAAGACGAAGTGCTGTTGAAACATGCTGGCCGCTACCGACCCTTGGATACTAGGAAGAATGAGTGGATCAAATCTCGCCATAAAACTTGTGGCATTGCCAAATTATGTAAATCAGACTTGTCAAACACTTCTTATGAAGCTTTATCATACGCGGTCAATCAAACCACCCACACCCACAACAAGGTAATTGCTGAGCAGCACAAGTGCCCAACATCTTTGACACTTCACGAATACGAAGCGTTCGCTTCTCTTCGATCAGGCGAACGTATCCAGTGGCACAATATTCTTACCGAGCTCTTAAAAAATGATCTAACTTTTAAAGATGAATCAGTATTTACGCTCGTATTGCACGCAGCATGCCAAGCTGAGGTGGCCAGCGACAGTTTCGACTGGAGGAGAGACTCTCATCTTCCGCTCTCCGAGGAGGAGTTTTCACGGGAACTTCTGAAATCCTTGCACCGGGCATTGACCATACTCAAAGACAACTGGGACCAGGCGAATACACTGAAGCTCCTCATTTTGCTCGCACGTCGCTTAGTGACTGCAGGTCATTATAGCATAAAGCTAGATGCTATTGGCTTCCTGAAGGAAGCACGAAAGCTTTGTAACCCATGGATCGAAAGCATCCAGTCAAAACTCGAAGTCGCATTTGAGCCCGAATTGGTTAAAAGCCTCCGTTATTGGTTACTCATGGTCTCAGGAATACAATGCAGTACATTTGACATCGATCGGGATCTCCTCCCTTACATATTTAACCTCCCTGAGGACATCGTTCAGTTCCTTGTCTGTCAGATCAATATTGACAATAACTGTTTAGGAATTCTTTCCAAGCTACCAAATGATTTGAGGTTTTTGTTGGGGGCCAACCGGCGGTTTGCGGTAGCTGCCGAAAGCTATACTCACGAATGTATCCGTCAAGATCCCAGTATTTTATTCAGCGTTCTTTTGGCTGTTCTCCCCACCCAGAAGCTAGCGGGGACGTGGTACCAGCTCGATCGACCGGCTGACCGTTGGTGGAAGTTGAGCTCAGATGTATGCGACGGCTCTGAGACCACGGTGGTCCACTTGAACATCCTACAGGGAAAGTTGCTCGTCAACGGGAAGCCCAATGGCAGGCTACCAGAGGATTATTTCACACACGAGAGCTATGTTAAATTATTCGGAAATGTAAGTCCAGCCAATTTTCGTTGGAAGCTGACTACAAACACTCCTAACACATTGTAGCGGATGTTTGATGTTTTTCCATCCCAAATACCAAATATGTCCTATCAAACGAAGAACACCTTTCACGGGGCAACTTTACATTTTCACTTGGAAGGCCGGCATCTGGTTATTCGAAAGCAAAATGGGGACGACCACGAATTCATACCCGGCGAAAGATTCATGGGCGAGATACCAAGTCCGCTAGTCCGGCGTGGGAGCCAGTGGCTAGACCTCAAACGAGAGGAGGTGATATTCTACCAGTCAGATTTTTGGTGGATAGAAACCCCGTCAGCGGGCGACTGGGTTCTGAGTAAGAAATGTGGCTTGTGGGCTATGGAAAGAGGCTTCGATAAGCTCCTTTATATCGATGGAAACATTCATGCCACAGCACATAAAGTTTTGCAGCCTATCGAAGTCCATGACTACCTCGTCGTAACGATTAACCAAGATATGAGGATTAATATAGACCTACCCAGGTATAAGCTTAAGTTCTTTCTGAACGAATCAAACCTTTTCGAATGTGAGAGCCTCAAAGGCTGGGTTATCGACCGGTGCCAGGATCTCGGGACTTTCATCGGGCTAAAGAACTTTCTCAAACTCAGGAGCAGCAATAACCACTTGGATAAAGAGTGTGCTATAGTTCCACTTGGCTCCATCGAGCCAGGAATGTCTGAGACCGGTAATCACTGTGTCATTAAGATAACCCATATCGAAGAGGAGCGGAAGTACACAATCTACCATATTGATAGGTTCCTAGGTCAAGTTCGGGATGATGGGACGCTCAGGGCACGATACACTCGGATTTATCTTCATGCTTTGACAAGCGGGATCATCGATGATCCTCTCACCGGGCGCACAGGGGTTGGAGAATCCCTAGGCCTGCTAAAGAACGCAGCTTCCTTCTGTTTTCAAGAACTTCATGGTGATGAAGCTTGCATTTTAAATAATATTGCTAGCTTGACACCGTCACGACACTTCTATCCTGCACATTTACAGAAAATGCAAACGGTCGGTTGGAAAGGACAAATACCGACCTGGATACAGCATGACGAGTTTTATGCGGCGGTTCGAGACATATTCGATGACTGGAGTCGTCGTCAGTTTCTGGTCGAGGGGTCAAAGGGGTATGATGTTGTGGAATTGGGATCAAAAGATTTAATAGAGCGAGGACGGAATATCGGCAGTATTTTTAGCCCTGGGGACCCGCGTGCGCCCTACCGACATTCAATGGCAACTCCACATTATCTAAGAAACATGGTGGGGGATGGGGAAGCTTGCACCCAGGATATTGCCAAAGCGTCGTTTGAATGGCAAGAAAAGCAAGACCTGGATACAAGCTTCGATTTGCTTCTCATGAAGAAACCCATGTTGAACGGGTTCTTACCAGATTTAGCTTCTGAGTATTCCCCAGCCTGGGCCGGGAAAGCACCATCTGATCTGTGGTGTACTCTTTACGAGCTCTGTCGGCAGGCGACAAAGGAAGATAGATTTGGATTGTTGTTTGTGTTCAGTTCAATTGTGTACGATGACCCGGCCAACCGAAGATTCCTGAAGTCCCTGCTAGCAGTGGCGGCCAATAATGTCTTCAGCGACCTCCCAATTCCGCCATACCACTCTTTCGAGCCGGGCATAGGCACCAAACCTGACATACAGGATATCAAAGATTTTCTTAAATCAGCGTCAACATTATTTGAGCGATCCCAATACTACGGTTGGTCACAGCAATCACACGAAACAGACGCAGAATGGTACAAAAGACGATATTCTACCTATGAAAACGATGTCAGGCATCAGGTCGAACATGCTTCCCAGAAGATTCTCGGCCAATGGCCGAACTCAAGCGTTACGTGTCCTCCTTGTGGCGATTATCCCCTTCTCAATCTATCATTAGCGATGGATGATATCAGAGGCAGATTTCAAACCTGTTTCAGGAACTCGGAGTTGTCGTCCCACCTAACCATGGTCATCGCAAGGCTACAACACTTGAAAGGCGATGCAGCTGTGCTGAAGCCGTTCGGTTGTTCTTCCACGATCCACCTTCAAAACCTTGCATATGAGCCACCACAGTTACAGGACTGTGTTCCCACTTTGAGGGAATTGTTGAAAAAAAGACTACTTCCTGAAGATCTGGAGATGGAAACAACAAGGCCGTATTCTCTCGTTCATGAGGAGGTAGAAATGGAAGACAACTCGAGTATCCGACAACTTGTTTCGCTAGCCCAATATCTTAAAAACTCAGACCAAAATATTGCAAAACAGTATGTCGACGACTTATTACAAAGCATAAAGGGTCTGAGAAATTCCGGACCAACTCAGAGTTTTAAAGAGATTCCAATTGCATTACCAGTATTACAAAGACACCGGCGACTGGCAGCCGCAAATGTCCAAACACTAATGTCCGATATATCCCATATCCTATCTCCCGAGACAAAATTACAAGAGCTTCAAAAAAAAAGCGGGCTTTGGCCTCATATCACCAAACTGCAGCTACTCCGGAGACTACGGCTGGTGGAACGCTGCGAGGTTCCTCGCGAATGGGTAAGAGCTATCATCGCTCTAGGAGAGGCTATAACATGGGATCAAAGAGCAAGTCGTGTTGTGGACTTAGCATGCAAAGGTTTTGTTCAGGAGTTCGAGAGGGAGATACGGAACGTAGGGCGTCAAAATTGGAACGCGGAAGAATACATCGATTGGCTTTTGTTGGAGCTCGACTCGGAGATACTTATACGACCCGTTCAAGCGAGTATCGGCTTTAATATGATGGAAGACAGTAAAATGAGCAATGCGGTAATGCAGCTAAGCATGGGCGAAGGAAAGTCTGCTGTAAGCAACAAGTTGAACTTCCCGAGCTCCTCAGAATGCATGACTAACCGTCGTCGCCGAAGGTAATCGTGCCCGCGGTGTCTGCTGCCCTCGCCGATACAAAAAGACTTGTGAGATCAATCGTGCTGAACACATTATCGACCCAGATGTTCCAAATTCTGGTACAGAGGCTCAGTGGTCTCTGCGATAGACGGGTCTATTTCTTACCATTTCGGCGAAATGTGGAGCTTTCCAAGGACAAGATTGAGACGATTAGGAAAATTTATGAAGACTGCATGAAATCCGGAGCTATCGTTCTAAACATTCCAGAGCATATATTGTCGTTCAAGCTGATGGGAATTGAAAAAGCATTGCGGAAACAACAGGAAATATCGGAGCCACTAATGGCTTGTCAAGAATGGCTTTCAAAAAATACCCGGGATATTCTAGATGAAAGCGACGAAATCCTTCACATAAGATATCAATTAGTGTATACGATAGGAGATCAACTGCCCCTGGAAGGGGGCAAAGATAGGTGGGTTGTTATACAAGAACTACTCGACCTTGTCCAGGAGAAAGCAATTGAATTCTCAGCACGACATCCCATGGGCCTCGAGGTCGGACCTGCAAAAGATGTGAGATACCGCTCGATCCGAGTTATCGACGCAGCTATCGGAGGTCACATGCTCCAAGATGTTGCCTTGGACATATGTGCGAACGGTGGGAACAAGGTTCCAAGCATCTCCTCCAAACTTAGATTTCTTCACCCGAAGGAAAAGGAGTTAGCTTTAAAATTTATCTCCGTCAAAGATATCTCAATAGAGGAACAGAATGCCTTATTTGAAGTTTGCGAAAGTCTCAAAAATCCGCTTCTTATTCTCCGCGGGTTGATTGCACACGGCGTTCTTCACTTCATTCTTCGCGACAAACGTTACAGGGTTGATTATGGCTTAGATCGAGAACGTTCCGGTCTCGCTGTTCCATATAGAGCAAAAGATCGGCCCGCGGCTAAGGCTGAGTTTGGCCATCCAGAAGTAGTACTAACTTTAACATGCCTTACTTATTACTACGGTGGCCTACGGAACGAAGATCTCCAGGCTTGTTTTGATCTCCTAGATAAAACGGACAACCCCGACTTGACTTATGAGCATTGGATTAAGTGTTATTCGGATGTCCCTCCCAATCTTTCGAAATTAAGAGGTATCAATTTTCTAGATAAAGAACAAGTCGAAGGCGAGGTGTTCCCGTTCTTCCGATATAATAAATGTGTGGTCGACTTCTTTCTTTCGGAAATCATATTCCCTCGAGAAGCTAAGGGCTTTTCGCACAAACTTTCGACAAACGCATGGGATTTAGCAGAGCAGAAAAACCACAATACAACTGGATTTAGCGGTACAAATGACAACAAATACCTTCTGCCAACAAATATTCATGAGTCAAATCATCCGCAGCAGATCCACACGAGTTCATTAGTACTCAGGAACATTTTACTGAAGGAGAACGATACTGTCATTAAGGCTCATAAGAGCAACATACGATTGGAAGCGAGTGATATCCTCGTTCTGGTTACCGGCCTCGCACCGAAAGTACAGGTTCTACTTGACGTCGGTGCTCAGTTACTAGAACTCGATAACCATGAGGTTGCCAGAACTTGGCTTGGAATTGATACATCGAGCGAAGTCCGAGGAGTGGTTTTCTTCGGGCAGAATGATCAATTGCTAGTTATGAAGAGGGATGGGATAATTGAGCTGCTTGTGTCTTCTGAATTATCCGAGCAACTCGATTCTGTGCTGGTATTCCTGGATGAAGCCCACACCCGGTATTTACTCCTACCCGAAACACCGTGGCACGAAAGCAGTTACTAATGTTATTTGGGCAATTGTTAGTGGCGTCGACCTAAGACTTCCAATCGGCTTTAGAGCTGCTGTTACACTTGGCCCTAACCTCGTTAAGGACAAGCTCGTTCAGGGTACGTTTAATAACTCGCTGTCGAGCCTAGCTATTCTAATATGACAAATAGGGTGTATGAGAATGCGTAAACTGGGAAATGGTCACTCCCTCGTTTTTTTGGCGTCTCCGGACATCTACACATCTGTTCAAAAGTCGGCAAAGAAGCAAACAAATGAGTCTATCAACACATTCGATGTTCTTCTTTGGACCATGTTCGAAAGTTGCCGACAGCTACAACATGGTTTTTCTATCTGGGCTGACCAAGGATTTCGGTATCTCGCGAGAAAGGTTGGGTGGGAAAATTTTCAACAAAGGGGACACACAGACCAGCCGAAAGAGATAGCAATGGAGATAGAAACACGGCCACTTGTAGACATGTACGGGATCGGTAGCCGGGTAGAGCAGTTTTCCTCGGTTGTTATTCCTTCTGATAACTCAAAGGCGATTTTCCAACGCCTGGATCAATTTGGTATCAGCCCATCACAAAATGTTTCGGTCCAAGAGGAGCAAGAACGAGAGATAGAACAGGAACAGGAGAAAGAAATGAACATCGAACGCCCAGAGCCAGCGATGCCCAGAAATCATTTTCTCCACCCGGATATCGTTTCTTTAGCCACATTCGGAATCTTCAATAAAACCTCGGATGCCTTCTCCCTCGCTTACAATCAGTATGAGGAAACATCCGCTCGATATCTCCTGGAGCGCGAAGCTTGGACGCCAAACCTATACGCCACTGTGGATTTCATGAAAACGGTAGAACTAGGGCACTCAAGCAGCATGGACGACTACTTGCGCCCAGTCAAATGGATTCTATTGACTCGAGATCGTTCAAATCACATTCTACTAAGCCCATATGAGGCGAATCAACTTGTTCCGGTGATCAGAAGGACTAAAGCTTGCAGCTTGCATTGCTATGCGCCCAGGGTAGCCAAGTCTATGCCCACTCTCGAGTTTTTGGATTCCTGTTCTATACCGAGTTTGCCCAAACCCCCTCTATACAGTAGACCAAGTTTGGCCATCCGTATAGCTCTCAATGCTTTTTCCGGGCAACTATTTTTCGAAAATGAGCAATACTATGTGGAGTTTTGTAGACATCTCAGCATATATTACGGGGAAACTAATAGTAACCTAGAACGAAATATTGATGGTTGGGTTAGCCAGAAGACATACAAGGCTCTTAACCCTGAGAGGGAGTATAGCTCAATATCCAAATTCTCGAAAAGCCCACTACCTTTTCTGAGAGAGATTGTCAAGATGAGAAGGAAGGGTCAGGGATTTTCCTTAACACATCTCGGTAGCGTCTTGAATGTACAGGTGCTTGGGACAAATGATTTCTGATTCAGAAGTACTTGCATTATTAATATAAAGATGAACAGCTTCCAGTTACTTTGTAAACTGTTCGCAAATTTGCGAATTATTAGCCAGCCAGTTTACAAAATACTATAACTATCAGTTTGCTTTTGAACTACTAGTTTTGTGTGCTGCTGCAGGCATTTCAATAGTCGGGCAAATTTAGCCAAGATTTGGTGGTATTTGTAGATTAAGGAAGTTATTCATTTCGAGAATCGAATGATATCGAGGTATTTTATGCTTTTTAAGTTGGCGATGGTAAGAAATGTATATGCAAACCAATATAAGGATTTTACAACAACTATGAAAATTAAAAATAATAAAAACCTTAGTTCTTAGTAAAAATTTACAATTGCAATTTCAATGTTCAATTTGTGTGATACATATTGATACTCACAGCGACGCTGTTCGTACAATCGCAAGAAAGTCAAAATATTTAGCACAGCTACGTGTATGTAGCTTGTACTCGAGACTGGTGATTTTGTAGTTGCACAACAAGGCTGAAGAAAAAACCACACCACAACGCAAAACCTGATCGAGCCTTTTCGGGGGCCTGGGGAACGTCGAACGAGGCTGCTGCAGAAATCCTAAGTTGATAGGTGAAGCTAGGAGTCCGAAGCTATACAGTTTGGTTTAGAAGTTTTATCGGTCTAGCAAATTTGTATTATGTATATTGCACAAGCAAAATCCGCAAAATATTCTCTTTTTTTCCCTGACGACTATATCTGCATGCTACACTGCATAGACCGTGGCTGGAATCGCACTTCTGCAGATCTGCATGCGCCCTGAATATGCAGCAGAGCAATGCATTGCCGCCAGGATTTCCTTGGCCTTGGGAGACACATTTTGGTTGGCCATTATATCGATACCTGCCTTGGCCTTGAAATTCCTAATTAAAGATGGGTCGTGCACGTGCGCGTGCATGCATGGGAGGCATCAACATATTAATAGTGTACCAATTCATGATTGCCACTCTTAATTAGATCTTTTGTAAATTGGTCCCAAGCTTCTTCTCCAGCGAAACGTGGCCGGACTAACCGACCTCATGGTCCTAGAATTACATAAGGGACAAAGTTTGTTGTAAAATCTATTCCTGACTTGTTTGTATTTTGTCAGCCGTGGAAAACTACGAGAACACTTTGGGTCCAAATATTTAAATGCACACCAAAAATTAAAAATAGGGATGCCATAAAAGTTTAACGGGCGCCTGGGCTTTTTTTTCGGCGACCAATATCTATTTCTAAGCAATTAAACAAACACCTCTTAAGTCAGTTCACTATTTTTGGCAATAGTCAAGATTCTGCCTACGAAAAAGCTATCTATAAACAGGTTAACAGTTTTGTAAAGGCCCTTCAAGTCATATAAAACTAGATTCAAAACTAATTTAAAACCCTCCTCTAATTCTGTAGTTCCATGCGTTCCAAATCTTCAAACTCCATCCCAACGATATTAAACTTAAATTCGGATCACCTATCTTTATATAGTTTTTGCGCACTTAATACAACCAATTAAACTATTTAACATGCGCCGAAAGAGAGTTAATATTATGCTTGCTATTATTCTCATCACCTTATCTCAAATTAATCCAACACAAGCAATATCCACATTCATTCCCGTGTACTCTTTACCACCACCAGGAACGAACTATGTTGGTACCCCTACGATACGCAGTACGTTTAGTATCGTTTGGGATAGCATAGCTATCATTATCTTTTGCATATGGTCGATTCTACACCTGAATGTCCCCCAGCAAAGGCCCAGATCGAAGAAGTTTTGGGACAAATTAAAAAACAAAACTGTCGATTTTTTGCTGAAGGCGAAGTGGATGTTGATAGCCTTGATATTCCCTGAATACTTGGTGGGAGAGCTTGAGCTGAGTGGATGGCAGTTAGATATTGTGTTAGAGGTATTCAAAAACTATATCAAAGCCAAATTTCAAAATTAGACAAGCGAGGTAAGCTATCCAGTCAGGGTTTAGAATGTGTAGGGTATAATATTTAGCTTTAGAGATCTTAACGAAGCTTGATAGGCGAAAATCGATCTCATGAAGAAAACGAACTTTTGAAGAGGCTGCAAGACCAGGGTATATCTTATTGAAAATTTATTCATATTTACATGGTAAAGGTGGGCTATTTCGTTCTTGATACTGGGTTAACTGTTATACGCTCAGATATACCGTTCAAAGTCAATGAAGTAATACTCCGAGGCCGATACTGGGTGCTCAACTATCAGCAGTGGGAATATATAGTTATAAAAAAGAGCTATGTAGATCTTCCGAAAGTCAAGGCGGAGGATATCGAAAAACTCGACCATAAAAATGCCCTGGTCACGGTTCTTGCGATTCTTCAAATTTTAAGGCACATCATCTAAGTGGCCGTTTAGAGAGCCAATGGCCTACCGTGAGTACCACTGGAGATCTTAGATCTTACCTTTTTCGTGCCCAGCATCATTGTGTATCTGATGTACTGGGGGCGCCCGCAAGGTATTAAGGTGATCCACAAGTCAAAATTGGATTTCGAATCGGCAAGTAGTATACAAGGCGAGACCAAAAAATCAAAATTAAAAAAATCTAAGGGACGAAATAGCTCAACTTGGACATGAGTATCTCGTCCCTCTCCGCCCTATATTCATAAGACTCCCTCCGGAATCATACCTAAACGAATATCCAATCCCTATACCAAATAATAGTACGCCACCATGCCCGGAGCACTCGGAGCCGACAGGATGGCTCGACTAGCTAGTAAGCATAGCACATAGAGGGGTACCCGGTGAAACACCATCCCTACTAGTAAGTATGATGTGGGGCGGGCTTGTTTTTGGTGGCCTCCACCTCCTAGCAAAAGGTTCTTCATATCACACTAGCACTATAAAGGATTTTTGGATGGCCTTCAGTCTTATAGTCACAGTTTTTCCACTTTTAGTTACAATGTTGGATGTGATCTCCGATCTGCTCACTCAAGAGGAAGAACCCGATCTATGCCACTCGGGCAGGTTTACGAAATTTACTCGAGTCTTCCTGATTTGTTTATTTATTGTCGATTTTAAACTCTGCACATTAGCTAAAATATTTCTCTTGTATCAAATGTTTGAAAGTTTGGCATACCAACCCGAACAGGCCTTTCATAACCCACTATAATTCTAAATTAACATGGCAGACTCAGTGTGGTGTGGCTGACCAAGGTATCTTATACTTTAAAAACGTTCTACTAGGATAGAATGCTTTAACTGCTAGCTAGTTAATAAGATTCTTTTTTTCTAAAGATATGAATGTATAAATTTAGAAATTGTTTAGATGGTTGATAACTGGTGGTAATTGGCGGTGAAAGAGGTTTTGTAGAATGCAAGCAATCAAAGTATAAAATCCAGGGAAGAGGAAAGAGAAGAAGAAAAGAAAAGAAGAAGAGAAGAGAAAAAAGAGAAGAGAAGAAAAGAAGAGAGACAGACTCGGCTACCAGACTGTTAGAGGCAGGAGGTCGTCAATTAGGCCAATGCAAGTCTTCTTCCTCTTCTTCTTCCTCTTCTTCTTCCTCTTCCTCTTATTCTTCCTCGTCGTCGTCCGTTCTTTCTGTCTTTAGTTAGCTGGTGTTAATTAATAGAATATTTATGTTTAATATTTAAATCAAATGTCAATTCTGAGGATGCGATGGTAGTTAGCCAGTTGAGGTTTTTCAGATGCTTGTTGCGTATCGGCTAGGAAGAAGCCATTAATTTACAAAGATTCCCTCTTCCCTCTTCTCTCTTACATACACATCACATACACATACAAACACAGACACAAATAAATATACATACATACACATTCTATAATACAAACATACACAGTACGGCATACCAGTATGGTAATATAATATACTAAACAAGCGATGTTTGAATACAATAAGATACAAGATACTTCGCTAGCGGCGTATACTAATAAATACTAACATATGGGCTGCATTAGCCTACATCGCTAGCACCAACTGACGCTAACACTGTCCACTGCCGCCAGTAACAAATACTCTTCACTTTTTTCAAAAAATTCAAATCTGCATCAACACTCTATTACACTATCCTGCAGTATAGTATCAGATCTCGACATCTCTGTACGTTATAATTTTAGTTGTATATTATGTCAATGGCCCAACCCAAGACGGGCATGTATGTAAGTACATACATACAGATGCTATGGTGGTTGCATGTCGGTAGTATATATGTAGGTCGTATATACTCCAAAAGGCACCCAGGCCCAGCTAGTCTGCTTTTACATCAACAGAATCCAATCTTGATTTTTGCTTACTATACTTTAACTATATTAATTAAAACTCTCATTAGTTTGTTATTTAATTTCTATTAATCTATATTTTTTATAATTTAGTATATAATTATAGCATCTAGAATTTTAATAAAGAGGGGTACGGTATAATCCTTATATGACCCTATCACGACTTCATGACCACTTCGCAGTATACTATATTGGTATAATATTAAAGGGCTACAGCCGCGCCGCCTCAGTTGTCTCCATAATTTATAAATTTACTGGCGTACCCTCTTTCCCAAACTTCAATACTAACTTCCTATTCAAATCCTTCTAAAACTTATATCCCAATATCAGTTTCTTCCTATCTTTTATATTCCCCTCTAATCTGAACTCAGACATATACCTCCCACCCCTTTCTTTTTAATTTACTTCTTTATTCTCCCCCTCTATTCTTCCACACTTCCCTTCCTATCTTCCAAAAACTTCAACAACCAAATTATCAAATACATTTATGTCAAGCTACGGTCTACGACTATGGCTCTCTCGTGTGTACTCGAAGCGTGAAGTAGTGTATCTTATCATGTAAAATTAACTTAAATTATTTAATACTGATTTATATCATTATTGGTTATGTATTCTATATATATATAGTAGTTTGGCTGCTGGTGGGCGTTCTTTTGTGAAAATTCTATTTCTTATTTATTTGTTGGTTTTTGAGGTCAAAGCTTTTCTTTTTAGGAAGTTTGTGGGTTAAGGTGTGGTATTTTGGAATTCCAATATTGTACGGTCTAGGAGAGCGTCTCCTGACAATTTACAATAAGAACAGAATAATTTTATTCCCTTTTGACTTTCTTAAAATCTCCTCTGCTATCACGAATGTAGTCGACACTGTTTCCGCCCCACTGTCCGAGCTCAGCAACTGAAAACTAAAAATATTTTTTACCACAAATTCTAATAGCAAAAACTTTAAAAATATACAGGTTTCATACCGCTTCTTTATTATTAGTGGTGTAATTTATATTATAAAGAATATTAACCCTTCTATAATAGCATATAATCTGTTTTCTTTTAAGAATTTATTAAAACTAAATAAATACTTTTGGAAATGCATATTCCTTTTTATCTTTAGAAACTTCTGGACTAAAGAAGACAATAATAGTTAGTAATATTTTTGTCTTTTAAAAATCTCCCTTATAGCATAAAATTTTGAAAAAGTGTTTTTGGAATCTTAGTTTCTGCCTAGGGAAATATAAACATTGGTAAAAGAGTTGATTATTGATGTACAGTAGATTAGTAGGATGTGGTTTTGGGAGTTCAGGAGGACCAGACTTTGATTTGCATATCAATCAGTATCTTTTTCATATGCATCTATACTTATTATAGATCATGATAGACGCATATACACACCTAGCACTAGGCCGGGGAACCGCAACCCCCTCCGGCTGCAAAGTAGTATAAGAATGAGCATTAACCTTCTTCGCCGCCATCCTCAAATCGTAATTATCACCAGCCGGAAAAACGTATTTCGAAACAAAAATCACCGATGCACCTAACCGCCGTCGACAATGTATAGAAGACCGTATGCGTATAGGTAGAATCATTCCCCCCAGAAATCAAAAAAAATACTCCCCGATCAAGTAAGCCGCCTGCTACTTAAATAAACAAGCACCTGCAGTATCGACACCAATATGCAACCAGAATCGGCCGCCCCGAACAGAAAAGTAAACTTTGGAGACACCCAACGTTGTTTTGAAATCTTTTTTGTGGAGAAGCTCCGTGTTATGCTACTATTTTTTGATTTTTGCGCCTCGGCTCAATTCGGTGGAGGAGTTTGGAATTAAACGTCGGTGTTAATGGGTGGAGTGGTGGGAAGTGCGACTGAAATCTGGGGAATGGCGAACTGATCCGAGGTCCCCGTTTTGGTCCCTTAGTTTCACGAGATTCGAGGATCTTGTTTCCTGAAGAGGAAATTATTCGTGACAAATGAATATTCACGCGCCTGGTTTGCGTCCAAGTCTGCAACAGGTCAACGCGTAATTTAGTACACATCTCAATACCAGACAGTGCTGAATTAACAGCGTCATTTCCGTGTACATAAATTATAAAACTGTTCATATGATCATACACAACCAGCCTCGTTCCCAGCCCAGCCCCAGCTAGCCCAGCCCGTATACCACTAGTCTTGCAAATTATGGCAAAATTTACTGTGATTCAACACTTCGACCTTTTTTTCTCATTCTTGACTGCTGTGCGTCTCAGATGAGACACCGTAGCTGAAGGGCCGCTAGCTGCTATGATCATAATGCCCAAAGTTTATTATTTGAAGGCTACTCCAGGCAACTATCTCGTAAACCAAACGCTGCAGCAAGAATAAACTCATGACCAAGGGAGTTATACAGAAGAGCGGCGTAAAAAAGCAATATCGACAGAGAACCGTATACTATGTACGTACTTGGAACAAATTCCGTAAGTATAAAGAATGAGATACATACCCCGGTACCTTAGTTTTCGCGTCCAGGAAATTGAGGTGTTTCCGCTTCATTCAGGTGTAGTTTTAGAAGCGGGAGTACCGTTCTGGGAGCTAGCTCTTCTTCTCCAATGGTCAAGTCGAAAAATTGATATCAATTCGCGAAATACATCGAGGTGCGTGTATGCTGGTATAGACAAGCCCAAAATAGGAACAGAATTTGATTATCCATAGATTTTGTACCCTACCCATAGATAACAGCTCTTTGGGGAAGAGCGTTGTTTTATTAACTAGTATACAGGGTCTATATTTCTTTGTGCATATACCCCAGGAATGTGCGCATTCCGGCTGTTATACCGGAATTCCAATATGCATACGTATGCATATTACGACACGACAACACCTCGGGTGGGCTGAATACAAAACAAATCTGACTCCAAGGTTCTGCCTCAATCACGTTTGCAGATGCCCGTACTATTCCCTTTCGTTTCTGAAAATCTCAATATACCTGGCTACCGAACACTGTCAGCCTTATTTAAATTTTCATTCCTGATTTCTTTTTTCTTCTTCTTTCATCCTTTGTATTAGCCTTTCTTCGGCCAGCTCTGCAGGTGTACGAGACAACTTTTTTTGCAGGAACACCAAATCTTACTTTTCCCCCCCTCTTTTACAAAAAGGGAAACGTGGACTCGGAACTGCCCGTTGAGTAAGACCCGCGTCTACTCGACTAGACCCCCAGCTGCTACGCCGTGATCCGGTCGACCCACAGACTAAGATCTTGCTCACTGCAAACCCGAGCGATCGAGTTAAGGCCCCATTCCAACCCCCGCCGTCATGCATATGCACATACCTCAAACGCTTAGAGCCAAGGCTGTCGCTCCCGAGATCTACGAACGCATGACCTTGATACAGTATCACATTTTGGAAGTTATATGACATCATGATTCGGATGGGTCGGTGGGGCTGGCCTTGTGCGCTGCTTATCCTATGAAAGAGTAGAAATTATAGCTCGATAGTAACGATAGTAGTATCAACAGTAGCAGTTCATTGCGGTGTCCGGTCCGAGACAATAGTAGCAGGTGCATATGCAGGTGCTTACGTATAGGAATTAATAACTCGCAGAGGTATGGATAAACCTCAGACGGGTAGCGTCTGGGTTCGATCGAGGCTTCAATCATAGTGCTGAACGAAGTTATATAACTACCTACGAAGGCTTTTATGTCGGTGGCCCTTCTTCTCCGACACTGGCACTAGGTACCTTCAGATATCTATAGCCGCCTTACAATTGAGTATGAGATAAACTTATACTAATTTCTATTGCTCTCATAAGATTATAATTCTATAAGCTACAAAGAAGCCAATATGCCTCCCGCCGCCGAGCTGCAGCCCCAAATAAATGTAAACGGCCACCACCATGCCATTAAAAATACAAACGTAACAATGCAGGAAGTTTATCCAGACAAATTCCCATGGTTATCTCAATATCCCAAGCTCTCAGATGAGGTCTGTGGAGATCAACGGTGTCGCGCAAGCTTCTATTCACTCGTGTTAACCTTAAAACTCATGTAGATAGCACTTGAGCCATGCGATTATATCGCATCAGCGCTTTCGGGGGGTACCACCAAGGCGTTAATCGATGCCCTCAACATTTGGTACGACGTTCCGGAAAAATCTCTGGAAACCATCAAAAACGTCATCTACTGGGTTTTCATTGGGACTATGATGTAGGTTTCGGAGTAAATTTGTTACCTGTGAAAAGAGGTTCTGTGGACTGATTGACGGGCTTCCGATTCCATTACATTAGAATGGATGATATCGAAGACTACACAGACATTCGACGGGGACAGCCGGCGACACACGCGGTGTTTGGAATGCCTCAGGCGGCTAATTCTGGATGCTATTCGCTCGTTAAAGGGATTTTTGAGGCCCAGAAGCTGTCGCTCTCCGCTGTTGCCATCTATCACGGTAAGTCGTTCCTAAAATCACGAGGTAATTAACCTCAAGTTAATAGAATAGTACTAATGGCGTTTAACGTTTTCCCGAAGTAAAGACGAACTTCGTGAACTTCATGTCGGACAGTCTCTCGAAATTCATTACAGATTTCATGTAAAGTGTCCATCCGAAGCGGAATATATTCAGACCATTGATGGAAGTACGGCACTTTTTTATAGTCTTTGCTATATAATACACACTTGCTAAAGAATCTTTGATATTTAGAAACCGCGGGCCTTTTCAGAATGGTATCCAGACTGATGAGGGATCAGGCTACCCAGAATAAGTATGCCCCTTCTCTGTTGTTCTCTGTATACTATTCAAAACTGTAGTCCAATCGAAATACTTTGCTAATATGACTGTTTTTATCGATCGGTCCCAGGGATCTCGAGGTTGAGGAACTTTTCACCCTCATCGGCCGCTTTTACCAAATCCGCAATGACTATCAAAATCTCAATTCTCCAGACGTAAGTGAATATCAAATCCAAAGCCCCGAGGATCCTCAGAGAACGAAACTATACCTATACTATTATTATTCATGAATTCATTGACCGATTCTAACACAAAGTAATTTAGTACGCCGGAGGGAACGGCCCATTCGCCGACCTCGACGAAGGCAAATACTCTCTCATGCTAGTCCACGCCCTCAGTAACCAAAAAACAAACCTCCAACTCCAAAGCCTTCTTCAACAAAGGTCTCAACAGGGATCTCTAACCAGGCAACAAAAAGATTTGATAATGAAAATCATGGCGAAATCGAAAAGTCTAGAGTATGCTGCGACGGCGCTTGAAGATCTATACGTCGAAATCGATACAAAGTTGGGGCAGATAGAAGCTAAGCTTGCGAAGAAAGGGTTTAAAACCTCCGAGAACCGGATGATTAGGGCCATCATGTCGAGGTTGAGGTTATCCAAACCCTCTCCAAAAGCAGCATGAAATTGTCAATTTTGATCATCATCACGCCGGTGGGCTTTTTGTTGCATCATGTTGCATTTTGACTCAATGTACATCAGTAGATAGCTTCCATGAGGCTACAGAAAATATTATATTCGATGCGCTGCAATGAAGCCTCGAAAACTGCCAATGGATATCTTTTCGACGAATATATATGTTGGCTAAGCCTCCTATGACGGTACGAGCTGTACAATTACTTCATCAATCATAAATCTTCCTTCCCAGATGGTCGAGTCGGTGGTACCTTCGTCCAATGGGAACACTACCAGTTCGAACAACTTGCAAGGGAGGAAACCCGCCACGATAAGGCTCAACTAAGGCTTTTTTTTTCTTTGTTTCGGGTAACCTACGTGAAAACCAGCTAGACATCCTTTTCAAGGGCAATGTGTGCCTTGAAAGAAACCCAAGTGCGCAGTACATAAAATGCGTGTTTGATGCACGCCGAAGCCCATAATAGAATCTGCATTATTAGAAAGTTTCATGATATATATCAAGAAATAGGTTTAATAAAGTATAATATTTTTTCAGTATGCTGAAGCAAGTACATAAACAAATTATTACACCTGTCCTAGGATTCCTTGGCAAGATTTCCTAAAACAGCTTAACACTCTACTGTATTTTTTAATTTTATACATTCAAATCTTTCAGAAGATAATATAGTATTCAAAGTAAAAATATAAAATTATATAAATAAAAAATATAATATAATAATTAATTATAAAATTAAATACTATTTAAATAAATTATAAACTAAATTAATAAATTAACCAATAAAATTTAAAAATAAATTTAAAAACTATTATTATTTAAAAATC